AAAAAAAAAAAAAAAAAAAACACCTTACACCCCACCTTGTTTAATATCACCGCCGTTAGCGACTTGCACCCTGTGTCTCAGATCTCCGACATGGTCGATGCAGGAACGCCTAAATCGTCACATCAATGTGGCAAAATATGTATACTCGCACTCACAAGAGGCTACCAGTAGCAGTGTCGTGTGTGAACTCAGTCCCCTGTTATCTCTGAGAGAGAATTGAATCAGCCTCGGTTGGGTGAATCAGTCTGAACGCTACAGGTGCGATAGTAGTGATGAGGCGATGAGGCGATGAGGTGATGATCATTGTGAGTCAGTACACGCTGGCCCAACGTCGGGCGCCCTTTCTTTGATGGGTTGTTTTTCCAAGGCGATGAGGTTGTATTGGTGCTACACAAGTCTTGAATAAACCGCATGGCCATCACAGTCTTCCAGTGTTAGATACATATATAATCCCGGATATGATAAGGTGAAAGAAGTTAGAAGAACACCAGAAAGCAACAACCACCCCGAAAAACCCCATCATCTAAGTACCCAAATTCAAGCCTTCATACAAGCATCATGGAGACCACCGAGGCTGTGTCCAAAATGGTCTTTGAGGAGATCAACACTGCATCAAAGTCCGATGACCTTAGGATCCTCCTCCACAGCCACCTATCGCATACTTGCGGTCAGCACCTCAAGGATCTAAAGGATCTTGAATCGCCAAACGACAAGTACAAGCGTTATCTCGTGAAATATGTTGCCCGGGGAATGGTCGAGCATGTGATTCGCCAATTTCCCATCAATTTAGCCAAAGAACTGGGTGTACCGAACGCACAAGATGAATGACAAATCGAACAAAGGGGAGCAGACCTAAGGGTTCCCTCTGATATTTTGGGCCTCCAAGCAATCTATGTGAGTTCTTATCTCTACCACCAGCTTTTGAATCCCAGGGAGTCATCAACTAATCAGGCTGCGATACTTGTGAGTACAGGACGAGATAGGAGCTACTATGACTTTATCGGGTAGGGACAGGAGTCTGGAAGATTGAAAGGAGTGGGAGTGGTTGTTGCCTTGCGCTAGCGTTATTGATTTCCCATGTCTTAGCAAAGCAGCACAGAGTTTTTACAGAATGTCGATTGAAAGCCTTGATCACAACCTGATGTAGGCGTAATGCATCCCCAAGCATGTCAGGTGTCATCCTGGCTTCCCCACATGGGTATCATGACCCTCATCTCTCCTATGCACTTCTGACCCTCTCAGCCGTTCCACGTATAATCTCGATGTAATAGTAACACACCGCAGATATTCCACTGAGTCAGTTCAATAATGCTTTCAGGAAACCTTTGCTGCCTGACTATCGCTGTATATACACACTATACTAATTCACCGACCAGCAATTGGCTAATTGGCAGGGATGACTGTAGATACCTTTGTGGCCCAACGATTAGAGCAGGCAGTGGCGAGCTCTCCCAAATCAATGAGAAGCCCTCAAGCTAAACCCTCCAATTCTGTACTTATACTCATGTTTCTTCGCATGAAATGCTTATCAAGCAAAGTTTCTACAACTGACAGTCATGAGCTCCCAATCTTCCCAGAATCCACTACAGTGTGCCGACTACAAGGTGGGCTGGGTCTGCGCTTTGTCACTTGAGCTAGCCGCTGCAACCTCCATGCTTGATACAGTTCATGGCTCACCTCTCGATCTCCAATGGCAACCTAGATATGACCACAACCAATACTTCTTCGGCCAGATTGGGGCCCATAATGTAGTCCTAGCAGTCCTACCTGCTGGCTCCTACGGGACTACTCAAAGCGCCATTGCCACAAAACTGATGACAAATGCTTTCCCCCGGCTATATTTCGTGTTAATGGTGGGAATAGGAGGTGGAGTCCCTAGCCAAAGACATGATATTCGGCTAGGAGATGTAGTGGTTAGCAAGCCTGTTCCGGGTCACGGTGGTGTGTTGCAATACGACTTCGGCAAGACGGGACCGAACGGAGGGGTAACACCCACTGGAGTTCTAAATAAGCCACCACCAGAGGCATTAACGGCCATCGCCGCTATGGACATGAGATATATGATGGAAGAAGGCTGCTTGACAGATTTCATCAAAGATGCGCTGTCGAAGCGACCGAAGATGAAGGATGCCTTCTCTCGCCCGAGCATGGATAAGGACATTCTGTTTAAATATGATTTCGATCATATTTCCGGAGAAGATTGTACGCGCTGCCCTCGGAGAATGATTCAAGCACGGCCACAACGTGCCACGATTGAACCAACCATTCATTATGGGCTGATTGGTTCGGGCAACCAAGTCATCAAGGATGGAAGGACCCGGGAGCGATTGAGGCAGAAGCACGACATCTTGTGTTTTGAAATGGAGGCGGCTGGTATGATGGTTAGTGATAGATGAATCCATCGTCCTATATGGCACACATGTCTAACCAATACTTCAGGACACCATTTCATGTCTTGTCGTCCGGGGAATCTGCGATTATGCTGACTCACACAAGAATAAGCTGTGGCAGAAGTATGCCGCGATGACCGCAGCCGCTTACGCCAAAGACCTTCTGCTTTCTATGGGGACACCAGCTATATCTTCTCGTTAGTACCTATCCTGCCGCTTATATATCCGTCCACATCTTGAATGGTTCTAACAAACGTTATGTACATCTAGCCAAATTAGCGCCACTGACCCCCACCGTGGTACCTGTTGCCCCGACACCGGCATTATTTCACAGAAGGAGCCCAGAACCCAGGCCACCTCAATCACCACCTATACTAGCTCAACAAGCCCACCAACAGCAAGTAGATCCTCAGCTCCGAGTGGAATATGGGAAAAGGCTCTTGCGGGCGGCTCAAAGCAGGAATATGCCACTAGTCAAGGCCTTCCTCGAGAAGGGAGGAGACCCAAACACAGCGGATCCCCAGTGGAATCTCACTGCCTTGCATTACACGGCTAAATATGGTGATATCGGCACAACGCGGCTTCTTCTCAAAGCTGGAGCCGACCCAGACGTCCCGATCAAATTTACAAAGAATACACCTCTGTTAGAAGCAGCTTCCCGTGGTCACGATAAAGTTACTCAGTGCTTACTACAGCATAACGCTAATATAATGAGCGTTGGGAAGGGGAAAAGAACTGCTTTGCATGCAGCTGCTGCCAATGGGCACCTTGCATGTGTTACAGTCCTTATGGAGGCCGGGGCTGATCCAGAGAATCTCGATAAAGAGGGATATACACCTCTGGACCTGGCAGAGAAAGAGGGTCATTCCCAAATAGCCAAGTACTTACGGGAATTCTAGAAATTTTTGCTAAATTTAATTTGTATTACTTCAGGCATTGGGTTTGGAAAGACTTTCGTGATTGGTCTTCATTTTTTTTTTTTAACTCACCTTGTCAACAGTGGCAGCGGTTGATTTCCGGTGATCTAGGTAAAGGAACAGAGGGCAAAAAGAAATGCTGGTTGAATATTGTATACTGTAGGATAGATACTAGAAGCCATTAGCTAATATACCCTAGCCTACTTAGGAGAAGGTAGTAATTAACTACCAGCGATATATTACAGTTCTAGTCTAACTAACTGGTTAAGGGCGAAGTTAAGGAAAACAAGAGGGCTCCGATAACTTTAGATATTGAAACTCTTTCGATTATTCTATCTTTGGCTGTTTTGTAAATTTAATATTTTCTACACTCCTATATACTACTGCCATATTTCTTACTACTACCAAAAATTCTAGACTGGCCAGCTGAATGGAAAGTTTCTCCGATATACTACCAGTATTGTAATCCTCCAATCATGTTTCTAAAAAAATCATATAATCAATAGAGACGTACAACTAAAAGTTCTGAGGGTAATTTGCGTCATCCAATTACAAGTTTGTGGGGGTGAGTAGGGACACAGGCGAGTCAGCGGTCAAGGAACTTAAGCAAGGGTAATTCAAAATCTGTATGGTAGACTTGCAATCTTTTACTGAAATCTTACTCTCTCTAGAATGGCCCTGCATTGCTTTACTTAGTAGATTGTGTTAATGTGCCCCATAGCCCCTTATTCCTTTGTTGTTTTTGTTGTCAGAAGCTTTCTCCCTCCTCTCCGATTCATCCTTTAGCTCGTGTGACCAAAGAGCTCAATATTACCACAAGAAGGAACCGCTTATAAGGTTAAGACCCTTCTTTGCGGCCCCCAGAGAGCCATATCTCCACGGCTTTGGAGATGATTGCTGAATTACTACGAGTGTGTATCACATGAATTATATTACTCAAGATCTATAATTTACACGCGCCGCACAAAGAAAATTAGATTGCCGGCTTCCCCTGGTAAAGAACGTTGCCCTGGAGTGTTACTCGCCTGTGAGTGATGGTCGACAGCTTCTTTCCTATGCGGAGTGTGAACCTGTTGCTCAACAGCTTTCTGGGCATGCACTGACCACGATATGATTCTGGGTTATTTCCGCCCTCTTGCTCTGTGCAGCTTCCCCCTAACCTTCTTTGTTCAACTTCTCGTCATGAACAGAGTCATTTCATTAATCACATCTAAACTCTTGCTTCGTCAACCACTGTGTCCATAGTATGGCGGAAGTGGACCACATCGCAACGTGTCGCAGGTATGACTTGGGAAACATTCTCAGAAATAGTCCGGGTTATAGGATATAGGAGGTAGCCTAGAAGTTTCCTTTACAGTATCAATGCTGATCTTCCGTGAGCGGCCTGACTGATGAGCTACCGGTTGTTTTTGGTGATAAGGACCAATGTGGCATGTATGTCTTTGCATCTACTGTCAAGATTATTTCGCGCGGTCTTCCCTTGATATGCATTCATCCAGGTATCAAGTAGCATCAGATACCTTTCTGGAGTCATGCCCTGCTTCATGATCATCGAATCAAGTTATGCGTGTATTTCTGTCCCTACCTCACCGGTTTCATTCGCTTCTGTGCAACTAAACCGACAGCCTTTGTAAGAAATTAGACATGATGCCCATATTGGCCTCAACAGCTTTTGTTTTCGATGGCTCAACCTTCATTTCTCTTTTTACATATATAGTCACAGCTTCCTCGACATGTCCCAAACACTATCAGTGCGTGCCCCGTGACATAGATCTCACAAAATGCAGAATCTATTTACAAGTATGATGCCATTCCACCGCAAATATCAACAGTCTCGTAATTAGTTCCGAACCCCTTGATCTCCGGAATGATCCGGTAGTAAAAGTTGGCCGCATGTTCAGTCTCAGCAAAACCGATGAAGTCATCCATCTTGTGGTTGGCGTTGTCCGCATAGACAGCCCATGTAGCAGCCCCCGCCAGTGCCATAGACTTTTGATGGGCTTGGGTGAGCTTCGATCTTTTCCCTGGTAGTGAACGCGATCTTGAACCCAGGGTTGTCGAATCGCTTTTGCAAATTGGATCCTTCAGTGCTATTCGTACCGGAGTCCTCTCGAAGTGGCAGGTGAAGAACGGTTTCACCGTTTTCATAGTGGTTGGCGATGATATCGTGCTTCGGAGAGTCGTCAACGGCGAAACCAGTAATCTGGAATCTGTGGGTTGGTAAAGGCTCGTCCTGACGTCTACCTAAGGCAATAGTATCGGAGGAAATCGAGAGAGGAGAGAGGCTTTCGTAGGACATATCAGCACTACTGGACAGCATAGTCTCCCACATCTGGAGATAGTCCTGAGAATCATCGACGTCACGCTTGCCCGGTAGACCTTCGGGAAGAGATCCAGGGTAGTGGGCGGCAAGTAACTTGACTCGTGGCCAGGAGAGAGAGAAGGGCGATTGAGAACTTCATAGTGATGTTTTAGGACGGTTGTTGCTACTGAAGAGCTCAATCTTTTTTAGGGATTCGTTACTCAATATTTATAGCTGTATGTCGGTGTTCAGCGTTGGACGTTACTCCGTGGAGCGTACCCGATTTTTGGTTACTATACGATTTGCACATGAGACATAATATAATGGCTATCCACAAAAGGATGGACTATTGAACTACTGGTGCTTCTAGTACATTAAATCCCTGTCTCTATGTGGAGTCTAGAATCAGAATAATCAAAAAACAGGAACAGTTGATAGTGGATAGCCGGCCTACGAACCCTTGCAACGCTAGCGAAGGGAGCGTTAGTCTTCTTACATAGATACCTCGCATAGCCGATGGTCTTCTATTTTCTTTATCTACCATTGTTTCCTGGGCACAACGGTTCCACACAGCCTACTCTTCCTTTCTTCGAGTGGTGCTAACATATTCTACTGTCGGATAGTTCGCAATGGGTACCAATGAAAAAGCTACTCCGCCGAATTCTCAACCATCCTCTCCGCCAACACTTTCGCGAACTGTTACTATCCTTCGGAATATCGTACGAAGTCCGCGGGCGTAAGTGCGGTCCTATATATTAATACTATAAGATATCTGAAGCTAACTATTTAGCTTACCTTTTATCGCACTGATCACTCCGCCTGTGCGATGGTTTTGGAATTACATGGGATGGCCTAACGGAGGAGACGTGGCCCATTCACTAAACCTCGGACTATTAATACTGTATTTTATCATATCGCAATATGTTCGCAGGTACGATTGATGGACTGGAAGACAATAATTTATTATACTCAATAATAAATCTTCATCTGTCTACCCTAACTATCGGTGCCGGAATACAACTCCAACATATGCAGTCTGTTAATGTTCTACACTTTAAGACCTGCTATCTGCATCCTGTGTTTGAGATCCTTGCCTGACCGAGTCCTCTAGGAGTCAGCGATGCGGGGTCTTCGGTGAGACACTTGTCCCATAGTCTATGTCACTTATCATCGCTACCTACCCAAGGCAACAGAAAAGGCCTAAATTCATGCATCTATGATCCTCTATCCAGATAATAATGCCTTCGCGCTTTCTAGGGGGTTGGAAGGGTGTGGGGGTGTTGTTCCCAACAAGACACCTTACGGAGAACTCTGGAATTGCGATGTTAGGTATCCACTTTGCCCTACAGGTGTAGGGCTGGTCTATGTACGGCGGAGTAGTACCATAGTCGACAGCCCACACCACAGTCATACACAAATTAATATGTACCGGTGTTCACATCTTTAGAGGAGTCTTTCCCTACACTGACAATGCTGTCCGGAGATATTTGTAACGTATCAACTCCACTTCTGGACCGTCCCACACCTTATGGTTAGAATATATATTCTCAAAATAATTAGATGAGAGCCAATATAAGGTCTATAATATTAGACTAAAATAAATTACGCAAAATTACAATGTAATATATATTACCTAAAGATCCATAGATATATATCTTATATTATTTTAATATTAAGATTGGTCCCATCTCAATATACTAATTTAAAAGTATAAATTAGATTGGACTGAGCTTGGTCAATATATTTGAGGTCAAAAAATGCTGAATTAGTATGGAATACACAGTGCGGCGCTCGGTGGTGGTGCGGCGCTCGGTAGTGAAATACGTTAGTTAATAGAAAAAGAGTACTTGGTCAGCTGTGTAAGGGTCACATGAAGTACCAGAACAAGCTAAATTAGCGAATTTTATGCTACTGCGGATAATTGTTGGATTTAGTGGGCACCCGTTGGATGTCCGCGGATTTGCCGCAGCCTAGGGACTGACTGGATAGTATGAACCCACTACAGAGTAGGAACCGAATGGGAAGTAGGTACCTATCTCATATTAGACCCCAGCTCAGAGTAGGGACCGGCTAGAATGAAGGAACCGTGTACAAAGAACCAACATTGTCTACTCATAATAACAATCTATGCCTCCTCCAAAATCCCGTTTATTAAGTCATTTCTTTTTGTTTTCTAGATTAACTTATCTTTTGCCTGTAGGATATACCCTATTCGCGAACGGCGCAGTATTGTTTTGAGGCTGTACTTGCAGATTTTGGTCAGTGGTAAATTCAAGTTGTAATGTAACCTCATATCATCAAAGAGTTTAGCGAGACGCTAGCGGCGCATTTACCAAACCCGGAAGGTAGCTTCATAACCGGCTTTTGTTTAGCGTGTGTTCGGTTATCCGGCCTGGCCCTGTGCATCATCCCGATGAATGCTTTAGAGACTATCTCGAAGACCGCCGGGCAGGTCGGGGGTACTTCTTGATTGAAGATATAGGCCATGTCAGGTTATCCACCACCCCTTCCGTGATATTCCCAGACCGTTAATTCTACCGATACAGGACCGAAGCCGGGAAGTTCTATACTCTACGCTAGATTTTAATCCGCTGCGCCGGCCCACAGCAGCCGCGATCCTTAGAACTCAGTGGGTAAAGCAAATCGCTTGTTGTGAAGCTGCTAGCTCAGGACTCCACGAGCAGCTGCCTGGCCCGGGGACTTCACAAGCCACCAAGAGCTTTCCAGGGTAGTATAGTTTTGCGCTGCCGAGAGAAGTGATTTTACACCAGTCAAGAAGGGTGTGAGGGATCACCTTCCGGGTAGAATGCAGGGCACTCGAGGAGGACTTGGTAGGTATTTTTATTGGAAAGACGCGTGGGGGAATTAACTGCACATTGTGATATCTCGTATAAGCTGCCTTGTCATGCCACTTTTGAAAAGCTCATACTCAGGTGGGCAGTTAATACGAAATATTACGAGAGACTTTAGCGTGGGTAGCGGGGAATACCATTACAATTTGGAAATATGGTCCTTCAACACTTGTCCTATGATGAGAGAATGTCGGTATATTGGTTTAGGGTGTACATGACTTCCAGAGGCGTCTTCGCGCATGTTCGCTTTCCCCATTTGAACTAACTGTAGATTGGACCCACTTCGATTTTCTGGGCGTTCCACTGTTGTAAATGAGAACTAGAATGGCCTTGTAGAGAATTCGGAAGCTCGTAAATCATGTCAAGAGATGGGTAAGAAAAGTCTGCCCTATCCGTTGCGGGACGCCCGGTTACATGTGGCCTACGAGTGCAGGTATCTTGTTGCCTATCTTTCACCGAGACGGAAACAGCAGAAAGCAGAGCGTATTGTAAACACCTCTGTCCAGTGTTTACGAGTATAATCTTCTCACACGGAAGTTGAACTTTGGCAGCTTCTGCACAAATCGGAGCAAAGAAAATGGCACGGGCTAAAAAGACCGGAATGCTAGGTCCATACCGTCTCGGCGGATTGGACACCATAAATCCCGCACCCGATTCCGTCAATGGTCATCTTGCGAGTATTTGAAAGACAGTTACTGCCGTGGGTGGCCTTGAAACCCCCTTGCATATACACCCCCGACCAAGTACAGCGTGCGTGCGTCTTTGCCAGCATTCTTGCTCTAGTGAGCTATGTGGAAGCTGCACCTTAACTTTATCACGTTGCATTGTATTTTCAAGATATACGACCAGCAAAGAAAATTCACTTGCTAACTTCATCGAACGAGATGCATATATCATATTCCTCAGCGTCTTAGCCTTGATCATTGTCTATCCGCAGGGGAATTTGAGAGCGGTTGATAAAGAAGGCCAGGGTGACGTTGGTGACCAAGGCTTCGGTCTTGATACCCGCGTTGATTCCGAGTTGTGTGGAAGCCTTGGTAATACCAACACTGTCCATGACCTGTTTGAGATAGTAGGAAATCAAACCATTGCCACTCCATTGACTGAAGAGTCCCAGAGCGGTGATCAGACCGATTCGCCTGCGGTTGCCCTTGGTTTTCAAGAAATCAACCCAGCGAGTTTGGTCAATCTCCGTATCCAGATCAATGGCAGCCTTGATCTCTGCATACTCCAGATGCACAAATGCGTCATCCTGGTCCCCCTCGCCATGATATTTGACGAGAATCCGCATGGCTTCATCGTGTCTCCCCTTGCTCATCAACCAACGAGGGCTTTCCGGCATTAACCATATGCCAGACACAATCACAATGGTGCAAATGGCCTGCAGCAGGCTAGGCAGACGCCACGACCAGTCGCTCTAATAGAAGAAAAAAAAATGTGAGTCGAGAAGAATCAGATCTACGGTGGCTGTTTGGGCAATGATACATACCTGAATCTTCAATGTGCCCAATGTCACCCAGCTAGCAATGAACGCGCCAGAGTGATAAGAAGCACCACTAAGCGTGACAAGGACGGCCCGGTCTTGTGGATGCGCGATCTCAGCGATCAAGAGCGGAGCGCTACCAAGAACGAGACAGTCACCAAATCCAATAAGCAGACGGGCAGCGATGAACATGCCAAAACCAGTAGCACCAGACTGCAACCCCACTGCAAGCAGCATGATGAGACATCCAACGAAACACCCGAGCCTGCGGCCCCAGGCATCGATCATGTAAGGCACGACGAACAGACCGAGCAGAGAGCCAAGACTCATGGAGGCATTGAAGAGGCCGAGAAGCGAACCGTGAGGGTGATTGAAGTATTCCTGCCAGTAGGAAAGGGTTTGGAGACCGTTCATCATTGAACCATCAAAACCGTTCGCTGTGTTGGTCAGGATAAGGATGACAATGTAGATGTACAGGGTACGCATATTCTTCCTCTTCCACCAGGGCAAGCGCTTGAACTCCTGGTGAGCGAACAAGAAATGGCCCTTTCTCGGTTTAACCGGCAGGATTTTTTGGTCCGGCTTCGGGGGCCGGAATCGAAGCGCCATGATTGCGAAAGCGTGCGCTGGATGCAGATGTAGATGAGAAAGCAAAAGAGGTGTAGCAAGCTAATGAGTCCACTTCGACTGCTGTCGGGGATGAGAGAAACTTTGAATTACGAAAAAAAGCCCTCTTTATGAATCTCGAGACAGACATGAGCTTGGCAACCCCAGTCCTTCGTACAGATGGCGGCTTCATCGACTCCCGGCTCTATTGTTCCCAACCCGGCTTGCCACGACCTGTTGCCACCCAGTTAGCGTTGGCATTTGCTGAGCTGGGCGTGTTACATGTCCACTTTCTGCATTTTACCGAAAACTGGCGTTTCCTTGGTCTTCTCGTATTCTTGAAGCGCCATCGCTGGGGAACATCATCCTCCATATCTCGGAGGCCATACTCCAGACCCCGTGGGGAACTGGGGCTGGAGACTTAGGGTTAGCGAGGGACACTTGCGGGGGCCCGAGATGGGAGGCCTACTCCAGCTATACCTTATTTGGTAAGAGGATGATTAACTTATTAACTTAAACTCAGGTAACTAACTGGAGGTTAAACCTTACACTGATACCGCCGGCAAGTGGACGGTTCAGCATTAGCCGAACTTGAAGTTGAGAGTGTTTACTTGCTTTAATCCCGATCTCGAGCGCTTTTGCTAGTTAGGCTTGCCCAGAAAGGTAAAAAGGCCACATGTATGTCAAGTCTTGGGCATGTCGATCTAGGATTCAAAAATGTAGTGATAATCCTTAAAAGCTTTTATCGACACCGAGAAACACTTCTCCTCTTTTAATGCGACTTATCCGCGAATCCGTTGGACTTAACAGCGTAAGCGATCACTCGCCCAGTAATTGCGAAGAGGAGCTATCCATGTGATTGTGTTGACTACTCTACGTTCTAATCCCTTCGGAGAAAATTGTGGGGGAGAGCCTGGTCCTGGACCCTGAACTCCAATTTAGCCTATACGGCGTGCTTGACATCCACGCTTGGCCGCCTATCAACAACCTAATTTACCCCCTCATCCAGCTTTATCCGCCTAACAGAGGAATGCACTGGTCCTTGAAAAGATAGAGTTTGGAGGCCGATTCCCCTCCTGGTATATCTTTCCTTATCAAGTCCTCATGTACCGTGCAGCTCAACCCCGATGGAGGTCAATCGTCGTGTATTGGCCAGCTCCCACGGGACTAGCCCTAGATCTCCCGGAACTTGCCTAAAATTCAACTGAGCGCCGCTCATGCACACGCGATCGAGGAATATTTTGTCACAACATGGCGAATTAGTGCCACCTGACTAGTTAGCATGAGGCCTAATGGGGTGAATGAGTGCCGTAGAATACTTGAGAAAAGGACACCTGTAAGAGTGTGTGTGGAGGAGACGGCGCTAGCTCGTACCGGCCAACTGCATACCAAGCGGACTATATGAAGTGACATATTTAAATGTTTTACTCCAGGCTGGGTGAGGAGATAGACCATAGATTATTTCCTCCAGCCTTCGTTCTATCACTTGCGCGAGCCAGCCATGTCAAATACAGTCAACCCCATCATCCCAGGCTTCGCGCCCGACCCATCCGTGGTCTTGGTGGACGGCTGGTTTTATCTTGTCAACTCCAGTTTCCACGCTTTCCCCGGTCTACCTATCTACGCATCTCAAGATCTGGTATCATGGAAGCAGATTGGTAAGTCTACTGACTGGTCACTTAGTCGGTGGGAGGACACAGTTCTAGTTGTCGCTAACGTGTGAGCGCACAGGAAATGCAATCCATCGACAGTCCCAGCTCAGCCTCGCAAAGTCGCAGGCAAATCTCTATCCGGTGGATGATGGGAAGTTTCTGATCGGGAGTGGAGGCCTTTACGCGCCCACGATCCGTCATCACCAGGGCACATTCTACGTCGTCTGTACGAATGTCATCCGTGCAGAGGGGAAGACTAGGGATGTGACGGAGAATTTCATAGTTTCCACCAATGATATCTGGTCAGGCACATGGAGCAACCCGGTCTACTTTGAGTTTGAGGGAATCGACCCCAGTCTTTTGTTCGATGATGATCGAAAGGTTTACCTGCAAGGGTCCGGTGGAATAGGCCCAGGCACGACGATCAACCTCTTCGAAATCGACCTAAAGACTGGTGCAAAACTCTCCGAAGAGAAGGTCATCTGGCGCGGCACTGGTGACATTTACCCCGAGGGACCGCACTTGTATAAGCACAAGGGCTGGTATTACTTGCTCATCGCAGAGGGCGGCACCCATGGCGGGCATATGGTGACGATGGCACGCTCTCAGAACGTATTTGGCCCATATGACTCGTGTCCAAACAACCCTATCCTCACAGCGCGTGGGACTCAAGAGTATATACAGTATACGGGCCACTGTGAGCTGTTCCAGGACGAAAAGGCCCAATGGTGGGGGGTCTGCCTCGGGGCCCGCCTAGAGGACCAAGGGAGATGCCCCATGGGCCGCGAGACCTTCTTGACCCGGGTGGACTGGGATGGCGAATGGCCCCTCTTTGATCAGGTGAAATTGAATCCCCGCGGCCTTTCAACAACCCGTTTGAGCTCACATCTCACGGCAGAAGGTGGGCTGGACTACCTTTACATCCGAGATGCTATCATGAGCAATTATCGGCTCGAGAATAACCATTCATCCCTGACATTGAGCGCGTCATCGGTCAATTTGTCTCACCCAGCAGACAGCCCGACCTTCATTGGCAAGCGACAACGGAACCTAGCCGGTACGAGCTCTGTGGTGCTTGAGCGAATCGAAGGTTCCTGGAGCTTTGCAAAGATCCAGGCTGGGCTCGCCTGTTACAAGGAAGAGCACCGCTTCTCCAGGATCTACTACGATGCTGCTCAGCAGGCGGTGGTTCTCGAACTGGTCAATGCTGCTAAGACAATTGTTCGAACTGAGAAACACACCCTCGGGGAAGTTCCTCACTCACTACTTTTCCGGATAGAGTACACAGAGAAACAGTACTCCCTGCTTTATTCATTCCAGCCCCACGTTGGAAATGACTGGACATGCCTGGGTACGGTTGATACTCTGGATATGACTGATCCCGATTTCACCGGCCCGATTATTGGCGTCTACGCTGTTGGGCAGACGGAAGGCGTGCAAGTTCAGTTTGAGGGCCTAAGTGTCCAATAAATGCTAGAATTGATAGAACTGACACTTTCTTTCTCGCACCTCGCCGCCACGATGGGCTAATTGGTCTATTAAGCACGACCCAAGCACATCTTAACCTTAGCAGTAACGTGGTTTTCAGGTAGACTGGTTTGCCCGATACCCTGGAGAGGCACTGGACCCTCAACCGAATTGAAAGATTTTACATCTTTATTACTACTATATCTAGCCAGTCATGGTCCATCTATGGGCAGGTTTCATGACAGATTGCATTCTGTAGTAGGGCTATAAGGCACCGAGTTTCTATAACAGAACAGATAAGAATGGCATTTTTACATCTGCATCAGTTTAACTTTAACTCTTTGGGCATTACTTCCCGAGGCAAGAACAACATAACTCACAAAGCCTAACTATGGGCTTTAGTGGATGCCGGCTGTATATGAACGGGCACGGTAAAGTTATACTGTGCATCAGGTGCAGGGAGCGTCTCGATCACCGCTGGACTACCCTTCAATGTGAACTCGAAAGTCAAGCTCTCGGAGTTGTCCAATGCAAGCTTGTAACGCCCTGGAAAAATGACGAGACTTCCGTTCTCATCAGCCCGGGTCAGTGAGCCAAGAGTGAGAGGCAAGTCTGCCACTTGATCGGTTCCGCGAGCAATGTTGTGGAGACGCATGTAAGATACCAGGGACTTATTGGGGCGTGGAGCCGGGCCGGCATTCTTGCTGGAAAGGAACAGCAAGCTAACGTAGTCGGAAGTTCTATGACCGACATTTTTGACTTGCACCTTGACAGTGGTAAAGGGTGTGCTGTCTTTGATTTGGCCGCTAGAACTTCTTTGGCATGAGGCAACGAGTTCCTGAATGTCGTATTCCCGGTTCAAAGTCTCTTCCCAATCAAACTTGAATTTTGTGTAGTGAAGACCGTAGCCGAATGGGATTACCGGCTTTCCGGTGTACCATTTGTATGTTCGTCCAGGATATGAGTCTGTCGAGTTAGGGCGAAGGTTGATGTCGAAGATATTGACTTGATCGGCATAGCTGGCGGGATACTGCGTGACTGGTAGTCTGCCAGCAGGTGACCTTTTACCCACAAGTATATCAAGAAGAGCAGTGCCTCCGCTTTGGCTAGGATATCCCGCCCAAACCAGAGCTTGGATATCTTTGTTCTTCAGGAGGGCGCTGTCGTCGACCTGGCCACCACCGAATTGGACAACTACAATTGGCCTCGAGAGTTTGGACAAGCTTTTGATGAGATCGAGTTGGTTCCCTGGCCACTCGAGTGAAGTCCGATCAAGCGTTTCGGACTCGAGGGAGTTGTCAATGCCACCAAGATAAACAATCAAATCAGACTTCTTTGCAGCTTCTAGAGCCGCCTCAAATCCCGTGGTATTCTGATAATTGATTGCTGTACCCAAAACATAATTCACTTTCCATCTGTGGTCGCTCTCAAATGCCTCCAATGGGCTAATCAGGTATGGTGCATTGCCAGAGTAGTCGCCTTGCATCTGAGTCGTGGCATTTGCGAATGGTCCAATCACGGCGACACTCTTGTATTTATGCGGAGAGTCCAAAGGAAGAAGGTCATCATTTTTGAGAAGCGTCATACCTTCAACTGCCGCCTCATACGCGAGAGTCTGTGCTGCAGGGGTAGAAACGTCCGAGAAATCGAGATGGTCGTACTTTCCCCCATCGAAGAAGCCGACCGTAAACAGTGCCGAATAGAGTCTTGCCAATGACTGGTCCATGGCTTTGATTGAGGTCTGATTTGCTGCGAGAGATTCGTTGAGCTTCAGGTATGAGGAACCACATTCCAGATCAACCCCGGCATTGAGAGCAACGGAGGCTGCCGCTTCTTCGGTGTCGGTAAAGTTGTGGTATTGCCAAATGTCCGTGACTGCATTGCAGTCAGACACCACGTAGTGATAGTCTGCATTGAAATCCCAGTGCTTCCTGAGCACCTTATCAAGAAGGTATTCATTCGCACAGGCTGGAATGCCGGAAACTGAATTGTACGAACACATGATGCTTCCCACATTAGTGTCACGTACACAGCTCTTGAACGGAGCCAGAAAGTAATCACTCAGATCCTGCTGGGTGGGGTTGTAATTGTTTCCATACCTGCCCGTTTCCAAGTCGTAGACTGCGTAATGTTTGCATGTTGCAATGACTTGCTTGTTCTTCGGGTCATCACCCTGAAGTCCTGGAACGAAATTGCGAATATAATTCTGCGCAACAAAAATATCCTCTCCCGAAGTCTCTTGCCCTCTTCCCCATCGAGGGTCTCTGAAACCATTGATATTCGGGGCCCAGAAATCGAATCCCGAAAATCCATTATTGGCAAACGCTCGCCCTTCTCTGCCGATTACTTCAGCTATTTTCCGAATCAAAGGATCATCGAAGGAAGCCGCTGTCAGGATCGGTGCAGGGAAGCTTGTGGCATAGCTGAAATTGGCTGGCTTGGAAGTGAATTGCACACCCGGTGCAGAGCCAACACCATGCGTTGCCTCGTTCCACCACTCGTACGAAGGCAAGCCGAGCCGGGCAGATCCGGCTGAAGCATCTACAAGATTGAGGAGCTTTTCCTCCAGGGTCAGGGATTCGACAAGTGAATTCACTCTCTCCGCAATACTTAACGAAGTATCACAGACAGAGTGACTGCAGAGGGGCTGTGTTTGGCACGCTGGCACGAACCCAGTGTTCGTTACGTCGCCTTGCGGATTCGAGATCTTATACAAAGACATGCTGAATAAAGTTCCAGAATGTTAGCACCTTGTTCTCTGTAAATCTTGCATTAAACTTACACATAGCCTCCTCCACACGAGCTGGATGGTTCAGTTGCGCATCTCGAGTTGCAGTTGCTGTCATTCGTCTTCGTCGCAGTACTGAAATCAGGCATACTCCCACAGAAACATTGTCTATTTGGGATCAGCTTGGAAAATTGTATAATCAACAGCAGCGCATTGGTTAAAAGACAGTTCTCTTACGTTCCAAACTCGATACCTCCATATACAAAGCCTCGTTGACCGCACCAGTTGGCACAGTACTGGGGCGTCATACCAATAGTGCTAAGTTTCGCTGCCGTCAAAATTGTCACTTTAGGATCTACGTAACATCCAACGTAGCTTTTTGATGCATAATAGGCTGTCGTTGGTGCTGAACTGTCAGTATTGCAGACAGATGATGCGTAGACGCCGGTGTGTACTGCTATGAGAGACAATAGTACTGTTGCACCAGCCCAAAAGGGCTGTGATGGTGCCATGATGATCTCTTTCCAATTTTCTGCACCGAGAAACACTGAAAACCGGTGGGCTTTACCCAGGGGAAATTTATCGGCTAATACCTCACTATATGATAAACAAACCTAAGTGATTGCTGAGTACTTAAATAGGTTGTACTGTATATAGGCATCCCTGCTCGGAGAATTTCATCATTGGTCCCTAGGCTAAATTACGGATTTTATACTTGGTCGGATATTCTCCGACTAGAAGATTGGGATGTTTCTACTTGACTCACCTTAGGATATCTCCACTCTGGAACGAGGGGTAGGGAACAATTTACTCAGAACGGGCTATCGGTCGTCCTTTCCGCATATTCCCACTACAGGCCCGGGACTATATTGAGACAACACCCATACCAGCGCATAAAACACCCGTGCAAATTCCGGTTGCCAAAGACTGAATTTTGAAAGCCTAATGGGAACTTCTAGGTCATCATTGTTTCGCAGAAGTTGATAACAACTTCGTAGCATGAAATTTAACTTGAATTAAAAACCCTGAATACCGCTAAGGGATGAGTGCATCCCGATCAAAGCACCCACGACCTAGAGGGAAGACAATTAAAAAGAGCGCCTAGGATAATATGAATGGTAGACTGTAATTGCCATGAGCATTTGCAGAAGTAGACTATTGGGAGGTGGAAAAGCTTCCCCACAAAATCTGACAACCCCGACGGCAGTTGCCAGAGACCCTTAGGAACCGCCGCGTCTGCGGGCATTTTCACAATAGTTGGAGATTGTCCGAGTACTTAAAGAAGATCGTCCCAAAGTTCTCTCAATCTAGCGCTAAATTTAAAAAAGCGCGGGCCAGTAAGCGACCTTTACAGTTAAGCAGCGGAAACCTGTGAGCAGCCGACTCTGTACCCCAACTTGTACCCTAGCCTAAACTATAGGGATCATGGAATCATGAAAAGTCAATCAATTCAATAGGCTAATAGAAACAGACCTAAATGGAAAGATCGTCTATTGTATTGCGATCATGAGTTATGCATGCTCGCCTTTAGCCTGAATTTCCAGGTGACAATACTAGTCTCAGAATTAACGGCTAAACGCCTGTGTTGCTGAAGAATTAGGGCTTCAACAATGTTGAACCTTGTCCACACGGATATTTTTCAGGTTCGACCAGCAAGAGAATCTTGGGTCCCCGCACATAGACCGGCAACAATATAAATACTACGGCCAAGATTTGGATAAGATGGCTGAAGTTTGGAAGGAAAGAGCCGAAATGAGATAGCTGCAGCCCTCTAGTAGCTTTCTCATATTTATACCCGGTTCGGAAAGATGCTCATAAAGCTTTTGCTCCTCGGTCTGGCCGGCCTCAGTTGTGCCGAATCGGTCAAGCCTCCCCTAAACCCACCACCACGGCCGTGGTCCACTTTTGCAGAGAATATCATCTACCAGCCCGACTCCCACCACACTATTCTCTATCCACGACAGGTTGAACTGTCCGATGGAAGTCTCCTCGCAACAGCCTCATATGGGGGCGATAAAACTCCATACTTCCCCATATTCCAAAGTGCAGACGGTGGCGCCACCTGGTCCTGGGTCTCCAACCTGACGGACCAGGTGAATGGATTGGGAATGTCCGCTCAGCCCGCACTCGCAGAGCTGCCATTTCCTGTTGGCAATTTCCCGGCCGGCACGGTTTTGGCCAGTGGAAACAGCTGGGGAAGTCAGAGCACGAACATCGATATCTATGCCAGTAAAGACAAAGGTCATACATGGAAGTTCGTGAGCAATGTGGCAAGAGGTAGCGGGCCGAATACTACCAATGGAAATCCATGCATTTGGGAGCCATTCATCGAGTGAGTTGTACTTTGCCCATGTTTTCTTTTTTTTTTTTTACGCGCGCTCAACGTTAGCATTCTAGATTTTTCAACCACACCATCGGCGTGTTCTACTCCGATCAGCGTGACCCACTGCATGGACAGAAGCTTGCTCACCAGGAATCGACGGACTTGAAATCCTGGGGACCCGTGGTAGACGATGTGGCCTATCTCAACTATACCGCTCGTCCTGGAATGACCACCATTTCCTACATTCCCCCTCTGAAGCAGTGGATTCTGGTGCACGAGTTCCCAGGAGGAGAGAGCTGGTCTGGGGCAGGCTATCCGGTCTACTATCGAATGTCCGAGAGTCCATTTGATTTCCGCTTTGCCTATGGTGTCCCCATTATGGTTAATGGAGTTCAGCCAAACGCATCTCCTTATGTGGTCTGGTCCTCCGCCGGCGGTGATAATGGAACCATCATCGTTAGCGACGCGGATCACAGCAGTGTTTTCACCAACCAAGCCGGCGGCCAGCCAGATCAGTGGGAAATGCATGGCACACCTCAAGCACCCGCATACAGCCGGAGCTTACATGTCTTTGACAAGTATCCTGATCACTTGATGATACTGGGTGCAGGAGTGTTTGAAGCAACGGAGAATCTGCCTCTTTGGCTCAGTGTTGTGAGCGTAACGGACACCTTGAAGAAGCCGACTGAGAGGTAGAGAAGCTTTTCAGGTCAGCAGAATCAGTCTGGCTGAGAATAGTTGGGGGAGCAGTCCGAGAACGACAGAGATTTGTAATCTATCTTCCTTCGTTGGAAGAAGAGATGGCTTGTCGAGAAAATCAGAGGCAGATATTGAGAAAAGTCTAATTACTTAGTAGATTCCAGTGCCATAGCGTAGGAGACGAATATTTGATGCACACTGTCATCTAAGCACAAGACCTTATTAAGGGTTCTTGGATTAATGACATCCAAACCAGGAGTCGTCGGTCGCGAGCTCTGTGGAGAACGTGATGCAGAAAGACAGGAACTAACTGAACTAGATCTACTGGTTTCAGTTAACTTATCGATCAAACTTGAATAATAATATTACTCTGGGTGTTCCTCAGCGGAGGAACGCAATATGGGAACGGGCATGGAAGTGATATTTGATAAATGATACTTATGTTTATGACGTGGAGACGGATAGCGGTAAAAGCGAGGTCTTTTGGAGCGTCCCTCCTCCGGATTTGCTAATGATTTTTTCGCTTCTGCCTTAGAAGTATACTTTCCCTTCCTCTGGCGCTTCGGACTAAGCTATATTGCCTTATTTCGCCTGTGGATATCATACGAATAGTGTCGGAGGCCACGTTCTTAGTCGAAAGTTTAGCTACATCCGCATATTGACTTTGCTCCAATGTTCGGATCTCTATTCATATGTTGCTCTTTAATGTGTTGCCTACACTACCGGCTGGTACGCGCCATGAAGGAATGGAGGACTTATCCAATTAAACTAACCTATGGTGACTGACAGTTCCTTATATGGACACCTTAGGGACCATGTATGATGTGACAGGTAGGGGGAAACATAAAGGTCACCCCACTAGAACATAAAGCTTTCAAAATGTCTATATTAAGTCTAGATAGATAAAGTGACTGATTAATACTCAATACCCTACCCAATCAGTTAGGGCTTAGCCTAACCTTGGTGTGGGGAACCCGTGCCATACAACTGATGTCATACAGCACCTTGCGCATTCCGCTTCTCATGCGATGGACCCGAGTCCTTCTGTAATCCCCATTCACCCTCCCCGATTCGTTTCCCATAAAACTTGACCAACAGACCCACCGTAACCGGACCGATAATCGTGTTCAACAAGATTGCCCAAACACCAGTGATGAATCCTTCCTCACTCACGTACTCCGTGGAGTTGTAACCAATTTCAATAATCAGAAGACCAATCTCGCCACGCGCAACCATTGCAGAACCAAGTAACAAGGCCGATAGCATTGTTGCGTTGTCCTTGGGAGTCTCCGCTGGTACATTCGGAGCAGAAGGAGACTCGTTAGATGCTTTGTCGTCTTTTGATTTGGTCCCTGGCAGATATTTCCAGATCGGGATCCATATCCCCACGACAAACTATACCAGTTAGTACTGCTATCTAATCAATATGTCCAAGAAACTTACCTTTGCAACAACCATCAGAAGCGTGTATAATATACCCCGCCAAATACGCTTCCCCGTCCACAGCTGCACAAACGGAATAGCGAATCCAATACTCGCAAAGAAAAGAGGCTCCATCAGATACGCCTGCACACCGAGGAGATAGCACTCGAAAGTATGAACAAAGGTGGGACTTTTATCCTCATTCTGCTCGCCTTCTTCACGACTCATAACCACAAATGGGCCATCGGGACGCTTGCTCGGTAGGTAAGAGAGAAATGTTCCGGCGAGGAATGCGCCAAAGAGAACCGATGTTCCCGTGTAAGCCGCAATGGAGATAAATGCACATAAGACGAGTGTCATTAATATGATGTTGGAGATGTGGTCGTAGCGGGCAAAGTGGTACTCGATGTATTTTCGGAATATCGGCGCAAAGAGAAATTTCGTTACGATAGGTGTGAGAATGGCCATTGCGACAGAGGCTACGATTGGGCGACCGATGATCCAGCCGAGGTTGGCGTCGCTGTTGGAGAGTTTTCCTAGATCAGAGATGATGCTGTTGATGTCGGGGTAAGTATGTATGGATTCTCCAGGTCTGGGTTACTGACCTAGAAAGCACGAGACCAACCACATCGTCAATAACTGCTGCGCTTACAAGAACTGAGCCCACGCGGGTTTGAGCTAGATCCACTGTTTTCGAAGCTGATGCTATTACCGCGAATGTAGTGCCTATCCAGGTTGTTAGAACTCTCGGGCAAGTTAGGGTTTGGCGCGAATGATTACCCAAAGAGGTAGCGGAAAGTGCCGCCCCAATGATGAACGTCTCGACCGCGCCTGATTGACGTTAGATCACTGTTCATAGAGCAATAGAAAGCTAGAAAATACCATATCCATATCCCAGGTATAGCAAAAGATAAGAAAGTCCGATAGGAAAACAAACTCCCGTGGCAGCGCCAATAGTGCTCACCACCAAATTCTCCTTCAAAAGATCGAGCCGGGCGCCAAGACCACCTGGAGATGATTGACGTCAGCACCACCGACACACGCCGCAGAACTTTCAAGTCACCGACCTTCAAAAATAATCAGGATCAAGCCAACATATCCCAGCGCCAGAAAAGTCTGTTGCCAGTTGGATTCAAGAATATTTGCTAGTGGTACACCATAAATGATGCCAACTGCAATCTGTCCAATAATTCCGGCGCGGAGAACTTTGGCGGAGACCCATTCTGCTAAGGACAGGAAGAAAAAGAATGAAATGATAATCAGGATTTCAACAACTGACTGGGTAAGCTTTGCGATCGTATGTAGTGCTAGGGATTAATTCCCAACAGTTGACACTTACTACCAGGCTCGTGGTACGGGAGGAAACCACCTGCCATCATGCGATGATGAGAGGATTAGGTCGGAGGAGCATGGAAGGACAAAAAACCTACAGCTGGAGAGGCGAAAGGGCCATCAAATAGTGAATTTCTCAACTACAGATGTTCCCAACTACAGTATTGGCATTAGCTAAGAATTCTCTTGAGTGTCAGTCAAGAAGGCGAAGATGATGATGGGTGGAGCAAGGCCAAGAGGCTTAAGTCTTGGGTTTTTCGTGAAGACCCTGAAAGAATGAATGTAACGGTCTGGACCCATGTGATACGCCCTCTATTCTGTGGGGGCTTGCTAGAATCAGTAAATGTGGAGCATATCCAGACATTGGCCGAGCTAATTTATAAGCTCAGGTGGCTGTGATGCTTGTCGTGCTTGGTCACCTTAAAGGAGTCGAGGGCCACAATACTAGGTTTGTGTTGGTGGTACAAGGGTGTGTTTCCTGGTAGAACATTGTTTATCCCTTCTAGCTTTTCGTGGTTCCTTTCTACACTGACGTACCCATGTCTATCTTTGCGGGAGAGAAGTCACTCGGCATATCCGCCCAAAAAGTCTGTGATCCACCTTTCGGCCGATCACTAAAGTCCGAGTCTCCACTGCTATATTGTACGTATACAGTAGTCCAAGCGAACTCATCAGTTCAGTCGTACCATCCCAGATGTGTGTTCAGCCTTATTACAATATCCTTGTACTCTCGACGCATCGAATCATACGCAACATGCTCAAATCCAGTCTTTTGACATACATGGGGTATAATATATTCCCATTTTCTTTATTGCAACCCCATCATGGCCTGAAGTTGATACTATGCAAGTATAGATTGCATGGCCTGAGCTGTGAATTGCAAGCCAGTGACCACAAACAATATTGGGCTGAAGACAGGAAATTGGACCCATTATACGGGCATTGCAGTCATGCATCGCTCAATAAGCAGGGAAATGCACTCTGTCCGCCCCCGGCAGAGCCCAGTATCATTCGGATCACAGGGCGCGCCTGACCACAATTATGGGATTCGGTCCAAGTGTTTGGATTGAATCCGGAAGGAGTTGTTTTGGAATTCGCGGTATATATCGGTTATACCACTGTTTCTTTGACATATGATGCATTTTTCATCCAGCCATAGCTGATACAAAATAATGAGCTGGAGTGAAGCACAACAACGAAGTAATCCCCATCCAACGGCCCTGATGATTGCCGAATGCTTTGTTGAATTTCGACAAAGGCCTTACATGTATTGTAGTCCATTATTCACTATGTGAATCCTCTTTCATGTTTAATTTGGCCTTGGCATATCAGTTTTGCTTTAGCCAGAACTTCCCGTCTTAAAATGCGCCACCTGAAAATCTCCTAACAATCTTCCGAGCTACAGCAGAATATAAATGTCAATCTGTCTGCCATGTGCGAGATTAATAGTAATTCTCACGCATTCTATCTAAGGGACCCAAGTCCTAGTGTCGAAAGGACAACATTCTACCATAATTACGATGGAGAGCACGTCTGCCAAAGACACAACATCCCTCTCCCCAATGGCGCAACCAGCAGCTGTGTCAAATAATTATTGGGCACAATTGCGCAAAAATCAACGTTTTCTCAAACGCTTGAAAATTGCGGTATTTGTTTTCCTAGCCCTGATTATTGTTGTAGGCGCAGTCCTCCTTATCCTATATTGCAAGAGCGTTATATTTGTTACTTCGTCTAAGGCAAAACCAAAAAGGCCTAAATAACTTTTAGCTCATACGCGGTCGTTGGAATGGCCTTTCTAAGTAGGAGGGGTATGCTATTATGGTTCCAGTCATTTTCGTTGAAAATATAGGGATTGAGCAGTTATACACTCACTATAACGCGGTGACGACATGGAGAATACCGTACCGCTCCATATATTTCATATGTCTTACCTCTTCGTGCAGGCATGCACTGAACATGGATATGGAAGCTTAAGAGCGTCGTGGCGCTTTTTTGATATTAATTTGCTATGCATGGTGACCTTTATGAGACCATAAGTTCGATTTGCCCCACGATGAGCAGGGTTTCCCTTTGACTTTATCCGATATTTTCTCTTCTTGCATCTTTCTTTCTCTTGTTGTGTTGTGATTGAGATTGTTTGAACTGCGAAGAAGTTAAATGCGTTGTTCATGGGTTCTACCAGAATGAGTGTTATTACATGACGCGAAGCCTTAGCAAAGAAGAGATCGGTGTTTGTGACTTGTGAAGCAGAAGGTACTTTTGTCGACCTTGACGTTGGATCCTTCTTTTTGTAATAGATCTTCCATACTCAGAAGTAGATATCAAGGGATCACCCAAGTCGCAGGTTTAAAGTAGATAGAGACGAGTGTTATAACCACTCGCCCACTGATATAAGACTCTGTTAAACACATTATGCTTTTTGGTCTCCTAAATTCTTTCCAAAGAAAAGCCTAATGAATTAGTCATTAATATGCAGGGACTTTCCTCATAACAAGTAACATATCTATTCCAGTGCCTTGTATATACCTGATAGATGGTACGCGACAAGACCATGCCTTGAAATGCACCTGACATTATCTCAAAATTCAGCCTTTCAGAAGAATCAGGCCACCAATAACGACATTGTCCAAATCTTTAGATTTTATCCAGTCCAGGTGCGTATCGCCAACTCCGCCCGGTTTTGGTGAAGTTTATCCTAGCATAGCGATATGATGTCAAAACTCGACGGCTTCGGGAAAAGGACCTTGCCCGGACAAGATACATATACCGATAGTTCGCTTTTAAACTGTCAAAAAAGGACCCGATTACCAGATTACCCCCTTAAAGAGACATCCTCACGCCTTCTCTGATCCGGTAAATAGGAATTGGTCATCAAACGACATGTCCCCCATCCAGTTTCACTCATCTCGAGATGTTCAGCTCCTTGATGATCTAGCACCTTATGACGATTGCACGAATAAGCGAGACCCTGACCTAACCCCGACCCCTAATTGGCCTCGCAACAATTACTTCCAACAAGGGAAGCCAGAGACCAAAACAAGCAAGGGAGGATTACTTCTTTCCGGGACAGAAGAACAAAATGATCCCCACGGAATCTATTTCCTGGAATTAGCCCAGAGTTTGAAGATCACTAACGGGGACTTTTTTGGGCAGAATGGACGGATTCTCCGCACCACGGATGGTGGCAAGAGTATCACTGCAGTCGTATCGGGTCTTAAGGCTCCTGATGGTATTGAAATATCGCGGTCCGCCGGTCGCATATTTTGGACTAACATGGGACTCGATACATCTGTTCAAGATGGGTCGGTGATGTCTGCAAATCTTAAAGGGAGCGATATAAAAACCATCATTCCCGAGGGTTCCGTCTACACGCCCAAGCAACTAACTCTCGACGATCAGAACCAGAAGCTTTACTTTTGCGATCGTGAGGGTATGAGTGTTCGCCGCTGTGATTTCGACGGTCAGAACCACGAGATTCTGGTCCTACGCGGAGATTGCGAAACAAGCGACAAAAAAGATCAAACACGGTGGTGCGTGGGTTTAGCTGTTGATGTCAAGAAAAGGAAATTCTATTGGACACAGAAAGGGCCGAACAGAGGAAACAAAGGAAGAATTTTCCGTGCGAACATCGATATGCCTTTTGGGGAAAATGCCCTTGATCGGTCAGATATCGAGACATTGTTTCTGGGACTGCCCGAGCCTATTGACCTGGACTTTGTGTCTGAGACGCAGACGCTTTACTGGACCGATCGTGGCGCGCATCCGTCTGGTAATACACTGAGTAAGGCATATGTTGGTGAAAAGGGTCCTCGGGTGCAGATTTTGGCAAGGCAATTTCATGAAGCTATTGGATTGAAAGTGGATTCAATCAACCAGCAAGTCTATGTCACCGACTTAGGCGGTAGTCTGTATCGGGTCAGTATGAATGGGGGTGGAAAGGAAGTTATACATCGTGGTGATGGTTTTTACACTGGCATCACTCTGGCCTAAGGTTTCTAGCTTAATAAAATTACAGTTCCAGGAATCGTATCCGGTAACATCTGTGTTGGATATGCGGCTTGAATATAATGAGCGTTGTGCTTCGGCATCTCATCCGCGGATACCGCTAACCTAAAAGGGCATCCCCGGGTCAAATCCCGCGGGACTCGTAGAGCAAATCCTCGGTATGCCGGCCATTTCCCTCGGACGCGCGGTACTGCTCCGTGGACCTTGTATATGCCTCAATTTGTTTGAGGATTTTCCCTGTATTGAATGATTAACAATTAGGAAAATAGAGATCATAGGGTAATGTGCTTTTCGGAGTCGGGTTGCCGAATTTCAAGGCTTCGGCATTCAAGATATATAAAGCTACTACCTCCCACGCATGATAACCCACTAACATCTGAATTTACACAATAACGTTTACATCACTCATCATCATATCTTATACTTAGTTATAAATTACTTCCGAGATGTCGACAATAACGAAGGATATTAAAACCGTTGCTGTAATCGGCACTGGCGTTATAGGAGCTAGTTGGACAGCTTTATTCCTGGCCCGAGGGCTTAAAGTCTTGGTGACGGATCCTGCTCCGGACGCAGAGAAAAACCTCGAGATATATTTGAAGGCACAATGGCCGACACTCACTCAAATAGGCCTCAGCGAAGAGGCTTCTATAAAAAATTACACATTTGTGGATTCACTGGATAATTATTTCGGCGAAATTGACTTCATACAAGAGGTACGGTCGCCGTTCACAAATACTGCCCATCCCCCAACTCACCATAATCAAGAACGGCCCCGAACGGCTAGAATTCAAACGGAACCTCTTCGCCTACCTTGACGAAAAAGCACGCCCGGAGGTAATAATCGCATCTTCGTCGTCCGGAATCCCATCGTCCGAATATGTGTCGGTGTGCCGCCACCACCCTGAACGGGTTCTGGTCGGGCACCCTTTCAACCCACCACATTTGATTCCTCTAGTGGAGGTCGTGCCACATACAGCGACAGATCGGGTGACTGTTGTCCCTCGAGCTATGGAATTCTACAAAAGCCTTGGCAAGAAGCCAGTTCTTATCCAAAAGGAGATCCCCGGATTCATTGCCAACAGGCTCCAAGCTGCTCTTTTGATGGAAGCATATAGTTTGGTGAGCAGAGGGGTTATCTCTGCGGCAGATTTAGGTAGGATCCTATACTCCCTCCTGGCTTTATTCAACTGAGTCTGGTCGGTATAACGATATCGCTAACGAATTTGTAAAAGATGCGACTGTGACGTCTTCATTGGGTCTACGGTGGGCGCTCAATGGACCTTTCGCCCTGAATGCTATGGCAGGAGGCGGGAGCTTTCAGCATTTCTTGGAGCATCTTGGTCCCGCTGCTAAATCGTGGCATGATGACATGCATAAACATACGCTCGGAATGACGGCTGAAGATATTAAGGAATTAAGTAGAACGGTTGAACCTATGGTGCAGGCAACTGATCTTGATAATTTACAGAAGGAGAGGGATCAGGTACTCTTGAAACTTATGGATATGAAGTCCAACTCACCTCTTTTAGAATAAAGCTGAGCAGGACAGACAGATGGATTGGTGGAAGATTAACATATGTATATCATAAAGCTTAACTTGAAAGGTGAACATCCTCACTTTGTACGGTTGCAATCTATTACAAGGTGTGATTGTGTTATGTAGGTGTCAACGGGAAAAGATTTAGAACGAATTCATTCATCGGACTCTGCATCCACATGACATATCTCTGTATTTCTTGCTTGCTAGATTCAAGGGATATACTAGGTGCCTGAGAAAACCTTACACTTGAAGGACGGAGCCGAACGGAGTTGATTTAGACGATCCTGATAGAATGCTCCCAGATACGAAGCTGCATAGAGCACAACCACCACCTAAGATAGGATAGCAAATTCCTAACCCCTCGCTGTCGCTTGGCTAGTTCTACGTGTTGGTGGAGACATTGTCCAACATTCCACAATGCCAATTGAAACTGGGAACCGGCGTTTGTGAAGCAAGGGATGCACCGGGACTTAACTTGCCGATATCCACACCACATGAACACCAGGACCTCACCGAGTATAGCTATAGATAATTGTATATTCAATCAAGACTATGAATGAGAACATGGCAAGAAGGAAAAACGGGTTCGGATAAATTAATTGGACTACACCTTATGTAGCAGTTGTACGTGGTGTATGATAAAGATAGGTAGTGGTGGAACACGCTCTGTAAACACTCGGCTCGTATTTATAGGATTGCTGTATCGATTGTATTATGTTTAACATTGTCAAACACCTGGTAGTACAAGAAAGGTTATCTGATTTGCATTAGATAGGCGAAATGATGTTTTAATGAATGTTTTGACCAGAATGTGGACGGCAGGGACGAGGTTCCGCTGGAATGCAGCATAGCTGAAGCCACAAAACATGGCAACATGGCAACAATGGAATTTTGTTTACAATGTGACTTGAAAATACCGAGCATAAATTAGCCTTCATACCCATATTTTGTCTCACTATTGTTTTGTTTCATTCATCACAGGCCGAAAAATTGTCTATACCCTCAAGATGAAATCCTACAACCTCCTCAGCTGTTTAGCTATCCTCGGACCTGCGGCCTTGACGGTTGCACAAACCCTCAACATCGTTGCACATCAAGATGATGATCTACTTTTCATGTCCCCAGACGTTCTCAACGACGTACGGTCAGGTCGTGCCGTCCGCACTGTCTTCCTCACAGCGGGCGACGCAGGCCAGGGCGAGGACTACTGGACAAGCCGTCAAGCCGGCTCCCTGGCGACTTATGCACTGATAGCAGGTGTTGCCAATGAATGGAACGAAGGCGACGCAGGCATCGAGGGATTCGACATCCCAGTATACGAACTGGCAGCTCAACCACAAATTGAACTTGCTTTCATGCATATCCCTGACGGCAACGGAGACGGCTCCGGTTTCGCTTCCACAGGAAGTGTTAGTCTTCAGAAGCTCTGGGAGGGAACTATCGACCAGATCGGCACGGTCGATGCCTCCGGCACCACCTATACAAGGCAGCAACTGCTTGACGTCCTTTCTGATATTATTGAGAATTTCAGCCCCGACCGTATCAACACTCTGGACTATGTCAACGATCTCGGTGACGGCGACCATAGCGATCACCACACTACTGGGTTCTTTGCCGATCACGCATCGCAGGCTGCAGATAATGATGCGGACTTCTTCGGCTACATGGGTTATCCTGTCTCCTCTCTGCCCGCTAACCTCAATGCCGACCAAATTGCGGACAAGAAGAACATCTTTTATTTCTATGCCGGCTATGATTCTGGTACTTGTAATAGCGATGCTGCTTGCGCTGGCAGACCGGAGCTTGCTTGGCTGGAGCGGCAGTATCAGGTATGATTCGAGATCTAATGACGGGAATGCGAGACGGGAATTTGAACTGAGAGCTACCAAGCTCTCTTTGATGTATCGCGGACACACCTTTCCTTTCTTCGTCCATAGTGGACACTTATGATTGTTGAAGCATAACATTGTATGTAGCGAATTTAATGACACTAAAATCAGTGGGCCCAACAGTCTGCTCTCACTTATAATCCAATCAAGAATACCTCTCTTACATATTTTTCACCCGTGAACAAGGCTCTAAAGTACAGGATGGGTGATTCTGATAGGTATGCAGTTTCAACGGTTTATCCCCATGGGTCCCTATCTCCAGCGAAGAGTGACTCCTTAGGTCCAAATCAACTTCCGACTGTTAATGAGGAGTGTGGTTTGAGACACGAGAGACTTAGCAAACTAGTTGACAAAGATAAGAGAAGACAAGAGGAGCTATTCTATTAAAGTTACAGATACCCAGAAATCAGGCCAAACTCAGCACCTTTTATGTATGATACAAGCACTAGTCCATAAGCACAACACAGGCAAAACAATCCCACAAGTGCGGGGAGAAATTACAATACCCAAAGCGAAACCCAATAACAACCAAGCTCACCACCCCCGAAAACCAAACACAAGTCCACTCACCAACGAATGATGTTCCTATCGACAACAGGCGAGGTCACCACACGACGTGCCACAATGAAGTTGACATTTTGTGACCAAGCCCCCTGGACTTGACTTTCTTCCTCCCTCCTGCTCAGACTGACCGATTGTCACTCGAACTGTGCCACCTTCCAACGGCGCTTGGGTAGAATCTTGTCCGGTTGATACTAATTCCGGTTGGAGTGTAGCGGAGTGAATTCCATATGCATGGAAACACTCGTTTATCGTTTGTGCGATCCTACCAAAGTCAAGGTTTTTATCATCCGATAACACAATATGTGCTGATGCCAATGCCTTGGATTGATTCAACCGCCAAATATGCAGCTCATGGATGGCGAGGACGCCAGGAATCTATTACATCGATCAATACATGGCCTTGGAGCAGGGAGAAGAATAGGGATGCATCGCGTGCCTGTTCAATGTCATGCGTCACATCGTCAACTTCGAGGCTGTCGGGGGCACTTTGAAGTAGAATGACGCCGGCCCGTTTTACTGTTCCAAGGTCAGTTACGTGCACTTCGTGATGTCCGTGTGTAGACTATATGGAATGCTTACTCAGGGGGATAGATGATGCGAAAATCATAATAGCAATTCCCATACTGACGGCTGGATCGGCGTAGAATCTTCCACTGTAGTGGGTGAGCCAGATTACTAGGGCTGCGATGATGACGCCTAGATTGTTACCAGCGTCGCCCATTACGTGTATTAGCACGCCCATCATGGCAAGGTCGCGATGAGAGCCCTTGGAGTTGACCGAGAGATTCACATGATGCTTGTGGGAGAGATGCTACAAAAGTCAGCATCTTCATGATGAGACGACAGCAGGACTGGGTACTAGTTTGATATATACCTTTTCATTCGCCAGAGCAATGGAAGCAGAATGATCACTACCATGCTCAGCATGATGATGGTCATGGCTGTGGCTGTGATCGTGGCTGTCTTCGTGATTGTCTCCATGGCCATGATCATGGCCGTGAGCGTGGTCATGATCTGAAGCAGTATCGTAGTCAATTATATCATAGTTCTTGTACTGAGGGTCGGGAAAGAAACTCACCATGCAGGAATAGAACGCTGATTATATTCAAACCGAAGCCAACGCAGCCCAAAATCAAAACTAATTTTGGTTGCTCAATACCTGTAGAACCAATACTGTTAGAGCGGACCTACAAAAGCAATTGTAACGTAGGGGCCCACGAACGCTCCAGTGAGATAAACCGTTCAATTGATTGTAGAAAGACACTAATGCCCAGACCAAAAAGTAAGACGCCGTTGAAGAAGGCACCTAGCAACTGGGCCCGTTGCCATCCGTATGTGAACGATTTTGGAGGGTTGTGTTTTTCGGCAACCTAATCCAGATTAATATAGTCATCATCCAGAGTGGAGTCGGTTCAGGACGCATACAATTGCAGCAATAAGGGCAATGATAAATCCAACTAGGTCATTTAGCTAGGTCGCTTCAGTTAGTATCAGTGTGGGAACATAATCGGTTACGACAACATACGTAGTGGAAAGCGTCCGCCACTAGGGCCAACGAATGTGTGTAGAAGCCGACTGGTGATGATCACGTTAACTTCATCAGTCAAAGGCCGGTTGAACCAGGGAGGAGGTTTTGTCTCAATCTTACCAGATATCTCGGCGATAAAAAAGCACATTGAGATGCCAATCACAGCGCTAAGGCGCTGGATTCGAGTAGGTTTGAACGCCATGCCTGAAGCAGCTCCACTCTGCTCTTCAGAGTTCCGCTTTAATTTATTTACAAAGAAATTAGTACAGTTTTTATGTCTGGCAAAAATATACTATATATGCAAGATATGGTCTGCGCTAGCCTCGAGATCTGAACGCTTGGTGGCGAGCCGGTATTTACGGCATAAATTCCCGGGGATGGCTTTTACCCGATTGGGAATGTATTATCCCCGACCTCCGATGCGACCTTTGGATTTGCAACCCTAAGAATGGGGGTTTCAATCAGACCCCAGCAACTTTTTAATCATGAATATAGGCAGGACCCCCTTGACAGGAGGTCTCTGCTCATGGTTAATCAAGTTTTCTAGCATCGCTTTTTGCAAGCACAATCCTATCTTGCATACGTGATAGTGGTAGCCCGGCCAGGGCTTTGTGATATAATGTGAGATGGGTCAGTTAAGAACGATACATATGACTGGCAGCGCATTACATACTATTCCTACCAGTAATCCAACTATGCTGTGCTTCTAAAAAATGACATCAGCAAGATAATTTAAGTCCTCGTTGTCAGCACGACGCGTGCGCAATGAGTGCCAGCTGCATGATATTATGTGCCGATGAGTTCATGTATTGACCACAACCGATGATCCTATGTAATCAGTAGATCAAGCCTATCTGTTTTTAATGTATTTCTGCAGATTCATTATGTGGCCTTGAACCCCAAGTAGAAGACCGTATGTGCACAGCGTTATCTGCAGAGAATTGCGAATGCTACAAATCTGTCTCCAAGCGAGGTGTTCTATTATGTGCAGCCAGGTTATGAAAAGATTAGCGACTCAATATTGATAATCATCGCTGGTATGGATTGAAATGCTCCCACTACTCTGCGTGCCGCTTTGTCTGTGTATATCTATACGTGTCCCCTGCATTCTAAGATTGCGAGAGGTTGAAGACGAGTCTAAGAGCTACTAAAGTATGGATGGATACTGAGAACAGTTACTGGTGGCATGTTTTCTCGATGACAGAATATTCAGATTCTATTGGCACACGATCTAAAAGAAGAAAATGGAATACAAATCACTGAAAAGCAATACCAGAAATCTGACTACAGTCTATTTGCAACATGAGGTCTGCACGCAAACATCGGGACAGTCGGACGTATTGAGCCGGCAGAAACAGGACGACTTCACGGGAACATCAGCGACAGCAAGTGCAACTTTCACCAGAGGTTCCAACAGCTTGGCTTCATCGTCCCGACCGAGGCGGACTAAACATTCATAATATCCCTGAAGAGCCCACACATTATTCGGATGGTGATGTGCACGCCCCAAAGTGGAGTTGAGGCCGAGATCAGCCTTGTAAGCTTCAGCGGCAGCTTCCACGTTGCCCTGCTCTAGCGATAGGGCTGCAAATGCATGACGCACTGGCTGCATCCAGCCCCAGGGCTCTGCATAATTCAGGCCGTCGTCTAGGTCGATGGCCCGTCGCATGGTTTCGAAGGCTTTGTCGTGTTCTCCCCGACGATACTCAATCTCACCATCTAGCATGGCAACGCCGACATTGAGGATATCGACAGAGCGGTTGGGGTGAGTCCGGCGGGTATTGGGAACCCGCTCAATCGCAGCGACATATAGCTTCCGTTCCTGCTCTGCTTCAGAGACACGGTTCGTGGCTGCATACGCGATACCCTTGGCATAATGAATAGTAGCGGTAGTCACGCAGTACAGCTCCCGATCCTCCGGAAGAGCCATGGAAATAATCTCACACCACATTCCGAAGCGCACCATAACGTGTAGGCGCACCGCAACGAACCCTTCTAACCAATCTGCCAGGTTTGGAGACTTGGACCGCAACACCTCAGCCGAAATTGTTCTTTCCATGCGAGCCGCAGTCTCCAGGGCGATCTGTTTCTTCCCGGCATGCATGGCCGCATAGATGAGCGAGTGGTAGTTGTGCAACCGATATAGACTGTAGAGGTTGTTGGGCCCCTCTACCGCCAAAAACCTTTCATCAGCCAGGGTGGCGTGGATGTTGGATGAAATCGCTCGCCGATAATCACCGACCAGGACGTCAAGGTGAGTCGGCATGTGGTAGGTATGGCCTGCATCTGGAACAAGATCGCGCAGATGCTCGGCTGCGGAAAGGCCACGCTCAGGGTTGGGGGACATCTCCGACAAATGGATGTACATGTGCAGAAGTCCCGGGTGTTTCATGGCATTTTCGAGCTCCAGCCCTGTTTCAAGAACATCCTTGCTCTCTAAGGTGAATGCTCCCTTGGTGGGCTGGCCCGTGACCACATCATAAAGCCTCCACGGCGTCAAAGTCATCATGGAATCTGCGTAGAGTGTGATAACATCCAGGTCGTCGCCAAAATCCCTGTACACGCCTTCCATTGCACGCATATATTGTCGACTGTGGCAAACAAGCTCAGGAAATGGTACAATCTCTTTGGTCTGAAAGCGAACTGCGATAGCATTGATCAGGGCCTGTTCTACCGGCGTTGCGGAGGCACTGAGAGATTTAGCAGTCTGGGCGGCCTCATAGGTTGCCGGTAGAGTGGCCGCGAGAGTGCCTTCATCAAATAGATCCCACGGGTGGTTGTAATTTGGGCCTAGAGCATATGCGATGCCCCAATAGGCCATGGCGCACTTAGGGTCATATGCGATGGCCTTTTGGAAGCATTTGACACCTTCCATATGATTGAACGCATAAACCCAAGTCAAGCCCCGGTTGAACCAGATCTGAGAGGCGGGGCTGGACGTGGTGATCTTGCGCCCGAATGCTCCCAGGTCGAAGGGATACTCCACGGACTCGGGAGAAGGTGACATTTTACCGTTGTTGATCTTATTTTTTTGCACAGTTAGGGCACAGAAATGAGAAGGTATTGGTGGTTAGTGGTCGTTTGTAGCACGTATGATGGAACAAAAAAATATGATGTAGAGAACGCTTTGTTCAGATTTCACTTGTCAGTTTCTTATACCACCTCTAGTCCAGTTCCATAAATCCGTAGTGGCTATCTGTCGACCCCTATCCCGACTCCAGACGATGTTGATCAGTCCCACTGTGGATTACCGCCGGAGAAAATAATTTCTCGATTAGGAAATGAGCAGCCCCAACGCTGCGGCGTACATTTTTCTCTACTAACAAGACTCTTGCTTCTCTTGCCACCTGCAACCACATAATATGACGTTAATTTGAAAGTCCGAAGCGGATACTTCGGTCTTCATGATGCTAGGAGATATCGGCTCAATTGAGGCCTAGCAACGTGTGGTCTGAAGATCTAAATGTATACTAATTGATGTAATGTCTAGTGGCCCACGGTAGGACATGTAGCGGGAGTAAACCTGCCGTAGACACAGATAAATACAAAGACGAAAAAAAAAAAAAAAAAAAAACATTAATTAGAAACCATATCTCTATATGTACATCTTTGCATCATAACAAATGTAACAAGTCCAAGCAGCCTAGTGACAGGGAACAGAAGAATGGGATTTGCTGTCTGTATGAGAATCAACCATTCTACGCCTCACTTCGAGAATTTGCTCCGTCGTCTGATTGAGGCTCCGAAACAATAAAAAACGATTGGGACGGGCACGAGTGCCACACACAGAAATCCCAGCAGAGAGGTAGCCCAGGGAACACCTATTTACAAGTGTTAAATATGTAGCATTATATAGACAGGCTTTATAACTCACCAAGTTTGGAATACATTCCGGCAGCAAACATTGTAAAGCCGGCGCCAACCCATGATCGAAGAAATACATTGGCCGCAACTGCACTGTTAGCGTTCGTTGTATAGACGTCGATAATATAGTTCAGCCCTTGTAGGAAGATTAAGAACAGTCCCATCCCAATAAGCACACCAGAAACAACCTGCGGGACCCAGGATATCTCGGGATTGCTCGTCCAGGCAAACCAAAAGAGGCCAACCGGTAGCAGGACAGCGCCCAGAAACATAAGAATCAATGCTTCCTCGGGCGCCACAGACCCGCCCTGAGCCAGTAATCTAGAGTACCGTGTTTTGAGATAGACAATAATGATCACGGTGCTCAGCACGACACCAATTAACAGGCTGGTGAACGGCAGGCCGGCGATGCCCAAGTTCCAATTCCGCTCGTCTCGAAATGAGATCGGGTAGGCTTCTAGGAAAAGATACAAAATTCCATAGATGATGGACATGTAGACAGTGACCAAAAGGAGAATGGGCTCCACCACCAGCATGACAAGAGGCCGGATGAGGTAAGTTCGACAAATCACTTTGAAGTCAACGAGGGCTTCTTCAGACTTGGCATGAAGGGCCCAATTGCATGTCTGACACCGTAACAACTTTGCTCGGCGCTCAAGGATGACGGGTCCATACGACTCTGGGACAAATAGGAGATATATCAACCACAGCACGAGAGCTGGAATGAGGGTCAGCCAGGACGTCCAACGCCAGCCGATCGAGTCAACTACAAAGCCGCCCACAATGGGCCCTGCAAAAGAACCGATAAAAGTGGCAGCAGCAAAGACTGAAACCCCTACGCCACGATCGATGAGAGGAAATATGTCGGTCAGAGCACCACCCACAATGGCTAGGCCGCTCGAGCCTCCAATCCCAACGAGGAACCGACAGATCATGATGGTCTGCAAGTTATTGGCGAGCGCGACAGGAATATTGAACAGTGCAAATATGATAAATCCTGCCAAGAGGGGGATCTTGCGACCGAATAACTCGGACATAGGGCCAAAGACTAAAGGTCCCATAGCAAGTCCCTTTGAGTGGTCAGCAGACAGGATCAAAGACACTCGAAGCTATTGAACCTACCAAGACAGTGAGCGCTGTTGCCAGTGACATAACGTGAGTGGGTACTTTGAACTCCTTTGCGGTAACTCCATTCGCGGTACTGAAGACAGAGCTAGCAAATGTGACAACCATCGCCATTAATCCGTATATTGCAGTGATGAACCACTTATGCGTGGGACTGAGATTTTGGGGATGTTGGGGATCATCCTGGCCAGTCCATTCCACAATACAGCCTTTCTCCTGATCACCACTAAGGACCACTAGGTTGGGCTCTTCACACGGGGGTGGGTTCCCTTCTCGAGCGTTCACCATGATAGTAAACGGGGTATTACACAGCTTTGTGGCTTGAAATGGAACAGAAATTAAGAAGAAGCTATTGCCTTATTGCTATCACGGCTATGGGGAATGATCGGCGATTATGGTGCCACCATTCCAAGACCCTAGATTATATAAAGGTAGGTAGCCCTGGATGGCTAGTCGGAATATCGGCTTAGATGACGACCTCTCCGGTATCTCCGTTCGGGGACGACTGTGCCATCGGATTCGGCACGCTTTTTTCATACTCAAATATGCTCAGCTACATGCTCAGCTGAATGAATGAAAATTTAAGTTTACATCTACGGGGTTAATATGTTTCTCAAAGAGGACAGAATTGACCCTTAATATTATGAGTGCAATGTCCGAAGGCTAGATGTATTGTTTAAATCTCCTGGGGAGTAAGTAACAGCAGGTGCAACATTCTTGTATAAGAAGACATACTAAGGTAGACTGAATAACAGAATGAGTAGAATTAGGCATAAGATAACACACAACGAAAGAGGACTTTGAACAGGGTAGTAAGTAGGCCATGTAAACTAGAAAACCATTAAACAATTCCCGACATTTATAATCTTCGATAAACCAAGGAAGTTCACCTTGCAGGGAGACTATTTCTTAGCTCTGAAGCCAACTAATGGGAGTCGGGTCCTCATGAGAAGACTACTGCAAATAACGCTAACACTGCTCAACGCCATTGCAAGACTAGCCCAGATGGGATCCAACCGCACATGAGTACCATTGCTGACAATGGGATAGAACACACCAGCGGCGACTGGAACGGCAACACAGTTATACACCAAAGCCCAGCCAAAGTTGAACTTGATCCGTCGAAAGACGAGGCGACTAAGGTCGATCAAGGTGAGAAGAGAGGTAAGACCGGAGGAGACCAGAACAAATTCTGCAGACGAGATGGCGATATCCGAGCCAGACCCAATGGCGATACCCACATCAGCTACGGTCAAAGCAGGTGAGTCATTAATTCCATCACCAACCATGGCGACGATCGCTCGGCCGGACTGGGGCTCCTTGCTCCACTTGAACCAACTCGAACGAGGAGGTTTTTGTAGAGTTTTCTGCAGGTATTGTACTTTCTCGGCCTTTTGCTCTGGCAACACACCGGCGATAATGTTGTCCGGCGGGATTCCTACCATCTTTCCCACTGCGTGAGCAGTTGTCGGATTGTCTCCGGAAAGCATCCAGACCGCGACGCCCCGATTCCGCAAGGCTTGAAGGGTGTCCTTAGCCTCGGGTCGAATGGGGTCGGCTACAGCCAGCATCAACGAGAGCTTCCAAGGAACGTGCGCCGTGTGCCCTGGTGTCGGACGGCTTCTGGTGCCGACTAGAACTACCGACTTTGCCTGGCGCTTCCAGGCAGTCAACGTTTCATCATTGCTCGAGGATATCACAACCTTATGATCCTTCATCAGAGCTTCATTGCCTACAATGACCTCAAGCACAAGTCCATTTTGGCCCTGAGGAAAGAAGGAGCCTTTCATGCCCTTTCCTGGAATCTCGTCCACAGTAGTAGCTTTTAGGGCCGCTGGCTGTTGGGAGTTGGCAAAGGACACCATCGCCCTAGCGATTGGGTGACTACTGTTCTGTTCCAGGTCTAACACCGCACCCCAGACTTTGTCGGCATCTTCACTGTTGGCTACTTCATGATCAGTGATGGCCGGTTCACCTCCCTCAGTTATGGTACCTGTTTTATCAAAAACGATACAATCGAGTTGGCTAGCTTCCTGGAACGCTTCACCACCTCCCTTGACCAGAATACCATTCTGGGCAGCGAGTCCGCCACCAACAAATAGCGCTGTTGGAGCAGCAAGCCCAATTCCACAGGGGCAAGCGACAACGAACACCGATATAGCGAATTGCAACGACCAGAACTCCCAGCCTCCGGGATTGCCATTCATCCATGATTCAGGCAATCGGCCCGAGAGGCCAAGGGCCAGCCATACAATCCAGTCCAAAATAGCAATCAGCGTAATGATCGGCACGAAGACGCCAGTGATCAGGTCAGCTGTGCGCTCGATGGGTGCTCGGCGAATTTGACCTTCACGAACGGCGCCAATAATCTGATCCAACATCGAATCCCCAGAAAGTCCAGTGATACGCACCGAAACTGGGCCTGCCTGATTGATAGTGCCCGAGAATACATCATCGCCGATCGACTTGGTGACCGGTCGAGATTCTCCGGTCAAGCTGGATTCGTCGAACTGAGATTCTCCTTCTACCACCGTCCCGTCATACGGTGGGGAAGCACCATTCGACACACGTACCACGTCCCCAAATTCCAACTGATCGGCTGGAACCGCGTGAGACTTCGTGGATTCCTCCCCATCCCGCTCTACGAGGAGAGCTTCCTTAGGGCGCAACTTGCCAAGGAGACCTACGGCATCTCCAGCCTTAGCTTTGCTATAAGCCTCTAGCAATCGGCCGATCATTAGAAACATCGTCAGGAACACCACCGAGTCGAAAAATGTTCCGTCACTGGACGCTTTGTGGCCGTCCCTCGGCTGTGTGGCATCAATTGCCAATATGGCGATGGACGAGAAATAAGCAATTGACGTTCCCAGCGACATGAGCATATCCATACTTCCAAAACGATAGAAACGCCGCAGGATCGGGGTCTTGCTCCCCGGTCTCCATAAGGCTTTAAGCTCGGTGATCATACGGCGGTGGAACAGGTCAGCAGCGAAGAAGTAGACGGGGGTTGCCATGATGAACAGTGCCCATTCAATGCGTGAGACCTGACCAGCCCACATGGGCTCTTCGAGGTACATGCGACCGGGGTTGTCCTTTGAGACTAGGGACATGTAAACAATCCCGATGATGAATGTTGGTATGGCTGCCAGCACGGACAGGGCTAGGCGACGTGCAATTTGCCACTGATGTCGACGATGCATTGCTTGCGAACGTTCCTCCAGACTGGGCGGATGGTAAATGGAAACGGTGAAGGACTTGTCCACATCGGCGATGGTCCGGATAATATGACGGATGGTAAAATTGGGTGCGTCGGGAAGATAATTTACCGTGAGCCTGTGTTGAGTTTTGCTAGGCGGTTCTGTCACATCCAGCCGGCCTGAATATACCTCCAGAGCATCCACAATGCGCTGAGGGCAATGTGCACAGTGCATTCCGTCCACTTGGATTATGACTGATCGTTTCGTGCTACGTTGTTCCGCCGGCGCCCTACTCTCCAGGTCACTAAGAGTGGCCGTATAACCCAGACCCTTGATGATTTTTGCAATCTCGTCGAGGTGTTTTTTTCCTTGGAATTCCACTGTCGCACTGCCCGAGACCAGGTTCACGTCCACCTTGGTAATCCAATCGTGGTGGTTCAGAGTGTCAGTCACTTTGCCAACGCAGGAGCTGCAGGTCATGCCGCCGATGACATAGGAAGCTCGCCAAGCATCTGCCATTCCAGATGGCTTGGATGGTTTCTGAGGTTGCAGCTCCTCCGTGTCGATCAGTTCCACAGTGTATCCCGAGCTTCTGATAATCTCAAGCACTTCGTCCACATGTGAGTTATCCATGAGCATTATCACGGCACTACTAGTCAGAAGATTGACATCGGCCGATAAGATCCACGGTCGGTTTTGCAATGCACCCGTAATCTTTCCCACACATGAGCTGCAGGACATTCCACTGATAGATAGTGTAATGCGTGTTCGACTGCCTGTAAGCCGATCGTCCATAACGGATGTGAGGCTGTTGTCCGCAGAGCTGACGGACGCGGTTGCTGCAGTGATCTCCTTCTTCATAGCCCGTTCATCATCACTAGTACTGGATGATAATGCGGCGAGTTGCGTGGCACATTCATCGCACTTTTGGATATGTACTTTCGATTGAGAAAGAACATCATGCTTTCCAGAGCTAGCGTGACGGGGTCGGTGTTGCTGAGCTTCAAGGTCGCCTTCATCCGAGTCATTGGCAATGACACTGTCAATTTCAAATGCAACCTCTTCGAGGGCGCGTACGATCCGGGAGCTGCTGAGTGTAATGGGGTGCGTGACTCTGATTTCATGGGACACGATGGAGGTCGAGATGGAAAAGGGGGAGGGTGTGAGAGCTGACAAAGTCTCTTCAACATTAATCACGCACGAAGGGCAATGCAGGTTGTTCACCAGGATAGTGGTGAGCCTCGATTGAGACGGCAACGCCTGGTTTTCCGTGACCATTCTGAAAGAGTCGATGGGTTGCGAGCAATGAATACGATCTGGTAGAGTGGAGGGCGTAGGCTGTTATATACCTAGATTTCCTGGGATTTCGGAGTCAGCCGAAGAACTGATTGCAAATCCAGGGCAGGTTCTAGTTGGTACGACAAATTCTCAGCACGCTAGCGCAGTAATCGCGCATCATTGGGGATCTGCAACGGAAGTTTGGTTCAAGAATCGGAGGTCAGAACCATGGTTGGTCCTCATTCCCCGAGTGGCGGTTGCGCCATTTGTGCGCGAAGTCAAAAAATGGTCCACTAATGGAGAGGGCTCCGAGGACGATCGTTGGGTTGTGGACGGTGACTAATTGGCTATCGTTGTTGTATGTGACGGCCTAATATTCTTTCCTACACACGAGACCTATGCCAAGTGCGTTGTATTGGGACATATTTACGAGATCTACGCGCACACGTCGGCTTTACACGCCCCTACATTTCTTGGCAAAAAATAACACCTTGTATTTACTCAATATCTATCATCGATTTGCTATCCATTATGTGACCAACTGTTGTTTGTGGCGCTCTCTTCTTTCAAGGCTTCATCTGGTGGCCACCCCACCTTGGCTTAGATAGACTGAGGGATCCCATCAGATTCGCCACTGTGAACTTCTTTGCCCTTTTCCTTGATTGCTGCGAGCACGGCATCATATGAAAGCGAGGTTTCAGCGACGACGGAAACGGTTTGCTGTTCAAGGCTGATATCGAGGGACTTAAGTCCTATTGATAGACGTACTCCATTAGTATAACGCATGACGGGCGTGACGTAATGACAGGGCTATGTGCGCTATGTACATTTTACACTATGGGTTGTATTGGTAGTTACTTACCGCTCAGTGGTCCAAGAGCCTCCTTGATGGCATTGGAACAGCCGGAACATCCCATCTTGACGTTGAACTTGTACTGATGATCGGACATTGTGTGTGGTCGTAGTCGTCTTAGGACTTTGGTGAAGAGTTGAGGGAAGTTGGTCACAGGGAAATGTATGTTGAAATGCAGGAGTTAATCAAAGAGTCTGTAATTGATATCCGATCTGGTGAATGGGGAGCAGAATTATCTCTCTACTTATAAGCCGAGGAATACCTCTATCCGGTGAGGCATTTGTGCCCAGAGCCCGAACCGTTGGCTTGGCTTCGTCCCTCCGAGCACCCGCGGAGCCTTCTCAGAGCGAAGTGTATGGTGCTGCCAACCTGGCTGTGGGTCTTTCTCTGCGCCTTTTTCGCGTAATTTTATCCCCAAGGAAGGATCGTCAGCTTACAAATAGCCCAATATAACCACCGTCCTCCTAGGTACATCCCGCTCCGCAACAATCCATCTTAAACATGCAAAAGAGCTGTCAAATATTTCGAGCCGGGCATCGCCTAGGCCTTGTTCCATTGCCTGCTTTTCGACCATTGCAATACTTTTCGAGCTTCTCGCCGGCCCAAGCCTGCCATTCCAACCAAGTGAAAGAACAACCCCAGCGTCAGACTTCAACGAAAGATGCCTCGACTACAACCACAATTAGGCCATCACTATCCATGTGGCAACTAAAATTCTGGAACTGCCGGTCAACATGGAAACGGGCAGGGATTAATACACTGCGGTGCCTTGTTGGCTGCACCCTTGGTGACTTCTCCGCCCTGTGGATGCTGCAAACCTACTATCCCGCCCTTGGGATGGGCAAAATCATGGCTGCATCTAGTAAGTTGGCTTGTTCTCTGCAAGAACAACGACAATTCAATTCTAATGGCCGGTTCTACACAGTGGCGTCCGGCATCACTACATCGATCATTCTTGAGACCGTACTTCTTCGGCGGGGGGTTGACCAACTCTCTTGGCCAATGGCAGCGCGCACAGCAATGGGTATGAGCATGGTCTCGATGGTGGCAATGGAGGCAGCCGAGAATATCGTTGATTACCATCTCACTGGGGGCGTAGTGGCTCTTGGAGATCCTAATTTCTGGGTGGCGGCTGCAGTGTCGATGACTGCTGGCTATCTTGCTCCGTTGCCGTATAATTACCATCGTCTGAAGAAGTATGGAAAGGCCTGTCATTGAAATAGTTTTATTCTGTTTGTAGCTTGACATTAGTATGTATTATAAAACTTATATCATGGTTCCAAAAGGGATCGTTATGTTTCATGTGTGTGCGTTTTCTACTATGGCAAGCCGTGTGACTGGGTCAACTTCTGGAGCCACACTATTGGGCTAGATGTATCATGGGTTTTCTTTGATAGAATAATTCAACGTATTTGATATGTTTCCAGTATCTCTCATTTACGTCCTATGCCTTCGTGGAAGATAGTCGTGGACTTTCTCAGGTTATCGATTTCGGTGTGCAATGATATATATTAGACTCGAACACACATATTATGCGCAAGTGTCTCCACAGAACAGTGGACACACTAATACAACCGTATTACAAGTGATATTAATCACGTAAAAAATTATGTTTGAAGTCTTCCACCCTGACGGGCGATCAGTTGAACGACCCGTCGGACTCTCGGACAGCCCGACCGGAGATGTCGGAGATGTTTATTTCCTAACCGGGCAAGTTGAAGATCTAGCCTCGGAATCTGGACCGAGTGGGTCTCAACCGCTAACCTTAAATATTCCCTTAACGTTTTCCTGAGTACTGACGTTATCGCGAATCCCCGAAATACGGGTCGGATATCTTGCCTACTGCATTTAGTAAGGTACGAAAATCTGCAGTAACGTTATTGGGACGAATAGGGGCTACTGTGATCTCATAATCTTCAAGGGTAAAAAGCACTCCGTACTATCGGATTATATCGATCAAGATAAAACTGGCAGAATTTTAGTCAACGAGCGATATTCTTTTCGCACCCTACCACATTTGCCCAATGATAGGACAAAATAGGAGTAAAATTTAATAAGAATAAAGAATACATCAGAGTATAGTAAATATAGCCTTATTGAATGATCTATCGTGCCAGTTGACAGTAGTATTATATCTCACATTGATTGAGATCTGCATGCAAACGACCACCGAAGTGAATGTCTCATATAGGATAACACATTTGACAGTCACTCTCTTAGCCTCTGTCCAATTTTTACACCCTAAAGTAATGGGTCGACTACCGGCCAAACGTCACCCGTGGGGTAGATACTAGTAGTCATCGGATCTAGAAATATATCCCAACCAAATGGTAGCTCGTCCTGTCGCAGAGCAGGTTAGTTTAGAGGCATGACGGGGGTGCTAGGAATAAAACCCATGGTGTAACATACTAAAAGATCAGGAATGGAATCCGTCGTGAGCGCGTCCTGACTGGCCTCTTCGGTCGTCACCATAGACCGAGTGCGCATCGTCCGGGACGAGGTTTGGTGCTGGTCAGGGTCTTCTTGATTCTGCAGCAGGCCGGTCAGCATTCACAGAACTAATCAAGGAAGAGTGTCGGTTCGACAAACCATAGAAGGGAACCGTCCGGACGATGATAGCCATCCCTCAGCTTCTTGTAGACATAAGTGCCCTCCATCAGCCAGTAGCAGCTCTCGGCATCGCCGGGCTGCTCGTGGACAGGCGTCGTTTAGATCAAAGCTCTCCGGATGTGTACCGCTACTTGAAAGATGTTCAGAATTAGAGGACGGCATTTGGCTCTGAGCTGAGTTGAAGACCATATGTAGAAGCATGAATGCTTTACAAGCCTGCTTCTCCTTCCGAACTTTCAATTCAAAATATCGAATAGCATTCTCCACATTGTGGAACAATGCGGTCCGCTGGTAGGAGGTGGTTTTATCCATGAAACCCTGTACGGAACCGGGCAAGGGAAGTAATGGTTTGTCCTTCGCCTGCAACCGCAGCTCGAAACAAAGCGTTGCGGCCGCGTGAAAGAATTCGTCACGAAACATGCCACCCCGTAACCGCAAAAGATACGGATACACTGTTCCTTGTTCGTTGCCGGAGCCACGGTTCAAATCATCTGCGGAAATCTCCAGGGGAGCCAACAAAGCCAGGCTAGCTTGAACACACATCTGACGGGAAAAGACGTACATCTCATTGCGTGTTTCGGCAAGACTCAGAAAGAAGGGTCGATGCAGAGTCAGGAGGCATCGGTAAATCAGAAAGAGAAAGAGGGATTGGCGAAAGGCCAACCGGCAGCGACGGCTATCAGCCTCACAGCTGTCATCTCCGATCAGTGCCGGGTGGCCTTTCGCTAGTTGTGTAGTAAGCATCTCGCTGAGGTCCAAAATTTGTTGATAGCTCAATGTCAAGCGCACGCGATTGACCGCCTTGGCGACGTTAATCCGGACTCCCATTGTTTGGGCCAAACTGACCTGGAAGGCCGTCCTAGTTAGAACTGTGCTTGGCTTGGGGGTAGGGACAACGGGAGAGTCCATCAACAGGTCTTCGTCATCGATGTTAGATGGCGGGGCGCAGTCGTACTCATCCTCGGATAGCGTCACCGGTGCTCCCGTTCCCAGGGCGGCTTGGAGGTCTAGTTCAATGATAGTTAGCCAGAGCCGCCTGCGAATTTCCCCCCAATAGGGCGACAGCCCTTTGAAATGTGAAGGATCTCGATGAAGACCGATTGTGATGGCCTCGCGCACTAACGAACCGGCGGCCAGCCAAGAAAGGTCTCCCTCGTGCCCAACGGCCTGTCTCGCCAACAACAATAAACATTTCACCTGAATGACGTCTAGAGTGAGTCTTGCGCGGCTCGTGAGAGTCTTGACCCATGACACTACAGCTTGAATCCAGCTTTTGGCCTTCTCATTTAAGGACTGGGAGTCTTCGCCCGAGACCGCTGTATCTACTAGGCAAGTAGCACACGCCATCAAGCTGAGCAGCTTCGCCGCAAAGATGTCACCGCAGCCCGTGCTCGTTGGTCCATGGTTGTCAGGGTGCCAATGATCATTGTACTCCTCGAGAAAATGAGGGACATGTAAGATTCGGAAGGTCGTCTCGAATGTCGAAAAGTATAACTCAACGAGCTGATCGGCCACTGTGCGATCATCCGGGATCAATGTCTCCAACAGAGGCGGGTATAAGGTGGGCTGAATCGTAGTGCCGTACTTTGCGGTCATTCGCATTTTCTTCTTGACGCGTTTCATGACCAGGTACTCCGAGAACGTGGACTCGGTCGGCTGTTTTTTGACGCGATGATATTCCTCTAAATGTGCCTTGAGATCGGGAAACTGTAGGCCCGTTAGCAGTGACGCCCCGACCATCGCATGGTTCGCCTTGCCATGTCCATTGTGAGCGCCCAGTGACTCCGCCCGAAGTGTCGAGTGCCCCTGTTTGATCCATGAAAGGAGGAATTTGTAAGCGATTGAATCGTTCTTGTCAGCGACTGTGCTGAGCTAGAGGCAGCATAGTCAGGGGGCGTGGTGGTTTTCCTCCCGGGATAGACATCTGTAGCAGCTATCGGGTGATTGCTGTGAGATTCTAGGTGTGTAGGAGGAAGAGCCGCGTCGGGTGAACTTGAGATTTGAGTAGCCGCCCGAGGCGGGAGATGCGACAATACTCGGTTGCGCTCCTTGTTTTGATAATAACACAAGTCAGCCATATTATGGCTGATGCACTGATTGCAAGGCTGACGCCGGTCGCATTTCACTTTCCGTCGTCTGCATGGCGCACATGACAGAGGTGGTCGGCGACTACGTGGTGTGGAGAGTTGACGCTGGCGATTGACGCGCATGATACTTTGCCGAGACGACTGGAGATCCATTATGTGTAGTAGATCTTCAAAATCTATATCTCAATTAAACCTCGCGAAGTCACTCGGCCACTTTTATATCTACATTTAATAAATACCTACCCGCAACCAGCTACCGTTTGCTTTACCGCCTCCTCTACCGCCATCCCCACCGCCTCTTCCACTTATCCATTCCTATATTCTCTCCTGCGTTTCCAATTTATCCCTTCGCTGACCTATCTAAGAGGATTGCTACCTCCACCTTCTAGTTAACCAATGCCGCCATTATGGGGTCCGGGAGTCTCGGGCCGTTCAAACATAGAATATACACCCCAGTACGACAGTAGTGATAAATCCAGCAGTGAATGCGATATAACTTGGTCCCCCGGTGATGGAGTCTGTCCTACAAGGGCAGACTTCAATCATTGCTGTCAGTTAAAGGTTGAAGACTGGAAAAATACGGCTCTTACATATCTGGAGGGTACGGAATCCTTCCAATACTATTTAGAAGCTTTTCTAGGTCTCCTCGAAAATGTCCCTCCATTCTATTACTGTCCTCGAGGACCTGTCAATATTTCTGATAGACCGAAATCCTTTCTCATTTTGAAGTCTTCCTTACACCTAAAAACTACTGAAGACTCAAATTGCAATTAACCCCAGAAGTCAATTGATTATCTTCAGTGTCTTGGATCTCCAGCGCCTGTAATCTACAGGACAAAGGAGAAGACCCAGCTAAAAGCTGCTATTCCTGTTCGCACTAAATCTCTTCGTTCTGGGTACTTCACAAGCATTGTTCTAGCATGGTCGTACATTGTTTCCTGCCGCTAGATGGAAATACTTCAACAGGCAGGCGAGAAAAGCCAGATCTTACACGAACCAGGAATACAAATAGAGAACTCTTTTTGGGATATAGCCACGCAAGGCTATTGGGTAGCTCGGGTAGAAAAATTCAAAGGTGTCTTCTATTCGCCATGGATGTTGAGAAGAGAGTACACTAAAAAGAAGCGGTATATGTGTCATGCCGATCTATCTTTAGTTCCTTTCAGCTAACAAGTCTGCGAAGAGGTGACTGGGAACCAGTCATATCGAATTCGTCCCTTGCGTTCGAAATTCTTCTAGGTTTCTGTTTGTTGGAGGGTTTGGAAGGAGAGTTCCTCACTGGTTTTGCATCTGTTTTAATGTTGACCTCACGGCACGCGCCTCCGCCCAAATTTTCTCCTCCTATAATGATATTAACAGCTCCTATGCGCTCTTCACCAAGGCCAAAGGACATGGATTTGCTTCAATTATTTCGATCGACTGAGAAGTGCATCTCTCTTAGCCCGACGCAGGATGCTCTGGATTCATTACTCTGCAGCACCTTTTTCGATCCATGTGTTCCATGTAATTTTGCTGGGGCTGCATCTCTGGGTGTAAGAAAGGCTCTTTCGACAGTGGACAAGATCGACAATCGACAGCTTCTCTCTGTAGTTACCAATGTGAAACCGTATCTGAGTCTTTTATGGGCTTCAGCAGTGTGCAACGACCGGGTAACTTCGTTCTTAAATATGGCTCTTCGCAGTCTACGGCCGATATGTCTGGTTGCCGCCTTCTGGACAAACACGGCCCAATCGTTTCATCAAATAGCGTACTCTGTACAAGAGTCAGAATCTATCATTTCTAGGGCACTTGAGTTTCAAACCTCCTACTTTTCCAGACCAGAATTCCAGCAAGCGTAGAGCATCAACTGAGGCTCGTTAAGGCTTCCAGTATGTGTCACTGTTGTTCTGCAGGTCCTACAGATGAGTAAGTCTGACAAAGAATCAATGACTATCAATATTTGCTGATAATCAAGATTGCCTTACCCCGAACAATATATCGCTGACGAGCAATCCGGATTTGCAACGTCACGCCTATTTAATTGGCATAGAGACTACGATGATGGTATCTGGCTTGATGATGGTCAAAGGGATATTGAGTTTGTTCGTCGACTCCAAATGCATCCATGGATTATCGACCCGTTTGATAGCCAAGATGACGAGCCAGTGGAGGAGCCCAAATGCCATGACCATTGTGTTGAGCGTATTCTACAGTGGAATCGTGAAGTCGAAAAATACCGACGGGCAGGAGTTGACACACCATGAAGGATTACCAGATCGTTTGCTCACAAGACACTTGGAAATTGATGCGGTATGCTGAGGACAAAGTCAGATTTACGTTTAACAGACCGAAAACGCATGATATTCTCCAAAGGTGCAGCTTCCCCGGATAAGCACATTCCACGGAGGAGCCTAAGCTCGGCCCCTTAGGCCGGTGCTTAGGCTCTGCATAATACTGACACTGGGTGGTATGTGGTCATCCCACTCTGGTCCTGGGGGGTGCCGATTGATCGCTCAGCTAGTGGCCCCTCAGATATGGCGCTACGGGTGCTGGAGACCTAGGCGACTTGAAACTATCTTGAGAGGGGAAGCTCTCAGCATCGATCAAAGAAGGCCGAGCGAGAATTGGTATCACTCCAGAGGAGTTACAATAGGATTTATCAAATTATTAATATTAATAATATAGTATGTTATATCAACTACGGTTCGAGATAATCAGACGAGTAATTGGCATAGGACCGTGTGTAAGGCACCTAATCTAGGGTCAGGTGACACATGGTTTACCAAAAGACCAACATAGACCCTGGAACTTACTAGTAGCAATGAATAGCCTAAGGTAACCACCACCTGTGCCTTACACGTGCACAGGGGACTATTACCCGTGCGCCCTTATCTGATCAGCATTCCATCTGATAACTTGACATCTCCTTCGGGAAGTCGACTCATACTTGCTGTTCCTATTTGTCAGCCACCACTCGTAGATAGATGAGAACAGCATACCAAGACCAATGGTGGATAATAAGTAGAACTGAAGAGCGAAGACAATATTGGCTAAAGGACTAAAAAGCCTAACTAGTCTTGGTTAGCTGCCAAGAACCCATTTGAACATAAAATGCATAAAAATCCTCATTAGGATGTATAATTTACTGGCCGTCTCTTCTGAAGGGCGGGTGGGTCTGTGCTGGTTGATGTTTGCTCGGTTCATCAGCCCACGTGTTCGAGATCTAAACCCATCGGCAACCCTAGTTTTGGTCGTGATGGGGCAGTGAGCGGACATCCTTGTAACCAGAATCATGCAGCCATTGGCTTCAGTGCATTATACTACCCACTAGCTGGGGAAAATATTAGTATATCTCCATCTCCATGCAAATGTCAGTCGCCCTTGCTCGCATGAACTGACAAGGGCTAATTGATCTCACTTGATAGTACGGAGTATAACTTTCTGCTATCGACTAGCTTTCCCGCCCCTTTACAACCCCCGCTTTTACCCCTCTTAAATATATAGATGGGGGCATATCCCGACGAAAGGCCAATTGTTCAAGTTGTCGAGTCATAGAGTTGTTGCTCGAACTTGCTGTTCTCCTAGTCAAATATACCCATACATCCTTTTAGCACGGCCATCTTCTATTCTATATCTAAACTTTTCCATTATTACCCTCTGCTTTTAGACTTGAAGCCGCACATCCACCATGGTTCACCCCAAAGTTAGCAAGGCCCTTGAGGAGGCGAGAAAGCTCGTGGCCGATCTCGAGTCTTACGAAGACAATCCGATCAACCACCAGGCTGTTGTTAAGCAAACCGAGCGCGTCCGCACTGCCTTGGAGCAGCCTATTAATTTGGTCACTCGCTCGATCGAACACCTCGCTCTTGGCGGCGCCTTTCACACTATCCTAGGTATTCGGGCCTATCATGCTATGCCCGAGGATGGTAGTGCTATTAGCGCCGATGAGCTAGCCCTGGCCACCAATGTCGCAAACACTGTCATTCACCGCATCTATCGCGTCGCCATTAATCATGGAATCTTTACTGAGACGGCCCCCGACACGTATGCTCATAATGATCTCTCGCGCGCTCTCAACCCGAAAGCTATGGGATCCTTCTTCATGATCTCTCTGGAGTTTACTCGCGCCTGGATCCACCTACCCGAATATCTCAAGTCACACAAGCCAGAAGATATTTTTGATCTGGTCAAATCCCCCGCCGTGTACTCAGTTGGTAAAGAGCACCTTGGTAAGTCGTATTACGAGCTGCTTGAGATAGACCCGGACCCAGAGCGTCGCGAGATTTGGAATGCCAATATGTTCATGGTCGACCAGTTAATGCCTATTGTCGGCATGTTCCCATTTGCATCTCTCAAGGAGGAAGTTGAGCAGGACCCTGATCGCCCATATCTCGTTGACATTGGCGCCGGCCGTGGTCAATCATGCTTTGCTATCCAGAAGGACATCGACGGTGCTTTCGATGCGAAGTTCATCCTACAGGATTTGCCTGGTGTCATTAACAATATGAACCGTGAGGACTACCCAGGCTTTGATCTTATGACATATGACGCTTTTACGCCGCAGCCCGTCAAGAGTAAGCATATTTTAAAACCATACCCTTCGTTTAATTATTAAGACCTTTAACTAAAACCTTCTTAGATGCTCACATATATTTTATGCGCCGTTTCCTCCACGACTTTTATAATCCAGTTTGTATTGAGTTTGTTAAGAACACGGCATCGGCTATGGGGCCTACTTCACGCCTCCTTATCTGCGATATGTTAATCCCAGACATGGTTGAAGCCCATGAGAATTCGGATCTCTATTGGCTTGATTTCGCGCTTCTTTGTATGACTGGTCAGGAGAAGAAAAAGGCGGATTTCATTGAAATCTTTGATGCTGCAGGGTTGGAACTCGTTAAGATCTACCCCTCCAGCTATGGGAGGACAGTGATGCTGGAGGCTAGGTTGAAGAGGTAGCCAATCCTAGGTAAAATCATGATGAAGAGTAGACGTGAAGAATCAGGGGCTGGAATCAAAGAGCGACCTTTTGATTTTCCCCTTCATTTTCTCTGCACTATATGATGAACATGTGGTCTAAGTAAAAGTTTGCTAAAGTGATGGACGCCCAGGAAATCAAACAATAGAGCCTAATAACGATTGTCACAAATGAAATAAGCCATTACAATGTCATGTTCAATATATTTCATGCGGTTGATGTCCTTTCATTACGAGGTCAAGCTCAATTTACGCTAAGGTTTAGGGAGTGTACTAGCTACTCTAGTAAAATGGAGATAGAGTCAGGCATTCTGAGGGAGTAGAGTTACGGAAAATATGAATATAAACATCCAAATTCCAGCTTTACTTAACTCGTTCAGCACCGGTGGCTCAACTTGTAATACGATCCAGTCCCTCAGACACCTATCTATTACTGAGTATGAACATGGTTTTGGTGGAAGACCGTTTTTCGTATGAGCGATTATGAGCTAACCCCATGGTAATTCAAAGGCGTTGCCGCTACTGAGATGACATACACAGGAGTTAACACACCACAAATCATATCCTAAGCCGGATTGTAGTTGATCACTTAGGCAGAGAATGCCTCAGGCTGTCATAACGCCCAAACCGGTTGCAGAGTAACGTGATTCTTTCCCAGACCGGACCCTATGACTAAGGTTGCCATAACCCTTCAGGTGCTGCGTTTGCGTTTGCGTGTTTAACTTTCTTTTTCTTTCTAGTGTTCTTGTTGCTTGTTGCGATTCCAGAGAAGCAGACACCATGAATGAGTCAACGGGATTCAGTGCTCGTAGCCGAGAAACGCCGTCCAAAAGCGCACAAATATCTCATCTAAAGCCCAGTCCACGGATGGTCATCCTTACTTAGTACTAAATCCAAAATGAGTTTAGTAGGAAGAACTACAGCTTAGATTGGGAGAAACTTCCTATGAATCATTAGATTCCAGACTTCATGTAAAATGGCAGCAGGACCCACCAAGAAGATTGGCTCCCGGTTGATAATCAGGCGCGGCCAATCGCAAAAAGGGCTCCCCACAAGGACCAAACCTCAGAGCCGGAGCTCTGCTTGCTCCCGGGACCCATATTTCCTTGTATGGATAAAATCATCTCCGACGTGGCGTACTTGCATAGAGATCCAAACAAGGACCCTACTTCATGCTGCGGTGGCATGATTATACCATATCGTGCTGTTGTGGTGGTTGAGAACGATAAAAAATGGCTATGTACACCACCCATTGTTGGACCTTTCTAGACTGATTCGAAACATTATCTCAATGAAAGATCAATCGGACACCGTTCACGCGTCCAGTGTAATAATGACGGACTCCACTGACATTTCCTTCACAGATTGGAGGTTGGGTCCCGAGCCTTGGGCCTTGGCATCTAATCTAGAAGCTCAATACAACTGAGAGCTGGTGGCCGGGTTCAAACGACGTGATCTAGGTGTGGCTTGGAAGGACCATCACAGTGGATGCCCTTAGCTCTGACGCGTCGATAAACGAGAATTTCACATCACAATTCAACATCCCCCTCCAAGCCAGGGAATCGAAACAGAAGCCGCCACTGCGGCAGATCCTTCAGGGCAGCCACGGCTGCATAAACCCTGGGGAAATGTTACTGGTCCTCGGCCGTCCAGGATCTGGCTGTACCACATTACTGAAGATCTTAGCAAACCATCGCCTGGGATATAAATCAGTACATGGAGATGCGCGTTACGTGTCACTTACCTACGAGCAAGCCTCCCAGTATCAGGGCCAAATCATCATGAATTATGAAGATGAAGTCTTCTTTCCATCCCTCACCGTGGGGAATGAATTCATTCGTGGAGTCTCTGGTGGAGAGCGGAAGCGTGTATCGATTGCCGAGTGTATAGTAACCCAGGGCTTGGGCTTCTGCTGGGATAATAGTACCCGAGGCCTGGATGCAAGTACAGCACTGGAGTGGACTAAGGCTATCCGGCAAATGACTGATATCTTGAGGCTTTCTACTATTGTGACCCTTTATCAGGTTGGAAATGGGATTCTGAGTCTATTTGACAAAGTTCTTCTGCTCGCTGAGGGCAAGCAAATCTATTATGGCCCGATGAAGGATGCCAAGCCATGCATGGAACACTTGGGATTTGTCTGCCAGAATGGTGCGAATGTTGCCGATTTTTAACCGGTGTCACAATTCCAACAGAGCGGCAAACCCAACCTGGCTACGACAACTACCCAAAGAATGCGGATGAGATGCTGAAGACATACAGCAACTCGCCTACTCAAGCGCTAATGGAGGCCAAACACAACTATCCCGATAGTTCGATGACAGAGCAACGGACGCAAGACTTCATTGAGTCTGTGGCAAGAGAAAGGCCTTGCAAGGGTCCATACACCACAGACTTTGTGGTCCAGGTCAAAGCCTGCATTGTTCGACAATATCAGATTATCTGGGGTGACAAGGCTACCTTTTTGATTCGCCAGGTTTGCAACATTGTTCAAGCTTTGATTGGGGGGCTCACTGTTCCACAATGCTCCCAATAACTCTGCGGGGCTCTTTATTAAATCTGGAGCTATTTTCTTGTCTATCCTCTGCCATGCTCTATTTGCCATGTCAGACGTGACAGACTCCTTTAGCGGCCGCCTGGTGGTTATTAAACACAAGAGATTTGCCCTCTTTCACCCCGCACCATATTGCATTGCGCAAATTGGGAGTGATATACCTGTGCTGCTGTTTCAAATTAGCATTTTTGCAGTGGTAATGTATTTCATGGTGGGTCTTACCGCATGGGCTTCAACGTTTTTTACCTACTGGATTATTGTGTTTTCCTCTACAATGGTAAGTACCCTCTACTCCACGCTTGTGTAAGCTGTTTTTGACTGACAGTATATCGTAGGGTATGACTGCCTTATTTAGTATTTCACACAGGAGCCTTATCAAGTCCCTAGGATCTTCCACCCTGTTCCCAAAAGCCTAGGCCGATCATGCTCATTGCAGTGATTGGAATCCCCACTCGACTGATTGGGCAGATTCAAGTCAAAGGGCACGCACCAAACCGTGCTTCCAGTAAGTAAGATAAGGAGTTCCATCCTCGCGGTAGCTGAGAGGAATGGCCCTATATTACCCAGACACGTTAGTCAAACAGTATTAAATATAAAGAATCAGATTGTTGTAACAGGGCACTGTAAAATCCGTTTTGAGAGTCATCATGGGCAGAATAGAACTCATAGTCGTCGAAGTTAGGTAAGATTATGTTCCTGGCGTAGGCCTGGTATTTCTTCTGAAAGATGACAATCTCCTCCTGACCGCTACCTTCTGACATAATATGACTTCTGATATCTATTGCGTAACCTATGATAGCAAGGCTTAGCTTCTGCCTGAGCTTAAGGCAGGGACCAGTGGGGTGATATAATCCTCACATGTGCGGTGTAACTGCTCTTATCGATGCTGATGCGGCGGAGTCCGAAAAGGGGATTGGTAACCATTATTCAGCCATGATGATTGGTCACTAGTAATGGACCTTAAAAAGACAAGATATATTATACCAATCCAATGATGCCTGCAGCCTTGATCAAGTTGATCTACGTCGTCAGGGGAAGGAGTACCGATGTCATCAACAAAAGGAGATGGGCTAAGCACACCTGGAGAGAAATTAAGTTGCTCCAGCATTTGACAAGGCCACCACAACGTATGTTTGGTCCCAGCTTGATGCCAGTGAAGACGATAGGACTAACCAGAGTATACAGATTACGTGTATCTTCTACATGGATACTTCGCGCCTTGTTCAGAACATTATACATTGGCTAGTTCTGTCCTAGCCACGTAGAATCCAAGCCATCCAAAAGACACGAAATTCCCTACTAAATACTGACATGTGGGATCCACAGAGCCAAGTCTGAGGTAGAACGCTTATTATTTGGCTGAGTTATGAACCTTTTCTTTTCTTTAGAAAAAGTGTCTCCGAGGCGGAAATGTTGGAATGCTTTTGACCTATTAGTTCATGTATTAGCTTCATGTATAAGGTTAACCCAGAAGGACATGTGTAACTCATTTATATTAAGTAAAATTAAGCAAAAGATAAAAGTTTGTACGGAGCACACTTCAACGAATTAAGCAGAGAATGTTGTCACTGAGCTAGTCGTAGAATGTAAGCTGACTCAAGTATGCGAGATTCACGTCAGATGCGGGTTGGATTCGCCATTCGACTTATGCTTATCTCCATTAATCTTGACCACTCCGCGATTCCACAGCGCTGAAATTTCCAGGTTAATTCCGTCCTCGATTGATAGGCCCTTGTGCCATAGTGCGGGTCTAGAAAGCGGAAGAAATCCTCACTTGCCCAGTCATTCAATGAGGAACAATGCATTAAAATGACGCCATTGGTTTTCTAATTTATATATATTATGTTGATCGGCCCTCGCGCTTACTCTGCGCTTTTCTGAGCACGCTCCTGCAATTGTCTTGAATGTTCAATACAAGTTAGATGTAATAACTCTATCGTCCCAATAAACCGCCAACATGTCAAACGCAGGCAGCAAACCAAAGCTAAGAGTGGCAATCGTCGGCGCTGGCCCAGCAGGCTTAGGTGCGGCAATTGAATTTCAAAAGCTCCCCTTTGTTGAGCTTCGGATTTACGAACAAGCCCGAGAGTTACGTGAGATCGGTGCCGGTATAAGTATTCAACGGAATACATGGCGCATGTTAGACGCGTTGGGTGTTTATGATAATATCGATCCAAGTACCGTCTTCAGCGCCGCAGATGGGCACTCCGTACAGCATCGGTTGGTTGTTCTTTTCCTGGGTTTGAACGAAAGTAACCGATGTCAGCAATGGACGAACGGGAGAATTACTACAATCTAGCGGACAACATGACACCCCCCCTCGACATAAACATGCCAGAGCCTTGCGCTCTGTACTTCAGCAAGCACTTCTGAAAGCCGTGGATAAAGAAAAGCTACGACTTTCAAGTCGACTTGTTGAGATCCATGAATTGCCAAACAAGGCATTGTCATTGCAATTTCAGGATGGACATGCGGATGAGGCGGATCTCCTCATAGGAGCTGACGGTGTTCGATCGGTAAGTACTATCAAATTATAGCTAGCCAGACAGTAGAGCTAAGCATCGAAGGTTGTCCGTCAATTCTCCTTCCCGGACCATCGTATCAGCTATACCGGTACAACAGCCTTCCGAGCCCTTGTAAACGCGGACGATATTCTGAGCATCCCCAACTTTCCTGACGCCGTGACCTTTTGGCATGGTCCCACAAGGTGGGTATATACCTGCAACCTCAACAGAGGAATATATGAGGTTACGGCGAGAACGGACCTTCCAGAGACTAGCGAAACGGTCAGTTGGGGACAGGACGCTAGTCCCGATGAATTTATAGGGCTATATGAGGTAAATATCCCTCACTCAGTTCCACCTAGTTCCATGTATACTGAAATAATAGGACTTCGCACCAATTATTCAAGACGTCCTTAGTAAAGTGGGAGAAGTGAAGAAATTTCCCCTCTTCGCAGGGCCGCGTTTGTCGAAGGTCATCTCACATGGTTCTATTGCATTGATTGGGGATGCGTCTCATCGTGAGTAATGGTGTTTTTCAGTGGTCATTACCGGTAGCTAACCATTCTGAAAAAGCATTATCTGGAGCCTTTGGTATGCTTCCTGCCACCTAGACACAATGTATTCTAACACCATCCAGGTGCTGGAGCCGGATTCGCATTGGAAGACGTGTATGTGCTCACTCAAGCAGTGAAATGGGCACATGAACGCCATCTTCCAGTTATTGATGCTTTGACTCTATATGACAGAGTTCGATCACCGCATTACAAGGATATGGTATGTGTTAATGCCGAGTTTCTTGTCGGTCTACTAATTGTTTGCAGTATGATATTCTGGATGGCTTCCGGGCATCTGATACTTCAATCAAGGGTCTAACGTCCTTTAATGATATTGTGGTGGCTAATATTCAAAACAAATGGACTGATGACCACCATTGGCTGTATCATTACGATGTTAGTATACCATTCCTAGGCGCTGGCTCCGGTGTTGTTAACATGAAGGTTTAGGTGCAAGAAGTATGGAGAAAGGCGTACGAGGAGGAAGATGGTCGTCGCGTACGAAAGGTTCATGATACAAAGGACATTAATGTACATTCTCATTTGTAGATTAGAGAGTATCGTCTAGCTATAGGTCATCATAACACATTCGTGAGTGACCAGAAACCACAACTCCAGGTACGCCTTTCATACAAATGCAAGTACACAGAACTAAGGGGTTCAAATCTATGACAAAATGGCAATCAATCCAGAAGCAGTTTTGATCATAGTCGGATCTCGTTGTCTTTCAGATATTGATCGAACTGATCTGGTAGGCCAGAAGGCTCCGCCACTGCAACATAGGTATCTGGTCGGAGCAAATATGCTGCATCCTTTCCCAAGCCGACCGACTGATATTTCTCACACCAAGGAAATATGTGCAGAGGAATTCCCTTGGAGCGGCACCATTCCTTCAACATGTCTTTCGGTTCACCATACACGTGCATCTGCCATTCAATCTCCTTCAAGCTTTGGAAGTTATCAAGTCCGCCCACGGGAGCCCATGGGATACGGTCACCTCCTTGGACCGTACCAGCGGAGCCAGTGGACAGGGCACTGTCCCGATAATTTAGCATAATCTGGGATACGCCACGGAATACTCTTTGTCGCACGAGACCAAACTTGGACAGAATAGGAGAAACATAAGGAATGAACCATGTTCGAATGAAATATGAAAGGTACCCCTCTGAGGCAATAGCGTTAAAAGCAGTATCCGTCGTGTTGACCAGAAGCGCTGCGAACGCACCGCGTTCAATTTCGTAACTATCAAGGAGAGACATGTCGGCTTTGGCTTGGATAACTGCTGCAAGCTTCCAGGCGAGATTAATGGCATCACCAATACCGGTATTCATTCCTTGTCCTCCGACCGGACTGTGGATGTGCGCCGCATCCCCGACAAGAAAAGCCCGTCCGTTGCGAAAGGCCTCAGCCACCCTGTGGTGAACATGGTAGGTGCTGAACCAGTTTACCTTGTCGATTTTGACGCCCACGGCCTTGCCGTAGTCTGGGGCAACATCATCGAGTGTGACGTCGGAAATGTCTTTCGTCAGGGCGCTTTCATCGACCGCACCGTTTAGTCGCGCACGACGGTCTTTATCGTAGGCCATGAGCAAAAAAAATTGCTTATCATTGAGACTCAAATGCGCTTGACCATTGAGACTGGGCCCGCTGCCTTCAATGTCGGCTACATAGAACAGCTTTGAGTATGTGGCCCCTTCGAATCCGATCCCGCAGTTCTGACGGACAGCAGAATGAGCACCGTCACAACCAACGATGAAAGCTGCTTCACAGGTCTCGATGTCATCATTGTCGATATGTAATTTTGTCAGATTCCTCAGTCGCGCTGTGATAAACGAATCCTCCTCCCGGAACTCGACCAACTCGCGATTGCGCTCGACATGCACCCCCATTGTATTCAATCGCGCCTCTAACAATCGTTCATGCTGATCTTGGGGGTAGATGTGTATGAATGGGTAGGGCGTTAGGCCTGCACCAAGATCACCGAAAGGGACATGGGAGCGATGGACTCCCCCAGCCCAAATATTGGTCGCTGCGATCTTATGGCCGTTTGCGACAACATCTTCGGCGAGGTCGAGTTGGCGATATAGCTCGAGTGTGCGGGCGTGAATTGCCATCGCTCGTGATGTTGATGCCTTGGCTTCTGATTTGTCGATAATACGCACGCTGATACCTTGGCGAGTTAACCACAGAGCTAGAACGAGGCCCGTTGGACCTGCTCCCACGATGAGGACATCGGTGCGTGTCATATTGACGGAAACGATAGGTGGTTCAAATCAAGAGTATTATATTTCTTGAAAAAAAGATTCTGTAGGAAAGTAGTTGTTCTTCAATTATTATACAACATGGTGAAAAAAAAACTCCAAAGCCGAGCTGCTCGTATTTAAACCCATAATTTTCCCGACCCTCCTATGACTCAGTCCACGATGATGGACATGGAAAACAAGTAAAAACGCACAATCGCGTCATGAGATGTTAGGCCCCCAGTTGGAATGTCCGCCTTCATTCTGAATTTGGGGTAGAGGTCGGCGTATAGTTTCCGAAGAAAGCGAGCCGTATACGAAGAGGCAGTGCAGTTGACTATATACGTCGGCCTGGAGCATCAGAATCGCCGATGTCTTCCGCATGTCGGTCGGACAATGTCGGGCCGTCGGGGGTTATTGAGACCGATGGGCGGAAGAATGGCTGCTGATTCGAAACCGGGCCTGAGCGCAATCTTTTTTCAGTTCATTCAACTTCCATTGTTTCCCCGGATCAAGAGTCTTCCCGTCCGATCTGGGTCAGCTACTGCCCAATTGACCTTAGTCGCCCTGTCATGCCGAAACGGGCAAAGTGCCCTTAGGATCCAGACGAAGCGATAACCCTTTTGGGCGAGTTCTTTGTCTCGTGGATCCAACGAGAGCCATGGCCACCTGGTCATTTTAATTATTTGAAGATTAGGACCTGTCTGGATCATGGGCCGAGAATCCAATCGACCATGGAGCGGCTCACAACTCCGCAACTCTTCTTTATTCGGGTCACTTCCCCCCCCAGTTCGTCCGACCTCCCGGTACGACTGTCTTTCTTTCTCTGTCTTCTTCTCTACCGTCTGACAGGTCAATATATAGGCCAATAAACAATGTCCTCCACGCGCCACAATGCATCGGCAACCTCGTCTGAAAGAAAACGCTTGCGCGATAGACGAGCTCAACAGAACCTGCGAGAGAAACGGGAGAACCGCATGAGAGCTTTAGAGGAGCAGGTGGCCTATTGCCAGAAGAATCACGGCAACGAGTTGATCAAAAACTGCATGCTCACCGTCGACAGTGTTAGGCGGGAGAATGAGCTTCTTCTTGCTCGACAAGAACACCTTCGTCGCCTGTTTCAGAGCTGGGAAGCCCAGAGCAACGGTGCAACGGGGGCGCGTCTAACACTTTCTTCGACGTATATGGCGTCCAACCCTCTACCAGCACCGACGACATCGATTTGTAGTCCAGACAGTGAGACGGTCTTGGTCGATCCGAAGATACACACCATTTCTGGCTGGTCCGTCAATGGTGTAGATTCTGCACATCTCGGGTCAACTACCGATGGTCTCACAGCTCCATCGATGACTAGCACGTGGCCCGTGGGGTCAGACAGTCCAACCTCGCCCTCGCCAATTGTCGAGCTTCCCCTGATGCCCGACATGCACCCCACACCAGGGCCAGACACGTGCCCCTTGATTACCCCCAAGGAATATAGTCTGATGACTGCTCATAGTCGGAGTTGGTCTGGATGGTTAGCTCTGTCGGATACCATTGCGAAGCTACCTCTATTGGCGTCTCCGTTGGAGCTGCTACATGGCTCACGACATAACTGGCTGGCAGACCAAGTCAACCGACTCCTTCGGCGGCTAAGCATCCGAGAACCTGACCGTTTCGCACTAAGCTGGATCATGTATGTGTTTGTAAGATGGCGGGCTAACCCGACCCCGCTCGCATTCGCCAACATGCCAACATTCCTACAACCTGTGGCCGGGCAGGTGCGGCAGGATCAGCACCCTGAAATGATCTTCTTTTTGTGGCCGCAGCTACGGGTCAACGTGCTGGAACATTGGGATACAATTGATATTCTAGAGCTCTATAGATATGCGATCAGCGCCTGTAGAGTGCGATGGCCGTCCTCCCAGAGCATCTGGGACTGGGATGACGACGACAACATGTTTGTGAAGCCAGAATTCTTTCAAACCTTCATGGACCGGAGTGGCTGGGGGTTCACTTCCGTCTTCATTGATAAATACCCGCAATTGATGAAGGGGATGGATGTGGAGCACATCCGGTATGACATTCCGTAGATCCGTCTATTGCTATACTTCCAGGCCTGACCCAGAAATGATCAAAAACGATACCTATATTAATGAAAGGGATACTCCAGCTTGTCTGACTGCGCAAAAAAAAAAAAAAAAAAAAAAGAAAAATTATCCATTTTTCTCCAATCAGATCAGTCGCAATCAGATTCCAGAGTATCCTGTTGGTTGGTTGGCCATGGATGGTTCACTTTATGCACGGCACTGAATCAGCGTCGCATCTTTTTCTTTGGGACCTGGCAGCCTTATTTTCTTCACGCACAATGATTGGCTCAGCTGTGCCAACTTGTCAAAAAGCTGAATCAGCGTGGGGGTAAACTTCGAGCTCTGGCTTTGACAAAAGCCCATGAATATATATCTGTGCTTCGGGGTGGTTGACCAGTCTAGGTGTTTATATCGCTATCATGTGCACATACTCCGTCTGCACGGACATATTCTGTATTATGTGAAGTTTTATAGTTCGTGGTTCATTCATATGTTAACGTCATATTTGTTCTTCTTTGTCTGCTACTTCTCCCAGCTCTTTATAAACAAAATTTTACCTTTCAACACATGCCCATCTTCCATGCATGGTCCATCCGCGAATAGCCATATTCCATGATAGTGAGGCAATTTATATTCGAAAGACGTTGCATTAAATAATATGAATCACCAGGTCCAACATGCCTCCCCATGCCAGTAGTATTAAAGTTACTTTCGAGGGAAGAATGCATTCCTAGAATTATACCGATCAACCCATGTTCCTTTACTGGCCACTAGTATAAATCGGACCTGAATATGGCAGGAGCAGCGTTTCAAAATTGACATTAGTATCGTGGATGCACTAACCTAACTTACTTTCTCTTTTGGTCTCTGATCCCCAGTAACCCCTTCGTGAAAAGCATATTCATTCCGAAAATTATACTAAAACAAGGCCAACGAGCCTGTGTCTATTATCCCCACGAAAACCAAGGTGCGAGACGAACCTAGCTTTTTCCATGGGTTAAGCTGGGGCTAGTCTCGGCGAACTCCGTACAATCCCACTGCATACTTTCGCCCCTGGCTGGGTGGTAAGATAGTCTCTTTATATATTGGGCTTCACTCTAGTTGCATGCACCAATAGAGACAGAACGACAGATCATCATACTCCAGTGCAGCAGGATGATTCAATCCTTTATTCTCGGTCTCAGATCTACACCGCCACCAACCCACCCGGAAGTCCAAAGCTCCGTGAGCCTTTAATCATATATGTTGATCTAATGTGTGCTTTCCACGATTTGCATTGCCATATAGTCTTGGGTCGCACATGGCCGTGCTGCCAATGAATGTAACTTTCCACGTTTATGGATCAGTAGGGCACATGCTGCGTCAGATAGGATGTGCCCGGTCATTCAAGGAACCGCGGAAGGCTTCCCCCGGACTATCAAGCTTGTAAGACTGGGGGTTATCCTAGCTAAGGTACCGGCATCCAGCGCTTTCCGGACCCGAGCCTCTGTCACTGTCCTTATCAAGTCCAATCAGTCTGCGACTACTAGTAGTGATCCTGAACAGTAGGCAACACGTGATATGGGTAGCAGGTAACCATATGGTGAAAATAACATTAGAGTCATGTTTTACTACACTATATATCTTACCCCAATCTTCAAGGTGTCGGCCATGGTTCTCTCATTTCCAAAGGTCATGCCAAAGTTCCCTAGTCTGCTAGTACATATCAATTCAAGCCAGGATACGCGTAGGTTACATGCTCAGCTGCGCTAAGACCGGCACAAGAGCTTTGAGTGACTACATATTCACGGTCGAATATGTTTCTTGCTGAAGGCTATCTTACCGTCTCATGCATACACGGTGATTATAAAGGCCATCACCAAACGAAACCAACATAATTTGCCAACGGAAACCAACACATATAGCTCTCTACAGGCGTTGCAAGGATACTACATACCGGTTCATATCGGTAGCGTCCAACCTCGCATCCCATATTGGTATCACATGGCGAGCTTATGTCCTGTATGATGATCGCCAGATGGTGTGGGATTTGTATCCAAACCCCGAGTATTCAAAACAATACAAATGTTTATCTATTCTCTCAGGTACGCGCCAACCTCCGAGAAGAGTTTTGGTCCCGTAGTGGCGTATAGTCCACGGAAACTTGGAATATCGGAGTATGCTGTGGTATGATAGCCTTGGTAATGTCAGTGATTGAATCCTGCATGATGCTGTGGACATGATAGACAGGGAACTTAAAACGTTTAAAGAACCATCTCACCTTTGATTCATGTTTCTATTCATAAGGATTCAATAGCTACAAGCATAAATTAAACTGGTCAACAGGAAGGGTAGTGGAGCGGGCCGAATTAGCGACCTGTCCGCTATAGTTCTGTAGCATCTTGAGACTCAGGAAAAAAAATATTCAATTACAGAACACCGCCTGAATCCCACTTGCCGCCCATAAATAATATTCTAAGGTTTAAGTTTATATTGCTGTGGTACAAGACGTTCCGGACACTATATCAGTGATACAAATCCCCTGTTTCACTTAGAGAACATTTAGTTTCTCCCTATGCAGACCGCGATGATCTTGATGCCAAGCCTCCTTAGGCTCCTCCGCGCTCTCAATTATTTAAAGAGGATGAAACCGGACCCTTCGATCAACTTCCCCTCTGCCCCTATCTTCCCGCCCTGTAGTACGAGACTTCATCCCGCGGTTCACTGGACAAACATGGTGTGTCCCAGTATATGATTCCGCCGGTTATGCCGATCTCGGCTCGCCGAGAAATTTCAAAAATTCGGCCATTCCAGAGATGGAATAATCATCGGCAGCTAAACAGAAACTAAAGACTAGTCGAAGAAAACGCAGCAAGTAAAGGAAAAAGAAAAGAAAAGAAAAAAGGCTAACCGGACATTGCCCTAATTTTGCGACGGGTGGTTTTCGCTAGTTCACAATGTGACTGTAAATGGCGCATTGAGCGATGTTGCAGTGAATCCAAGTGCACGGCATACACCTCCAGCATGTTCCCGTGTCTTTGGTGGGACCGTTCCAGAGTTATCCACTCGGTCGGGGTCTGGTTCGTCTGGTAAAGCATGTAGAAAATGTGCGGCGGGAGGATATTTTGGCGGCAGGACTTGCTCTCGATGCCTGAATGTACCAAGGCATCAACAATGACCTCAGGCATGATATCAGTCCACCTGATGTTCGCTCTCCATTTCCTGATCCAACACACTTTGCGATCATGGCCCACCATATTCATCCCCAGCCCCCATGGGCAACATCAGCTTATGGAGGATTACAACATGCGGGTGTGTTCGTTTGAAGCACGTCCAGACACTGGATGATGTCGTGATTTACCCAGCGCCTCAGTGACCCCAACTTCCAATGGGCTTATGATTTTCGACATCCTGATCAATGCACATTCCTGGGTCATGCAGTGTGATTCACCAAAGAAAAAAAGAAAAAAAAGAAAAAAGATCTTTTTCTCGGCATGACCGATCCCTACTACACATGGAAATGGCTGAGCGGCAGCCGCCCAACATTGATTGGGATTCGGCCAATTCAGCCACTGTTTATCTATCCGGACCGACTTTCCTCTTGAAGCCGACCACAAGCGTTCGCGCCCGATCCTTGGGATTATAAGCCATCAATGCACATGATAGGTCACCTATTAAGGCTCTGCCCGGATACAGGGTGAGATATCCTCCAATGTACGGCAAGAACAACAGGTTGATCCTCGGTTCTAAACAACCACGCGGTAGTGATCGGTGGTGGTCGAAATATCCGATGCTGAGTGGTTGAGAACAATACCAACAGCCACAAGGTAGCGGTCGCATATCGAGGCGATTCCCATCACCGTCTGAGCCATGGTGTCTTCATTGGATAGAGATTATCACCGTTTTAATCATGCCCCACAAGATCGGCACTGATCTTCATGTGAGCGCGCTTGTTTAAGACAGCTTCTGTATCATCGACCACGTCGAGGGGTCGAAGGATGACCAGAAACAGACCCTGAATTCATTCTATGGCTCAGAGAGCTTGCCACCAACAAAGAACGAGGCTGGAGGGACGTCGTAATAAACATATCACGCCAATGCTTGTGGCTTTTGCACTGAGCCCTGTGGTCAGGCGCAGTGGGTCCATTGCCACCGCAACCCGAAGCTGTACAATAAACGTGATAGTTTGGTGCTGGTCGGTCCCACATCGACGATCAGCACGGCCAGACACGTTCCCGCCAAACCTTGGATGTCGGACCCTTGGATGTCATCGTTGCACCATGGCTCGAGGTTGATAGCACCAGGGCAAAGTCCAGGTCCCTGGCTACTGCAGGTCCGAAAGGTCTTCCGTCATTCGTCAGCGTAGGACAAGCAAAGCCACCAACCTCCTACCGACGTCGGCCATAGCCCGGTTCCCGACGATAGGATCCCCATGTGTTATTACCTTATCTAGCAGTAAAACCGTAGAGAGACAAAAAAAAAAAAAAAAAAAACATAGCGGCTGAAGCGGAGGGATCTCACCGTAGCCGCCAGGAAGCGACCTTCACACTTGATCCCAAGCCATTATAAAGGGCCATCTCATTCCACAGACAGTTTCCAATTTTTCTCTCGGACTACTATCAACGTATACTACTATCCAAAACAAACAAAGCTCGCCGCTATCTAACAACCCTCAATATGAAGTTCACTGGTCTCGCCATTGCCGGCCTTATTGGCTGCGCTGCTGCCTTGCCCCCATTCGGGGCTTCTTCTACTCCGTCCAGCTCGATTTCTGTTTCTGTCACCCCGAGCGCTTCCCCCAGCTCGTCCAGCATCGCCTTCGCTGGTCTCAGCAAGCGCTCAGAGACCCCTTCTAGCTCTGCAACTCCGTCTAGCTCGGCCTCCATCTCTACCCCATGGGTATTCCACAGACGTCAATTTGCCACGCCCTCCAGCTCTGGCATTGCGTCCAGCTCTGCAACCCCATCCAGCTCCTCTGTCGCAGCCCCATGGGTCTTCCATAGACGCCAGTTCGCGACTCCCTCCAGCTCTGCGACTCCTTCTAGCTCGGCTTCTGTCACCCCTAGCAGCACTCCTGCTTCTTCTTATGCGAAGCGCCAAGTCGCCACACCTTCCAGCTCCGCCACTCCCTCCAGTTCCGCTACCCCTTCGAGCTCTGCGTCTGTCACTCCCACCACCTTCGCAGCTCAGAAGCGCAAGTTCTTTGGCTCCAGCAGCTCTTCTTCCGCTTCGCCTTCTTCTTCCGCTACTCCTTCCTCCTCCGCCACTCCGTCTGCCTCTGCCTAAATCTTCCCGGAGATCGGGAGTTCCGCCATAAGAAAACAATTGTCATGCCTTTCCACACGGAAGTAAAGTGGATCCTGCAGTCTCATGCACCGCTTGATCAAGATCGGAGGCTGACACAATCACCAATTATTTCTGTCCTTGTTTGTCGCGACCACTACTGGTTTGTTTAATATATTGCTGTTTTTTGAAGGGTGGGTATGCTGGCGTACAAAGTTTTTGCTTTTCTGTGCGATAGAGTCGGGTACTCATCTGTTTGTTCTGTGTTTTAGTTTAGAAATAGAAGTCATTCGTTTGATTGTGTTGCCATCAAATAGCTGACATAAATACATATTCATATACCAAATCTCTAGATCAAGGAGGAAATACCCAGAACATATGGATAGAATGTTCAGAAACTGCCGTTACTTTCCAAACCCTTGGTTTCCAGGTTAAAATAACAAAAGACGCATATTTTCCTTTCACAACCATGTTCAAGCAATTAGTGTTCTCATGAAGGTTAATCTTACCTCACGCCCTTGTTTTGGATGACCCCATTCGGGTGGAGCCGAGAGTATGGGATGTAACCCTAACTGGAAGTATGCGGACGTTAAGTAAGGCATTATTGGAAATTGATCCAGTGTTAATTGAAAGGCACTGAATCGAGTATTGGGTGTTTATTATTGATGGTGTTGATAGACGAACCGATATATCAACACCATCAATATTATGAGCCTGGAGGGTATCATCCAGTAAAAATTGGAGATTATTTCCATAATCGCTATCGGGTAGTCCATAAGCTCGGTCATGGTACATATTCAACTATCTGGCTTGCTCGCGACGAGATATTTAATACAAATGTAGCAGTCAAAATCTGCAGGGCAAGCCCTAACCGGTTCGAGATTGATATACTGGCAAAGCTATCAAACCCTAAACAGTCATCAAACATAGGCAGAGCTATCATTCCTTCTATCTTGGATAAGTTCAATATCCAAGGGCCTAATGGTGATCACGTCTGTCTGGTAACTAGCCCAGCAAGGATGAGTGTCTCCGATGCGAAGGAATCATGGATTAGCCTGTTTCAACTTGAGGTAGCACGGGCCATAGCAGCACAGCTTGTGATTGCAGTTCGATATATCCACTGACAGGGGTTTGTCCATGGCGACGTACACCGAGGAAATCTTCTTTTTCCATCATCTCGTGAGTTTACTGAAATGTCTACTGAACAAACATATAAGGAATACGGTGAGCCGGAATTGGAGTCAGTCAGTCGGTTAGATGGCCAAAAGCTGCCGACAGGGGTACCAGAATATGGTGTAGTACCTATCTGGCTTGGAGAATCAAGTGAAAACGTAACTCTTCCAGAATCAAGGATTCTACTTTCAGACTTTGGTGAAGCATTCTCTCCAGCGAAAGAAGAAAAGTTTGAGTCTCATACACCTCTCCTAATCCGTCCCTCAGAAGCTCGATTTGAACCGACAAAGTCTCTTACTTTCTCATCCGATATCTGGTCACTTGCATGCACTATTTGGGATATTGTTGCCCAGAAAACACTATTCGAAGGGATTATGACAAACGAAGATGATATGACTTGTCTGCAAATTGGGCTACTTGGCCCGTTACCGACCGAATGGCAGCAAAAGAATGGAGAGTGAATCCACCAATCCAAATACCTAAATCGACCATTGGAAGGTCACTTCGAAAAGACCGTGCAGCAAGCACGCATAGCGGGGAAGATGCCGAGTCTCGAGTTAGAGGAACAAAATGCTCTGTTGTCGATGTTGCGCTCGATGCTTTCCTTTCAACCGGAAAATCGTCCATCTGCCCAGCAGGTTCTTGAGTCTGAATGGATGGTGAAATGGGCTCTGCCCGAGTACGAAAGGTTTCACAGCAGTCAACAATAATATGTATTTACTACCGTTCATCTAGGTGATAGCCTTAACATCGTACATTGAAAGCCCGGAAGCAAACTATAGAATATCCCGTGCAAAGGCGCATATACAGGTGATGCCACACGTACAGGCAGAAGTTGCTTTTGATGTTGTTCTAGAATACTAAATATATATATATATAAATAGACAGTACAGAACTGGAAAGGAGCTACATTACCCCCAGGGGTATGGCTTTTACGTTGTTCGGAACCTCGATTTCGTCCGCCGTATTTATCTGTTATCCTTATCGTTATCGATAAAGATAAGAATGGAGCTAACTTACCACTCTAATTACTAAGTTGTTGTTATGTGACGTCGGTGCCTAAAGTACTAGTGGGGCACTTTGGGCCCTTAATTCTGCAGGATCTTGACTAGTCGCTAAGTGTCCTCTTAGTTCATTGTGATCAGAGTTCGGTGGTTTAAGCACGGAAGTAGAACCCGCGCCTTTTCTCGCATTAAAATTAAGTTACGAAATATCTCAACAAAATATGGACAAAGCTTTAGGGCTGGACCAAAACATGGCCCCAGTCAGGCACCCTAGAGACGATCAACCGAACCATGAAAGTCCAAACACAGATGAGGGGCAGAGCACAGCTAGCAATAAGGCAAGAATGCCTGGTATTAAATATGATATCCTTGCGCCGTTCAAGAAAGCCGACGCGGAAAAGGTATGTATTGTCTATTAGGTACTGACTTCATCCTGCTGATCCGGTTAAGATCTGCATGGAGCCCTTCGAATACACCAGGTCTCTCCCCGGCAAGAACACTGTTGGTAAGGTTATCGAGTGCTTGCAACCTTGGTTGAATATTTCCGATCATTCTGCGGCGGTCCTTACGGACGTTATGACTATGTTGCAGAATTCATCCTTAATGTACGATGGTCCCACAACTCGAGGTGTACAGGTATAGGATTAACTGATGTAACGTCTCTGACAGGCTAGATGATATTGAAGACAGTTCTCAACTTCGACGCGGGGCACCCGCTGCACACGTTAAATTCGGTCTCAGTCAAACGATAAACAGCACTACGTATATAATTGCCAAGGTTGTCTCCGATGTTCAGACCCATCTCCGACCAGAGTGTGCCAAAGTCCTGTCTGGTAAGATGCCATCTTTGTCCGATCGATGACATTGTATTAAAATTGCTTGTAGAGGAGCTCCAAACTCTCACCTTAGGCCAAGCTCTTGATCTCAACTGGACATTCCATAAGAAGTGTCCCAGCGTACATGAATACCTTGTCATGATCGACCACAAGACTGGGGGTTTCTTCCGTCTGATGCTTCGGATCATGGAGATTGAAGCAAGTACTTCGCCTAATGAGGAGTTACGTCATTTGATTACTCTCTTGGGGAGATACTACCAAATCAGGGATGATTACCAAAACCTAGCTTCTGAAGAGGTAGGGCTTGTGCTTAGTTTGATAGTTTGATATTGCGCTAACGAGCTTGTAGTATACTGTCAAGAAGGGTTTCTGCGATGATCTTTCCGAGGGGAAGTTTTCCTTTCCTCTAATCCATCTGCTTGAGCATAGTCCCAATTCCAGTACAGTACACAAGATGATCTTCGACCGACCACCTATGGAGGAGGGGGAAATGTCCGAGCAGAAAAAGTCGTATATCATTGCGCAAATGGAGGAGATAGGCAGCTTGGAGTATACACGGGCGGTGCTAGATGGTCTTTTTGACTCTGTATGGGACATGGTAGAGAAGGTTGAAGAAGCTATGGGTGCAAATATGGGATTCAAAGCTCTTTGCAAGGTATTAAAGCTGCGGCAGAGCGGCGGAAAAGTACCTAGCTAGGTAATCATTATTTTAACTGATGATAGCTTTGCTGACTCAGCCATTCTATTTTATGTTGTTATTTGAGCGACCAAAGAGGGGCAACCAGACGTTGCCAACTCATATGAATGCCAAGAAACTAATGCGTAGCCTCAGTCAGTACCGCAAGGCTGAAGGGGTGGAAGAGGCTTGGAACCTACCTCATAAAACAAGCCGGCTGTCTCAGAGTTGACAGCGATGGATTGCGGGTTTTGCAAAGAGGCCGTGGGTTTACCTAACTCTGAGCTTAGGGAAGTGTTCCATACAAAGTGCCATGATGCCTATTGCTGCCCGTCAGAGAGCGATGTGTATAAGCAGCTATGTCCACGTTGTCAGCATTTGCGCCTCCCGCATCTGGTCAACTATGTGGCCATCAACTTGCCAGACAGGTTACCTCCCCTGATAATCGGCCGGATTCTCAAACATGCAATCGACTATGATGGAGTGAAGACTAAATGTCATCTTTGTCGATTTATTTATAACAATGCTGTCCCCTATCTCAGTGCCATACGGCAGGATGCGCGCACATTGTACGACTGTTGGATTTATATTACCCCCCGTTCTCAACACGATAGTATTATAGTTAAGCACGGTTCGTTTAAGACATGGTTTGCATTGTGGCCAGAACTCCCTCGACCAGGAGGACATTACTTACAGAGATCAAAAGACCGGGTCAGGACGACTGATACAATTCCTAGTTCGGCTCCATACGTGGCTTGGGGTAAAGTTCGCTCTTTGTTGAACCCCACATCTATATTAACTCCGGGGCTTTAGTCCTGCGTCAGAGCGACCGGCTGGACTAAAACTCATTAACGTCCACCAAGACCATATTGTTGAAGCACCCGCGGACTGTGAATACATTGCGCTAAGCTATGTGTTTGGGAGCGTGACGACAGTTAATATAACGTGTTCGAATTCTTTTAATCGGCATAGCCTGCCGCGAACAATCAGAGACGCCCTCGTTGCATGCTATGAACTTGGCTTCAAGTATTTGTGGGTGGATCAGCTTTGTATCAACCAAAGCGACCCTGTCGACCAGTTGCGCCAAATCAACCAGATGAGCCATATCTATGAATGCGCTGCATATACTATAGTTGCACTTGCAGGTGAGGACTCCAGTTATGGTTTACCTGGAGTTACCAAGGCCCGCTCTTGGAACTTCAAGTGTATCACAATTGGCAACACCAATATCACGACACTGCCACCAGGTCCTGATTTCTGCATTACGCAGAGTAAATGGTATACCAGGGGTTGGACATTTCAAGAAGCTATGTTCTCCTCAAGGCTAATCCTCTTCACCAGCTACGGTGTTCACTGTAGCTTTCGCGACAAATATGGTTGGCTTTTGTCGAAATCCGAATATAATACGCGCGACGAAGCCTTCAAGCTGCCGCGCCCGGGTGAATACTGGTCGGCATTAGCACAATACACAACTAGAGACTTGACGTTCCCGTCGGATATTCTAAGGGCCTTTACTGCAGTCCTGCGGTCTATTTACGGGGATTACACATACTATGGGTTACCCTTTCAAGAGATTGACGATGCAGTCCTTTGGGCTCCAAACAAGGTTACTTCAGCACCCACGAGTAAGAGGCATGGCTTTCCATCGTGGTCTTGGGCTTCCCACTGTGGCCCAGTATCTCCTCCTGATGATGACAGAGCTGCCGGACTTGCCATATGGGCTCTTCCACCACGTGGCTTAGGAACAGCAATCACTTTCTGTAGACCGCGCCAGGAGCAGCAATGGCCGAAAATGTGGTATTCCATGTCACTTTACCGCATGCGCCTAATAGCTAGCGCATTGTTCACAGGTTGTCTGCGGAGCAACATCCATCTAGACGCATGTCTCGACACCCAGGCCTGCGAGCAACTATTCTCAAGGTGGCCCGATTATGCCGCCTACTGGGACGATGTCTTTGGTCAATATCGCCAAGAGGATATCTTTTCTCCTGTGGATATCAGAACAGCGTCCCTGGGCGCTCGTATACTTGTCCATGGTCAGACTGCACATTTTATGGTCCAGCCTAACCTAGATTATTCATCAGGAAGCCATTGCATCCACTCCATGAACGGGAGCCTTTCCGGATATGTTGATATCCCGCAGTATGAGGTCCAGAAATCTACTAGGTACGTGGGTGAATTCATCGCGATATCCGTGGCGATCAGTCATCCGTTCCCGTTTTTGAGCGGTAGAGGCGGGGACGATCCAGAATATGAGGACTATTTACGTTATCGGGATGACAAGAGTGATCTTCCAGAGCATATGCGACAGGTATTGTCAAACCAGGGGGGGTTATATTTTCTGTTGGATGTCATGCTCATCAAAAGAGATGAGCACTCTAATGTGGGCAGACGTGTTGGGATAGGTCGAATATGTCTTAGGCCATGGGCAGAATCAGAGCGACGGTTTAAGACCATTGTCCTCGAATGAATATTCTACACAACCCATGTCTGCTCATGCCATAACCCTCACACTGAACACTGTATGCGGTCAACCTATTTATGGTATCAGGATACTACTGTCACCATAACCTTTTGCACACGGAGGTGGGTATCTATTGAATGACTGATTGATCTAGTTGTATCTATTTTATCCAACAAAGGAATCACAAATTGCCTGTCGTTTGTTTTTATATCAACGCCCATGTCAAAGACCTTGTTAGGATAGTTTAACACCTTGGTAGTAGATAGACCTCTATATCCGAAACCTAGCACATTCCCCTCCAAACCCCACAATCGGATCGACCAAACCAATCCCTCAAGTAAAAGGATCCACACTCAACCTACGGTTAAATACCATATCGGTTAAATGCCACCCACCACCAAACATCGGCCCACAGCGCCCCGAGGTCCCCCAAATGCGGGGATCCCAATCCAGGCTTCAAAAATCACCATAAATGTCCATAAATCACCCAGGTCCATAACTCCCAACACCGAAGTAACGTACTAATATTCGCCAAAATGTCCATGACCGTATCCGAATGCACGCAGACCCGGGACGGCTTCCCGCGGCCGTTCCCGAATACCCCGGCCAATGTCCTGGAGCAATTCAAGTTGAACGGCAAGGTTGTGGTTGTTACGGGCGCGGCAGATGGTATTGGACTTGCTGTTTCTGAGGCTATGGCTGAGGCTGGGGCTAATGTTGCTTTGTGGTATAATTCGTGAGTTCTTTCTAGATTCTCTGCTCTGGAGTTGGGGGTGAGAGTTATGATTTGGTTGCTGATTGTTGGGTAGAAATGATGCTGCTGTTAAGAGGGGTGAGGAGTTGGCCAGGGATCATGGAGTTAAGACCGTTGCCTATAAGGTTGATAGTAAGTTGCTTATCTTTCTTGCGTGGTTTGTTGCTAAGATAGATGTGCAGTATCGAATCCTGAGGAGGTGCAGAAGGCCGTAGGGGATGTCGTGAGGGACTTTGAGAGGATAGATGTTTTTGTTGCTAATGCTGGTGAGTTATGCTGGTAGACGCTGGGTGGAGATTATTCGATACTGATGATAAATAGGAATGGCTATTTCGAAACCAATCCTGGAACAAACACTGGATGAATACAGGAAGCAGATGTCTGTCAACGGTATACATTCCTCCCCCCCCCCCTAATGTTCCACCAACTGTATACTGAGTGAACATTCAGTGGACGGAGTAGTCTCCTGTGCAAAATACGCAGGCGAAGTATTCCAGCGTCAAGGCTCAGGGAACTTGATTATCACATCGAGTATGAGCGCACACATTGTAAACGTGCCAACCGATCAACCCGTCTACAATGGATCCAAGGCCTTTGTCACCCAATTTGGTAAATCACTTGCTCGCGAATGGCGAGACTTTGCTAGGGTGAACATTGTCTCCCCGGGTTTCTTTGATACGAAAATGGGTGCAAGTCCGCTTGCTGTAAATGAGGCATACCGAATGGCCGTGCTTGGAAGGCAGGGTCACGTGAAGGAAATTAAGGGCCTGTATCTATATCTGGCTAGTGATGCGTCGACGTATATGACTGGAAGTGATGTGTTGATTGATGGTGGGTATGTGCTTCCATGATTACTGGTGGGGTGTTACGTAGAATAGGTAGTGATGTTAAATGAAATAGTTCAAATTCATTGTATAAGGTAATGTGCAGCCAAACGTAATAGAGAAGTGCACCTCTCCCTCTCCCCTTTCGCTGTGCAGTCTGTATCAAGATACTATCTCGCCCAAAGTTTCATGACAGGTTTCCGGCCCCAAGCTGAGTGAAAAGTGTCATTAAAGGGTTCAGATGGGGGAGCGAGGCCGAAACAATTTCTTCAATTGATAAGGCTGCTTGGAGGATAGGCACGATATCTGTGACGATTGACTCCTCTCTCTCATTTCTCGGAGCAAACTGAAAGATCCCTCGAGGATCCCACCTTTCAATATCAAATCAGGTACTCTCATGACTAGTAATGAATGCATCTAATAATGAGGCCAGGAGGGGCTCAGTCAATGAGATACAGCCATGGTATTAGACCTGCACCGCCCGGTCTAGGTGGGCCTGCCGATCGATTAGGGCTCCGAAACTATATACTAAGGCTAAGTATGGAGAGATAGGAAGATTATGCACTGCAATGTGTCCAACATCATATTGACAAGTATTTTGCCGTGATCATCATTAGACATGAGAATCATCCTATCAGCTGAGGGCTTGAGTCTTGTCAATCGCCAAGAACACCACCGGAAAGGTTTTCCGAAACTCATGATACGAAGAAGGCAGTATGAGGCGCATGATTCAACAACATTGAATAATACATTCCCTTTTTGGCACTACCTTTCCCAGTAAGGAAAGTCCATTTATCAGCCATGTCCATGCTGCAGATCGCTATATATGTAAACTGGAGGATCGGGGTTGAGAACGAACACCTAGAGTGGGGTTTGTCTTAACGCAATTGCAGCACGATTATCGAGGACTCCGAAGGAATGATGAATTAGCAGGTTCCAACAGATACTGCCCATGAATTCCAAGATTACCATTTCCTTATATGGTGCCTGGTTATCCTTACTTTTGTTTCTTTTTTCTTTTTTAATTTAATGACTCCAAATACGCTCCGATACAGAGAGCGGAAATCCTTCCTTAAGTCCTTCTTCACCCAAATCAAGAATACATCTGTACAGCTAACATCTGGATACCATGAACTCATCAAATGTTAAGTGCAACTTACTGTGGGCTCTTTTACCACTATTTAACAAAGATGTACTATCTGAACGGTGGTATAAAGTAAAGAAGTATTAGAAGCCAGTCAGTATAGGGAACGGCCGTGGGATATGTTCTTCGAGACTTGAAGCGGCGGATCTCGCAGGAAGAATAGTCATTATAATAAAGATATAATCCGTGCATGAACCGATGATATGGCAATTCATGGCCGGGGGTCCTTTGAAAGAATAAACCCGTAGGTTATAATGACTGGCTCTGCGCCTGACGGGGTAGTTTTACTAGCGGATAGAGCATCGGCTCACTGTCTACCGACAAAGACAAATCTACCCGGAGGACAATCGTCCGCATGCACTACCGTGGTCTAGAATGGTGGGGCAACGCATGTATCCCCGTAACGGCGTAAATCCGACCGACATAAATCTATTTAATGACATAAAGGTATATCTGACAGCGGTTATACATAAATCTACATATCTTCCTCCTTCCTTGTTGTAACTGAAGACGCGCACACCCTCATCCATCCCACTCACGCAATGACCGCCCCCAAGGATATATCGAACCGCGATGAGCTCACTAAAAGAGCGGTTCCCAGTATGGTATTGAGCGACGGCAGCTCTTCATCTATGACCCCACCACCTGCAACAAATACCGAGAGTGATCCCACAACAGCGGCGCAGAAGAGATTTACGGTGCAAGGAAATGCAGTTGTTACCGGCGGTGCCGGTACTTTGGGACTGCAGTCGTGTAATGCGCTTCTCGAGCACGGCTTAAACGGTCTGATGATCATGGACATGGACCCGACGATTTCCCAGAAAGAGATCGAAGGTCTGCGAGTCAAATTTCCCAAAGCCAAAATTGCTACGCTGAAGGTCGACGTCACCGATGAGGTCGCCGTGGAATCCGCGTTTGAGGAGACCACCAAAGTGCTGGGATCAGTAGATGCGCTGCTATGTTTCGTTGGTGTTGTCGGATGCATCGACTCATTGGAGATGCCCATTCCTCAGTGGCGAAAGATTATGGACATCAACACCACAGGCTCTTTTATCTGCGCACAGGCTGCCGCCAAGCGGATGGTGGCTCAAGGAACGGGCGGCTCTATTACCTTTGTGGCATCTATCTCCGGCCATCGTGTGAATTTCCCACAACCACAGGCTGCATACAATGTCAGTAAAGCGGCGATTCTTATGCTAAAGAGTTGCCTTGCGGCGGAGTGGGCTCGGTACGGCATCAGGACGAACAGTGTTAGCCCTGGGTATATGGATACGATTCTCAATGCTGGCGATGGCATTGCCGAACACCGCCGGATTTGGGCCGAACGTAACCCCAGTGGAAGAATGGGCAATCCATCTGAGTTGACTGGTGCCATTGTATTACTGGCAAGCACCGCCAGTACATATATTAATGGTGCTGATATCGTTGTCGATGGGGGGCAGATTGTATTCTGATGGTAATTGCATTACCTTGGCTTGCGCACAATATATTAGAATCAGTACTCTCTCTCCGAAGAAAACACCATTTCTTCCTTAATTGAATAAAAATGTTGAAATATTATGGTCTTCTATTGCCGCAATATTATCTGATTTGTGAGCACCGCAAGGTGCTCTTGCCTACCTCACTGTCCTATACCGCATCTCATTAGGTGACCCTAATGTTAACCCCTTTTAGCATAGAAAAAATTATTAAATCTTGACTTGCAAAGGCGACGAAAGCCGTTTCCCTTCTCGCCCTCTCTTTCTCTCTTTCCGTTAATTCCTGGTGGTTGTTCAACATATCGGTTCACTGCCCTCCGATGCTCCAAAAATGTTCCCAATTATATTGCGGACGGGGCTCTAATAAACCTACGGAAACATGACATCTCCTCTTACCCCTCGTTGAAATACGAGACATAACACCCGACTGGCCAGGGCAGGTCGAACCTTCGGGCGACAGTCAACCGATCGACAGTCCACCAAGGAAGCTTTCAGGTGGGGTCGAGTGGATCATAGCCTAGTAGGTTCTCTTTTAAGAGGGTTGCATCTGACACTCAGAGAACTGGATAAGGACCAGTAACTGAGGTATTCTGTACTCACTACCCAGTGGCTAAGAGTATCCATAATGAGTACAGACTCCGGGAATCCATCATGCCTTCTCTACGGGCCCTTAGATGCCCGATTTGAAGATCGCCCGATGCCCGTTCTTGATAATCCACATGATGTTATTGTTCAGGTTGCTTATACGGGTGTTTGTGGGAGTGATGTGAGTTGTTTACCTCTCCGTTCCAGTATCATTTATACTATGAAATACCGGGAATTGGTATATGTATAGTAGTCGAGGAGAATATTCACTAACCCCACATAAGGTCCACTTTTGGCTCCATGGCGGCATCCGCACTTACGTCTCCGAAACCCAGCCCTTGACTATGGGCCACGAAGCATCAGGAATAATCCACAAAGTAGGCTCGGGAGTCATTACGCTCGTTCCGGGCGACAGAGTCGCAATCGAACCCGGATACCCGTGTCGTCGGTGTGCGCGCTGCAAAATTGGTCGTTATAACCTCTGTCCTGAGATGAAGTTTGCGGCTGATCCACCGTACACTCATGGTACTCTTACGAAGTATTTCAAGTTACCTGCGGATTTCTGCTACAAGATCCCGGATAGTATAAGTCTGTCTGATGCCGTCCTTATGGAGCCTTTAGCGGTAGCTATCCATGCGGTTAGACTAGCGGATATCAAGTTGGGAAACCGGGTGATTGTCTTTGGGGCAGGGACTGTTGGATTATTCTGTGCTGCCGTTGCGAGGGAGTTTGGGGCTTCGGTGGTTGTTTCGGTGGATGTCTTGGAAAATAGACTTCGGTTTGCGAGGGAGTTTATTGGGTCTGTTGGACGGACTGCTATGCCTGATCTGTCGCTTAGTCCGGAGGAGAATGCCCAACGTTTGATACAGACACAAGGGTTTGGTGAAGGGGCGGATATTGTTATCGATGCATCTGGGGCAGAGGCCTCTGTACAGACAGGTGTGTTTTCTTTACGGATGGGAGGGACTTATGTGCAGGCCGGGATGGGAAAACGCAAGATTGAATTCCCAATATCGGAGATGTGCGAGAGGGAGATAGTAGCTAAAGGTTGTTTCCGATATGGGGCTGGAGACTTTGATCTGGGAATTCATCTTGTGGGTTCAGGGAGGATACAGCTGGCGGGGTTGGTGACCAAGATCTTCCCGTTTGGGCGTGCTACTGACGCCTGGGAAACGGCTAAGCGTGGTGAAGGTACTAAGACCTTGATTGAAGGGCCAAAGACCTAGAAGTGATGTAATAAGACCTGTCTTGGTGTTTGTATTGCCTCAACGGAGGGAGGCTGGTGTTTACATTACTGTTGTACGTGGTGAACACCACCACGGTACCTGAACCTGTCGTGACGAACCTGATCATGATCGTAATAGAAAATACGACTTAATTTTCACTAGAACCTGTAGAGCCCTCCATTCGGGAACTAGGGACTATATTATCGAGAGAACGTATGGTGTGAGAGAAAACTAGGGAAGCCCTTCATTACACATGATAACCTTTATGTAAAAGTGCCATTAATCTTCCTCGTTGTGCATGTCACTGGCGGAATCGACGCGCAGCTCAAATATCAACGATCACTCTAAAGGTTTGACTGTAAATAAAGTATCCGCCAGGCTGTCCAGGGTTAAGTTGCAAGAGGAAGGTCGATGCAAACACAATTGGCTTGTCATAATTATCGTCGACCTATTGTTTTCAAAGACCAGGCATTAGTTATAATCTGGATTAGCAAGAGGGGCGACTTACGCAAAGGCGTCCCGTAACAGCCACAAGCACACCCGACTCAGGAGCTGGTGTAGCGTCTGCGGTAGTGATCACGGTTTTCACATTCTTGAACTCGGGTCTCTACACACAGAGTGATGAATAAGACAGGGATAACTTTTTATACATTTCATTGGGAACATAATACTCACATTCAAGGCTGTTATGATATTTTCTGCACCTTTGTGTTGCTGATTCTCCCAGACTAAGATGGACTCCTCACGCTGTTAGACCGTCAGTTTTCTATATGGCTGCTTGTACTGCAGCTATTGGCAGTGTGTTTCTTGAATTGGAATATACATATAAACTCGCCAGGCCAGGTCTGGCAATTGAATTGTCGAATGTGACATAGTAGTGTTGAACGAAGGTAGCTAGGCGGAGTTAGCAATCACTGACCAAGTAAACAGAGGGACGTGATAGTGATTGGAAGAGAAGAACTAAGGGGTATATACAGGCAATTGATTGATAATCCGTCATTGCTGCAACTCACTAGGGAGGCCATGTTAGCAACGCCAGGTTGGTCTATAACTGGGCTAGTAGCAGTCGAAATTGGCAAAACGTACAAGAGATAGACACCAATTCAATAGGGGGTTGAGTATGGAAAGATGTTGCATGGCCATCTGGGAGGACATACAAACCCCTTAAATCAGAGCAGTGGCATACCCCTCCTCAAGTAATTCTCTCAAAGTGAGTTGGCAATGCATGAAGTTGCAGAAGGATTCTGTAAAGACTAATTCCCAGCGCCAATATCATTGGCCCATATTAGCATTTAGCTTTAAATAACCTGGGAGACTTTCTTCGGTGGGTCGATCGATTTGAAGATCCTTCTGTGTCCAGACTAGCGAGATCTTTAGGTATTTGTCCCTCCCTCAGTTCGAGTGAACGAGATCAGGCATCTTCACGTCTGAGTGGATACACCAAGTAGCGGTGTAAACAAGATAGTTTTCCTCTGTTACACTCTGTCCAAAAAGAATGAGACGAGAAGCGATATAGTTACTTGCATTATCGTATTGTTTATGATTACTAGTGTATTATCGTTGACTAACTCACGATTGTGGTAAGTCATATATAACCAAGAGAGCGAGCTGGTTGCAGAGGTCTTTCGACGAAGCCCTGGGTATAGCAAGTACTCCAGAGCACTTCTAGCCTCAATATTGTCATAAAAAAAAATCCAACGAAGAAAGAAGATGACATTGATATGATTCAGCCCTACGCTACCATAATCACAGGTGACCACACAATTACGGTATCATACTAATCCTGCGATAGACCAAGCTAGGTTAAATGGTTAAGTGACTCGTAACCTAGAATTACGGCTAAGGATGTATCTATCCCTAACAACTGCCAAGTGGAGAATTAGTCAATTAATCGAGGGTACTATTAACAGTGTTGAGGGGAAAGCTTTGCGCAACCGCAGTTGAATTTTAAACAATCTAGTTGTGATTTGGCTTATGGTTGATAATATCGCCGGTGAAGCTATAATAGTGAAATTCTAGCCTCGTTAAGAGCATATACTGGGGAGATCTAGACACTAAATGCTACGAGTAAATGCCTCTCTGGTGTATAAAAGTCATCCAACCATGCGATATTCCGCTGGCCCTGCTCTGTCTTTTCAAATGCTCAGACCTTCACTCCTAAAGTCTTCTCCATACCACCAAAGGCGACCGAGTCCAACCGCTGTACTGACCGATCCTGCGTGAAACTGTGAAATTTGCGTAGGAACCATTCATCCGCCGTCGTGTTCTTCCCGTCATTTCCAACGAATATAGCGTCGTCTGCAGCTCGTAAAAAGTACGCTGTCGAGTACCGATCATAAGGTTGGGCACCATCCTCATCAGTGAGCGGTAAAACACGGTGCAATGCTGATCGGAATCGCTCGCCTGACAGGAACCGTAAAGTGTCCCCAACATTGACAACGCCGTGGCCTTCGCGTGTATGTACCCATTCCCACTCGCCCGTTGTCGGCGACAGCACCTGCAGCCCCGGCTGTTGTGTGAACAGCAAAGTCAATGTGCCTGCGTCTGTATGAATGTTCTGACCCAGGCCCTGAGATCCTGGAGGTTTCGGTGGGTGGTGCAAGAAATACAGAGCCGATCGCGACTGCTTGTCATCGAGATGGGTGTTGAGGAAACTTTGGATCTTCCCATCATTCGGTGTCGCATCTGCCAATGCGGAGAGAATTGTCTTCGTCACAAGATGTGCGCCGAAGTGCAAGTCATCGAATGTCAGGAGACTTTGTCTGACCACTTCTGGAAGCGGATCGCGCGAGAGCTGGGCATCGCGTGAGAGCTAGAGGTACAGGCATATGTCAGTGGGAGTATAATTCAACTAAGTCATACATATACGTACACGGAGTGACTCATAGCCATCCCTCTGGCCTTCTTTGACTCCAGATTGCTGTCCGATGGGCTTGTACCCATGGGCATCAGAGAGAGTCACCGTCTTTGCTTTCTCTTCGTTGGGCTTCTTGAACCATTCCTCAACGATACCGTTGCACGCATTCAAGGAGCTGATAAGCTGACCATCTTTCCATCCTCTCAGATCCAAGTAGAAGAATCCATCGTCGGTCGCAATCTGCACCATTCGAGAGACTTCCTCCGCATCCCTATAGGCCAGTTTGACAAAGTCAATTGTCTGCAACTTGGCCACGGGAGACAGTGCTTCTTGCAACATATTGAAGATAATAAAAAGCAGCCTCGTAAAGATGTCGGTATCTGTTCTTGGTGTAAAGCTTTTGCAACCTTCAGGGGTTTATATAGATCTTTCATGCCGGGGCCTTGTGTAGAGTGCTTGGCGTATAACATCTTCCAGAAATTTTATAGTTACATTGACTGTAGAATTCCTCGCGGCACATTCCAAAACCAAATCACACCATTGTGCTGCCGGATTCCTCATATGCAAGCTCTTCCATACCTAGAATGGGCAACCAAGCCGCCCAGGAGGCGACCCGCGCTCCATGCGGTACATATATGCATTATCTCCTCTGGAAGGAGAAGATTAACGGGTGGATACCAGGAACCCTGTCTCAGCTAAGAGAAAAGTAAGGATACACGTCGGCCACGGAAGTAGGGTTACATTCCCGATTGCAACGAAAATGGTTAGTTGCAAAGGAATATGAGCAGGGATCATTGAACAAGGATTAGATTAATAATCAGACTCCATATTAAGACATATCCCTTTGTTCTCCTGGCACGGTGTTCGTTCGGCCACAACCTTTTCTATGAAATACTTAACCTGGATTTTATAACTAGAGCCAACATATTATCCTCTTCTTTTGGCTGATAGTCTACTTAACAGCGTAGCACCATGGCGCAGCTCACAGCACAATCATTCGATCGATCAATTACCTCTCACCCACCAGATGGTGGGAGGTCGGCTTGGATATTCCTCGCCTCGGTCTCCGTCATGCTCCAGCTGACGTGGGGTATGCGCAATTTTGATCACATCCAGACTTGATCTATGCAGGCTAACATGTACCCCTGCCAGGCTTCACAATCTCATTTGGTGCTTTTCGTGAATATTACTTTTACGAGTCGGCTTTCTCCGGTAACCAGGTGATTGCTGTGATTGGAGTTGTTAGTACGGTATGTGTTCCTGATGACGCGGCTAAGAGATGCACGCGCATGTCAAGTTCCTGTCTAAGGCTTCATAGGGTGTGATTCAACTCCTCTGTCCCTTTCTAGTGCACATCCTTGGCGGAAGAGCTCGGCTGCGTAAACCGCTGCTATGCATCGGCTCAGCCATTGTAGTGGCCGCATCGATTGGGGCGGGATTCTCCCACACCCCTGTCCAACTAATAATGACCCAAGGGGTTCTCTACGGTCTGGGTAGTGGTCTCGTCTTTGCTCCCAACATGAGCCTGATAGATGAATGGTTCATCAGGCGGCGTAGTCTCGCCTACGGCATCTACTTTGCATGTTCAAGTATCGCTGCTGCCATCATCCCTCCAGTTATGCGGGTGCTTCTGGCAAAGTACTCAGCCAAAGCGACATTGATTGGCTGGGGTATATTTGTTGCTGTTGTGCTGAGTATAGCCCTGATCGGCGTGCGGCCTCGCCTGCCGTCGTCCTCCCGTTCTGCGGAGAACGAAAAAGAAAATCCTCTCTCTGGACAATTTTCATATGGATTTCTACGAAAGCCTCTGTTCTGGCTAGTTCTCTTATCCAATGTCTTACAAGCACTGTCCCAATACTTACCTTCCGTCTACATACCGTCTTATGCAACAGCCGTAATTGGTGCTTCCTCGGCAAGTGCATCGGCTCTACTCGCCATTTACAATATCGCATCCGCCATTTGTCAGCCGTTCTTAGGCTTACTCGCGTAATTTGACCCCCCAAAAAAGAGAAGGATTCCCAGTTGCGTTACTGATTTTGGAATAGTGATAAGCGAGGTATTCTGTATCCGCTGCTGCTCAGTACTTTGGTCCCAGCCATTGCTGTTTTGTGTATCTGGGGCTTTGCCACGAAATACGGCCTACTCGCACTTGTATGCATCCTATTCGGCGGTCTTTCCGGGGGCTATGTTGTTCTACGGAACCGCTTTGCAACGGCTATCGTTGGAAACAGTGATCGCCCGAATGAAGAGCTGATTGTATCAGGCCTGATCATGTTCTTCAGGGGAGGCGCCACAATCGCATCTGGCTTTGTGGCTACAGCAGTCTCCTCTGCGGGTGAAGATCGGGGTCTGCACAAAGGGAGTTATGGGGCCGGTCAATGGCTTCCATTAATTCTTACTGTTGGAATTCTCACCGGGGTCTCTTGCATTGGTGCACTGGGATTCCTGCGGGAAGTCAAGCAAGGCAGGAGCGTGGAGAACAGTAGTGAGCAAGCCCATGGAAATTCGTAAGAAGCTTACGGGCATCTGCATAATCGTTGGGAATTAATGTACTTGCACGGAATCTCCGAAAGGATAGTTTGCGCCTCGGCTGCAACATGCAAGAAATTTCTATTATTTCATTTTTCCTCCTTGGATGGGAACGATATGTTAGGGCTCAGCTTATACAGGATACCAACCTCCAATGACAATTCAGCAACGCTGCGAGCTATATACATAAGGGGAAGGGTTATTTCAGTCGTTTGACTGGGTCGGTCCACATGTTTATTATTATTTTATTCTTCTTAAAACGGCTCTCTTTGACTGGCAAGTAGAAAATATACAAACTTCCTTAGTAGCACCCTGTTTAATTTGTTTCAATTACCAATCTAGGATATACAAAAAGAATCGCCGAAGTTCGGCATCAGCCAGGAGCGGGGCTTGCTGTCTTGTACCTATGCGGCATCTGTCCGTGTCTTCCGATGGTATAGTTCATTCTCTCAAGGGTCTTATTACAGTAGGTTAGCGAGTTCTATCACCGTGACGCCAATACGGGATGAGCTGGGTGTTATATTATTGGTTCGCTTTTATTGCATTTAATATTTTAGATATCACACGCCTATATTACACATTTATTACGGCGAGGCCTCTTGTGATTCAAATTAGTCTATGGCATCGAGATGCATAGTCTGTTCTCAAATTCGCGGTGGCCGCGCCATACGCAATCAGCAGCCAGCCTAGTCGTTGATCTGGTTGGGGGTGTTATGGCGACATACATCTGACAGTTTTACATCCTTGGAGGGACATTAAACTAGCTAACATGAGTGCATTTACAATGCATGCCCGGCGCTTTCTTCAGGTCTAGCATAGGCGATCCAAGAAGATGACGAATTATCCCTGACATCCCCATGTCCTATATTTCATTCAAATATGACCCTCTTGTCTCGTCAATGACAAGACTTGATGGTACGTCTATTTAGCATGCGGGCCTGTCCCGGATGTCGTGTAAGAACAGGTTGCCAAGGTAGCACAATTTATCCAGGCCCAAAGGTACGAGTATCTAGCTAGTAAAAATTGAAAAAAAAAAAAAAAAAAAAGAGAAAGAAGAGAGCCCAGATAATGATCGTATCGTATCAGTGCCTGCCAATTTGTTCCGTAGTGGTATCGTCACGGTCGATAATTTATCTATCCGTTAGCTGGTATAGTTTGCCCTATGGCAATTTCATTGCATTTGATTATGATCTACAATAGAACAAGCAAGGTCTAGTGAGAGGAGATGCTACGTTACACACGCAATTGTATTACTAAATGACGAAGGTCCCCTGTATCACATGCAGAAAGACGTGCATATATCTCGTGCAAGGATCCTGTTCCTGTCCCGCTTGTGCAGGCCAAGAACGATGAGAATTTCGGCATACTTTACACGCCAGGCGTCATCAGCAGCCAAGAAACTAGGGCATGGTTCCAGACTCTGCTCCAAGTTAATGTGGCTAAGCTGATCTATAGACATTTGGAAGAATGTTACAATTAGAGCAAGGATGGATTATGATCATCTAGCGAGCCTTTGCTGGAGCTGAGCAGTTGATGACGCATCCAGGACTTCTCCATCCCGACACCAAATGACACCATCGGCTGAAGATCTGCAACATTCCGTACTTTCGAAGACCCAGTCGTGGTCTTGATTGTGCATTGAGGAATGAACCGGGTTTCTTTGGCATTTCGTACAGATATGGGGAATACATAAAGCCATGACAAGTGCAGTGCTACCCAGTATGTTCATTACCAACAAGTACCGCACTCTTTACACATTGTGACCATCTAATTTTAACAAGGAGAAGTACACGGAGTCATGGGTGTTCACATAACAGACAATAGCCCTCCTTTTCCCAATCCTGGTGTCGTGCCGAGGGTTGCCGATCTCCATACCGTCAAGTTCGCGCCTCTTCTTGATCGTAACGAGACGGAGTTGGCCAAACTTGTCGAGGCTTGTGAAAAGGATGGGTTTTTCTACCTCGATCTATGTGATAAGGGAGCTGAGCGGTTGTTTCAAAATCTGGAGGAGGTTTCGGATCTGGTCAAGAAATGGATGGCACAGCCTCGAGACCAGAAATGCCGAACTGTCACAAGTATGTTTTATGGACATGTTTCGATCCATCCCCAATTGAATGCCCTGGCTTTCGCCCAGGCTAACCCAATCTAATGCTGACCGACGGTTTGTAGCTTCCTTGTCCCACGGGTACAAGCCGACAGGTGTCCAATCCGGAGCAGTTGAGTCCCGAAAGGACGGGTTCGAAGTCCTCAAAGTCGGCCGCCAAGAGCTGCTCGGCCGCTGGGCTTTGCAGGATGTTGTGCTTGAAAACCTGAAGCTCTTTGATGACTTCATGGCCATGTCGCACTTCATCCTCAAAACCCTGCTAGAGCACCTGTCCGATGTTCTGGGGTTCAACGAACCAGAGACACGTCTAGAAAGATGGCACCAAGACCATATAGCCTCGAAGTCGACCTTGTATTTCCTCAACTATCCCGAAGAGGTCAAGATCAAGGAGAACGGGTCAGGGCAGAACATGCACACCGACATCGGCACGTTAACCCTGCTGTTCGCCCCACAATGGGGTCTCCAAGTCCCAGGAGAAACTACCAAGGAGTGGCTGTGGGTTAAACCGAAGCCGGGACACGCTATAATTAACGTCGCGGATACCCTTCGGTTTCTCTCGTGTGGACGTTTCCGTTCCGCCTTGCATCGCGTATTGCCTATCGATGGACAGGTTGGGGATCGGTTTTCCATATCATACTTCTTGCGCGCAAACAATAACACAGAATTTATGGCCAGCGATGGATCGAATTCGAGTGCGAGAGATTGGTATTTCAAAAAGTATGCTACATATGAGAAACCGCATGATGAGCAGAAAAGGGAGCCAGTCCTCACTGGTGGGATGAGGGAGCTAATCGGTGTATAACCTCTGGAGAAGCAGTCCACAGGTGGAGGCGAGGGTAGTTTGTTGTGGAAGAGAAGACTTGAAGATGAACACTGCGGGACGGATCTCCATTTTCGTGCCACACGTGAAAGTAGTTCAGTAGGAAGCTGTTATCGCTGGGGTGGTATATCTCATATTTTTTTATACAAGATTTCAACTAGAAAGTCGATCAAACAGGTGCAATGAAGCAAGCTATTTATATCTACTGGCCCTGGACAGTTGGCAACATTACGTTGCCGAATGGTTGTGAACGGCTAGAGATACCCCATATACTAGGGCAAAATAGTTAGTATACATACATGCCTTTCTATCCGAGAACCTTGCAATAGACCAACTCTAAACCCACAGCCGAACTAGAATACCTCCCCTGCAGAGAGCTCCCGATGCCGAAATACAGAGTCAAACTTGTCTCAGTCATCTTTTCTAGGTAGATAACGATATTTACCTGTTTGCACTTGACACTGAACTGGATATCACTGGAACATACAACATTTCTTCAATCTACGACTGTAACCTTTGTATCTCATCTTTTCCCCTCGATATTCCGCATGCCCACACATATATTCTAACCAGCAGACTGAGCCACACAAGGATATAAGTTGTTGTTTCAGTCTGTAATGATAAGAATATGCATCGGAACGTGGCCATCGACAATCTCACGTGGCCCTACGTCATGGGCCGCACCACCGACGTCACAACCCGATGGAGTAATCTAGTTTTATATCAAGCCCTATACATACTCATCTAGATTGTCAAAATCCGCTTCGCATCCTTCTCCTTTGGAATACTAAGCCTTTATCTTTCCAAGTGCAACAGCCATACTTCTTTCTACCATATTAATTACTAAATATATACCATGAACTCACCCAGCCCCGACTCTCAACCTCAGGAAGAGGAAGAAAAGAAACAACAACAATCTTACTATGACTGGCTTCGCGAACAATACAATATCCAGTACGAGAAATGGTATCCATGGCTCGAAGATCAGTACCTAAAATGGTTTGGGAAGGGTGATAATAAAGCTTCCTATGTTACCAAGGGTATCTACACCTTGTATCTATGCATGTGTTTTATCTTATGATGTGACGTATTAGCTAACTAGAGTCATCTTTATATAGACACTCTAAACAACACCAAGGCCAGCGGCTTCGAGCAAGTTGATCAACTACAAGATGACGTACATAATCTTGTCGGAAATCAACTCGGCGATAATGGATTGCTCTCGCCTGTTGGCAAGATGGTTTCTAAAGAGGGGATTAATCGAGGTGAGAGAAAGGGGAAGGATGAAGAGGGGAGATATGGATTTGGGGGCTTGGGGATTGCGGGGAAGTGATTCACAACTAGGGGAGGATGAACGACGAGGGAGAAATTGTATGATATTACTGTGGACGGTATATCTTGGTTTTGTCTCGGTTTAGCTTTTCGGATAACTCGATGTTGTTACAGTAGTTATATTCATGATACCTTCCTTGTTCAGAGTCCAGTTACGTGATACAAGTCATCTACAGTACCGCTCTAAGCAAAAGACGACTTTTGCTCCGTAATTATTGCATTGTTGAATTACATTGTCGAGTGCGCAATTGTACGAACATGGTTAGAAAGGTCTATGCACTTCGGATCTTGTATATCTATGGCAGTGAGATCTCGTATACCTTACCCTTCACACTCGAAATCTCCTCGGTATATTCACTCCCATTCACACTAAATTGCCGTCCATCCTGCACACGTATCGCCAACTTCCCTCCAGCTCTAGCCGTTACTCTCGCCCAAGTCAACTCGCCATCAGACCATTCCATATCCACGACAAAGTTCCCCCTTGCCACCAACCCAGACACCTTCCCATTTGATACGGAAGAGGGCAAAGCCGGTAAAAAATGGACGACTCCAGCATGACTCTGCAGCAGCATCTCAGCAATGCCCGCCGTGAACCCAAAGTTACCATCAATCTGGAAGGCCGAACCAGGCCCCGAGTCTGTATTCCACAGATTCGCACTCGGATACGTCCGCAAGAATACCTGCGTATGGTTCCACGCGGCGTCTCCATCGAACAAGCGAGAGTAAAGGCTAATGGACCATGCCCGCGACCAGCCTGTACTACCGCTGCCGTGCGCGATGCGGTGATCCAGCAGGACCTTCGCCGCCGCGGCTAATGTTGAGTTTACGAGGGGTGTCATCTGTGTGCCTGGGAAGAGTCCGAAGATGGGACTCATGTGTCGATGGCCTGGTTCTGTTTCCTCGTATTCGTGCCTCCATTCGAGAATTTGTCCGTAGGATCCGATTTGAGGGTGTTTAATACGTGGTAAGGAGGATGAGGCTCTGGCGGTATCTGTGTTGTTGATACCGACGATATTGCCGGTTTCTATGATAAAATGGAAAAGGTCTGATAGGAGTGTATTGTCCATCGTCGGGGCGATGTCGATGCCCTCCTCTTTACCGCTTTCGCTCATATCATTGGGTACAGTGAACGCATTTTCTGGTGAAGATGAAGGTCCTGTGCTCAGATACCCGTTGAAGAGGAATAAATAACAGTGGTAAAATTGAGCAGCGGACTGCAAGAGCGGCCATATGCGCTCTTTCAGGAGAGTTGTGTCCTGCGTAAAACGATGGTGTTCCATTAGATTCGCCGATAGCCAAGCACCGCCCATCGGCCACATCGTCCACTTAGTTCCGTTGTTCACTGGAACGGCATCTCCCCAGAGGTCCGTGTTGTGATGTAAAACATAGCCTCCATTGTCACAGTGGTACATACGCCGTGCGATATCTTGACCGCGGGGCTTCACGGTCTCGAGGAGAGATATCAACGGCCCTAAAGTCTCTGCCAAGTTCGTCACGCCGGCGGGCCAGTAGTTCATCTCCAGGTTAATGTTAACCGTGTAGCGCCCTCCCCACGCAGGCTCGTAGTCCTCATTCCAGAGTCCTTGGAGATTGGGAGGTAACGGCGAAGTGCTAGTCTCACGCGATGATGCGATGAGAGAATGCCGACCGAACTGGAACATGAGGGTCGCTAGTTCGGGGTCCGCGTCAGGGTCGGTCCTGTATTTTGCAAGTCGGACATCAGTGGGCAAATCACCCGCGGCATGAGACGACCCCAAATCGAGATGAACTCGGCCTGCGAGGGCTTCATGATCAGCCGTGGCCGATTGTTCGATGACAGGAAAACTGGTCCGCACGGCTGCGTCTAGTTTGCGGTCTAGCTCGGCCTCCCATGCTGCCAGGTCAGCGTAACGATAAGATGTTTCGGCATCAATGAAGATGTCCACAGCTGTTGCATTTTGCACTACTACAGAGCTCGCGTTCCGCGATACTCGCCCTTCAACGGTTAGTTATCATCCGTAGTAAGTCTTGGGGCACTCACCTCCATGAGCGACAATACGCGCCGCTGCCGTAAAGTTGATCCCATCTGACTCGGCCGTCGAGGCGCGCAATTTAAGTGATCCAGTGCCGTTCCCCACGGTCGCCGCTTTCTCTGTGACGTAGCGATCGCGAGAAATCGAAGCAGCGACATTTAACCGACCAGCCTCACTAGCGCTAAGCCGAGCGGCAATTACTCCCGCTGGATGGCTTGCAACGTACTCCCGCCTACTTAATATTAGCCTGTATTGCTCGCTACCTCAAATAGTCTCACATACCGGAATTGAACACCATGGTACTCATAATCCACGATCGCACGGCCCTTAAGCAAATCTAACGACCGGGTATAGTTCTCGACATGCGAATCCTCTTGACCAAAGTGCAGCACCAACGAACCAAGCGGGTGATAAGCCCGTGGCTCATCTGGACTGCCAACCATTCTCGCCAACGTCATCTGTCCAGCTGCTGTGATGTTCCCTTGTTTAAGCATAGACCTGACGGGGTCTAGAGCGCTGTATGCGTCCGGGTTGACGCGGTCCATGAACTGGCCGCTCCATATGGAGTTCTCATTCAGGGTTATATTTTCTACGGTAGAACCCCATACTGCTGCGCCGAGTCGACCATTTCCTAGTGGTAGTGCTGAGGTGAAGTTGTTCGCTGGCGAGGTGTACCATGTGAAGCGGGATGGATCGAAGCGGGCGTGGACAATGGTGGCCCAGACAGCTAACTGCAGGAGGGGAAAGAGTAGCATCTTTTCCCAGTTTGTATATGCGCGAGCTGAATAATTGCAATTGTGGGAGGAGGGTCATTATAAATTGCGACCGGTAGTTGTGGCAAGATACATGCATCAATTGATTGATTGTTCGTGGTAATTCCACGAATCAGCGAGCGGGAGATTGTGCACCAGCATGGAAATACACCAAGTCCACTCAACAGTGCCTATGTCGATTCATGTTGAGGTCATTTTAGCCGGTTAAATCGACCCCCTCATCTTGTGTTGTGGGAGAATTCTAATATGCACCGTCGCTTTGCGTGCCGGATTGCTGTAATGGTGTGCCATCATAATTCAGCTTCCATTGTATACTGGTACTACTTGGAGACGTATCGCTTTCTCTGGATGCGTGAAATCTTGCTGTGCAATTTATAAGAAAGTCTCAAACATCAATATCCAATAAATTTTTCATCGGTTATCTTACCGTCGACATTGTGCATTGTTAGCCGCTGACCCCGTATAACCATGCAATCCACAATTCGTCCATATCCACACTCCCTATCGGTTTTATGGTATTACTTGTGTGAGACGTCCTGAGTTCTTACAAACGCGATATAGCTCACCTCATCATACCATTTCATGTCCGCAATCCTGGGTAATTTGGCGCGACCTAATCCGTAATCACAGCTTCCTTCGCCTGGAATCTAGACATATGGATTATGCTTTTTCGTCGAGGATCTATTCCCAAGCATATCCGGTGCGCTAGTCACAGGTTTGATATTGAACTGGTGATTGGACAGAGTTGTAGGCCCACCCTCTCCTTTCTACAACGCGGAGATAAATGGAGAACCGCAAAACGACCCGGACTCTAACAGTCAACCCAGTGAATTCCTATCACAAAGGGCAAATTATCGACTTCTATAGAAAGCATTAGTTTCGTTCGTATGTTCTTCAACATGTTAGGGAAATAAGAACTAAGTTGTCGGGTACAGCATCAAACAAAGCCTAATGAAGCCCACTCGCCCTGGTTTGTATACTCATTGAGAGTCGAGACTGTGCCTATATGCAAATTGAAGGTTTTCCAAAGAGTTTTAGGAATTCACTGCAGATTCAAGAGCTATTACAAAATGCAGTATGAGGAAGATCCGTATCTCAGATAGCGGAACCATCGCAACTTGGTGATTTATCATGGAGCTAAAAAGTCGCGACAAGATGGTAGTCACGTGTCCTTGCTTATTACCACCCATTATCCTATTCCGGAACTCCTCTTCTGGGTCTCGTGTCCTCCAATATTAATAGGTTTACAAATTATGTAGGCATAAAGACAATGATATTTTGTCTAGTGCAGGAGAGATCTCTGGCATAACTGTTGGTTGTGTGTTGTATATCCATCTACATCTCCGCCCCACTTCTCCACAATATATATCCGTGTACTCCGTAAGCTGGATACATCATTTGTCTGGGGTTAATGAAGGAGCGAATCAGGAACAAGGAAAATTGAGGTGATACTTACTTCCTACTACTACTAGTAGGCTCAAAGAGGCAACCTTGCATGTCAGCTGAGTCAACGATGTGCACATATATCACATGACTGAAAACACAAAAGACACACTGTCTTGCTCAGGACTTAGAACTTTGTTCATAGGGAACTACGAGAATCAAAATAATGGACTGTGCTGTTGGAGAGAAGTGGTGATTCTAAGATACGTAATGCTAAGGTTCAGTCTCTGGTGGGGTTTACTATAAGATGGCAGAGTTGTACGATCGCTAGCACGGTTGGAGAGGACGTAGTAGCGTTGATCATGACGCGATGACATGGTGTGGCGGTAAATATACTGGCAGTGAATACATCCAAAAGTCTTAGTGCATGGTAGACCTTGGAACGCCTTGTTTCCATCGTCGTGCCTCTTAGGATTAGCAGTCTTGTTCTATCAAAGTTGTCTATGTAGGGCTTCGAATACTCTTCGATATGCTATTTCGGGTAATTATGAATCCTTATAATGGGTTTCTCATTTAATAGAAACCTGAGTACTATTCTTGGTGTAATTTAGGGCTTCCACGACACCATGGTGGCTGCATACCGTTGGCCAAGGGCAACCAGCCCTCGCGACACGTAGGAGATACAGGAAGCATCCCACCAATACTCATGCGATCATGACCTGCAACAACAACACGACCACTTTCGATCAGCCTATCATTACGACTCGTTTAGCATTCGGTGGCAATCGACTCCTTGGAGCTTGCAAAGCTAGTCGAGCCACGGCGGAGTCCGATTGGCATGACCGCAGCGATCAGTCGCGTTTCCAGGGGCGCTGTGCAGCAGACCGGATCGACGGCGACACGACATCCAATCGCTTCCCTCCTTGATGATCCTGGTGAAGGGACTCGACTGGTCGATAGATTGAAGGTATGCAAATGTCTCGTGACTCTACCCCGCGTTACCATGGATTGATACGGCTGAGGAATTGATATAAAGGAGCCCAATCCTGTCCTACCTGCTCTCGTATTTCTTTGGTCCTCATCGAGTCACTCTGGAGTGACAAGAGCTGGAACACAAAACCTCGTTGTGACTAGCTGATACTTCTCATTTTATATTCTTTTCTCTACTATCTACCAATCTATCAAACACGATGTCTGCACCAGTGGTTCAGGGCCTCTCCTCCTTGGGCTCTCAGGCCGGACAATATGCCAGGCGTCAGGCCAACACATGGAGAGACAGACTCTTGACTACAGGTATGTAATCAAGACTCGAGACGCTCTCTCACATTTAACTCCCTTGGACATGAACCTAACCCAGACAAGACAAATCTCGCCGTAGGGCACAAATTGTTCAAACCTCGTTCGCAGTCCACCGACCCGTCTGGGTTACGGCTGGTGGCGCTGCATACACAACTGCAGCGGCAGCACTGCTGACACTACGATACATGAAACGACTAAGATGAATGAATTAATGGAAGGAGGGGTAACGAGATCCTTGATGGATAGTGACAGGGATGTTTCTGGTAAACATACACATACAGCGGGGGACTGGTCCACGACTGCAATTTCATTTCCTTTGTGATTTTTCTTTTTTTCTTTTTCTATTTTTGATTTGTGATAAGTGGGAAATATTAACTATTCTTTATTGGGGGCGGGTGATTTGTCTATAGCCACGCCAGATGGCAGGGATGGAGTTACGGAATTGTTACATCCAGGAAACTCAATGAAATGATGATCAATCTGAACAACCAACTAATTTAAATTGCCTGTAGGACGGGTGGCTGTAATTGAGATGGGTACGGTATTGTCAGAAAGTATCCTGAGCCCTCCTTAAATGGACATGGACGCAAACAACAAAGACTCGACCAGGGTCATCACACCACACCCGTCATGCCACATCGACAGACTCTGGAGGTACATCAATGTACCTCCGTGGCTCCCGGGAGTCTCTACACGAAACACACTACAAATCCCCGGAATAAAAACCCACCGACCCCATCTAAAAGCTTCATTAACACTAAAACACAGCAGAGCGGGTCAATATCGAGCCTGGGGGTACTTCACAACAGAGTGGAGGTACCTCAGAGGTACCTCCTGGAACTTCCAGGTCCAAGGTAACTCCCCCCACAGATCCACCAGAGCTGAAGTAAGATTACTCTAAATTACCGGCGACTCCACCGCCTGGTCATCGAATTGTCAGCGTACGTATCCGTACTTTGTAATGGATGGGGTCGATTGGACGAGACGTGCAGCCAGACTTTCGACCCCGCTCGATGGCACCCAATGGCCGGCTATTATCCCAGGATGGCTGCAGGATACCCCGGATCCAACTTCTCAAGGCAACCCCGCACTCGGCACCACTTAGGATTATCCACTTGCCGAAACTGGGTTTTGCGATCTTAGTCGTAGTTTCAGGTCTAGTGTCTGCTGAGACGTTGCCGTTTTCTCTCACCATTTGTCAGACAGGGCAATCTTCACTCTGCACTCTCCCTGGCAAAGTTAGGGCATTCTCATAAAATAACTTATCAAGCTAACAAAGGGACATCTCGATCGCGACAACCCCTAACTTCAATCCACGACATTAGTCCTGTATGCGCTTCGATGAACAGTGGTAGATCATGTAACTCTAGACGAGCCACTGATGCAAGCTGATATCATCAGTGCCCCGGCAGGTATTGATAATCCACTTTCCTTCCGCTTTCGTTCGGAGCCTTAGGGCACTGTTGCCTCGCCAGTAATTGTCATATGACGTCCACAGCCCTAGCGCGGAGGTTCCATTTTAGGCCATCCACGCGATGCATGATCCCGTCCGCGTATCAGAGCACTGTTTACGGTGTTGCTGGAGGGAGATGACAAAGATGATTCCGCTCATAACTTTCACGGCTTTTCATCTTGTTCTGAAAGCTGAGTGGCTGTGTTTATACCATACTCGCCGTGTTAAGGCACTTCTATACGTTGCATGAATTCAGAAATCGCGTTAAAAATGGCTGTCATTGGAGAAGTTATGGATAGTGTTCAAAACTACTAAGTAAACATCTACAGGGTATGAAGGCTATTGCTGTAAGGGTGCTTTTAAAAGTCCCTTGGGCGCGCTACTGATGCGTCCAAGGTGGCGCCACGCTGGCTAAGTAAGGCCTATTGGTTTATTTTGGAGCCTTTGTCCGTTTGTCTCTTGTGGCGAGATTAGCCCTGTTTCATGCCTTTGACCTCACAGATCACGCGCACACAACAATGAAATATTCATAGCTTTTAGGTTAAATAGAAATTAATAAATCGAAATAAGCTGACCTCAAGGAAAAGCCCAGGACTCGTCCATGACATCGCGCCCGCGTGTTTGTCGCCCTGCATTTTACCTCTCTTCAAAAGGAACCTTGCCAATGGGGCTCACTGACTACAGAATATACTAGATGTTGACTAATATAGATGAATAATTGGCTTCTCTACGGAGTGACATTTAACCCTCCTGATGTACAAACAATGTTGATCCCAAAAGAACTTGGCTATATCATAGGCACAGGCAGATTATCTTTCCTTCATCAGTAGCCTTTCATCTCTCGCTAAGTCCTCACTCTACCACCGATATATTCACCATGTATCTAGGCACGGGTCTTCACCATGAAATCCAGAGCTCAGCAGATCGAACCCCAATTAAAAGATATATAACGCACTGTTTTGCCAGTGACTTACTAATATCTAAGAATTATCTTCAAGTTGACACACTGTGTTATTAGGAATAGAATTTTATTAATACTGTACTCGATAACTTCAGCTTTTACCTTCCTACTTGGGATTCGGAAGATACGCTGTATAATTTTATAAAATCTTCTGTTGTCCACCAGACAGCCCACACACCTAGTATATTTCTTTTCGCAACATTTTCTATTCAACCACGATCCTGTTCTTAGTTGACGGTGAAACGCTTAAGAATGTAATACTATCTTGCCACATATTCAATACATTGAGTATGTGAAAAAAAAAAAAAAGTGATTGATACATTCAATGAATACAAAGGTTCTTTGGAGAGATTTATATTTGGAAATATGTACAATGTCAATGAATGTACAACTTACAGGTCTATATAAGTGGACGAATATCAAAGACGCTTGCCCTTTAACTTATCTATGAACCTTCTGGTAATGTCATAGTCAGACTAGCATGCTCATTATTTAAAATTGTAAGTATTTGCTATTAAATCCGAAGAAAATCCTCCTAAATAACTCCTGACAGTCCGATATCTGATGTCCAACTTCCTACAGCCTTCACATAAGTGTATGAAACATGGATATTTCAACAGGTTCAGTCCTGAGCGAGACACAAATTGCGATACTCCGTTCTCTCGTTGCTCAACTTTACCCCTGGCACCAAGCCCTCCGCACAATCAATATCCTTAAAAAGCGACCACTGTCCACCAAGTTCTATAAACAGTACACCCACAATAAGAGCAATAGCCCTAGGTCCAAAAACAGCCTGTGCCGGACAAATAAACGGCTTACTGCCGAACGGAAAGAACGCGAATCTCTGCTGCGGCGTCAAGGCTCTCCAACGTCGTGGATCAAACAATTCCGCATTGGAACCCCAGATATGTATTGCAGTCTGCGCCCTCTCAATGTCCGCATTCAACACTTCGACTGTATCTGACCCCGCAGGGAGGAATGCTCGATGCACTCGCTTCGTCGGCGGATATAGACGCAGTGCCTCGTTGACTAGCATCTCTGCGGAGAGGTTTTGGTCGCCTTTGGGTCGCTCGAACTCATTTTTGGTGGGTGTATGTGCAAAGGTAGCTAGTATCTCGCGCCATTCACGGTGGTAGAGCCCTGAAGTGTAGCGTACCTCGATGAAGAAACGCAGGACAATTCGCCACATGGTCTCGAAGCCTGGGATGACCAGATTCAACGGGTTCTCTTGGGGATTAAGGCAGTTCAGGTTTGGGATCACTGTCACCAAAGACGTTTGGAGAGGAATGTTGTCTTGAAAATATACGTGGTCCGTCTTGCCTTTGGACGAAATCCATGTATCGTTAATCGCTTCCGCAAGTCGGAGTAGATGATGGTCTGGTATCTCCAGGGCCTCGGTTTCCATCTGGAATAGCACGCACAATACCACGCGCAAGACCAACACTTGTACCAAGTTTGTTAACATGATACGTGTGTTGTCAGGGCTGTCTGCAATTGCGTCGTCAATACTACGCTGTGCTGCGCTGCGCACGAAGCCTGACAAGGACTCCCAGGCTATAGGAGATAAGTTGATCAGGCTTTTAGCTCGTCTGATGAAACATTTCGCCTGAGCTTCATTGTCGGTGGTTAAGGCGTTTTCGATTCCAAATACAACATGCAATCGCTGGTTTGGAATGGCTCTAGATTGACGTGCGTTGAGCTGATTAGGCAGTTTTTCATCCAACCCTTTCCCCTCTATTATGCGACGGTATGTTTCGGGGTCGACACTGCAAGCAATCGGTTTCTTTCCTCTTATATGAACCAAGGGGTACAGAGGAAAAGATAGCAAACGAAGTATGAGCAGTACTATCCAAAAGAGTAACAACATAGCTCGGGTTAAAGACTGGTGGATCATGGGGCTGGATGTAGCATAATATGAATGGAGGGAAACTAGGAAATTGCTGATTGATTCAGAGATCAGATGCGTATACAACAGGTTAAGTAGAGGCGACAGAGGTGTGTAATTGTTGGTTCACCACAACGTGCTCCAGACAATGCCGTTCAGGTCTAGCGCCTGATCTCTTTATTTCTCTACCTGGTTCCTTTTATTGCATAGGCAGAATAAATGGGGCTTCGGCACCACATAAATAGTGAATATAGACCTAATCATTTATAGAATTTGGCCCCTCGTCATAATTCTATATATACAAATGCGATGGGCGAACAAGTGCAGAGGATTTACCCCCACCCGTGCGTTGTTAATCTCTGAAGGCTATTACCTGGACCCTAAGACTGCGACAGAACACCCAGGCCGTCAGCATGTCTACATATAGAAGTTCCGATAGGGACCACGGGGTCACATTCAGATACGTCAGACACTTGTTCACAAGTGAGAAAGTGAGGTGTGGGTCATCGCATAATGCAAAGTAGCCATGAAGGCCTGGGACTAGGATGATGATGATGATAATGATGATGATGAAAGGTCCATGAGTTTCGCAGCGTCCTTGGGTGGGTGGGGAGCGATGCAAACAGGTTGCGGGTCTCTTCTTCGTCTTGGTAAAGTCTTGGTTGGGCAAGTCTTGCATTACATTACCACTTCTCCAGTTTAATACTTTAGTATGCATGTCCACAAAACCCTTTGGTGGTCAATTATATAGTTAAAACTCCATACGTTGCTTTGAAATAAAGACGTGTTGAGCCAGAAGCTTGCTTTCGGGGATATGTCACCACTCAATTCCAGAATAAATGGAAGGGTTGGCGACTGTCCTTAGTTTCCCTCCGATGCTACGTCCTGTGCTCAGACCCAAGGCATTAACTATAGGCCAGGGATAAATATCGGTTCAGGTGTAATATTAAATGTTCATGGTATGAGGCCATTTGGTGTTTTGGCCGAGTGGTATTGAGAAGAGCCACATGTCCAAGTATTGTCTTTTTATAGAAAGGTCTTGTGAACGATTTGTCTGGATGCCACGAAGGCTGATAGATTCACGCCAATGAGCGTTACCTGTGATGTCGAAATCCCGCAATTGCAATCCAGGTCGATATTCTACCAGTTATGAAGCCGAGTTTGGTGGCTAGCAGTCCAAAAAACGCCATAGAAATTCGTAATGAAACGATCAATCGAGGTAGCGCTCACATTTAAGTCAGGAACGGAGTCTACTCTAAGCCATTCCAAAAGCAGACGTTCCGACCGCATGCGATTTTAATCACCAAAATAGGAATAGAGGCTCTCCCTCTGAGGACAGAATGTATTTATTTATTGAGTCACGTTTAACGTCCGTATACAGCCAATGGGGTGTGACAGAGAAATGCGTGTAGGCACTGATCTAAACCACTGACACTAGATTGTGCATAGAAGCTCTACCAGCCCCTTCTGTGTTCTGTGTATCTGTTCTGGTCCCTCTCCTTACCTACCGTACCTGATCACCTGACGCCCGCCTCCACCTGACGCCCGATTTCCTATGAAAACCAGAGTTAAAGATGAAGCTCTACAACCACATATAATAATTACCATCGTATTATTTCTTGGTGGTTTAGTATTTGAACTATATAGAGTATATATAACTATTTTGATGATCCCGAAAGCGCGCAGATCGACAGATCTGCGTGCGCCGACGATTCACACTATATAAAGCCTTTGCAACAACCACCTTATTTTGATTACTAATATCCTTCCTAATTTTTGGAGTTGACAGTATAAGGGTGTTACGCCCGGGGCTTCGTCGTCAAGACCAGTTAGCGGTTACTAACCTGAAGTCGTCCTTTGACTTCCGTCGTCAATGGGTTGCGGTCTTGGCAGGACGGGAGTCGTTGTTGGACTGCCGTTGATACAAGGCTGCTGTCGACACTAGACTGCTGTCGATACTAGACTCGAGTCCAAAGGGCCAGGCCTATTAAGTACTTATACCCAATAGTTAGAAGGGTATAAACGAGTTGAGACTGGTCTTGCTACTAAAGGTAACTCTGTAGTAAAAACGTGGATTGATCACGAAGAACTAAACTAAGTACATGAATAAGTGTCCTTATATATCCTGAGCTCCTTAGCTATATACTCCTATCGTGACTCTCTCGGGGGTAGCAGATGGAGTATATCCAATTGTAGCGCGTAGTACCGTATACTCCCGGTATACTTCTACTGGGATAGATTCTGGAATAGATATAACGTGATGGGCCTGGTATCAGCTGTTCGTTAGCCGTGTTATCGGATACTCCCTATAACCGTTCTTTGGTAATCCTTCGGCCGTCTTCAGCTCTTATCGTCTTACGGTTTTCTGCCTTGTGTGTCCGCTTCCGATAAAGGTACGCTAGACAAGGGTCTGTAACATATATTGTATACCACAATAATGTCGAGATAGTGTAGACCAGCTTATACCATATTTTTTAGCAGTTCTTATATAATTTATCTTTTCTCCTGGTTTTAGGCTTTCGATCTCAGCTATCGCTACCTTAATTAAAGCTATATTGGCAGAGTTATAATGGTTTGAAAAGTATCGAAAATCGATGTATATCAAAATCGGGAGTCAGGTGATCAGATACGGTAATCCATCTATCTGTTTTTAGAGTTGATCGGGTTCCCCGCTGAACCCGCGCTGAACCCGGAAAACCCGTAAAAAACCTGCGAATGGCTTTCATCGTTGTTGCTCGACTGCCTTCTTAGTGGTTTTCGCCCACCGTAGCCAGCTCATACACTAGTCAGTTCCAACCAACATCAATGCAACATCATCACCTTACACACGCTGAGTCCCTACCAGGTGCGGGTTGTCAGGTGAAAAATCCGACCCGATAACAATTCTAGTTGGACCTGCAGGTTTTGGCGAGGCCTAAGTGTAGGTAGAGAACGAGAACGAGACACGCCAGGCAACATTTGAATGCGTGGAAGTGAGTATAATATCCCACGAACTAATACCGGTACTTTTCGGTGAAGAAATAATGCCAACATATGGAGATAGTAGTATCTGTAGATGGTCATGAGGCTTAAATGTGTACTGCGCTTTTGTCCCTGGACCATCGTTTCATGACGAAGGTGGATCTGTCCAAGATGCTCGGCTCTGTCGCACTTCAACCGATTGGTTGGACCGGCCGCAATCGATATCGCCGACGATTAGTCAACGCCTGCCGCGTTCCCTCCAGGACGGATGACACTTCATGCTAGTTCAATTTCGAAGAACCCTTCGGTTGCGCGCCCTAAAGCCGACGGCTTGTTGTCCATGAGCCTCACAACGCATGACCGAGATAGAGCAGCGGTAATATCCTCCACTTGTGTTGCATCATGGAGGCTGGGGACCTTGCTTTGGAAAGGCCAAGAAACGCTCGCATAGCGTATGTCAACATTCTAGCTGTAATCACTTTGGTCCTATTGCCAAATTTTTGCTCACAGCTGTAAAGATGTCGAAAATGTCATGCACGGAAGGTCAAGTGTACGGGGGGCACGCCTTGCGCAAATTGTCGCCAAACAAATCAGTCCGGAGAATGCAAATACCCAAGCCGGAGCCGTCGCATCAGGGTTGAACAAAGGTGATATTTTGATAGCGTGAATAGCTTGAATGACATTAACCCAAGCCTTTTACTAGGTACATTGATGACTTGCTTAATGAGGTCCGTCGCCTCCGGCAGGTTTCTCAGGTGCCACTGCCCACCAGTTCACAGTTAATAACACCGGCTACCATCAATACGAATGCACACTCGGCCGAACCAGAAGAAATCGAAGCTGTGACGTGCTCCCCGGCCGCGTCTGAGAATAATGCTCTCAGCACGGTGCAGGCTGCTGACACTGACCCGAAAAGGCCATTGAAGATTACCGAAGGTGTTCGTAATCCACTTTTCGATGAACGGCCATGGTTTTTTAGTTTGACTCCAGAAATGCCAGTTCTTGTTGGGGAGGCCAGTGATGCAGCATTTGCTACTAGGATTCGTCAAGAGCTGTTGGGAGAAAACCAGGTTCATTACCCACGCACTCAAAATATGCCCGATGAGAGCTTATGTTCCTTGTGGCATTCTGAAACCGTCTGGCCTACGCCCTCAAGGGCTCGCTTCCTGCTCAAAGTGGTATTTGACACAGTATGCCGACGCTACTACCTGACACGAAAAAGTATAACTCTTCGGCTCTTAGAGCAAGCCATAAGTGACCCAGCGCAATGTGATATATTGACCAGCTGCAAGCTCTATGCTTTTTTTGCATTAGGTGAGGCATATTCGACTAGGACCTGCCACCAGCCCGGAAACGAATTTCCTGGAATTGCATATTATGCCAGTGCGACGCAGATGCTCCGCGTGTTCAGCGAGCAACCCAGAATCGATTGCGTTGAGATCATGATAGCACTTGTACGTTACATTCTCGAGTCTACACCAACCGGTCTAATGCCCCCTAGTCTCTCTACTCCCTTATGATGAACCGTCGCCATTCTGCATATTGCATGGTAGGCTGTGCTATGAGATTTGCTATCGTAACCGGCCTCCACTTGAATGTCCCACAGGATCAACTGCCGAATCGCGAACTACGAGAACATCGCGTCCGCATATGGTGGACGGTATATATACTTGATAGGAACTGGGCGTTTATGCTGGGGAAGCCAGTGAGCATACACGATGAAGACATTGACGTGAATCTGCCGTCCGACATCCAATCTTCTGCGCAAAGCCTTGCTGAGGACTTTGCGGATACAGATTACCTGAAAGCAGGCATTTCTTTGGCTAGGGTTGGCGCTCATATTACAGCATCGACATACAGCCACAGGCCGCAACGGACCACATTTTCTGATAGGGTCCAACAAGGTCTCCGAGATCTGGATAAATGGCTGCAAGGGCTCCCTGCGCCTCTTAGCATATTTATTAGCCAAGTGCCACCCAATCCGCCTATGCATATAGTAACTCTGTATCTTTACTTCAATCAGGTAAATGGATCCTAGATCTCGACTTTTGAGCCTCATCAAACTGACCCTCTACAGTGTTTCATACTGGCACTGAGGCCGGTCTTGCTTTACGCTCTCCGGATGCGCCGTATATCACCCTTTGATAACACGAGAAACGAGCGGCTACCAGCCCATGAAACTGCTTTTGCTTTGTCGGAAGCATGCCGCCAATGTGCACGCCGATCATTTCATATTCTCACCGAATCTTGGATCAGTGGATCTTTTCCCACGTATGATTATACCTATAGCCAGTGTCTATTCTCTGCATCACTTGTTCTGGCTTTGTCCAGTCTGTCAAAGACCCCAGAATCTTCGACCGATGGCGATGATTTTGAGACAGCTGTACAGATACTCAGTCAACTTGAAAAGGCAGGGAATTTTGCAGCCAAGGAATTTTACAGACATGTTGAGTCCGTAAAGAGTATCCTTGACCACATCAGCCTCGAAGAGTGTCAATCTGGGCGTCCACACTGGTCCCGCGAAACCGTAGGTGGGGGTGACGCCGTTTCGTATGACGCGCAACCGGGCCCGCCGTTTGGTTTGTCTGAAAATGCTCAAAGGTCCAATGTTACTGAGCCCTCACTGGAGAGCCTCCTGGCGCACCCAAACTTGGACCTTGAAACTCTAGATCCCTCCGTAATTAATGACGGCTTCCAAGCTTTTATGTGGCCGGAAGAGGACTACAGTGGCTTAGCAGAAACTGGTATGTGATGTAACGTAATTCACAAGCGAACCGCGCAGCTGATTCCAGATAGTAAATGCAATAAATTAAAAACTTCTATCTTAACAACCACAAAACATGTTTACTTGACTATTACACTACGGGCTTTTATTAGTATAGAAAAACGTGTCTAAATGCTAGGCGATTTGAATGGTTAATGCACAACATTACCCTATAATGCGCGGTAAGTTAGCCCTTACAAAGACAATATATACCTCTAGTATGCTGGATCTTACCTTTCATATAATCCACCAATGCCCTAGTATTACTACCTAGAATACTAAAATTCAACATAGCTACTTAAATAGATGTTCCCTGTTGATATAAAAATAAAAGTTGATATCGGGTCGGGTTTCCGGTTCAAAATCTAGAACCTGTCCTTGACCCGATATCAACTGTAATTGTGAATATATGATAGTGGGTCTAGATTGTATATTCTTTCTTCTTGCTATCCGGATATTGGGAGCAGACTGAAAGCCATTAGCTCTCACTGATTCTTGAGCACAATAGATGGGGAGTGTAACGGGCCCAGTTACTGGAAGAAGCGGATCAACACATGTAGTGGCATTCACGAAATACTAAGCATGATGAAGAGAAGAAGGACGAGGCGGCAGGCGAGGAAGCTGGTGAGGGTGCTAATCGAATATAGTAAAGTTGCCTGGTAGGCATGGCATCAACATGGCTAGCATTCCTGTTGCAAGTAAGACATTGCCCCCCTTCCCCCGGCGTAATTGACACGGCAATTGGGCGTTGCCAGAATTTGGGGCATTCACGTAGAGAGCGACCTATTTCTTCATGCACTGCACTGATTTGACTTCGAACGTTGTACAGAAGTTACACCATCACTAATAATGGGGCACAGGTTTCCAGGAGGATAATATGTAGCTGACATCGTAAATGCGTAGACCTTTATTGTAGACTGACTTTGCGCCTACATGCATGAGACCTACCAATATCTCGATCCCAATATAAGTTTTGTTGGTCTATACTGGTGGCCTGGTGTGCTCTTTGCGATTACTAGCGCGCCGAAGTCCACAGTATCCCCAAGCGTGGCGAACAGAGGGAGCCAGCCACCTGGTGACAATTTGAGGTCACCGACTGAGTGCTGAATCCCCACGTCCGCTAGTTCGTTCACACCACACGGTTATTATCTTGTGAGGCTTTATTTATATTCGACACGGTACGTCGATGTATAGTAGATGATATTCTAACGATTATAGACCTTTGGCTGGTTAGCCTAGATTAGTCCTTGTATGACCCCATTGCATTAAGCCTCTGATTTAACTATAGCCCAGGTAAGAGTGAAAGGAAATGTTCTACTGCCGGACATCGTAATAGCAATGGATGGACTAATTAGATTTATGACATAGGACTGCACTTGCAATGTACATAACCACTTGTTTACTCCCGTCCCCTATTACAGGACTTGCTATTAGATGCTCTAATATTAATCATTTTGATATTAGAGAATGAGGGCTGGCAAAAATCGGCCGGTAGCAGTATATGGCGCTAATTGCTTTGCTTGTATAGGTTTGAGATAATTCTAAAGCCAAGCCAAACACCTATGAGGATACCAGCCAGCACTGAAGAAGTACCCGTCAAAATCACAATTCCTTCGTACTTGCCAATCCCAAAGTGGTCGTGCGTAGGAGGACTTGATATCAGCGCTGCGCTAAGCGGAGTCACTAGAATGTTACCAACTCCTTGAAGAAATACAAATAGAGCGTATGTCGCAAAAATTGTGGACTGCTCATCAGATACCGCTCGTCCCATTGCAACGCGCATTGTACCAAATCCATAACCGAAGAAACCATGCAAGATGCTGAAAACAACAAGAAATGCTATGGACTGCGCCAGACCCCAGAATATGAATGCGGCTATAGCCGCTGAGACACAGCAGGTAATTGACAGTGAATCGACAGAAAATCTCTTGTCTGAAAGATAGCCAAATGTAAATTGCCCAAGGACTTGTGCAATGCACATTACAGCCAGGAGAAGGGCACCCTGCATAGGTGGGATATCGACAGCCGCCGCGTAAGAGGGGAGATAGACGGACGGGAAAAAGAATCCCAGACCTTGAATGAGAATCGCTGATCCGTAAAACCAGAAGAGGGGTCTCTTTAAGAAGCTCCAGTCAATCCTGGCCACTTTAGAAGTTTCAGCCACCGGCAAGCGCCCTCTGAAGAGCGGGAGGAGAGGGGCGGTTAAAACTGCTAATGCCACAGCACAGGCCCGTAACGTGGTCTGATAGCCATATTTGTTTAAAACAGATTCGATAATGAAAGGCATAAAAGCACCTGTGAGTCCAGATGAAGCTGAGATCAGACCAAATGCCATTCCCTTCCGAACGACCCACCATTCGTTAACCATGCTTACAATGGGATACGAGAGGGCCACGAAACCAAATCCATACAAGAACCCCTGAGTACCAGTCAGGCCACTCACCGATTTCATGAAGGAAGCCGCAAGCAAACTGACGATACACAGGAGCCACCCCACCCATATCTGTTGTCGTTGATATTTCGGAAACGTTCTTGTAATAATCGCTGAGAATGGTGCACCAAGATAGTAAAGACTCTGAGCCAGAGTGCCGATTAAAGGAATCTTAGAGTTATCTTTCTGAAACTCAGGAACGGTGGAATAATAGTTTTGGAAGATACCAAAACACATGGGAAACCCTGGGCAGTTTAATTACCGATATCGAAACGTAGATGGAGTCTAGCTCCCGGTACTTTACTTACCCCAGAATAAGGCCTCAAAAATGACACCAGCGATCAAGACAGTCCACGCTCTTCGTCCTTGATCAATAGGAGCTAAGGACTGGGAGAGGATACCATCTGAGTATTCAAGGTCCAAAGGCTCGTTTTTTGTGTGAGAATGTAGCCCCAACGCATCTTCATGCTTGTTTTCTTCTCGCATCCCTTTTGTTTCGTTCAAGCGCACCGAGTAATGCGATCGGTGAATACTTTGAAGACATTCAACTTACATTCTTTTGGGTCCTTAACTATTGCCGTTTTGTGGCGTATAACATGACTCAGCGGCATCCTCCGAGCGGTCCATCGTAACAGCTACCGAGAGCTCCATAGCGGCTTCTTCAGTTGCTACCGAGCCGGGTGTTGAGTCTGATTGATACCATAGTGGGGTGTCACTGGTAACTGGAAGTGCCCCTAAGAAGCCACCGTGACGGCCGTTTGGTGGAAAGACCGCTCCCTTCCTACTACCTCGATGGGATTTGCAGATTACCTAGGGGGAATTAGGCAGTGTCCGAGTTTATCAAAGAATTCAACGGCTCACAAAAGATGGTTGGAATTGCCATTGCTGGCGTCTCGCCGACCTTTGCTATGTCGACATGATTCTGGGATCCAATTGGAGTATATTCGTTTTTAGTCAATCCTAAAAAGAGACTAATTGCGATGTGGTCACTGAGGAGAAGATTCACGAACGAATCTGCGGAAGATATGTTGCTTATAGCACCTGTATTTCAATCCGTCGTTGCTCACTGTAGTTGCCGCTGTGCCTTCGGATATTGTGGGATTCATACTTGTGCGCCTCTTTCGATTCCAAGTAATATTTCCACGTTGCCGCCCAAAGCATATTTATTGAATTCTACAGGCTGTGATTACTTTTCACTGTTTTTTCTGTACAGTATAAACTTGTTTGAACTAGAATATCTGTTTCATGAATGGTGATGGCGATATTCAGTCTCATACAAGGATTTGCATGAACAATATATCCCGTGGTAGCCAGCCTTGTAGAAATCGTCGTTTTAAAAGCTGATTCGGTTCTGAAAATTCCAAAAATTGTTAGACATAGCACGACCTTATTTTTTGATTGATTTCCTATGCTATGACCCCGACCCGCTTAATGTTCCCAGTTGGGGAGGACGCTGAAGTTGCACTTCCGCATCGTGCAACGTAGTGTGAGCTTACGCTCGTACCAACTTTGATCGTACCGTAAGCCCAGATGGCCGGCTGCGCCTGAGTGGCCTCGATGGATCGAAATAAAGGCGAACTATGCGAATCACCACAGGCATTCTTCGGCCTTTGGCAAAACATCACCACAGGATTCCATGGCGTACCCCAAGTGAAGAACTTTCAACATCGAAATCCTTTGATGCGCGGAACTCGAGCACAAGGTCAGCCGGAAAATACAACCAAAAAGGATGGCGTAGCACGGACGGCATGAGTAGTGAGCGCCGGTCCTGTCTAAGGAAGCTTCGCGGCTATGCCTCACGATGCCGAAACTGCGCTAACGATTACCAGCCATTGTCCTGCCTGTGGGAAACCATGTGTTTGGACTCTATGCCTGCAAGCTACACGTAGTACTTATCTTGACCTGGCCCCACTGGAAGTAGTCGATATCGTTTTCATTCTAATCACGCGCGTATCGTTGTCAGCATCCTGTCTTGTATCTTAAAAACGTCAAGCGTTGTATCCTGCCCACCCGTCCCCAAACTCGACAAATTTAATGGGTTCATCCGCGAGGTGTAAGGACTCTCTGGAGATAAAGCTAATGTCTTCAAAAACCCGAAAGCTCTTAGAACCGGCCGTACTCAACAGCCAAAACCCCAGAATTGACATAGAAGTAAGAGACGAGCTAGCTGCTTATACAACTGGAGATCTCATCGAAGGCTTCGTTTCTATCACTACTCGGGAAAATAATTTTGGCGGAAAGCCAATGATCAAATTTCAAGGTGAATCCATACAACACATTAATCACAGTTGATACTTTGTCTGACCCGTCTACAGGCGAGTCCAGGACCAAGGTCGAAAGAACCTTCACCTATGGATGTATGCGTGCGAACCACATCTTTCTGGAGACTGACCAGACCCTTATCCGAGACCATACATATCAGTCGACATTGCATAATGGTTTCATCCATCGATATCCGTTTTGCTTTGTCGTCCCCGGCCAATTACTCCCCCAGGCTTGCAGGCATAGAAAGACTGACATTGCCGTTGAAACTTCCCACGCCATGCTTCCACCAACTTTAGGAGACCCTCGCCTTATCGGACGTTGCGGCTGGCCAAAGGACGACCTGGCATCCGACATGGCTCGGATACGATATTTTCTTCGAGTCGATGTCCTCAAGCCCTCGTGTGATACGTGTACCAATGAGATATGGTCTTCCAAAGCCAAGGCAGTCCGTGTGATACCGAAATATCATGAGGTCCCTCCAACTGAATTATTCGAAAGTAGTTGGCACTGTGCCCACAAGGAGAGACGTTTGAGCCAAGGACTATTGAACAGCCGGTCAGGAAAACTGACTGCCGCCATGCTGCAGCCGAGACCAATTCATCTTCATGGTACGGGTGGTAAAGAATATGGCTGTTCGAGTACGGCTGCAATTGTGAACTTGAGTTTTGTGACGGCGGAAAATGCGAGTCCGCCTGAGCTTCAAGAGATACGCAGCGAGCTTCATGCGTGTACCTTTTATGGTATCGCACCGTGGACGAAATTTCCTACTTTATCTGATCAGAACTATCTCCATTATGATGGTGGGCGTCTTTTCTGCCGATCTTCTTCACCTGTCAATATCTCCGTCGCCTCTGTTCATTGGAGCAGAGCCTCAAAGATCATCGCAGAACCTAAACTTCATACGTCGAACGATGGTTACGAAATATGTTCAAGCAATCTCGGAAATTTGACCGAATATACTGCTTCTATCTTGGTTCCTGTGACTCCGTCAAAATCAATTTCATTTGTCCCAACCTTTCATTCGTGCTTGATATCTCGAGTCTATTCACTCCAACTTCAGTTGTTTTATCGCCAGTCGAGGGATAGTTTGTTTTCCTCAACCTTATCCCTCTCAATGCCTATTCAGATAACAGCATAGGCTTGGTTTATCCTGTTTCTGACAGTGGTATCGGCACGCCTATCTATGCTTTCCTTCAATTTAATCTTATAGCTAATGCTCGCACCTCGAAATAGTTCCCTGGCGATTTCTTCTTTTGAGTATCTTAATGCGCTTTCGGACATATCATCGCCTACTAAGTAGTATAGCAAATTGAATGAATCATTGTCTTGCGTGAAGCAAACATTGTGGCTACTATGCTCAGAGAACAGAGGCCGGAGGAATATCAGATGCACTAGGTGATTGTTTTTGGGCATTCATCCGACTAGAACAAGACAAATGGCGATTCACGGGTGATCTACAGTGAGAATCCGCCCCTTGTATCTCCAAAGGGTTTTCAAAGCGCCTGTGGTTGGCTACAGGGAAATTTATCGTACAGAGGTCAAGTAGCCTGGCTGTAAGCTTACATGTGGGTTGACCGGAATCCCCAAGGTTAAGATAGTCGCTCTGCTAAGGAGCTTGTCGGCTACGACGGCCGCGGCCGAGAGCCACGACGCCGAGGGGAAGGCCGTGAAGCCGATTAACCTTATTTTGCACCCCAAAGGCTTCCCACCAAGTTGCCGAGACTACCCTGCACCACCAAGTATTATTGATTACGGCAATCCCACTCAGACTGAGTTCTCCGGCTGTCATTCCGACTCCAATTCGAGCAACGACTTTACTGGCACTGGCAAGAAACAATATTTGAGCTTTTTGGACGACACTAGCCCTCATATGGAGGACATCGAATTTCAACCCGGTGTCTTTTCTCACCGACAGGAGAATTCAGCACTTCCACCCACGGACCGCGGCAAAGATGCATGGCTAACCCTAGCTGCTTGTTGTGCTCTAGAAGCATTAGTCTGGGGTGAGTGACTAGCAAAAACACAAACGTACCGTCACAACAAAATACCATGGGACGTTCGCATCAGTAAATCAATGTACCTTCACCACCTCACCATATCTCACAACTTTGGGTTCACATCATTCGGAGAGCTGACTGGGCATGAACAGGTTTCCCATTTTCCTTCGGGGTATTCCAAGAGTATTATGACCGCCAGGAAGCATTCGCCAGCGAAAAATCGACTGTCGCTGTAATCGGCACGACGGCGACTGTGGGTCTTTCTGGCACACAAATTGTAAAAGTGTATGACGCTGACTGTATTTGATTTCCCTAGGGTTTAATGTATTGCACTGCGCCCTTAATCTATGGCCTCCTCCGTTGGTTCCCAAAATATAGGAAACTGCTCAGCGTCATGGGATACATCGTTCTCTTAGCCAGCATCGTTGGCGCCTCTTTCGCAAATACGGCTTCTCAGCTGCTAGCTACACAGGGAGTTCTCTATGCCTTGGGCGGATCCGTTCATTACTTCCCTGCTTTCTTATATCTAGATGAATGGTTCGTTCAACGAAAAGGCCTAGCGTATGGGATTTTCATTGCCGGAGCTGGTATAGCTGGGGTAGTGACACCTTTTGCTATGTCCTGGATCTTAGATATATGGGGATTTCGAACTGCCCTACGCACTTGGGCAATCCTTTCCTTCACTCTGACAACCCCCGCCCTCTTTTTCATGAAAAGACGAATACCTTATTCCCAAAGTCCCAGAGGCCCTATGAAACTAGACTTGAAGTTCCTCAAAAGTCCCAGTCTGTGGATTCTGCTTTTTGGTAATATTGTCCAAAGCCTGGGATATTTTATGCCTACCTTTTATATGCCATGTATGTGTCATGAGAAAGGTCCCCAATGCGCAATGAGCACTACCTGAACAATAAGCTGACATTCAATGGTGACAACCAGCTTTTGCGGTTGACCAGGGCTGGTCCACGCTCTCAGGCACAGTTGCTATTGCGCTATTTAGAGCCGCTAATGTAGTGGGTGCTACTCTCATGGGGTGGCTAGTGGATCGTTATCATGTAACTTTCGCTTTGAATATTTGCGCCGGAGGGACCGTGGTGGCCGTGTTCCTTTTTTGGAGCTTTGCGGTATACAAACCAATGCTCTTCATTTTTGCTTTTTTGTATGGTGTCTTCGCCGGTGGATTTCCTGCAACCTGGTCGGGTTGCGGGAGTGTGGTGCGACGCAGCTACAATGTTGAGACAGGAATGATTATGGCTCTGTTCACTTCTGGCAAAGGCATTGGATCCTTGATATCTGGTCCGGTAGGTAGTGCTCTCATGGCGAGTGATGCTTTGAAACGGGGTGTTGGATTCGCTTATGGTAGCGGATATGGGTATCTCATTATTTTCTGTGGGTTCACGGCTTCATTTACAACCGTTGGATGGATAGGTAAGAAGTTTGGATTGGTGGGTTAGTTCACTACTAAAAGATCGGTGAATCTCCATTCCAAGGTTGATATCCCCAAAAAAAAAAAAAAAAAAAAAAAGCCCCGTGCTCCAGATAGAGCTGGTGTTACATACTGCACTGGGTATTCCATGCTACCTAGGTATCTCAAGAATGGACTATCCTGGTTATTCTCAAAGCCAACAGTGCGGAGCCGAAAGCTCTAATGAGTCGGGCGGTATGTCGAGATCTTTTCCATATTATGTTCAGTGCTTCCTATTTCTGTTATTCAAACCCGCAGTATTAGTGTCATGTACTCGAGTCAAAAGAAGTGTCAAATACCACTGTCCAAGTTACTACTAGTATGGATGTGCGAAGAAAAAAAGTCCAATGCGGTCAATGGGAGCATCAAATCTCCAGCATGAATATCTACAAGAATATAGACTATGTGTAACTTTTCCTCACAGTGAAATCCTGAATGCCGGGTGAGCTACCTAGTAGTACCTTGATATTCTCATATAGATAATATACTATACACTCGGACCCTGACCGCAAACCAATTTATTGTACGTCCCAGGGTTTGTGTGTATACACGTGCTCCATGTTGTCGAAGGTTCGGCATCAATCATCATTTCCCTTGCACTTATACAATTATTTTCTGGCAATGAAATATCTATTATTTTGCTATCTTAAGTCATTCAATATCCGAATAAGACACATTTCTAGTAAAGCCTGTTGCTCGCGATCTTGAAAGGGATAGCACGTCCGGCTTAGTTCAGGAGAACTAGTTTCATAGATGACAACAAGTCATCCCATCAGAAGCCAGTCCTTGATTGACTAGACTAGATAGGACCAACCTCCGCTCGTCTCCTCTCCAAGACTGAAGGCATCGAGATTATGATTCCGCAGATCGGCGATTGGGTGAGCTCTGCAGTATCAGCTTTAAAGATACCTGCTCCCTCGAAAGAGCATGCTCTTCCAGCGCCATGTGACCAAAGCACAGAGCCTTCTGGTCTAATCCAAGGAGCCATCTGGGCATGATTAGTGAAGCGACGACCATCTCATACTAGAATTTATATTGAGTCTGGAGCCATGTTCCACAGTCCGCTTTGTAGAAAATGGGAAGACAGTTCCTCGATAATGAATTGATCCATATTATCTGTACTCATGAAGAAGTCTTCAGTAGAATTTGGTGCAGAGAATGTTTCTTCTTGCTGCCGGCCTGAACATTGCTCCTCCAACAGAGGATGTACAAAGTGTGTCTTTAGATGCATTTTCGACTGTGAGTCGTTCTCGGATAAAGGGTCTAGATCAGTGTTTGGTAAGCCATTTGAGACTGTCTCACCAAATTGAGGATCAAGCAAGCTGCAAAATAATGTAGGCTGAAAACAGATGGTTGCTTCATCAGCCGCTGGTGTCTTTCGATTCTTTTCTGCAAGAGCTTGCAATTTTCTTATGATGTTAACCTGCGTGGTACATATTAGGGACAAGAACATTACATTAATTGTGGGAAATTAGATCAGCCGATACCTTATTTGACATATGCGGCCACGTAAGGGCCATTTGGCTTAAAAAGTTGTCACATTTAATCAAATCATCCCTTGCTGTTTGGACGATTTTAGGCGTCCTAGTAAATTGGAAAGGCCACAGAACGGTCGCAGTGGCAGCAACAGCATCCCCAACTAAGGGATTCACAATTTCCATCAATCCCTCAGTAAGTTGTATCAGACGGAAAACCCAGCTTGCGTGGTAAAGAGCTTGATCGCATTTTTGTTGAAGAAAGCCACTAGACTGTGGTATACCTTCTTGAGCTCGCAGAACGACAAGATGAATGAATGGGTGATTTAGGATGGCGGATATTGCATGCCACAAAATTTCGCCCGCAATCCAAGGGTTCCAATACTCACAATATTGGGCTATTTCTGCTGCTGATCGAGCCGAGAACTCCAAATTGGACAGTAAATGTTCCTTACCAACTCGGGCTTCGTGCTCTATTAGCTCTATATTGAGCTTAGAGATGGTTGAATCCGGTAGCCACGGCTCTTCAAGTTCGCCTTCCCTTAACGAATGCATGTAGCATCCAACTTTACCCCATAGAGAGACCAGTCGATAAAATGGCGGACCTATACCATCGCGGCCAAGTGGGGATGTCTGTTGTGCTGATAATGTTGCGGAATTTGAAAATGTATTGCCCATAGCGGCCACTATAGGGGGAGGTAATGGGGCGCTTTCCGGATATTCTGGAGTTTCGGCACTTGACAATCCCATAGTGCGAGAGAGAAAAAACCTCTCAAGGACGAAAACACTCCAATAAGCCCTAGATGTCGAATCATCTCCACGTATTAAAGATGACCCATCGTGATGTGGTGGCCTGAGGGCACATAATCGTGTGCCAACGCCGATAACCATCCACGCGCGAGTCGGTTGCTGGGCTGAACTATCTTGTCAGTCAGGCCAATATTGTAGTTTCAGATCAATGAATATTCTAACCCCTAATGTGTTTCAATGCTACCAGACATAAAGCTTGTATGACTTCTGGATTTGGATCTCCTTCCCATGCTAACTTCATCACAGCATATTCTGAAGAACGAGAGTATAGGTCTTTGGCGATATCTTCTGTATTCTGATAGAATATATGGTTGGAGAATGTCAAGACAACAGCCAGGAAGCTCCACAACAAGTACTGCGGGCCAGCCATTAGTCGATCTGTCAGCCCCGTAAGATTGAATATAGGCAATGGTTGCAAATGCAACTTGATGCGGTACACGTCAACAAAGTGCTCAAGCACGTCTACAGGTGGTGCTGGCCTGCGGCAAAACTCTTCAGCCATGGCATATTACATAATAATATCGTTGGCTTCGATTCCCAAATCAAATAGCATCGGGGGAGGGACGAGCTCTCTAGTGGTAGGTACCTTTCTAGGGTGAATCCACATATTTCATCCGAAGATGGGTGAGGGCTCTGTACGCTCAGGAGGTCGGCACAGAACTGATCGGAGGACCCAATATCAGATACAAGAGATAACCCTCCCGTATCTTCCACAGGTGGGTGGCTTTGATCTGAGGAAGCCCTGAAAATGCGACAGTACACGGTCAGTTGAGTGGTTTCCTAGCATGTTACTTAACCTACCTCAAGAGTCTGTAAAGATTATGTACTTGAAGCTCCAATTGTCGAATGCGATTCTTGGAAATGTGCTTCCTATGCGGGCGTCTTGAGTTCCTAGAGTACTATCTTTTTTCAATTGAGCAACTTACGAGGCGGTAGCACCTGATCTTGTTCCGACGCCATTGGTATGTGACGAGCCTCTGGGCAAATAGCAACATTGGGTATTCAATCTTTTACAGAATGCACAGCTCGGTCTTTCACCTGTGCATTTGGTTTTTTTTCGGCTATTTGATGTCAACCACATATGTCTGATTGTGGCTGAAAGGATACATGAGTGGAGGTATGGGGCTTACCGACATGGCTCACAAGCTTGACGTGTTAGTGGCTCAGACATGGTGCCAGCCTGTGGCTCTTTGGAGGAATAACGTCGGATGAAGACTAGTAGACCGTCCGCATACGGTGAGAAGACAGGCAATCAGGTGAGGGGAGGCGGAAAGAACGACGGACCGCCAAGCCGTTGATAACCTATGTAATCACGTGAGCACTATTGTCCGTGTAGGGCAATCCCCCTTATCTCCAGAATTGAGGCTTTGATCACTATTTGTTTGCATTGAAAGTTAAAGGCGCTTCGTTATCATGCTTACCATGGCGATAGATTTGAATGAAAGATAGTGGCTGAGCCACATCAATCGTTCGGTGACTTCTGTGAAGTTCTCAGTGCCTGAACCAAACCCCCCCACCCTCCCGTCCATTATGGGGTGTGCTGCTTTCTCCACCAATTCTCAGGGTGTTGGACCGAGACTGCTCATGCGAGGTTCTTTGAACTTGGCCCCATATACCTTCCCAAAATACGTTGGTTTGTAAGATTAGGCCCAGGGCCGCAGCCTACGCACTAGGGGGAACACGGTTCTCTGATACACTGTTAGGAAGAGAAGAGAAGAGAGACAAAAAGACCTATTCCAGTACTAGTAGTAGTAACGATAGCAGATACTGGATACCATGTACTATGTACATCACATGTGGAGGAGGAGACGGAAGATCCGCTCATGGGGTACCTAGACCAAACACCTTGGACAGATAGATAAAGCACTACCAGTAGCATAAAAACCCTCCATTGCTTGGAAATACAGACACAACTTAAAAGGAAATATGTCTACTGCCGACAGGAGACATTCCCATTCGGGTATGCATGCAATGTCCAAGGACCCACCCCCGGTTGTCTTTTCCCCCATTGTAAGAAATACTAATCTGAATTCATTAGCAACTAACCTTAACGAGAGAGGCGAAATGCTTTCACGATAAGTAGAAGGCCAGACAAGGACCAAAGCGCCGTCTCGGAGGTTGCGGTAGTCCGTCTCCACATCGTGTACTTATCGCGTACCACTATTAGTATATCGCGGAGATTCCGTCCCCTGGCGGGGCCGGTGACCTCCTCAACATGGTAAACGATAGTGACGCTCTGTGGCAAACCAGGATGAGGATAAGAAGGATAAGCTGTAGTCGCGCTGTACTTCCTGTTACATGATACATTGACATGACAAATATGGTTAATCTGGGGCAACCAAAATGCGGGGTTGCAGACGCTTGATCAGACATATAAAGATATAAAATAGCCATGCTTGCTGAAGTACCTAATGGTAGAAAATCAATCATTTCAGTTCAATACCTTTGATGCAATGACTGAGAAAAGGGAGGACCTCCAAGACCTCGGAAAATATTCATACCCCAATGAAGGCGATGTCGAGCGCGCCATCGCCGAGGACGGCGTCTTTGGAACCATTACGGAAGACGGCCCAAACTATCGCAATGTATGCATCTTCCTTGGAAGTTCTGACTTCAGTGAAGGGTTGACACTGATAAATATTTAGCTCGGATGGATTGGAACGTCTGTTATTATGATGAAGATCCAGATTGGCCTCGGCGTATTGTCCATTCCGTCAGCATTTGATACATTGGGCTTGATTCCCGGAGTGATTTGTCTACTTTGCATTGCTTTTTCTACCACATGGTCCAGCTATATAGTTGGTGTCTTTAAGCTGAACCATCGCGAAGTGTACGGCATTGATGATGCTACTTCCCTGATTCTGGGGCCGGTTGGTCGAGAAATCCTAGGAGCTGGATTCATGCTTTGTAAGTGAATCCCTGCCATATATCCATCACCCGCCTGAGTAACTACTCTCATAAGCATTGATTGCCATCACGGATATTAGGTAAATGCAAATTATGTTGATGATGGTTTAGATCTGGTCTTTGCGGCTGCCTCTGGAATGTTAAGCATCTCGATCGCTCTCAATACCGTTTCTACTCACGGTGCATGCACTGCTGTCTTCGTTGGGACCGCTGCTATTTGTATCCTTTTACTCGCTAGTATTCGGACTCTGGACCGCATCAGCATCCTGGCATGGCTAGGGCTAGTAACTCTTCTTTGTTCCCGTGAGTAGAGCCCAATCCGACTTTCGAAACTTCCAATTTTAACGCATATAGTCTTTACCGTGACAATTGCTATTGCCATTCAGGATCATCCAGACTCTGCCCCACCTGGGCCTTGGGTCTCCGACTACAAGTTATTCAATAATCCAACATTCACGGATGCGATCTCGGCTGTATCCCAGTTTGTCTTTGCATATGCGGGACCCCCGTTCTTTTTCCCAGTCATTTCTGAGATGCGTAAGCCTCAGGACTATCCCAAAGCACTGGCTCTCTGTCAAACCATTGTCACTATAACATATGTGGTTATTGGCATTGTGGTTTACTATTATTGCGGATCTTATGTTGCATCCCCTGCCCTTGGTTCGGCTGGAAAGCTGATTAAACAGATCTCATATGGGGTGGCTCTGCCGGGGATACTTATCGCCTCAACTATTAGCACTCATGTAAGACCTGGTTGTTATGTCGTACGAATATCTACTGACACATATTCAGCTGGCCAGCAAGTACGTTTTTGTCCGGATACTACGGAACTCCGACCATCTGGTTGCCAACACATTCGTGCATTGGGGAACCTGGCTAGCCTCTGTCGTGACGCTTGTTATTATTGAGTATTGTATTTCAAGCGGAATCCCAATATTTGACAGTCTTGTCTCGCTGATCGGATCTCTTTTGGCAACATTACAGTGTTACCAGCCAATGGCTGGTATATGGTTATATGATAACTGGAGCAATAGGCAGCGGCCTCTGGTGTGGGTGATCCTGGTATGTTGGAGTTTCTTGATGATTATCGGCGGGACATTCTTGATGATTGGTGGCACTTATGGCGCCATTGCCGGAATAATAGATTCCTTCAAGTCCAGCGAACGACCAGGGATTTGGTCTTGTGCTGATAACTCAAACTCTGTTTAATTCATTGCTACAATCCGAAATGCAGAAGAACCCCGCCTAAGAGGCTATAAAATAAATAAAGTGGATTCATATTGGTAAATCTATTAGTATATATGGTACGTAGTTGCAGATTCCCTCAGGTGCTATGCTCACGGTGGCTAGTCTTGGGTAAAAGCAAAATAGCTCATTGATATGACTGACGAAAGAATATGATTTTAAAACTTTCGTGCTCCTCTTTCTGGTCAAAGATGTATCTACCTGGCTCTAGAAAAGCTTCATTTGAAACCAGAAGCATTTATATATCTCAATCTTTGCCAATCGTTGTCAACGAGATGATGTGGACGAAGGCAATGAATAATCTTGTTTATTTCAAAATCCCTGGCATCATTAGTGTTTAATGGGATGCATCGAACAATGAAGACCCAAAACATTTACAAATGTAGATCGTCAGAGGGTAAGGACCAAGGAGTCTTCGTCATTGACAAAAGCAGGTACACAGCAATGTAAGACTACAAGCGGTTTATACTCTTCCAGGGGCACTTATAACGCTCCGATATTGCTGGAGGGTCATGGGTCCTCCTGATCTGGATGGATTAGATCGCCTCCTTGTCCTTCTCTCTTCGCATTAACTTCCTCGACTGCTAGTCATGCAATGCATTGTATTCTGATCTGTTTCCCCTCGAACTTCTGTCAGGTATCCGCCATAAATCAAGGGCGGCCCAGTCCTGCAAGCCTTCCCCGAGGACAGAGCCTAATACAACTATTCCTCCTACAGCAAATCAACTCGGGCACTCAATGCGGTCTGTCGTTTCAAGGCAGATCAGGGAATAAGGTCTTGTATAGATTGAATGAGAACTTCCGGAGTGAGTTCTATCTTTTATTCTAGATATATGCAATCAGTTTACGATTACTGGTTCGTCTATCCTAGTACTATGCTTACACAGAGTTGGCAGCGAATGGCTAAGAAAGTTCCCCTAGAATTTGCTTTGATTTTTATCCACTAATATGCTAAAGCTTACTGCTGGATACAGTCGCCTCCGGAATCCCAAACTTTGATATATCGTCATCGGTTTTCCCATCGACGGCTAATTCTGCCAGGATACGACCAATGGTGGGGGCGAACTTAAAAGCATGACCACATCCGAGAGCCACGGAGATGTCTCCAAAGTTCTTCAAGGGACTAATGACGAATTGGCGTGATGGTGTAACAGCATACTGGCAGGTCACTGTGCGGAGAGATTGGCCCTTGTCAGGCACAAGGCTAGCCATGAACTCTGTAAGTTCATTTAGCAACTTCGGAGAGTGGACATAGGTTCGTTGCTCGGGTGTCATGAAGTTGTTCGCTACGTCACGGGCTGCTTTGATGGATGGTTCACCGTATGTAGGGAATCCGTAGTAGCAAGGCTCATCCTCCCAAATCCAGACTGGAAATCGGCTTTGGTCGAAGGAAGCCGCATCAGCTGGCTTGTAGTATGTGACTTGCTCCTGCATAATGGATAAAGGAATCTCTGCGCCAAGAGATGCTAGGAGCTTATTCGTCCATGCATCGGCCGCAATGATCACCTTCTTTGCATAGATGTGACCAGAGGATGTTTCGACAACCGCACCCTTGCCATTAACTGACGGTACCACCCGGCTCACTTCTGTATTCTCCTTCAGAATAGCGCCATTAACACGCGCTTGGTTTTGCATAGCCATGACTGACCGGGCAGCATGCACAATACCGGTGTCAGCCGTATAGACCGTCGTAACTGACAGGGGAATGTTGAACTGGGGCCATCGCCGGTTGACTTCCTGGGCGTCTAGGAGTTCGTACGGGAGGTCATTTTCCGTGAGACTGTTTGCAAAATCACTAGCATTCATAGCTCCACCCTCCGGGAAGAAAATAACACCACCAGTCTGCGTCAACATTTTCTGGCCACTTTTCGCTTCCAATTGGGCCCAGTCCTTGTAGGCGGATTTTGCAAGCGCAACATATTCCGACTCCCCGTACGAGGTTCTGACGATTCGTGAGGTATCATGTGAGGCACCACGTACGTGTCCAAATTCGTACTGCTCGAACCCGATCACTTTGACGCGCTTGAGAGATGAGTGAAATGCAGCAGCGCTTCCAAGCGCTCCTAGCCCAACCACGGCCACGTCAAATTGGTCCATTGCAGGTATCATTGCGTAGGAGAGGAGTAAAGAGTAACCCGTCTTGATGTAGAGAGTTACAGCTGTTGAAATCAGTAGTGTGAAGAATTTTGGACCTCTTTTTTGTTCCTGAAAATATAGTTATACAAAACACGACAGAAACTACTAGTACTTGTTTGTGATTCGGCCGGAACCAGAGGTGGGCACGGTGTATCCGGGGTCCGTCCACACAGTTGAAGATTGGTTCTGCGGGCACGGAGCGCCAAGGACATCCTGAATTTACCCTCGGGTCGGTTGTCATACAGCCGGTCAGGTATTTGTGAACGTATCCAATAGAGGAGAGAGAATATGATGGATATTTCTGGCCAGCCACTCGGGCACGAGCACTACGCCCGTACTCTCTGCCTTTTTGGTGGACCCCTCGGTCACACTCATTACTGCTGAGAAATGTTCGCTCGGCGAAGTGCTTCTATTTGTCACCACGCTTGATACGAGCTCCAAAGCCTTCTGATTTCGGATCAGCGACGACCCTTGGTTTTGCATTATATGATTGGATAATAACGGTAGTGATACATAGAAATCCTCGTAGAGCGTAAGCCGGCAGTCAGGCCCACCTCCGTTTACCCGAGACTGGTTTATCTCACTGGCAGCTGCGATAGGAGTGGAAGATAGCCTATTTCAACCATCACCAGGTAGCCTTTTCTCTCGGAAAGTGTGCATCAATTTTGCTCCTTCATCCTCCATACTGGATGGCACAAATACCGTGAAGCTTGCATGCGTAGTTTTCATTACGTCGTTATCTCACTGTCACTTGCTAGTATTTCCGTTAGTATTATCGCCCTCAGTATCTGGGCGTGCACCCGTCGCCCACTACCAATACGCGGCATTCGTACCCGAGCACCAACCACGTTCTTTGTGTTCTCAGTCAAGTCGTCCAATTTTAAAAGCAATTTTCTTCGAAACCGGTTTCATATTTACACGGAGAACCAATCTCAAAACCAACTGTCAAGGCGATAGTAAAGCTATCCAGCTTTGATTAAGCCTGTAGATCGCGGCTGCGCACCGTTGGAGACCGGGAAATGTCTGACAAGTCTGTTATGCCTTCTTCCTGTAATTTTATAGTGTATTGTATTGAAGGTCTTGTTCTGTTTTCAGGTGATGGCAATCCTTGGGCCTCATGGTTGACAATAGTATGCAGTACAATGCTGTCTTTGATCTGTCTGCGTACGCTCCCTGTTTCAATGTCTTATTGGCCAGCCTTTTGCTTGTATCGAATTATTTCTCTCAACGGTGATCATGCACAAAATCATACTCGGACTGCGATAAGGGATTCAAATTAGAACATTGTCGCATCTTGGTGCACCAATAGGGAAGAAGCTATGGCTGCACCTTGTAAGTAAACATATGGCCGCATCAAGACGATCATCTTGTGGTATTATGTAAATTCTGAAATGGCCATCGGGCGGATGATTACGCACCCCGATATCTATCTAATATGTATGCGATAAGTTCGCATGGACCTTGCAGCCGCCGTTGTGCCCTAGTAAATACCCCAATCGCTGATTAGTGGGGGGGGTTTATACTCCGAGGGGAGTTTGAAACTGGGGTCTTACAGATATTCTAGGGTACGGGGAGCTAGTGTGATCATGATGTTACTGACCTGAATATGGCACATTAGGCCCGGAACATTTTCTTCGTTTCGATACAGCCCCAATACGCCAATATATAATATAATTCAAAGGTTTGGCAACCTAGTATTCGATGCTCCAATTTTGCCTCTCCTTAACCTCCACATTATTTACAGCATCTGTAATTTTCGTCATGTCCAAGGAATCAGATCTGAAAGCCTTACACCAAACTCTCTTTGAGGACGGTCTCAAAATTCGCCGTGCTGTCGTTGGAAACGCATACGTTGAGAGATCCCTCGCAAATGGATCTAGTGACTTCGCGCGTCCTGGGCAAGCGCTGGTCACAGAGTGGTGCTGGGGTCACGTTTGGGCTAGACCCGGCTTAGAAAGAAAGCAACGAAGTCTTCTGAGTATGTAATCTTCCATCCCACAGGATAAATTATTAACAAAAGTCCCCCTGTTATTCCTCTAGACTTGGGCATGCTTATTGCTCTAAAAGCCTGGCCAGAACTAGCAGTTCACACCCGAGGTGCAATCAATAATGGTCTTACTGAAAAGGAGATTAGCGAGGCGGTTCTTCAAGCTACAATTTATTGCGGAGCGCCTGCGGGTATAGAAGCAACAAAGGTCACTGAAAAGGCAATTATTGAAATGATTGAGCGTGGAGAGTACGTGCGATCCTAACTGAAGGAATGCATTGTTCTTCCATACCTTTTGATTATGGCGCGCAGGGCCCGAAGGGGGATAATTCTTTATTTCCACAATCAGGCAGTCTTATTTCTACAATCAAGTTTCGAACTTTTGAAACATTTTCATTGTGCGATGGTTTTGGCTCCAGCCATAGAAGGCGTTCATGCTTTGCTAAAACTATTCATGCACGGGCTATGGCCTTCTCAATCAAATCCATCATCAACTATAGACTAGTCTCATGGAATGGCACCATATGCTTTGAACCATGATTATAGAGAAATACCTTGGATGGCTCGCACAGCCGGTACAGCTTTATTCCGTCCTCAAAAAGGGGATCTTGCATCCCGACAATATGCGCTGTTGGGATATGAATGGATGCGGTACCTGGCTTCGGGTTCAACTTCGATATACCGGATGTTTCATAAGGTGTCCCGGCACATATGGAGACTCCAACTTTGAAAAGAGACTCTGATTCCGCAATTTTGTCGTGATGATGTATCAGCAGTGCGGAAGCTAACGCGGCACCCTGCGAAAAGCCAATGACCGCATCAAAAGGGCCAGTTTTGGATGTTATACGATACACGTGTGCAAAAGACGCAGTCAGGTAGGGACCTGGAGAGGAAAGGCCGCGCGGGTAGTGGTCATAGAATGGGCCATCAAAAATGTCCTGGAGCTCTGTGCGGCTTTGGCATCTCGCGCCCCATTTCCCTTTGAACAAATAGTGGTAGGCATGGTAAAGGAACGCTTCTTCTTCTTCTTACCATCAGCTACATTGGCTTCTACTGCTCATTCACGAAAGCTAATTGATACCCTCTGCTCTCAAGCTTCTGTTTGAGCCCACCAACTTGGATTTCAAAAATCTACATTTATGGTTAGCTTGGGGCCAGTCCCTCATACCACGTCGGGAGATTACTTTGGCATTGGTGCCACCACCATGTAAACATAAAAACCTCATGTTGGAATTTTTCCAGAGGTGGAAGTGGCTGCAACAAAGGGGTAGAAGTGTGAGTAATGTTGTGGCTATCGAACAAACGAGATATCCGAACAGCTGGTCTGATTACACACCGCTCTGAATAACTACCCCTCATGTATTCGCAAATACCCATTTTCCGGGGCCAGGTAATGAGATTGTAGCGCCGTGGCCCAGGAAGGCATTGAAGTCATCTATGGTATTCGCATCTCTAGCCCCCGCTACATGCACACTTGCGAGGTTGCATATGATACCATATCAGCAACCAGGTGATTGGTAACGGCCCTGCAAACTCGAAAACTTCATTGCTTCATTGCGGCCGATATCAGACGTTTACCACGATGGGGAAATTTCCTCAGTAGTCGAATATGAATACAGCCGATTCAATACAACGGCCGATAACGTCTTTCTAGGACTTTATTGTGAGCCTTCCTCTTTTCTCTCTTTTTTTTTTCTACGAATTGTTTGAGAACATTAGGTTGCTTTTGCTTTTGAGCCCAGAACGAATTGTCATCGAGTAGCTGGCAAAGATGAAGTGTAAATGGTTCCAGGATAACCTTGAAATTGTAAAATCATAGCTTCTGATATTGTTTAGGGAACTCGGCCGAAAAAATATACTTGTCGGTTGTAACTTGAAGTTTATATTGCTATTAAATATTCTCTGTACAGTCCATATCTAAATGGCGACCAGAAAAGCTTGGAGAGACCTTATGCCCGTAGCACCTCAAAAGTGTGGAGGCTAAGCAGTCCAACCTACCTATTGGATCAAGCGGGTGTCGAGCAAGCAAAAACTCCTCTAACAGCACCTGTCTGATAGTTTTGAATCTGTATAGACTGATATGAGTCACAATGTTGGCGATGGAGGAAGCATTGGGGAAGTCACATACAATGTCTTGAACGCTGGCGTAACTACCACAACCCAGTGTGATAACTCCTATCGCAAAAATACAAGCGTTGACGACTCCATAGAAAATGTTATATGCAGTATTCCATTTTCCTTCTCGGAGAAGTAGGAACCACATCAGAGCTGGAAAATAGAAGGTAAAGCCGGAAATGAAGAGGGCGGAGCATATAGACAGCAGGTCAGGGAAGAAAGGTATAATCTCAGATATAATGAACGCAATGACGGTAATAATGGTAATCAGAGATAACCAGGTTATCCACCCCATCCTCGTGTTTATAAATCGGATTTCGGAGTTTCTGTATAACCTCCCATGGATCATACGGGCCAGAACAGTGGTGTTTATTGAACCACTGATGTAAACCACAGGGAGTGCGACCCCGAAGGCTATCCGGCTGAGCAAGTCTCCTGCGGATAGTAAAGCAGGGCTTTTCACATCCTTACCGACAAAGACATACACTAGCGATCCAGTGAGAGTGTAAATCAAGATCTCAAGAATTCCTAGCACCCAGATAGACTTCACATAATCTTTCGGCGTATGCATCTCGTCCATAAAGGAGAATTGGCATATAGCAAAGCTGTATGCAAAAACAATATTGGAGGCCGCAACAAAGGCTTCTGTGAATGTGAGATCCTCTCGGGGCCATGCAGACCATTCTGTGGATACCTGAGATCTTCTAACTCCAGTTCCAATGATTGTGATCCCAACGGCCAGAACAATAGAAGCAAAATCAATGTAACCAAGAATAGCGACTTCTGTAAAGGTAGGAGGTATAGCGAGCAGCAGTAAAATAATTCCAGAAACAACTGTGAAGACGATAGAACAAATATCACTCTTTGTAATCTGAACAAACGCAATAGTTCCAGTAAGACAATGCGAGCCTAAAATAAAAAGAAGCATCAACGTAAGCATCACATAGATGACTTCATAGCCAGCTCGTCCCCACATCAGCTGACCAACATCAGCATAGTGTGCCACTTCAGGAAACTTCAATTTAACTCGGCCGATAGTGTGACTGGTGTATACCGCAATGCATCCAAGTCCGACGCAACATAACGTGCCCGGGACCATTCCCAGGGCTCCAAATGTGGATGGAAGTGACAGACATCCAAGGGCAACAGCTTCGACTAATAGAACAATCGTAAGCCGCTTCCAACCAAGGCGATTGAACCTTCCTACGCCGTGTTCGAAGACGTGTCTGTCTACATCATTCAATTCAACAGCGACAACATCATCACTATCGTCGGGAGAAAGCATGTTGCACTTTTCGGCATCCTTCTTCTGCATCTTCTCTGAAGAAGGGGGTTCGTAAACGGTGTCTTGAATCGAGTGACTCATGTTAGGAGCAGTAAAACGATGGTCTCAGTTTAAACTAGACACGAAGAGGCTAGATAAGAGCTGATAACTTGAGTGCTATTTGCAGTTGAATATAAGTTTAATCGACACGGAAGAGGAGGTGAAAGAATAAGTAAAATGACAGGTGGAAGAAAGAGCAAGTTAAAGTGAGCACAAACAAACGCCTCCACCGGAATCAATTACTCTGGGGAAACTTTATCAAGATACCCCAACATCATCCATTACTTATTCAAGTGTTAGGATTGAGAATTTGACCGTGTGTATGTCAGCTTACGGCTTCATCGCTTAGAAAAGATTTGTAGTCTATCTAATGGACTATTCCCGATGTATACAGATGTCTTTTATGTTCCTCCTTCTTGCCATGTTTACGATAATGTGTTGACAGAGGCATTAATCCACTGAAGCGGCCATTGCTTTTGTAAAAGAGAGATATCTACGTGCTTGGAAGGAATTCGGTGACTAGGTCGTGCCACGAAGCGCATCCTGGATTGATCGGCTGGAGTTGGCCTGCTCGAGAAGGCCTGATGGGTGAATAATAAACAGAAAACCAACATCATAATGAAGACAATTGACTCCAAATATGTGTAGTCTCAACCCTTAGTGTAGCCATTCGCTGTATATAAAGTACCGTGCGCTATTGGTGATTGTCGCCCTTGGCCACCGATATCTGGATGATACTGTACTGTCGAGCATGTCTAGATGGTATTTGGTATGTAACGACATTACATGATACAACTGTATTCCCAACCTGCCGGTACACGGCACCTGCCTGCTGTAGCCGAGAGGGCCTTTCCCAGCAGTCGGCACTGGCGCATTGGCGCCGTAACATGGGGCAATAAGTACTGTTGTTCTGAATGAAACCTTAGGGCTTCGTCGAAGAAGTTGATTTGAACTCCACTTCTGCTTCTCCGGGTCTTCGGTCCTTTACGTTTCCGTTTTGACAACTAGCCTGTCAGTTTATCTGCGTCGGGTGATTGAATACATTAAATATATTGAATCATCATATCCTCTGGATCTGCTATAACGTCAAGGTTCTTGGCAACTTCGTAACCCCTCCCCCCCCCCTCCCCCGGGCGACGGCGAATTTACTTTAAACCCTCCTAATCTTCTCCAGTTGTAGATGCCCCACCGGATCTTGGGGTTGCAGTCTCCGCATCAGGCCGTACATGCACCTGACGGGGGTCGTTACCTATTGAACGTGTATTCCAGAGAAAAGAAGAAAATATGCGCCCCAAATGTCCAGTTCGACCGTGCAAATTTTGTGCGAAACAGTTCCGACGAAATGAACACCTCCATCGCCACGAAAGGACACGTATGTGCTGTATTTACTCTCCTTGATGGGCACGTCTACATAAACATTTGACAATATAGACCATGTTAACTATTGCTCACGTACAGACACAAAAGAAAAGCCATTTAACTGTCACTGTGGCCGTACATTCTCTCGAGCGTTCGTTTCTACCCCGATAGTTCAAGCGACTGGCCTTGCTTGCATCTTCAATACTGATAGTTCTATATGAATTGTACAGCGATCTTCTTTCTCGTCACTTGAGACTCACACATAACGAGGCCGGAAGCTCTCACGATGAGTCTGCCACGGCTCACCATCACATCGGATCCGAGGTGCCCATTTCAGGTAATATGACACCTGAACATGGACCTCTAACTGAAGAACGCAACCAAAGCCATATAACAGATTTTGGCCAGGAACAAGTAGGTTTAATTGCTGAGCATATTCAAACTTCTTATCTGGACCCATCCATCAGCGACACGAATAATTTGCAAGAAACCGGGAACTTCCTCTCAGCTACACCGCGCGATGTCAATGGCGCTCGCAGGAACCCAATTAGAGCCTCTAGCTCCTTGGAGCAATCGAACTCGCCGCCTCACAACAGAAGTCCAGAGGAAGCAGCAATAAATGAAATCACTCTACAGCCACAAGCGTGGAATACGGCATTGGATGACAATCTGGATTTTTTGTGGAGCAGTTTAGAGACCAGTTCAACACTAGCTACGCTGTCCTCCTTGCCACCGATATCTTGTTTTGAGTTCCCTCCCATGACGAAAAGCGCATTTCCAGACATTCAATATCCAGTAGCTGGCAATTTCGACTATCAATCTGGCGAAGATGGCCACCATGATACAGGCTATCACGACGATAGTCTCAATCAGGGAAGGGCTGGACATGTTGAAGCGGAACAGACATCCGGGATTTTCTCAAGATTTGGATCTCGTCTACCCTCTATACAACCAGCTGAGGAGCCTCAGCAGCAATCAGGGTCTACTATTAGCGATCCAAACCCCCAACAATCCTGCACAAGAGAAGAAACATCCCATCGGATTAACTCACCATTCCACGTACCAGGAATACCATGGCGTATCTCGAAGGACGACTACAATCGAATCGCCAATATTATTCAGAAACATCGTGATGTGATTCCGGGACAATTCGTTTTCCCTTCGAGACATACACTGTGCCGATACGTAGAAGGATACTTTACTGGGTTTCATGAGCATCTACCTTTTATACACCTTCCATCAGCCTCTCTTACTAAACAATGCCCTGAATTAATATTAGCTATTGCTTCAATGGGAGCAAGATACCGATTTCAACCAATGCATGCTCACCGCTTATACATTGCAGCGAAATCAGTGTTGGAAGACCAGCTCCGCCGCCGAGATGCTTGTGATATGCCTGGTTGGACATCAGAGTCTTCTGACTTTCGTACTGAAAGCAGTATGCTGTCTCAGGTCCGACAGCCAGCGCCAAATGCCGCGAATAGTCAAAGGGTACAACGAAGAGACAGTGAACGAGATATGCAAACAATGCAGGCCATGATTATTCTTATTGCTATGGGTACATGGAATAACAGATCCCTATTGAAAGATGCATTCCCCCTTGCAAGTCAACTTGCCATTATGGTACGTGAGGGCGAACAATCGTCGCCCAAGGCCGACACAGATCATTCAAATTGGGAAAGATGGATTGCTGCAGAGGGCCGGCGAAGAACAAAGATACTTGCAATGTGTTTCCTCAATTTCCATACAGTTTCCTTCAACGTGCCACCCAGAATTCTGTACTCGGAACTTAGTCACTTGGACCTTCCTGGTCACGAATCATGGTGGAGAGCCACAAATGAAGAGGATTGGCGAGCGAAACGCATGGGAAATCCATGCTCCGAAACGACTTTGCAATCTAGCTATGCTAGCCTATTTCATTCGCGTGATGATACGCTAAATGTGACACCATCATCATTTGGGAATTATGTCTTAATTCACTGCATCCTACAACAAATTTTCTTTACCAGACAAGCATCCCTAGACTTTCAGCCAGTCGACCGTACAGGAAGATGTAGGCCAATCTCGCTTCAATTAGATACCGTTTGCCGTCTCGACATGGCCTTGAGAAATTGGCAGAAGAATTGGGAGACGATTCAGGATTCCTCTCTCGATCCTACAGCACCGGGTGGCCCACTCAGTTTCAATTCCACTGCCCTCTTTCGAATTGCTTACATTCGACTGAACGCGGAAATTGGAATCTGCCAGCCTTTGGAAATTCGTGATCCTAAGGGAATCGCAACAGAGTTCCGCAAAGCGCCCCTCTTGGAGCGTTCATCTTGCGTCGGACGTGCTGTCCTTCAAAGCGCTCATTCACTTAGTATTCCAATTCGCATCGGCATTGAATATGTTGCTCGTACTCAAACCCTAACCTGGAGCATTATACACAGCCTCTGCAATCTTGAATGTGCCCTATTTTTAGCAAAGTGGTTGGAAACAATGGCGTTCGTTTTGAGCAGTGGAGAGTATTTACGTGATGATGAGAAGCGGCTTCTTGGCATTTTGGCTAGCATAATTGGAGAAACTGATTGGGGACTCGAACTGGACCGCGAACACGACAATGTCAAAAGAGCGAAACTGATGGCGATAGTTGTGATTCGTATCTGGGCTGAGTCCTTCAAAGGTGCCCACGTCTTCGATATCATGGGAACAACAGGCGCAGCATTAGACACATCTGCGGATATGCTCGAACAGGATATTGCGACGATTTGAAACTCTGGAATAGCTCTGCGAGGCTGCTACCAATGTTTCAAAGCAAGAAAAGAAAAAGAAACAACAAAACCAATAACTTCGAAGGTTATGCTGTGAGCTTGAACTATATGGCCCAGCTGATTTGTCTATGAAATGCCAGTTGTTTTGATACCTCTACCTCGTGGGTTACTGGTACTGCCTACACTAGTGTAGCTGTTCGGAATATCAGACCTCTGCGGGATGAACTAGCACTTAATAACTCTATGATTGATTTTCTTACGGAAATATCAATTTAATATAAGTTTATCATGGTGAAAGATCCAACCTGTATAGATCCCAGGATATTTGACCTTGACTATACCTGCTTATCTGATCGCGTATCCTCTGTGCGCGGGCGCGAAGATAATCTCGTCGCTAAATGTTTCAAAACTTCCAGGATTATGGATACGGTTTTTTATCCCCTGACAGAGTCAATCGCGTCTATATCGCTGCCTAGCCCCGAATATTAGTTCCCAGGACGGAGCTCCACTCCATCTCGGCCTTATCACCTGTATGAATTGAGGTAACAATGTTCAAGGCACTCCGTAACGTCTCTTTCAAGTTCACATACTATGGTTGTTTATCTGCGCACTAAGTAAAACCGATCGTTCAAGGATATTCTTATCCCAAAAATGGCACTGGCAAGAATCGAAGCTCCATCCGGGGCCCGAGTGATAAAGATGATCTTACTTCTGGGCTTAGGTTTCTTGAGAACCCAACTATCAAGTGCCCTACGAGGGCATACATCCTTCTCCTCTATCATGTCAAGATCGTACTCAACATCATGGACCGCAAATGCAGATGATTATCTGTTGTTCTAGTCTGTGGCGGTCAAGATCGTCTCGCGAACACCTCATGTACTTGCGCTTGCCTAATTTCTTCCTCAAAAGCAGCCCTCTTTGTTATCCGAGATTTTGTAAATTATATTCATTCTTCTCTCACTGGCTTCTACTCGAGTTCGAAGATGATGTGAAATATTCCGGATGGATGAAACGATGTATTAGATGATAGGTAAATCTAGAGACTCTTGTCTTTGTGTGCAGGTCTCAATTAGCTTGTATCCACGACTCACTACCCCCTGAGGTCAACCTCGTATATCAGTTGCAGCGGCTAGGATACTACGTGAGTAAATTTGGGGTTACAGAGAAATAAGTTTGTTATTGAGTTGAAGATAACCAGCAAGTACAATGGGTCGAGTAAATTTTCTGGAACTCATTGTAAAAGGAAACTTGCCCATATGTGTAAAAATGAGATTGTTCCAGTATGGCTACCAAGGAAATACATCTGACCACAGTAAAAGTTTTCCGAAAGTGGTTTCAGAATAAGTTTTTGTTCTAATTATGAATTTACCAGTCAGTAATTCGAATAGCCATTTTCCAGTGGAAACTCTGAATAGACAATATTGCCTACATCCAAGCTGTTCCAGCCGGGGGCTGAGCCTTTACAGTCTTCTCGGCATGGATGACAGCATCCCTGAAAATAGCGAGAGCTTCATCAGCCTCTGAGTGACTCAAAATCAATGGTGGAAGAATTCGAATGTTGTTGCCACTAACGGCTCCAGTCGGCCGGTGGCCCAGCAGAAGTCCATGCGCACGACAGTATTCACTGATGGCACTGGCATGGAGGGGTGATGGTGCCTTGCTGGCCTTGTCAATGACTATTTCGAGACCGATCATCAAACCCAGTCCACGGACATCGCCCAGAATCTCATGTTCGCGCTGCATCTTCTCAAAGTTCTCCTTCAGATATCGCCCCATAACGTCCGCATTTTGGACCAATTTCTCGTTCTCTAGGATCTCAATATTGGCAAGGCCAACGGCTGCCAGGAAGGGATCGTCTGTATGGGAGGATGATTGGTGGTAGCCCAACTCAGCGACACGATCGGCAATTTCAGGGGTTGTAGTGACACCACATAGAGGAACCCCGCCACCTAGACTCTTCGATGTAGTGATTATATCCGGAACCACTTCGAAATGCTCAATGGCAAACCACCTGCCGGTCCGTCCAACACCCGATTGTGCCTCATCGATGATCATCAATGTTCCCGTGTTTGTACACCACTCGCGCACGGCCTGAACATACTTCTTGGAAGGGATGATCATTCCCGCAACGCTCATGACTACTTCGAGGATGATAGCAGCAGGCTTCCCTGTAGTAGTCCAGTTGATTGCTTCCATACCCTGACGAAAGGCGGCCATATCATCGGCATCGTCTTTGTACGGGCTGCGGTATGCATATGGGGTTGGAATATGTATGAAACCAGGGAGACCACTGCCCGGGATGCTCTTGAATTTACCACCTAATCCAGTGGCAGACAAACTCGCATGAGTCATTCCGTGGTAGCCACGCGTCAATGCTACGATTTCAGTCCGACCAGTGTAGATTTTGGCCAGTCGGATGGCAGCCTCAGTCGCTTCGGAGCCTGTGCATGCAAAATACGAGCGACTGAGATCTCCAGGCATTATCTCAGCAAGCTTTTTGGCCAACAGGATGCGTGGAGGATCCGTGTACCCTGAGCCAGTTTGCACAAGCTGCCCCGCTTGATCAACGATGGCCTTGGTGTAGGCTGGGTGACAATGACCGGTGGATGCGCAAACTTGTCCGGATTCAAAATCAATGTAGACTTTGCCGTCCGCGTCCCAGACTCGCACACCCTCGCCCTTGATTAAAACCTGGGAAATGTCATATCGACCCTTGATCCGGTATTTTTTGTCCAGTTCAAGCCATCCCTGGACAGTTTGGGGCAAGGCATCCTCATTCGCGGAGGTCATGACGAATTGTCAAGTTCGAGTTGTGTAGTGGAAGGTTGAGAATGGAATCTCTAGATCAATAACTTGTCGGTAGAAGTAAATTGGAAACTGGGAATCCTTCAAGTCAACGTCCCTGATTGATGAAAGGGAAGCCGAAGGAGATCGACTGTTGAAGCTCGTCCGGCTAATTTCAAATATTTATAGACTATCAAACATGACAAGCCTGATTTTGATAATTCGTAGTCCATCCACGGTTCTAAAGAAGAACGAAATAAGTAGAATAATGACTGCGGGGAGGGTGCGGGGAAAGGTCGCTAGTTGCTTGGGGTAAGTACCTATGAACACAAATTCAATATAACTGTCGGGGTAGTTGAGGCTCAAAGGCGCGACGTTGGGCTTCAAGTTGTCGTGGCCCACGCTATGGTGTGCTCAACAAGGTAACTTGATAAATTTACTATTGAATTCTGAGGAGCCCATAGTATCCGTGGCTTTAACATCTTCAATAGTGGGCAATAACTGGAGACTGGTGGTTCGTGTCTTGGTGGCGTGGCCAGGAAACCGCAACATCGGGAACTTTTGCACGAAGATTTATTACTGCCCCCTGCAGATATTAGCATGCTCATTACCCTGGAGAAATAGACTGGACTTGGAGCACACATGCGAATAGCAATTAATACTGGCTTAACAGAGATTGCGATTCGGGAAGCTATTCTCCAATTGTCCGTTTTTTGCCTCTCGTAGCTATACATGCTTCGAGGGTTGCCGATGCCACATATGATTTGCAGATGGAGCAATACAGAAAGTAACAGTCAATATGATCCTCAGCTAATGCTCGCGCCTTTCAAAATTGACTCCGTTAGTGCTTTTATCCCTTGTTGGTGCTCGGGTTATTGTGGAGAAAGGTTTGTTTGATGAAACTGGCCATCAAGCAGTTCTGTTGGTCGTGATAAAATAGAAAATTGGAGGTGGTACAATATCAAAGAGAATAAAAACCTTTCAAAGGGTCACCATATATGATAATTTGGGTTGCTCGAGACCTGGGCTGACTTCAGTTGGTGTCTGCTCCTTATTACTATTATTCCGACTGCTAGTTTTCCTTGTTCGGATATGCCTAAGGCCAACCATCATGTGAGCTCTACACTCCCTATATCTACTCTAGCTCGCTCATCTGCCAATATACACTTGCTATCATTTGCATCTCTCTATATACAGTCTGTATAATCCTAATACACCCCAACGTGAGTTGTTGTTGAAGAGTTCCAAGGTTAAGTGGCCGATATGCCATGTTCTGACCTATATTTCCCCGCGCGCCCCTTGTTTGTTTCTGCAAATCTTGCTCTAAATGTAGTTGTTCTGGCATCTATGATTCTTAGGCGAGCCTGCCCATCTTTATATACTAGGTATCTTTATCCAAATCCTCTTTTAAGCCTGCTTTGCACATACAGCGCCGTGCTAGGTGAGAGGTTGGTGTTAGTAAGAACTCACGGAGTGTAATATCCCTATATAGAAATTGAGCACTAGTATATTGGGAAATTATACACCGAAATAGTAGTATTCTGGATGCCATCTTCAAGTTCCAAGGCTTACTACTAGTATTATCTTTAACCGTATGACATCTAACAACCAGATCATGGTATATGTTTAGTTCGAAATTTCAATGGATATTACTAGTAGTAGGAGTAGATCAATATCCGATTCCAGAGCTCACTACAAATCTTGATGACACAATCATATAAAATTGATGTCTGCTATATTGACTGAGCAAGGAAACGCCAATAACGATTGAACAACCCCCCATTTAAATCGATACTACCGATCCCAGGCGACAACTTCAATGCGTTCATTTGAAAGCCACTGGTAATTCATGTCCGGTAGGACTAGAAGACTTCCCTTGTTGCGAGATCTAGCTGAATCCTATGCTACGTATTAGAAGGATTAATTTATGACCCTGGGTTATAGATTCTCGTATATTCGGGTATAGGAAGAGAAGAAACTGGCAAATTAGGATGTAAGGATGAGGGAAGAAATGATGAACAACGGTAATTGAATTGTGAAAGAAACCAAAACTACTTGAATGATATCGCATGAATACAAAAGTAGGCCGTGACATGGTCAGGAATTTTCGCAGATGTAAGCCGATTGACTTGGTGCAAAGACATTAAGCTACAGATGAGTGCTAGGGCTTAATATCTGATCGACTCAAACCCTGCGTCCGGGTTATCAAAGTAGTATGCCAAGTCTCGACCTTCCCCCTCTCTAGTTGAGAATCCATTTCCTAAGAAGGCGAATCGATTTTTGTCAGAGGTTGTCCATTTGTAGTCCTCAAAACGTGGTTGATCCAGCATATGGAACCAATGGATTCTGCTGCCTGGGTGTAAAGCCGTAATTGGGCCATCGATTTTCCCATTTTTAAACCATGATCTACAATGAGTGCTCCATGCTGTACGTGTCATGAATGTGTTTATATGCTCAACGAAGTCAGCAACAGCATCCCATTTGGCCACAACCGATTTGATCCTTTCAGTTTGGCACTTGTGTATCATCCGGAGTATATATTTAGCAGAGTGCTCAAGTATCGGAAGAACAGAGCCATGGCCAATGGGGGCATTTGGTCCCAAAAACACTGGATATCTCTTATATTAGCTTCTATATTGATATAATATTCGAGTTTTCTCTTGAGGAGGGGGATAGTACTGACTGAAATGATTTGGGAAATTCGGGACCGCCATAGTGAGATAGGCTTCTGGTTTTACTTTCCACTGCTGGCTAAGTAAAATGCCGTTTTGGCCGATGACAGGGTACCGGGGGCAGAAGGAGACATCAAAACCTGTGGCGCATACAAGCATATCGACTTTTACAATTTCACCACTGTCGACCTTGATGCCCTCTGGGACAATCTCAGTAATGGATTCGGTGATAGCCCGCACATTCCTTTCGGTCAGGGCTTCAAGATACCCATTTCCAGGTGTCGTTCGTCGGCACCCAACACTGAAATCAGGCAAGAAGTACTTCAACAAAGGGTTTTTCTCCCCTAGTTTCGCCTTCACATCCTTCGTGGAGAATTTGACAGCGTCTGCCTGCTCCTGGCTATCTTTAAGAATCTAGAAGCAAATAAATTAGTAAAAAAGTTGACAGCATTCTACCCAGAGGCTTACAAATTTGAATCTCGTATTGAGCTCGTTCTCAATCTCTTTGCGGTACTTTAGGTATATCCCCGGGTTTTCCTCGAATTCTCTTTTTCTTTCATCGGAAACTTTTTCATCAGTTAGCAGATACCAGGAGGTGCCAAAAGTGTAAATTGAGGTCTGACAGTTAAAGTTGGCTCCATTTGGGCCGGCTTTACTCTGAGCAAAGCCGGCTGTGATCCAAGTAGGGGATCGCAGAAAGGTAATGAGCTCCTTCACGTCTAGCCACACCGTTAGCTCATGGACCATAATAGTCCAAGCTCATTTATCGTCGTACCTGGTTGAATCGTTGGAACAATCTGCACACCAGAAGAGCCATTCCCAATGACGGCAACGGTTTTGGCTGACCAAATGGCTTCAGCATCCCAAGCGGCACTGTGCAGCCGTTCTCCTTTGAACGATTGCAATCCAGGAATATTAGGCCACTTCCAATTGCTGTAAGGATAATTAGAAAATGGGAACTTAGCATATAGATCGGGTCTGCCATACTTCAGAATTCCAGAGCCGCTAATCATGAAATCGCACCAATCCTCAATGATAATACCACTTTTCAAGTCCTTGATGCCAAGTCGCCAGATTCCCTCGGACTCCTGCCATTCAGCACGGACAACCTGATGATTTAGCTTGATGAACTTATATAGATCATATTTCTTCGCAATACCGATGAAGTACTGGAGAATCTCTGGTGCCGTGGAGTAGCTAATTGAATTTCAGCCTTATGGATTCCTGGACACCGCACAGGTAAGAGGCAGGCTTCGGTTTTAATGAAAACATACAATTTATTCCAGTGTGGATTTGGTTCCCAAGTGAATTGATAACTGTGCGATGGGATGTCGCATGCACATCCTGGATACCGATTTTCGTACCATGTCCCTCCAACCTCAGGATTCTTTTCATAGACGACGTGAGTAATATTTTGCATGTGTCGATTGATCTGATGAGCAAAGTTCAACCCTGCTGCACCAGCACCAACCGTAATAATCCGAAGGTGACGTGCCTGACCAATCGGTGCCTCTAGAACACGATAGGCGTCTGTCGAAGAGTTGATACCATTACTTCCCATGGTGATGGTTGAACAATGTTGACCGAAGGATCACTGAACTTTAGATTCTTTCACCTTTGAGTGCGCGTACCACTAGAAATATGCAGCATACAGAGTATACCGATGGTGCTTGCGCTTCGGTATAAGATACCAGGCCGACGCACGCATGTACATGAACCAACCTGAAGCTTACTTACGCCGCTGGGTCAAGCCAGACGTATCAACCCCAACTGCTAGCAAACCCCAAGTCTCAAACCCCAATGGCAGAACTCGTTGGGGAAGGGCACTAAGATAAGATTATATTTTGGCTGGCAATGGAAAACTCCTAGAGTGAAGTAACTCGCATTTCACAATGGGTGGAAAGTTGCAAATGACATTTCACATGGTGGGGCTCGTACGCTGTTACGAAATACCTTCTCCAACACATATATGCGTTGCAGAAAGCACGTGGAACTTATTCTGGCTTTCTGGCTTTACATGGCTGAGGATTACTATTTTAAATTTAGCTGCCAGTCAAAGAGAGGCTGATTAAATACGCAGAACAATGTATAGACATTTTCTGGAGAATTAAATAAAACATGTAGATCCCTCAGCTGCGCAGGGGGCAATGACTTTTGATGTTATTAGAAGTCGGTTGGTTACATCGCTACTAGTACTCAGCGCTATAGTCATAGACTATGTCGCGGCTAATATAGTATATTCAAGGCCCAGAAAACAATCTTTGGTATAAATCTCAAAGAAAGCGCTCAATGAAGATTTGAGATAACGATTTCCCCATAAGCAAAGCTGTTCAAAAATATGAATCAGAGGGAAATACCAAGGATTATACCGGAATGAATCAAAGCGATACTGGTTGGCATTGAACCTGAGGGATTCAGGTGGCTTCTACAGCAAAATGAAGTTTCCCGACACGTTAAGCACCATAAGGTAGAAGGACGATAGTAGAATAGAATAGGGGTAGGGGGAGATTGAGAAGCCCCTTTTTCTTTTTCTTTTTTTTTTTTGTTTTATTTATATCAATCTAGGTGTAGTTTCTCCAAGGTCAGTGGGGATTCATGGCGCATGAATTTTCATCGGAACTTCGACCCCTTGTCAAGGCAAGATACTGCATTAAAATATCAAATGTGACTTCTCTCTGCCCAATCCTCCTGGCCACCAAGATACCGAAACACGACTCGTGAATCCAGGTTGCGGCACCGAGGATCATCCGCAGCAGCATCATAGGTCTCCAAGCCTTTGGCCCCCAGAGCCAATGTAGCTCCCACACTTTGGGCTAAATCGACTGCTAAAGAGAAGTCTTTTTTCATCAGTTGAACTTTGAATCCACCATCATATCCTTTGCTTGACGGCGCTTCGGGCACAACACCCGGGCATGGATTGAACCGATCACAAATGGCATTCTGCGCAGTACCTGCGGCAAACACACTGGACAAGACTCTTGGGTCTAGACCAGCCCTTATGCCAATGTTCAGTGCCTCAGAGCTTGCGATGGCAATTAACCCCGAAAGGTAATTATTGCATAGCTTAGCACCCAGACCCGTAGCTGGCCCTCCACATGGTATAATATTATTGCCCATCAAAGCCAGGAGCTTTGATATCGGCTTCATGAGTGGTTCATCATGTTTACATCCAAGGAAGAAGGCAATTGTGCCTTTCTGGGCACCCAGTGTACCGCCACTGACAGGCGCATCAAAAAACGATGCTTCAGGATGATACTTCGCAATATGTTGTTTCACCGCAAGGCTGGTGCTTATGTCAATCGTTGAGCAATCGATCAAAATCCGGCGCTGAAGATCGATAGAGCATATTCCCAATTTTTCGTCGAGATACACCGATCTAATATGAGCACCCTCTGGTACCATGGAAATGATAATCTCCTAAACAGAATATGAATAGTTACTTCGGTTGAAGAGTTAAGTGGAACATACCGAAGTCTGCGCCACGTCTTTTGGTGATATCGCTCCGATGACGCGGCCGGGGAACTTTGTAGTTAGATCAATGATGGCGCTGTTTATCACATCGTAAACATAAATTCGAGCGCTTTCAGGCAATTTCATTGCCAGCTGCTCAGCCATGAACTTCCCCATGGCTCCGAGGCCAATAAAACCGACATTCTGAAATTCCGACCGCATCTCGATAGGACGATGCCAATTGCAATCGTTCTCGTACTTGGAAAAGAGGAAGACACAAAGCTAATCATATTTTCCCGTCTTTCAAGTAGTCTACGAGGATAAGTGGGTATCGCCTCCAATACGCCGCCGAGAAATATACCCCAATTTCATCTGTGCTGCCAGAGAAGACTGTTGTTAGGGAGGAATGAATACGCTACACCCTTTTCTCCACTAAGACTTGAAGCTGGGCAATTTGCTCCGCAACCAGTAGAATGATGAGTTTTTGCAGACCCTCTGGGGTGTTCTTGTCTCTATCGTAGGCCCACTTTTCCCTCACGCCGTTTGAACTTACCCCAATTCCCGAGGTCGCTAAACACAACCTCGTTATACTTCATTACGTGAATATATTTAGAGCTTGGGGACATATGACTGCCCCTGCGACCAAAATTTGCTATCTAGGTGGAAATGATTGTATATTATATCAGTGCGCATTGTTGCATGCGTTCTTCCTGATTCGTTTCCAAGTTCTACTACTATTTGATATCATTCAGAATCAAGCGTGTGCACACCTAAGTGGCTGAGATGTCAGAGAACGATAATGTTTAGAAATGCTTAATCCGCGTCTAAGGCGGTGCTGCCAGTTCTATCTCTCCATAACTCGTTCGATACTTCGGTAAAAGATGAAACTGGTGACGGCGCGCATCATTCGGATTCGCCTGATATGCCGGTTCATGGGATACCTTGGAAAACGATAGAATACAATAATGGTTTTGTATTCAATTGCTCGTACCTTGATTGGAGCTAAAGCTACCCCTTATTAAGTGTTCTTTTGATATCTCGTATTTTTCTGAGGCCAGAGTATTCCGTAGACGCTAAGCTCATAAAATTGCGATCAACTCTCGAAAATCCACTGGCGCAGAGAGGAATGTTGGAATCAGATCGAGAATTGATTCTGCTACTTTCTTCCAACTCGTTCGTTATACCGTATTGGTACGGTTTTTTTCCTTTTCTTTTTTTCGTTCTTCTTTTTCCTAACTTTTTTTTTTTTTTTTTTTCCCTTTCTTTGTTTCTTCTACACTCGCTTGACTGTGAAAAAGAAAAATGCCAATTCTGATGTTGGCACAACTCGCGCATGAAATCTTGGCCAAGAATATTTAAGCACATTGTTCATTTGACAATATTAGCAAGTTCTGGTTTGCACGAGTAATATTAGCCTCAATTTAGTGCCTTACTCCACATTGGTGTAGCAGTACCCGTGGACGGTTTCTATTTAAATTGGAACAATAGATGTCTTGGTAAGTGATACTCCAGTAAACATCATTCTGTCTCGGTGCTTGCATAGCCTGAACTCTACATGATTAGAGATATAAACCAATTAGTTTTTCCTTTTGACATCCTCTTCTTAAGAGGTCCCCTCGAGAGTCAATGTGCATGTTTTGGAAACCAGATATTCATCAATTGCGACGTCCTTTCCTGACTCCTTGCCATATCCTGACATTTTCATCCCGCCAAACGGCGACTCGGCCGCGGAAGAAGCGCCTGTGTTAACACCAATCATCCCTGCTTCAAGGCTTTCCATCATGCGCCAAGTTCTATCAATATCCTTGGTAAACACATAGCTGGCTAGGCCCATCGAGGTGTCATTGGCTAACCTCACAACCTCTTCTTCCGTTTTGAACTTGTACAAAGCAGCAATCGGGGCAAAGCTTTCTTCGTGAGTGATAAGCATGTTCGCTCCCATGTCGCGAATAACGGTTGGCTCAAAATAATTGCCCCCTTGGATACTTTTTCCCCCGTGCACAACCTTCGCACCCTTTTGGACCGCATCCTGAACCTGATGTTTGGCTTTCTCAACACCACGTGACGTAGTCAATGGCCCCATGGCGACAGAGCTGTCAGATCCATGTCCTACTTTGAGACTCTTTGCGTAATCCACCATTTTAACCACGAAATCATCGTAGATGTCTTCATGGACATAGATTCGATTGGCTGTAACACAAGCCTGTCCTGCATGCCGGAATTTCAATGCGCTTAGCTGTACAATAGCTTGATCTTGATTTGCGTCCGCGAAAACGATAAATGGGCAATTTCCTCCTAGCTCGAGGGACAGCTTCTTAATCCCATCTGCACAGTGCCTGGAAATTATACTTCCAACAGCACTGGAGCCGGTAAAAGAGACTTTCTGAACAAGAGGGTGCTTGCATAGTGCCTCCGATAGTGCGGGTGTATTTTCATTTGATGTTGTCAGAACATTGAGAACCCCGGGGGCGAATCCAGCTTTTTCCGCCAGGTGGGCCAGGGCCAATGTCGATAAAGGAGTTTCGGGAGACGGTTTCGCAACCATGGAACACCCAGCAGCTAGAGCAGCACTCACTTTGCGAAGGAACATACTAGTTTATATTTAATTTTGGTAGTGAACCCATAGTTGTATACGGAGGTCGAACTTACCCCACCGGATAATTCCAAGGTATAAGTGCCACACATACCCCGATAGGTTGCTTGACAACAAGTATCCTGCGACCCGAAGTTGCTGGTACGATGACATTACCTTGAATCCGCTCAGCCTCGCCTGCGAACCACGACAGGAAACTGGCAGAATAATCTACCTCTCCAAGAGCTTCAGCAAAGGGCTTTCCAGTTTCGTAAGATAGGATGGTGGCAATATCATGACGATCTCCGAGGATCAGCCTCCTCCACTCCAGAAGCAATTCAGCACGGGTTCTAGGGCTTTCCCGACGGAACAATTTGAATGCCTCGTGGGACGAATGCACAGCGTCGTCTATATCTTGAGCATCAAGATCGGAGCAGGTTGCAAAGGTCTTCCCCGACCCTGGGTCTAATAACCGCATTAATGGACTTTCGCTAGTGTAGAGTTCATTTGTATGGTTTACCTTCGATGGTAAAAGTCTTCTTCAATTTGGCTTCAACCCACTGCCCATTCACGTATGCCTCACTGCGAAGCAAAGAGGGATTTTTGAGCTTTCTTGCTGTTAGTATAATGAAAATTAAACTTCCTCTTCTGCCCCCGTAAAACATACAGCAAATGGCAAGGTTGACATTTTAAGGGCGAGTTCTTTTTCAGTATAAAGCAAATAGCCAAGGAAGTCTTGTTGTATCCAAGTGTAGCGAATCTTTATTTTTTGATGAGAGAGAAGCTATGGCTTCTCCTTTAACTTGATTAACACCACCCTATGATGGGAAAACGTTGGGGTACATAATATTGTACCCCATCCTGGTCGGGGTAAAAGCGCACTGGTCATCTAACCCCATCAATGAGGTCGTGACAATCCAAAATTTGAGTCCCGATGCAAATTACTCCATTTCCCCCTTCTTGGATTGCATTCCGGGCGTATTCACTGGTTCCCCACCAATTCGACTCCCCCAAAAGCTAGAGCTTCTCCTCCTCAATTACTAGTATACTACTCCGAATTGTTGTGTATAAACCGGCGTGCTCATGGAATGTCCCTACTCCGGATCCAACCATTCTATTCGAATTGCTATTCAGCTTCATATTCGATTAAACATGCAGAATATGCGAGCGGTTGTCTTCCAAGGTCCTGGCAACATCATTGTCGAAGATAGAGCAGTTCCCCAAATTCTTGACCCGAAGGATGCAATTATCAAGGTGAAGGTCGCTGGAGTTTGTGGAAGTGACTTGCATTTCTATCGAGGTCACGAAAAGGTCCAGGCCAATTTCATACCGGGACATGAGTTCGTGGGTTCAGTTCACGCGATCGGGGCCGACATCAAGAAATTGAAGGTGGGCGATGATGTTGTGGTGCGTTCAGACTGCTCTTTCAATAATCATCTTCACTTCATCTCTTCTCCTTCGGTCCTTGTTTCTTTGATTTGCATTATGACTTACGTGACCCTCTAGTCACCATTTACAACGCAGTGTGGCAATTGCTATTACTGTGAGCGTGGACAAACCAGCAGATGCGAAAAGGGCCTTCTATTTGGTAAGGGAAACCCGGTTTAATATATTTTCATTATGATAAGTCATCTCACCGAATTCTAAATAGGTTCCTGTGGGACAGGTCCCGATGGAGGTCAAGCTGAGTTTGTCAGGGTGCCGTTTGCCGATTCAACTCTAGTCCATGCGCCAGGATCTATAAGCTCCGATCTCTTGATCCTGATGTCTGATATCTTCCCCACCGGCTACTTTTGCGCGTCCCGCTTTCTAAAAAATATGTCTGCCCAAGAGGCACAAAACAGTGTCGTTGCTGTAGTGGGGTGCGGACCTGTAGGTATTTGTGCTATTGCCAGCGCTTTGACCTGTTGTCCGAACGTCTACGCCATCGACATGGTTCCATCCAGGCTCGCTGAAGCCGAGAAGATTGGCGCTAAGCCATTGCTGCTGGATAAAGATCCCGAGTCTACTATTAAAGCAGCCACTGGCGGCAGGGGTGCAGATGTGGCCTTGGAGGTGGTAGGGACAGAGGAGGCGATGCAAGTTTGCCTGTCTTTAATTCGCCCTTTCGGCTTTGTGAGCTGTGTTGGAGTAAGGCACGGTGACTATATAATACCAGGATCACTGGTATATTCAAAAAATGCTACCATTGCCTGGGGAAGATGTCCCGTGGGAGGAATTTTTGAGGAAGCTCTGGGTTGTTTGGTGAAAGTTCAGGACAAGGTCTCATTTCTCTGTGATTTACATATGAGCTTGGAGGACGCACCACGAGCATATGATATTTTCAACCGACGGAAAGTTCATAAAGTTATTCTCAAGGTTTAACGCTTTATTACATAGAATATGTGTCTTGGTCGCTTGATGAGCCGAGGAATCGATTCTCTTGATATTTTTGATCCTGTGGACCACTACCAGAGCATTCAACTTCATTCCAAGTTCCGCGCAGCTTCGATTGCCACTACTTGAAGTATTTGCGACAAAGGTAGAGCTGCTTGAACAGTATTTAGCCAATTGAAAATAGGAAGGAGGGAAAATGAACATGCTCATTCTCATGTTGTGTATTTATCACCGTTGACAAAAACATAGCTGTCGTCTTACAAATTAAGAACATCACTGTCAAGCATAACACTAAATTCATCACTAATACACAAAACTTGAACGTCTCTTACCCAAGCATGTACGGCGCAGCCCTGGAGCAAAAGCTCGGGCCTCTATCGAGCCTGAACCTAATCTCGGGAGCAATGAATGTTATCGGACTACTACGCGTAGTAGCTCCAACAGAACAAGTCAAGGTTGACGGTGTCTTGCAATCTAACGGGTTAGATCACTGATCAGAACTTGAAAATGGCTACTACCCGGCGCTTCTCAGACGGTCTACCGGAATTTTAGCATGTACAAGCAAACTCATGCGTGAATGATGCGTTTTGAACTTGGATGGAAGTGTTCCAAGGTTTTTCAAGTTTCAAGTTGTGGGACGCGCTGTAGGTTAGTCTGGGCTACTACTACTAGTAGTAATAGTAGTGCACGCGGTGCGCTCGTTGGAATGTAACTTTTGTGAATTACAAGTATATATTGCATAATTTCATGGATGTTGACAAGGCTTTCCACGGATATAAAAAAATACAAGACAACGTACAAAAGCACACTCTGGGCAGAAAGCTACAGTATATGGAATTGGGGTTAAAGAAAAGTTGTATTTTTACTCCAAATATCGGAGTAAAAACACCACAGTTCTCCCGGGGGTTCCCATTTGCGACCAGGTCGATAGCCATCCTTCATCCCTTAGGTTACCTCGGAATATTTAATAAGCAAGCTATTGTGAGCCTCCCATGAGACGCTACTCACTTTATTGCGCAACGAGTTTCCCTATATCATGCGTTATGGATTTTGCTACTGGTGATGAGATTTATGCGACAGTACACGCTCTCCAGGCAGGGCATCTCACTTTGCCAGAACGATTCTTCGTTCGTCCCGCATCTAAAACAAGAATAAGGACAGTTCCATCTCTCTCTTTTCTTTGCCAACATGTTCACCCACGTTCGGGCAAGATTACTCGAATCCTTTTTGATCTTGGACTGCGTCATCCGACCGCAGATTACCCGGAACCCCTCAAGAAACATCTTGAAAGTCGACAGCCGGTAACAAGTAATCCAGACGTTGTGAAAAGTCTTGAATTGGGGGGGTTAACCCCAAATGATATTGACTATGTAATTTATTCCCATGTGCGTGTCCCCTTTTCCACATTATCGAGTATTCTTGACTAAAATGGAAAATATGATCCAAAGGTGCACTGGGATCATATTGGCAACCCTCAACTGTTTCGGGGAAGTACATTTGTGGTTGGACCTGGCACTTCGACGGTTCTAGACGGGAGCAATTCGATTTTGTGTGGCACTCACTCGGTTTTCGAGAAAGATCTGCTCGCTCACCAACGAACTATTGAAATACCAGAAGTAACCGATTCCACAGTGGAAATTACTACTGGAGGAGGCAGGCCTGATTTTCAGCAACCGTGGAAACCATTTGGACCACTGCCTCGTACAATGGACATTTTCCAAGATGGAAGTATATTAGTGGTTGATGCACCCGGTCACCTTCCAGGGCATATCAATCTACTTGTGCGGACAGAAAAAGGCAGACATGTTTATTTGGCCGGGGATACCTGTCATGACCGACGCCTTCTCACGGGGGAGAGACAGATTGGAGAATGGCTTGATGAGCACGGAGGTGTTTGTTGTATCCACAGCGATAGAAGAGAAGCGCAGAGAACCATGGAGCGCGTTCGGCAACTCGAATTGGAAGGGGTAGAGGTAATTCTGGCTCATGATCTTGAATGGGAATGCGATCCAAACAATCAGAAAAGGTACTTTGGTAGGTGTGTTGACTCGAAATTTTACAGCGAGAGATGAAGAAGACACCGCATTTGGGATTTGGAGCAGACTCGTGAACTTCAATAATCAGTTTGTCGACAGGAGTAATGAATTACTTTAGCGCTTTCAAATAGCATTTTCATCTTCGTCTTATTACAGGGCGGGATCAGAAAGGCTTTTGACTTTCATCATATTTCAGAATTGAGGACTGAATAACGATAGCTAGGACATGGGGTCCCTTTTGAGGCAAAAGATGAGCCGCACAATCTTGAGTGTCCCTGTTTATTAGTCTCCATCTGTCGAAAATGGGGTTCTACGAAACAATTATATTCTTCCTGCCCAAAACCAGAAAGGTAACGTGGCAGGAATTCTTGTCAAAGGAGGACAGAAAAAGCTCTAGGCAGGTTGACACAAGAAGATAGAGATATTGTTATAGACGAATGGGAATTCTTGAATGGTTCTTTAGTTATCATTCAAGATGAGCCTCTTATGGCTGCCTCTTACCATTTTTGAGTATAGTATTAGCGCAGGCCTTAGCAGTCTAGACAAGTTCGGGTTAAAAAGAGTGGACACGTTAGCTAAACGACAAAGATCCCTGAGATAAAGGGATATTCCGATATACATGAGAGGGGATCTTTGGTATTTCTAGACTTGTATATGGTAATATAAAGGATACAGGGATTAAAGTTAAATAGTAAAATTAACAAGGAGGAACATACTATGAAATAATACTACTAACCATTTTTTATCGTGAGGGATATGTTCGTAGCGTCGAAGGAAGCCTGGGTTGTGAAGCATCGTAGAATAACTGGTCAAGTTATATGCAGGGGTTTTGGTCTAGCTCTTCTGTCCTTGTGCACTTGCACCACGGCGTCGTGGGCTCCAACCCTGTCATCGCGACCATGATGGTAGTATCCTCCACGGCATTGCGGCCAATACTAGTAGTATGTGATGTTCAAGTTGTCACCAGGGCAGCGACTCGGATATAAATGCTCCACGGAACAAGTATGATCAACTCATCAATACGTACTACAGAGCAAGCCAGACAAGGTCATCCAAAACTGTCATACGGCAACATCTCCTTGACGGAGCTGGTCCTGACCTTGTGGGTGGATCGCTGACCACTTCAAGGGGTGCGATACAGGCCACGGCACATCTACTAGACTCCGAGAGGCAATTACACTCTTACGAGGTTGATTTGATCCTTAGAAACCGGGTCTAGGAAGACAATTCCATTGCCCAAAGTGTCCCTGCCCCTACATGCGCTTTCTGGGATAAAGATGACTTTCAAGTTCTAGTTCAGCCTCATGAACTCTGTAAACCTTCAATTTGGCCTGTGCGGTTTGCATTTATCGGGTCATGTCGATCATGTTAAGATATGATAAATCGTTTCCCCGCCCCTTGGAAAGTTATAAACCATTCAATTTCATTGTAATTCCCAGTTTCTTTCTTTTATTTCTTTCTTTTTTTTTTTTTTTTTTTTTTTTTTTTTTTTCCCTTCCAGGGCCGATAATGTGTCAGAATAATATGAGGATTTTCTTGGTAGTTCTTCAATTTTGTATGTCTAGTCTACGTTGCAAAAGATCGCTTGTTAAGGGCTTGTGAAACAACTCGGAAGAGTAACAAGGGGGAATATAGACCCAAAATCTCCCTGAAGCCGGGGCGGAGCAGAAAGAAATAAACTAATAGGGCCCCAATTGTCAAGGTCTACAGATTAGAGAGAGTTTCAGGAAGCAAGTAAGCTTCAATTTAGGCTTACTCGTTGCTGTTAGTATGGCTCTAGTGTTGCTACTCTAATGTTTGACCCTAATGTGTCTTTTAAATCCGGCTTAATTTCCTAATCTAATAGTATCTTAATATTCTTAGTGTTCTGGAGATCTACTTCTAGTGGCAGTCAGTAGCCCCGTAAGTACTAAATGACTAGTTTAACATACTAAATAACTTAGTACGCACTTAGTGGTGTATTTCATACACTTAATAGTTTTATATACACTAAATGGCTTTAATTCAGGCACTAAGTGGCCCTATTCAAAAGTAAGTTTAGGTACTAAGTAGCCCTGTATTAGTATACCCGAAGGCCCCTAGCTGGGGGGGGGGGGGTCCAATCCTCGAAACAGAGCTCATGATTCAAATATAGGCAGTGGGACACTCCATAACACTGATATCTACAGTATACACACTTATCCCCATTATACTAAGGTTCTTGGCTGTGTAGATCCCTGGCATATTCTTCAAACAAGATACCTTTCTTAGGCCAGGAGGCATATTTCCAATCTGAGATAGTAGCTAAATCTGCCTGGCTGGTGATGTAGAGACTTTAGTCTGGCTAGTAAAACTGTCACTAAGCTCTCTTCAAATATTATTTAAGTGTATTTGGTTGGTAGGTAGATACAATAGTAGATTAGTGGGTTGGTAGGCCAATCCTATAGGCCTAGGCGCCCTAGGTTCTGCAGTATCTGGCTTCCTAGTAAAGTAATAAGAAAAGTAGCGTATTTAGATCCAAATAATAATTTAGATAACTTCAGAGGTGACTCCCCGGGCTACTGGGTTCATAATCTGTCAATTAGTCATATAGGATAAATTCCTTTATTAGATTATTTATGTTGCTTGATTCTATCAACATGACTGTAGGAAGGACAACAGCGCTAGGCTTAATTAGGCAGCGTCAACAGTATATACCTGTAGACAATGCATACTGGAGACCTGCCTGCAATGATAATTGGAATCGCGCCAATCCAAGCCAGAACCCAAATGCGATCAAGTGTTCGAATGCTAGCAAAGGCAAACCTAAACATAGATGTAACATCCACAAAAGCCGCAGTACAGGCAGCATGAGTGGAAAGCACGTTGAGGGCCGTTGAGATACTCAGCATGGCCGATGCAGCGGTTACAGTATAGACTAAAAAGGATTTAGGACCCTAATCACTGTCCGAAAGGTCAAGCACCTACAGAGTGCATATGCAACACCAAAGAGTTGGTAGCAATTTTAACCAAGGAACATCCGCCCCACATCGTAATACCATAGACTTCAAGATGACGGAGCGTGAAGACTCCCGCCATATAATCCGAACAAATTGCAATACCGGCGATGGCCAGCAGGAAGATATTCCCTGGAATAAGACGTAAGGTACCAAAGACAAGGGCCATAGAAAGAACACAAATTCCAATCTGGGTTTCCATCAAGGCAGTTGTACCTACCCAGTCAACATGCAGGGCAAGTGTTAGCGCGTTTGTATTGCTTCATCCGACGGGAGAATAATCATCATATACATACATTGCGGTAATTAGGCCCGTCTTCTTTAAATTTTCCGAAAACAGCATCAGTTTCAATAACCGTCCCGACTATGTCTTGCGATGGGTTTGTGGGACCACCTGGCTCAGAGTCGCAATCCGGTTTGGACTTTTGCAACATGTCGTTGAGAAAGTGCGGGATGGTAAGGTTCAGAAATGGGGCCCCATGGATCTAATTCCTCAAAGAGAGGCAAGATATATACGTATACTCAGATGGCTCGCCGCTCCACTCCATTATTTTGTAAGGATCACGATAATGCGGGGGTCTGCAATGATACGAGTTATCTATTCATTCTGAAGAGCAACATGGTCCAATAGCCAACTGTCTCCTCCGGAACAGCTTGCCTCGTTACTTTGAAACAGTCAAATGTATTGAAAGATCACCGACGGGTATGTCTAAGCGCATCCACCCTGAGTTCAAAGCTGTTCGCGATCGCTTGATTACTTCTCTTCTTCCACCAAGAGCTTATACCACTGTTGTCACACGTTGTCAATTTTGTTCATGGTGACTATTTGCGTGAAGGCGCACAGGATAAGGACGCATTATGTTATACACACTTCAACGGTTGCCAAATTACTGAGAACAGTCGTGTATAGACAAGAGCCGGGGTACTATCAAAGATAAACAAAGCTTGGAAGGTCTTGATAGGTTGAGGACCGTGAAGTAGACAAGAAAATGTGCAAGTGGATCCGAAATCAAGCTGCCAACAAAACTCGCCGCTGATTCCCCTCACGTTTTGCAAAGGATGGCCTCCGTTGACCGAAGCTTTGCGAACTCCGCAATTGCTCTGATATCACAAGAATATGTATTTTCTTTCAGCAAGAGCACATTAGGAAGGGAGTTCTGCACTACATGATATAGCGTCGGCAACTGAATCTATACAATTGTACTCGTTCTCCATTCCCATTACTCGTACTCTCGTAGGACATTCAGTTTGTCATCTCAAGACTACTCGACTACAAGTGATGTCCATCCGAGGACAAACAATGTTCCTAGAAGCCAACTTCGATGAGCTTGCGATGTTCCAAGGCCCTCATTACACTTATGCTATGCCGCAAATGCACACTGAAGGGGCTATCTTGGGTGGGGTAGCCCAGGAAGGAAAAGAGACTGCTTATGGGAAGACTGGAATCAATTAACCCAGATAGGGACTCAAGAAGAGACATTGTCGCATTTCAGCCAGGTAGGAAACGAGGCTACCGTATTGAGGCTGATGGTAATGTTGTCCATGCACATGGATTTGCCGGTCTGGGGTATGTCTACAGCTATGGCGCAGCCTTGAAAGTTCGGAAGTTAGTAGACACAGTAGCAAGCAGAGATGCCCGTTATGAACTTGATAGCTTAACGTGTCTAGGAAACTCCAAATGACTACGATAAAATGCTCTCAGCGCTTGCCACATGTTCAGCATGGCATCGTGTAGATCACTGAGTTCCGCTCGTGGGTCTGCGAACTTCCAAATTGGTCAACCAGTGATTTGGTCTCCCAAACACGGCACCTATGTAGGCACGTGATCGGCGTCTTATCCCGATTCCTGACGCGATGGTCCGCTTTTCCACTGCGCAATGTCGAACGGAAAGACACACACCAAAATCGCTGGAGCTCCAGACTACGACGATCCCATTTTCTGGGATCAGAAGTTTGCAACCGGCCGAGATGTGGGCGAATGGTTGAATTCAGGAGAGAATCTCGTCCAGGCCGTTCTGTCCGACTTAGACAACCGATCATTTGTCCAAGAACATGCCCCTCGAGTGTTACATCTGGGACCCGGAATCTCGAAACTAGGGGCAAAGCTTCGCGATGCATTCGTGGACCGCAACTGGAAGGGCTCCGGCATTGTGGTACGTGTGCTCAGTACTGTTGGAAACGAACCTCTGCTAACGCTCGACTGTCATAGAATGTGGATTTTTCCTCCGAAGCCGTCCGCCTTGGCCAGGAGATCGAGCGCAAACAAGACCCGTCGCATGCGATGCACTGGCTACGTGCTGACCTTCGGTCATGGAACGATATGTCGAGCTTGGCCCCGTGGGCACCCTTTGATATAGTCCTCGATAAAAGCACCACCGATGCCCTCGCAACCTCCACATCCGCAACGTTCTCGCCGACCTCTATATTACAAGACATTTGCCCCATGGTGCGCGACGTTGTGAATACCCTGGGAGAAACAACGCTATCCCCGGTTGAGCTATTGGCGCTACATCTCGTCCCATTGACCAGCGAGGGAACGATGTGGTTTACCCTATCGTACTCAACCGTGCGATTTGATAACCTTCCACGACTAGCGAAACATTGGGATCTCGTTTCCCGTGCCCCGCTCAAGGCGCCTCAAGGTCAGACTTCTACATTTGCGTATACCCCTGAGGTTTTCCATTGGCTATATATACTCAAGCGGAAATGACTCCATCGTCACGCCGAGATAACTGCTTAACAAGCATAGGACTAGCATGAATTGGACGGGGTTCAATCAAAGGTAATCTTGGCACTGTACGCTTGTTGTACCTTGCGACAATTGTGATGAATGCCACCCTAGCAATGGTCACAGATCGATTGACTCTGTCGGCAACAAGGTCTTTCCCAGCCGACAACTCTCTCAGTGGCATCAGTAGTGCAAACGTATTGCTGCTGAGTCAGCCTTCACAGGCTGCTAACTGGGATGTTGTGAAACAACTACCTGCCCACTAGGCTTATGCCTATAGCCACCGACTTGGAAAAAAAAAAAAAAAAAAAAACGGTCGCTATGGTGTAGTCACTGAAGACTGTGTCGCGTCTGGGAGCCAAAGCTCTCAGATGTCTTCTTGGTGGGAGATTTTGAACCCCCGTGGTCCTTACTAGCTGCTTTGTAATGTAAAAGCGCCGTAGTGACCGATCTCTTGATTCTTTGTAAATTTTGTAAATTGTTAATATGGTAATAACCAAATAGCTTCAAAGTGTGATCAAGGAGAACGAAAATCTTACCAACCAGGGCAATTATCCGCATTACCCTAGATCTCGCCTCCCGGGGTTGCCAACAGCCTTCACTATCTGGTGGAAACTTCTTCGACGTTGCGTATGGGGTAGTATAGTTTCCTATAGCGGTGATTGATCCAAAAGTTAGACAGTTGAATAGTACTGGATGTTCACTGACCGCAAGTGGGGACTTCAGGACCGACCTGGCCATTCTTGGGTGCTTTGCACTAAATATATATAGTGTTCTACTATCACTCTCCAACTCCATTTCTCAAATCCCCCACCCATTTTATCCTAGTAGTATAGTACGATTGTTACTTGAAACTCATCATATACACCAATATAATAAATACATCGAAGTATTGCTTTTTGTTTAAAAATGTACATTGATAATTTGGATGGCCAACAACAGCTCTCGTAGCGCAATGTTGACGCGTAAGACTAGGTTCTAAGCCATCTGAAGGATGCGAGCGAGCCGAGCCGCGGCTCGTTTTACTCATGTACCAAGCTGGACTCCTATTATTCGCTCTTACATCAACCTCTGTCAATATCTTCCATAATCCATTACGGCGGAGGAGCAGAGGTTGTACGTGTTTTCCCACGACTGGGTAGTCCCGGCTACATTCCCACTGTGACATTCAATCCTCATAGCCCGGATGGCATCCTACCAGACGCGAGCTGCTCTGTACTTTGCTCTGCGTGGAATTCGGGGGCCGGGGAATCCGCCACGACTCTTGACACGTACTTGGTGCCACCCAACGATTGTCGCCGGATAGGTAGTCAATGTGGTCAACGGCGACTGTAGAGTGGCATTGGTCTCAACGCGATCAACGAGTGACTTTCATCAGGGGTAATCCTCTTCACATAGCGCCTGCTAGGGACGTCACGGGAGTAGCAATTTTGGCCATGGTTCAAAGGCATCGGTGTCCGACCGCGGCGACCAGACAACCCAGACGGCGATCAAGGGAGGGTGGTCAGCGCTCAGCCATAGGCGTCACGATTGTTGAATAGTTTTGATGGCCGATGGTGGTATTTCTTTTCTCCATTGTTAGTCCTGGCAGCGGTTCTCGGGCATATCTTCACATCGTTGCAGTTACCCCTGGATGCAACATTTATTGGAAAGCAACTTAATTGACAAGGCTGAATGGAGGTGGCGCCGCCAACCGAATTGACATCAAATACGAGGGGATTTGATTCGCCGAGTCCTGAATGGATCAGTGCGCACGGGGATGGCCCGAGCCCGCTGGGAAACGTTGGCGAATTTGGCGGATATTGATTGATCTACGCGCGCCTAACTCGGATGGGATTCCAAGATTGGAAAGGTTGGTCGATAGTTGCTCTGTAGATTGGATTCAACGAGTCTCTTTTCTCTCCAGTTTGAAAGTATATGTCTGATTTTCGTTCCATTCTCCTTGCCTCTTCTCCTTTCGTAGTAGTCGAGTCAGGAGTGTAAACACGTGTACAAAGTATGGTATGTGCATTCTTTGCACACTGTCCACTGTTGACAACTGTTGTCTCCACTGGTCGGAGATATTTTCCTGGCATTTGCAAAGAATTAATTTTAATTTTCACTGAGGGTCATTTCTATTTGGATGCTAGTCTTGAGTGGATCATTTTAGTTAGAACTGAAGAAATAGCCCGATCGAAATATACAGGCGCCTCACGTCGTATTTCTGCCGGTGGGTCAGGGTTTCCGATCTGTGGTGGTTGAAAAAATTGCAAAAAAGGACCGTTGGACGGTTGGAGAAAGGACGGGGTTTGCTCAGTTTGCGTGCCTGTCACGGGAGTTGAACAGTGGATCCCGTTGTGGAGGCTGTCAAGGCCAGCGTTCCGGGCGGTGAGGGAGGATTCTGCCAAGGGGCAAACGAGTAACCCGACGCCCCAGATAGAACCATTTCTTTTCTCCTTTGCGGGGGGAGAATATTGCCTGATCCTTCATTCCTCTGTGGGCTAAAAAAGCGATGTCCATGCTTCCGTCCCTTTCTCCGAGCTTACTGCCAATCTCCGTGCTACTTGCATATGCTGGCTTTCTCAGTCACTGCAGGCGCAGTAGAATGTGATAGTGTCGCCACTGCTCCTGAAATCTAATTTCCATCCAGAATGGTTGGCGTTCCTCGCAGCAAAGGCTGTTCGCTCTGTCGCAAGAGACGTATCAGGGTCGGTTATTGTTTCCCCCCCCACCTCCCACTCCCCCCCCTTTTTTTTTCCTCGTAGTTAGTATGCTACTTTCTGGTTTATTATTTTCTGAATCAATCGTTAATTTTGATGAGAGTGATTAGTGTGATCAAAGCCGACCGCATTGCTCGCAGTGTCGCAAATATGGCGCCCCGTGTCCCGGCTATACACGTTCTTTGAAGTTCCAGGATGAGGGACCCCGTCTAGAGGGACTGTACCTCATTACCTCCCCAGATACAGATGGAAGTGACGAGGGATCGAGTCCAGTATCAGCCTCGCTTCCTGTAAAAGCCCAGAGGCAGATTCGTTGCTTTACGGGTGCCGCTCTCGACGAGAGGATTTGTCCGTCACTAGCATACAAATCTTTCTTGGGTCAGCAACCACGCCTTTTCAAAGAATTTGTTTGTGCCTCGTTCCCGACCATGTATTATCATAATGAATTTCGGTTTGGACCCGGTTTTACCTTCCCGGACAACGTTATCAAACAGTTTGGTTGCAAGCCTTACTACGATGCGACCGTTATGTGTCTGTCCACAGCCTGGCTTGCACATTTGACAAAAGACCCGAGTTTACAACATGCAAGTCGAGAGAAGTACAATGAAGCCTTGGTCGGTATCCAATATGCCCTGAAATCGGATGATTTTGCGTCGGACGCCCTATTGATGGCCGTCATACTGCTGGCCTTTTATGAGATGAACGTACGCACTAGCGATGATGCTTGGCTCTTCCATGCCAACGCAGTGAGGATGCTGATGAAAGCGCGTGGTATGAGAGCTCATTTGACTGGCCCTGGGCGTGTTTGTCACTTTGCCTTCAGGCCATTTTTAATTGGTGCTGCCCTCCAAAAGGGTGAATCGTGTTTCTTAGATGAGGATTCATGGCAGGACTTGGCAGCATCCTTACGAAGCGAGGATTCCCAGAAGCAGGACGAATGGGCTTTTTATATCGACGTGTATGAGACTATCTTCATGGAGCTCGTCAAGTGTCCCGGCTATATCAAGGAAGCCCGGGGCATCGTTTCTGTAACCTCACCAGAGGCCAGATCCTTGGCCCATCGGATTCGTACAACATGTGATCGACTGCGAAGATTAAGCAATGAAATGCGAACCTTACTTAGTGCACATAATCAGCGGAAGCAGGGTATCACACTCCGCTTCGTGGGGCCGGAGCCCAAACTCTTCCCGGAAACGAGCCCTTCTCTTCTTCTCCGTGCTGGGATCGATGCCGTTCGTATCCTCGAACAAATCTTAGGTCGACTCACCATGCCTATACCTACCGTGGAACAGACCTTGATAATCCGTGATGGAGCGCTAACTCCCGTGTCAAGCCCAGAAAGTTCTGGAGATGCGGAGAGTCCACCACCTCTCTCCTTTGGTTTGTCCTGCGAGCTCGGAAACGGTCCGCAGGCTTCGGTCCGTGATGATGACCAACGCGCTTTGACCTGGCTGGACCGGGTCGCCGGGGCAATGGGGCTATTAGGAGCGGAAATCACGTACGGAATGAAACCGGGAATTCAAACAGATCTTGCTCTGCGAACTGTTCGGACGTTAACCCCTGTGGATGATGACCTCCCAGAACCTCGTAGGTCGTCGGACTGAGACAATGGAGACCAACAGGCTGTGTTCGGTCACCACCCCAAGTCAAACCTCAATCACTACAGACGCAACGTGTGCACTTGAAATTAGGCATAGCCCCCGCTTCATCAGCGTTGGACGAATACTTTTTCCGCGATGCCCACCTATTACATTACCAAAATACCTGCATCCGATTGTTGCGGGTCGATATTCGCCCCACTACAGCATATTCTGCATCACGCAAGGTCGCGCGTTACATACATTTATAAGGCATTGACGGCCATCTCTTCGTTTTATATTTACCTTCCGAAAACAAATATACCCCCGAAGCCTCCCATAGGAACTCAATCGAGTTAAACAATCTCTCCTACTTGTAGGGCTGTCTCCTATTCTTCACTACTGGGTTCTGTCTGTCTCGGCAATCTGGGGTTTCTGAGTGTCCATACTAAATTGACAAGTTGGATGCACCATTTCCTCCACATAATCATAATAGAACATTCGTTATTCGCTTCACCAGAACTACTGTTTACTCAACTCTTGGATCTCATCGGGGCCCAGCAAGCTCAAAGCCTGTCTCCGGGTAGGTGCGTTGGGATCAAAGAAAGGCTTCTCCGCGAGGGCTGTGACTCGAGTGCCATGCCTGGGCTCCGATCCTTCGTAATCCCAGCTGGCATTATGAATGGTAATTCTGCCTAGTGTTAGTTCCCCATGGAAGAGAGATGGTAAACCAAAGGGAAGTTCACTAACCTGTTGTCCCACAAAGCACTAGTCCGAGGTGTCCACTTGAAGCGAACTTGAATGTCAATATTCTTCTCGTATACATCGAACAGATATCCCAGAATAACATCACTCTCTGCCTTGTCTAATCCGACAATCCGATGAGTCATCGCGCGATTTACCCACAGCGCCTTCCAACCCGTTGCCGGATGGACACGGACAATCGGGTGCTCTCGCTCAATATATTTTGGGCCTGCTTCGGGGTCCTTGCGGTCTAGATAAGGGTGTGCGGATCGATAGATGGCTGTTCTTCCATCGATGATTTTACGGAACTCCGGGGACAACTTCTCGTATGCAGCATAGCCGCTGGCCCACAGAGTATCTCCGCCGATGGTCGGGACCGCATCATTGTGAAGATGCGTAACCCCTGCCGGTTGGCGCTCATGAACTAAGTCAGTGTGCCAACGAGAAGCCCCACCCGGTCGACGATAACCTGCTGCCCGTTCAGTCGCTTGGAGAGCTGGCCATAGAACCGAGACGCCTGGTAGACCGGGTACCTGGGGTACTTGAGGCTACGGTGATATATTAGAAAAGGAACTCGAATATGTGAGACGGAAGGTGAAAACGAACATGAACTTCGACCTCCCCGAAGTATTCACCAAGAGCCTTCTGTTTCTGGGGCGAGAGGTCCTGATCCCGGAAGAAGACAACACTCCGTTCCGCAATCAGTAGCCCCAGCTCATCCTTCTGTTGGTCAGTCAAGTCTTTAAGCTGGAGTCCCACGATCTCGGTCCCGATATGCCTGGTTAGATGAATCACTTCTTTTGCTGCAGACAACAATGCCTTCTTTTCGGGGTCGGCACGGGTTCCGGGATCTACATGTGGACGGTCATAGTTTCGGATGTTGTAAACATCATCAGAGTACAGAGGTCGCGAAGGCCGATACGGATACCCATTGGAAAGATCGATTCCCGCTTTTATCAGTCGTTCACGGCTTGCCGCAGGAAGGGCGAGCGTGTCCTTCTGGGGCTCGGCAACGTCAACGATCCGGGGATCGATAGGAGCTGGTGCCATTGTGGAATTGATATTTAGTTTATTCTTCTTTTTTTTTTTTTTTTTTAAGCAATCTACCGATTCACGACAGCTTTCTACTACACTCATCACAATACTTGTATTATATTCGATCTAAGGGAACTTGATTGATAATCGTGATTTATGTCACGCGCGGAGCCGGGATCACATCATCGTAATTAAGCATTGCGCCTTCTACACCCCATTCGTCACATATTTGAAGGATCCCGTACGTATTCCCACACTTGCAACCCCTCATCTCTCCACAAATCCCCTGCTTCTAGAGCGTCTTATCTCTATCCACTCTGGGGCTTGAAGTCGGCCACCCACAGCCCATTCGATATCATCATACAGGGATATGATGGCGACTCAAATTGTCTGATTTCCAATCGGTCAGCACCGCGCTTTTTGATCGAATATTGGTCCACCATATTCCATTATCACTCTCGACGGCACACCTTTCCGAGAGGATTAAGACTGAACAACATGCTACTTGTGGTGGCGCGTTGTTCACTGCCGCGGCTTGTGCCATGACACCACTCTAGCCTGGCATAACGTGAGCTGCGACGGCACTAGTCTCCTTACCACCAGCAGGGCAATCATAAAGATGTCCCAATTCACACATGGCAATTGTCCCAAAGTCGAAGCAGAGACGCAACAGTAACATTATGACTCGCACACAGATCCGTAAAGTGGCGGTTATTGGTGCCGGGATCAGCGGTGTTGTTTCCGCGGGACACCTGCTGGCGGCCGGATTTGATGTCACAGTCTTCGAGAGAAATAAGGTTGCCGGAGGAGTCTGGTATGCACCGCGTGGCATCCTTATTATGACTACGAAATTTAACGGAATAATACAGGCTGTACGATGAACGACAGCCGGTAGAGCCGCAGTATCCAGCCACGAAGCCGTCGGAAACAGATCAACCGGCGAAAAATCAACACCAGAAGGAGAGATTCGTGCTCGAACATGCGCCGCCTGGGTAAGCCTTTCTTTTATGGCGTCTCCTGCTTCCTGCTGATTGTGTAGTCCTTGTTATGAGGGTTTAAGGAATAACGTGCCCACGCCTTTGATACGGGTGAAGCTCAATGCGTGGCCAGAAGGGACTCCAGACTTTGTCAGCCACGATGTAATAAGAGACTATATTCAAGATACATCGCGGAAAGCCCGAGTGGATGACGTCACAATTTACGGGGCGCGAGTGAAAGACCTTCGCAAAAGTGGTGATCAATGGGAGGTTGTCTGGTCGACAGTTCACGAGAATAAGCAGTCGGACACGGTGGTCGAACTGGAGGAAATTTCGGTAAGCGACATCACTCCACAGAGGATCGTATGGTGTTGGTATTTACGGGAAACTCCCCAGATATTTGATGCCATAATTGTCGCATCCGGGCATTATCATGCGCCTCGCATCCCAGATATACCTGGCTTGTCGGAAGCGAAGAGCCATTGGGTGTCTCGAATTATGCATTCGAAGGGGTATCGAAAGTCAGAAGGCTTCGAGAACAAGGTCCGATCGCCCCGTTATATGAATATTCGGATACTGACCAATCCTAGAATGTCCTCCTCATTGGCGGTGGAGTATCATCCGCGGATATCGCAAAGGAAATTGGTCCCGTCGCCAAAACTGTCTACCAAAGTACAAGGAACGGCGACTTCGATCTTCCCGCGGGTTTGCTCCCCGATAACGGGGTTAGGATTGGCGAAATATCACACTTCGAGATTGAGAGTAACAATGGCACAATTTCCGACGACGAGGCTTTACCTTTAACTATACATCTGAAGTCGGGGCAGAAAGTATGCGGAATCGATAGGGTTATCATCTGCACTGGTTACCACATCACGCTGCCTTTCCTGCGAGATTACCACAGCGACCACACGCCTGCTGAACTTGCCGATGATAAGATTCTGGTCACAGACGGAACTCAAGTGCATAACCTGCATAAAGATATATTCTACATTCCAGATCCAACCCTAGCCTTTATCGGGGTTCCCTACTACACTGCCACGTTTACTCTGTTCGAATTCCAGGCGATTGTGGCGACACAGGTCTTTGCTGGAATTGCCAAGATACCCCCTGAGGACACTATGAGGTTAGAGTACTTGGCCAAGATCAAGGAAGTTGGCAGTGGGAAGAAGTTTCACTCGTTGAAAGATAAGGAAGAATTTTACGTGAGGGATCTATTTCAATGGGTGAATGATGATAGGGCTACATACGGGCTGAGTCCCCTGGAAGGACATTCTTCTAAATGGCTTGAAGCCAAGGAAGAACATAGAAAAAGGATTGAAGGCCTGTGGCAGACCACAGGCCGGAGGGACAGTGGTGTCGGCGAGCTTCCGGTTCTGGCAGTATGTAGTTAACTTCGGCCTTGCTTTAAACCACTCCATTATCGGACACTAGCTCTAAGTAGGAATAATATCCTAGATTTCTAGCGGCCGTTCGCTTACAGAAATAATATATTTCAAGTATTGGCCAAGCTCGCCAAATGTTAAATATAGCGGGATCCCGCCATTGGAAGTGCTCGGCACATCATCCATACTCTCGATGACGAGCTCCGCAACAACAACGAATCTTTAGCCTCAGTCACGTCACAGCTTCCCTGTAGGAACTGTCTAATGGATTATCTCCATATTGTCTCTATTGGCCAGAGAATTTTCAGCATGACTCGGAAAACTTATGTTAAAATTTCCCCGCACCAAGCTGTACCACAATTCCACCTGGCCGTGCCAACTGCCGATGCAGGAATTGCGCGAACACCACTATTATGAGCAATTGGGACTCTTATCCAGTGGCCAGATCCCTGACACTAGATCTGTGGAGCCAGTCTTATCTATTCACTTCTTGAGAATAATACGCATTAGCTGAACAAACATGTGGAGGAAATTCAAGCCTAAATGTACGGATATAATGTTTCTGAGGTCCTGATCCCATTCTCTTTCATCCCAATCTGGTCACCTGTTGGAACCCTACAACCTCAAAAAGATTCCTTCTTTTATCCAAGACAGACAGAATGGCTCCCTCACCAGCCATAGCAGAGGAACGAGCCGTTGATTCAACAAGCGATATTGTGCAGAAAGCCCCGAAGCGCAAATGGGCCAGCTACATCTGGGATACATTCGACAAGTCGCCCGAGGAGCGGAAGTTGATGTTTAAATTGGATTCGGCGATTTTGACGTTCGCATCTCTTGGTGCGTTTGTTTCTGATTTATTTTATGACTGGGTGGTGATTAACGACATGATTAGGATACTTTATCAAATATCTAGATCAAATCAATATCAACAATGCTTTCGTCTCTGGAATGTGGGTATTTGACATCGCGCAGTGGGACGCACAATTGACATATATAACCAGGAAGGAAGATCTCGGGATGTACGGCAACGAACTTAATTATATGCAGGCTTGCTGGACGGTCGGCTATGTTATTGGGGAGATTCCGAGTAATATTCTTCTTACAAGGATTAGACCTAGATATTGGATTCCGGCTATGGAGGTATGTTCCTGGTCTATGAGAAAGTGTTGACAATTGATTGCTAATGGGTGTAGTTACTCTGGACCGTGTTAACCTTCTCTATGTCGCGATGTCATACTTCCACTCAGTTCTATGTCTTGAGGTTCTTCATCGGTAGGGACAATATCCGCCACTTACGATATTATACAGACACTAACCTGGAAAGGCCTCGCGGAAAGTACGTTCTACCCCGGAATGCAATACATTATCGGCTCGTGGTACCGGAAAGACGAACTAGCGAAACGATCGTGTATCTTTCATACTAGCAGTGGTATTGCGAGTATGTTCTCGGGATATCTGATGGCTGCGGTGTATAACCTCGAGGGACGGGGCGGATTCAGAGGATGGCAGTGGTATGGTTTTCTTCCGTGATTGAATGGCATTGTGGTGACGACTAAGAGGTGAAAGGCTGTTTATTGTGGATGGTATCATTTCGCTCCCGGTTGCGTTGAGCGGGTTTGTTATTCTGCCTGATGTGCCTGAGATTTCGAATCCGTGGTATTTGACTAAGGATGTGAGTTTTGCTACACATTCTTCAGGAAGTATATATGTGCTAACGTGAAGCTTAGGAAGTGGCACTGTCGCAGAAACGAATGCAGCTTGAAGGACGCAAGAATAGGGAGCCATATACAAAGAGCAAGTTGAAGAAGATCTTTACATCTTGGCATATTTATCTTCTTACAGTGCTGTATATGTGAGTCACATCTCTGTTAGATGATTAGTTCAGATGGACTAACAGACGACCAGAACATTCAATAACGGCGCTGCTGGATCTCAGCCTGTCTTCCAACAGTCAGTAAACCATCAATCTTGTTGAATAGGTGGTATATGGCTAATAAATACCAGATGGCTCAAGGACTCAACCGATCCTAAATACTCTGTCGGTCAGATCAACGCCTACCCAACGACCACAGCTGCAGTCCAGGTAGTGACTACGCTTGCCTACGCCTGTACATGCCTCTCTTCTAATCACCATTGGTAAATGAGGCTAATATGAAACAGGGTCCTCCGACACATTCCTCAACGGAAGACGCTGGCCACCCATCATCTTCGGCGCGGTAAGCCACCACATTAGCCTCACTAACATCTCGAAACTAACAACCCAGATAATAAACATAATATGCTATGTCTCCCTCGCAGTCTGGGATATCCCAAATGGCTGGAAATGGACTTGCTATATCCTCGCTGGTGCAGGATACGGTCTAAGTGGACTGTGCATGGCGTATGTCTCTCCTCCCCATTCTCCCCAATTTTCCCCATCGACCTCTCCAATCAATCCCATTCATGCACAGACCCACCAAACTGACAAAACAAAAATAGCTGGGCCCACGAAATCTGCTCCGATGACAACGAAGAACGATCCCTAGTGATCGGCAGCATGAATGAAATGGCCTACGTGTTTCAGGCGTGGTTACCCCAGGTCGTGTGGCAGCAGGTTGATGCGCCACAGTATCGAAAAGGTTTTATCGCTGTTTCGATTCTGTCGGTTATATTGATTGGGACGACGTTGTGGATTAGAGTGTTGGATTTGAAAGAGAGGAGGGTTAAGTGAGTTCTTCCTTCCTTTGTTTCTCTCTGTCTCTCTGCGTATGGGTTGTGTTGCGTATTTGCTGATTACTAGGTGCTTTAGGGCTAAGACGCCACAGCCGGAGAGTGAGGAGAGTAGTATCTCGGGGACGGAGAATGAGGGGCTTGGTCAGGATGGGGTGGGGAAGATTTGATGTCAAAATGCTTACAGAGATTGGGGATATAAAGAAAATGTGGGTATATGCTCAGCTGGTGCTGAAAAGAAACATTCGTATTGCACATGCACGATACCTCAGCAGAGAAAGTACTGAATGTATAATGATGACTATGTTATATGAATTGAGATCAGATAAAGGCTAGAGTCGTAAGTTTAGTAACGCTGAAAAGGTGTCATGATCCATTAAGCGACTTATTGACTAGTATTTAGGTAGACGTATCCATTCAATCCCACCAAAAGAACAAACCTACAAAACCATATTCCACTTCACCCTCTTCTCTTTCATCATCGCCAAAATACCAACAGGCAAAAACCGCTTCTCCACAAGAGTCATCCCCCCAAACCGTTTGAGCACGTCGTCTGAGTAAAGCTGCAAAATCCATTTCATTTCGGGGTTTTGATCAGACAAATGGAACTGTCCAGAGACCGCATTAAGAGCATCGCGGCAGTCTTGCGTTCCTTGGATACTCTTTGTATACGGGACCGTCATCAGGTCCTCGTATAAGAGTTGTAGGTTTTTGCTTCGGGATTCCCGATATTGGGTGAACTCCTCGAAAGACATGAAGGTGTGCATCTCCGCCTCGGTGATAACCAAGGGTTCTCCGGACTTGGGCTTGGGATTGACGGTTTCGGCGCGACGGCGGCGTGTTTTCTCGGACATTTCGTCGAAGGTCTTTTTGGCGAAGGCGTACCTTCCATGTTCTCCTTTTTTGAAGCGTTCGATACGCTCGATCGGGGATAGGTCCACTGAATCCCGCATCAGGAGGACAGAGATGAAAGGGTTACGCAGGCCTAAGCCGCCAAGCTCGGCGGGAAGGAAGAAAAAAGCGTCTGGGATGTCGGAGACCCCGAACTGTGATTGTATCTTTCTTCGTAGATGATCTGTTACCGTGTTGCCAACCTCCCCACCATCTGCATTGAACAGGGTATTTTGCATCTTCTCGTATGTGGAGAGAATGGAATCCATATGTGCACGCCCGAAGCAGTGCGCAGGCTGACCGAACGTGTTTTTGAAGAACCGTCCAATGCAGCTGTTCCACGTCCGGACCCAGGAGATCACACTGTCACATCGGCTGAGCTGGTTCTGGAGCTGGGCAACGTGTGCGTCGACCTGCGATTGATCGATCTCCCAGGTTTCTGATGTTGCGTCGAGTGTTAGGAATCCGAATGTGACCGGCCCTGGTGGGAGGCGACCTGCGATCTCGCCATCCGGGGTGTCCGCGAGGTAGACCGAGCCAGTTTTACCCCGGTTGAACTCTAGCCCGGTGACTTTCGCATACTTTTGCATAACTTCCCATGCTTTGGCACATTTGTCTGGCTTGCCGCAGAGCCACAGATCGTCATGGATGCGGTAGAGGAGCAGGCCTGTTTCCCGGTTGACGGCCAAATCCATAGGGAAAAGCACCAGCTCTCCGGTCAACTTCTCCATCGCGTGCGAAATAGGAACACCTCGCTTCCGAATCCGAGGACCAGTCTGCATCCGTCCTTCGGCGGAATGATCCAAATTCAGTGGTGCTGCGAGGTATTTCTGAAAGAAAGCGATCCATTCTTCCGGAAAGCCGAAGAACTTCATAACGGCGAGGATGGTACTGTGCGGCAGTGCAGTGGCGTACCATTTCATGTCCGATTGGACCACCGCCGCCTGGCCATTGATTTGACGTTCAAGCAGGATCTGAGATGCGACCTTCCGCAGGAGCTGCTGTTTGATGTTCGACGGTCCATCGATGCCTCTATCTGCGCCGTCCTCGTTGTTCTCATCATCGTACAACATGCCCCGTTCCGATAAGGATGATTCGGTCAGAGGCATGTGGAACAGGAAATCAGACTCCAGATAGTCGTTCTTCCGGCTCGTTTCGATACTATTTCTTATGTCGTAATCGCTTAGGTAGAATTGTCGACGCAGGCTGTCCCGCTCCGTCATTCGCGGGCTTGGATGCCAATTCCAGACCGATTTCCTCTCGATAAACTCTTTCAATATCGTTTTAATTATCGAGCACAACCGAACAGCAATATATTGAGCGAAAATAGTCTGAAGAACGTCGTCATCGATCCAGATCCGGTATTTACCGTTCAATTGTTGGCGAGGTAAAACTGGGATCCCGTCTTCGGCATGCCAGTCCCAGTTCTTGAGGTCTGCATATCGCATGTTCAGAACGTCTGCGATTTCAGTCAATGCAACGGTATTCTCCAGGCAGTATTTGAGTATCCCCTGTTTTTCTTCACTGAGAAGGTCCTCCGTCAGGAGTCCACGGATACAGGACCGGATGGAGTAAATGTTAAACGGATCCGATTTATGCCAGAGCTCAGAGCATTCATGTCTAACCTTCTCCCGGAGATAATCCAGAGCAATTCTGCTATCCTCGGTGGGAAAAAGACCATCAATAAATGCATAAATCTCATCCTCATCAGTCTCCAAAGGAGTAAACACCACCCTCTCAAACTGGTCACACAATTGCTGCAACCTTTGCTTCTGTCGCTCCTCGACCACCAAATAATCCTCCTCCTCACCATCAGGAACCTGGTCCGAGTCAGACGTAGGCTCCATCCACTCCGTCAGAAGCCGGGAATACAGATCTGCAATATCCAGCCTCATACTTTGAGCATCCAGCGTGGCAATGAGATGTTCCTGGAACGAGTCAAGCTTCTCCTGCGGAATGGAAGAGTCATACCGCGCCTGGTCTAGCCATCGTTCGATGTTGGTTATTTTGTTATCCTTTAAGTTGTCATTCCCAGAGCGGAGCGCTTTTATGCCGTGCAGAATACATGCTACTCTGTCTCGGGGGTCAGATTGTTGAGCCGCCGAGGCGAGGATTCGGGATTTTTGAGACTCGTATGTTATGCGTTGTTTCTCTAGTTCCCGGATCTTGCTTTGGGTGAGCGATTGGAGGGTTTTGGAGAATGTTGCGCTTGTTGTGGCCATTGTGGGGATAGACTTGGATGAAGTCTAGACATGGAGCAAATGATGAATAACTAAGTAACTAATTGAGATGCAGAATGGTAATAATTGCTAATATTGAATGAAGCGTTGTTCGATGAAATCTGTATCATCGTCGTTTTTAATACATCGTGAGTGGGCTTAGGCAGCGACGGCTGCCTGAGATGATCGGCATGATCCCTTGCATTTCACCCAGTCAGGAAGAACGGAGGAATGAAGCCAATCGCTCCGTCCCTGGGAATGCGTTGATAAATCTGAATATTTGTGAACAGCTTACTCAGGCTTTTAGGGTTATCGCTCAATGAAGGGAACAGCCAAGATTGCTTGTACGTTATACCAAATCAGTAGCATTATAGCTTGTTGCTACTGAATACGACTGCCATTTCAGCACGGAAAAGGCGGTTGATTCCAGCTCAGGGAGATCGATTCTCGCTCTCCATCGAGTGTTGAGACGTCTTTATGAAAAGCGGATGTGTTTCTACTGACCATGGCACGCGGCAGCAAGCATGAATTATCAAAGATCGACGGGACACACCTAGACCTATACAAGAGAACTCTGGTATCACTAAAGCCTTGTCGCATTGTTCTTGGTTTGTAAACCATTGGCCCTGAGCAGACTCCAAATGAAAGAAAGATGCCTGCGACCTTTGTCGGAGGTTATCGCCGCAAAAATGGCATAGACTAGGCGCCCGCTGTCCATACACATATGCGGTGTATCCAAGCTTTGGGGTGCTACAATATACGTAGACGTGTTCCATGAGCATCCAATCCACATCGCAGGTCTGGGAAGTAACAATGTTTGTTTGTTAGTTCATATGACGTCTTGTGTTCCCATGACGCTGCATATCTAGTCGACCAGCCCAACAGACACGGCGTCCTTTGGAGCCCTTCGATGTGAAAAGTTCTCTCTTCTCATACGCGGCGGAAACATAACCGGAATGCTGGGACTACTAAGAACTATCTGCCTCCGGCAAGACGTGTTGGTCAGATCCGCCCTGACCATCTCCTTGTGGATCGTAACCAGTTACGCCGTGACTCTCCCACATAGGCAGTCTAATGCTCGACTCGTGGCTCTTTGTAGTTTGACCGCGAGCGCCGGCGAAGCAGCCTATTACAGAGGGGTTACTGCCGTCCCTGGATACGAGCCTGTCTTTGGTCCAATCCTCGCTTTTCTCGCTCTGTGAGGTGTGGAAATCCTATATCTCCGTACTTCTTCACCCAAAGGGTCACGTACCCCACGCGGAGGGGGAAACGGATCATAGCGTCCCTCACCCATTTGAGCAGGGGCTAAAGCTACTTCTTGATACGAGAGACGTGGGAAACCAATCCCAATGTAGAAACCTGCCTACGTTTGGCTATTCTAACGCCCTACTCGTCCCAAGCAAATCGAACCTCCTTCCCTGGTCAATATGCACCTGTCTATTTGGGACCCCATACGTCTATTTCATAGGAGCTACATATGTGATGGACATACCACACCTAGTCTTCCGAGATGGCATCCCATATATTCGCAATGAGGACACGACCTTCACAAAAATACTTCGCACGGACTGCGTTAAGCCTTGGTTTCTGGGCTGTCGCATACCTCCACTTGCAGATCCTCTATGCCATAATTTGCATGACGACTGTTTTACTCTTCAACTACCCGGACATGTATCTCCCACCACTTTTTGGTCCCCTCACAGCAGTAAGCAGCGTTCGTGGATTCTGGGGGTGAGTTTACCCTAGACAAGTTATCATCATATCTACATCGTTTACTTCCAGCTTACACTTCTGGCATTGCAGAAAGTTCTGGCAGCAACTCTTTCGGAACTCACTTACAGCTACAAGCCACTACCTGATTGAAAGCATGCCAGGAATCCTAACTCGCTCTCACATAGGAAATCAGTACTGCAAGATTGGTCTAGCATTTTTTCTTTCTGGGCTGTGCCACGTGGTAGGGCATTTATCGGGTGGACTTCAACCGAGATACTATGATGTTATGTGGTTCTTTTGTGTCCAGACGCTAGGGATAGGCATTGAAGATGCTGCAAAATACATGTTCACTCTTGTGGCTGGACTGAAAGTCTATGAATATTCTCGCTTCAAATCATGTATTCCGCTCTTTGGGTACATTTGGACGATTTGCTGGTTGGCGTGGACGACTCCGTTCTACTTTCTTTCTATTGTTAGGGATGCAGATCTGTAAATTGACTGAGTGGCTTTGATTATACGTAATCATCGTCGATGAAATACAAAGACAACGATATACTCCCTGATGCTTCACTGGTCTTGGTTATTTAAGCTCCAAACGCTTACGAGTCTGATGGGTTCACAATAGCCATGAAGTATATGGTCTAGTCGGGTAACGGTATGTAGTGAAATGTCTCTAATATCGGAGTAGATACTTGTTCACTGGTGGTTAGAGACGTGGCAGGTGCGGAATTAGGGTGTAGATGAAAGGACTGGATACCTGGCTCTCACTGCAGTAGTTTAGCTGGCCTTGAAGTGGCGGTGGCACTGTTTACAGTATGGGCTCTTCCATGCTAGAAGGGCCTGAATCAGGCACTAACTAATCTCAATTGCCGCGAAAATGCACTTCACCGAGAGAGAGTGGAGCTCTGTAAGTGTAACCAATTGCAAGAATTAGTAACGCTACAAAGCTATGACTGGAGAACCTGGAATGATATGCACAATAACGATATACAGAATCGTGGCTGAAGGAGAATTATGTGAATTATTTCTATATGCTTATAGGAGCTAACAGCACGCGACTATTGTCTAAGGTATTGATAGTTAGAACACTAACCTCACTGCTTGTTTATTGCTCTTTCATATACAGGATTCCAAAGATTCGGTGCTCCGTCCCATACCCATCGCCGCCCATCGTGCAAAATGGTGTATTCTGCGGGATTCTCATATCTTCTCTTTAGCCTCCTTCCGGCTTGGTTTCCAGACAGTTGGCTTTGAGTCTCATGGTGATAGATCGACCCAACTCTCCCACCGTCTGTGCTTTCTTGACCAACGTGAGAGATATGTCAACAGCAAGAGATCGCCGGAACCAGTTACTGATTTGAATAGACACTAGCAACAACAGATACACCTACGCAAAATGTAGGCGACTGAATCAGGGAGCTTTACCGAGAGATAGCCGTCTTAGATCCATGATCGGATCGTTCGACATCACATCCAGAAGTACTATCAATCAACTCTCGACCAAAAGTCGTAATACACCTTGAGCAACTCAGGGACAGGCTTGAGGTCGATGATGTCTGGGTGATCGGCCATCGCTCGGCGGAGGTTTTCCGTGCCATACGCAGCCATATACTCCCAATCATCCCACCAAATCCTGTGATCGGCTAGTCTCTCCGCTAGAATAGAACTGGATACTTGGATTTGTGAATCTCGTTTCTTGGTGAATTTCTTCATCCATTCGGCGGTAGGAATGGAGATTAGAGGGGTAGGGGAATACTCGCTCAAGATATTATAGACCTGCCCAAGGGTTAAGACCTTGTCTTGGTCTGGCTGAGTGATATTGAAAGCATGGCCGAGGCTAGCTCCGTTTAATGAGATCCGGGATATCGCTGAACAAGCAAAGTCTACCGGTATACAATGAAACCTCTGCTGTGGTGGATGAGGATAACACCCGAGCCGAATACTGTTAGCCATGAGTCTGTTGATAATATCCTCCTTCTTACACGCGCCTGTGCGGCTGTGGCCAGTAACAATTGATGGTCGGTATATGGCTATAGGGAAACCATTCTCAATGGCGTCCCAAACAATACTTTCAGCGACAAACTTGCTTTGCGTATAGCCAATACTTTGTGCCACATTCTGAGACTCGACGCGGGGCCGGACATCCTCAGGGACGGGGCCAATGAGGTTTTCGGTGATACCGCACGCGGAGATACTAGAGCAATAATGGATAGGCTTCAATCGCTCGGTATTGGCAAGCCGAAGGGTTTCGAGAAGCCCAAGGACATTCGGACCCCTGTGAACGGAGTATGGCAAGGTGTAATTGGCATATCCTACAAAATGAAAGATCACACTGGACCACTGCGCCAAGTGACTGAAGGTTTCTGGTCGTAGACCGAGGTTCTTCTTGGCCACATCCCCAGGTATTGCGATAACCTTGGATCTGAAGTCTACTGGAAGCCCGTACTTGGCGAAGGTTTGTCTGATCCTTGTATGGCCCATGTCTGACGTATTTGCCCGAACTAGACATGCAATTTGCTTGACCTCTGATAAGGCGATAAGCTCCGACAGTAGAAAGACACCAAGGAATCCAGTTGCACCAGTAAAGAAGACATTTCCCTCAGAATCAGAGGTCCAATCTGGTATGTTGCTAGAAATCGGTCGCATTGTTTGACCAAGCGTCAAGTCATCATGGTAACTTGGCTCTTCCTCGGCCCCGTCCGAGTCATCACCTTGGCCTTCACTGCCTTTGTGATTCTTGCGCGTGTGCTTGTCGCGGAGCTTCTGAACAGCAATCTTACCCAGCCCACCGACAGTCCCTGAGTTTGAGACCTCTACTAGCGTAATCTCAATTCCAGCATGGCGGCGAAACCAAGTGCGAATCTCGAATGTCATCAATGAATCAATTGGAATATCGGATAATTCCTCTAGAGTGATATCTTCCGGTCGCGACGTGTAGGACGCGATTAATCTTCCAAGTTCAAAGACAATCCTCTCCTCCACCTCTGGTTGATCTAACAGTGACGGGTTGTTCTTGATGGCTTCCATGTGCTCCCTAAGCTCGTCAGCCCTGGAGCCCTTTGTAGGTTGTTCCATGGTAGCAATTATGTTCTTCCATATACCAAACCGCGCCTCTTTCATCCAGTCTGCAGCAAAGTCTGCGGAAGATAGAGCCCGCGTAGTTCCGAGTCCCACAGCGACCTGATTTGGGCAATGAAATCGTTGCGCTAATACCGCAACCTCGACTGCTCGAAGGAATTGCCGCTCGTCTAGCACTCGTACTGAATTTGATTGCGACGCTTCCAACGACGGTACGAGCGAGGCCTCTGACGCGTAGCCAATGTCCCCCATAAGGCCGAGGTCAATTGCATGAGCCGGCAAGTGCAGTGACTGGCGATATTTCACAAAAGCGTCTAAAAAGGTATTTGCAGCGCCATAGTTGGCTTGGCCAGGCCAGCCAATAATGCCAGCCATTGAACTGATAAGAAGGAAGAAGTCTAATGGTTTATCCTTCAGCACGTGATGAAGGTTCCATGTTCCTTTAACCTTTGGATACAATGCGGCCACCCATTCTTCGTGAACCATATAGTGTAAATTTTGATCCTGTGGGACATAAACATTAGTCAATCCGTAGTCTAACGAAGTCAGTTTAAGATATGTACCTTTAAAACCATTGACAGTTGAATGACTCCTGCAATTGGTGTTTTGGCCGCAAAAACTGCACGCCGAACGTCGTCAATGTCTCCTACATTCCCCACAACAGTAGTCGCATCACAGCCCTGGCATTCTAAGGTCTTTATAAAAGAGCTACTTTCGAGGGTATTTGGACCAGTACGTGAAAGGAAGACTAGATGTCTAGCTCCCTTTTCAACCATCCAGGTAGCAACAGCACGGCCGAGGCCTCCAAGACCACCGACGAGAAGGTACGATGCGTTTGCCGGGAAATATGCGACCATTTCGTGAATGCGAGCAACTGGAAGCGTCGATGGAAGGTCTGGCATTTTGACGACAATCTTCCCCATGTGCTGTCCGCTTTGCATATACCGGAAGGCCTTTACTACATTGACAGCATCGAATACAGTAACTGGGCTGATGGGGCCCGCCTTGCCTTCTTGAAAGTATTCCATGACACGTCCAATCATTTCGTGTAGAGCTCCAATATCTCCGTCAATGAGCTGGAGGAGGTCAATTCCAATAAAAGAGCGATTATCAAGGAACCTGTCCATCTCCAAAAGGCCGTGTCCCAGAAAGTCTCTTTTCCCAAGTTCGACCATTTTGCCGAACTTCGCAACGCATTGCCAAGATGCATGGAGCAGGTCACCCGACAAAGAGTTGAGGACCAAATCGACACCGTGGCCATCGGTCTTGTGTAATACGCCTTGCAGGAAAGACGAACTTCTAGAGTCAAATATATGATCAGCGGGAATGTTGAAGTTGTCTATGAGATGCCGAGCTTTCTCATCACTGCCAACAGTCGCGTAGATGACAGCGCCGATTAGCTGACATAGCTGTACCGCACCAAGCCCCACCCCACCACATGCAGAATGTATCAGCACTGATTGCCCTCGCTTGAGGCTGCCGGCGTTTATAAGAGAGTAGACTACAGTACCATAGACACAAAGTATCGTGGCAGCACCTTCCAGCGAAATATTGTCCGGAATTGGAAGACATCGTTCTGCTCGTACCACTTTTCGAGTGCACATGAGGCCAAGCTGAGAGACCATGATTCTATCACCGGGTGAAAATTGGTTGACAGCAGATCCCACTCGTCGCACAATTCCACTAGCTTCCAAGCCGACCTGGGTCATATCCCCCATGACGCCCATAACTACCATCAGGTCCTATTGATGTTAGATTGAGTGCCATATGTGCAAGTATCGTAGCGTGTAATTCTCACCCTAAAGTTAAGGCCAACATATTTTATATCAACTTCAAGCTCCTCCTTCTCCAAGTCATTTGGCGATATCTCTGCACAAGTCCACGTCAGGGAATCAAGCATTGCGTAAGCTTCAATATCCAGTACTTTCGGGGCTAGGCTCTCGCCTGCCTCGACTTGCTCCTCAAACGAATTCCACTGGAACCGCGGAGCGTGTACACTTCCCTCCCGGACAGCGAATTCATATTCCGGTGCCGCACTAGGATCATCCAGCTGAGACAAAAGTCGCTCAAACACCTGAACCACAGGTTGGAGGGAGACCCTGTCTACTTGGTCGATTTCGATGGTAGCAAATTGAGGCATAATCTCATGTCGAATAGTCCGGGCTAGGCCCAGAACTAACGCATATCTAGGATCGTCGCACTCCATTTGAACAAATCGTGTGACCCATAGCAGATGACCATCTCCCAAACGCGAAACATACGATTGGAAGCTCTCGAAGTCGGCTGGCGTGAGCTCATGGAAAAAGGGGCCCTCAAGGTCAATCACCGAGATTATGTTTGCACCGGGTGACGGTACTTGCTTTAGTGTGCACCAGCGAACTGAGTACCCCGCCTTTGCAAGGTCTCTCGCGAGATCCCGGGCCCAGTCGTGAATGACAGTACGATAAAGAAGAGAGACCTCTCCTTTCTCGGGTGACGTGGCAGCAGGCACCCTGGCCAAGATATGTGCATTCAGTTGATACGGCGGTTCATGATCATACCTGAAAGCCTCCACACCCGTAAATCCAGCTTCTACCAGCTTATCATGCCATTTGTCCACGGAGACATATGGCCGTTCTTCTCGCCCGTCGCCCTCACCCAGCCACCAACCCGGCAAGATACCCATGATATGGTCGATTATTGGGATGGTGCAGGTCAGTTCAATCAGTAAAAGACGGCCACCGGGAGCAAGCAACCTACGGACATTTCGTAGTGTGTCCGAAATTCGCGGGGTTGCATGGATCACATTAGCCGCAATAATCAGGTCATAACTTTCAGGCTCGAAACCTTGCTCAACTGGATCGCGGCTGATATCGAGGGTAGCGTAATCCATGGCCGGATAAGACTTATACTTTTCCTTTGCTTCTAGAAGGAATCCAGGGGATATATCTGTAAATGTATATGTAGAATATAGCCTATTGACGTGGTCCAATGTGAGGCCTTTCAAGGCAATAAGGGTATCCGCGCCAGTACCACCTCCTACTTCAAGGACCCGTAGCTGCGGATAGGAATGCCCGAGTAGGGATGCAAATTCGTGCCAGGAACCGATCATGGCAGATTGCTCGTAAAAGGATTTGAGCGCACCGTCCTCTACCAGAAGATCAATAGGTTCCAGCTGGCCCCCAAAAAGCCTGTGGATTGAACCGAGAATCCGACTATATAGGACTTGAAATGGGTAACCGATATCTTGTGGCTGCATGGATTTAAGCCCCTCCAACTCCGCAGCACGTTCCGCCGGGTTCAGGGAACAGATGTCTCTCAGCTCCGGCACTAGCACAGATGCGTTGTCACGCATGTATCTATAGTTTGTTGTTATCCAGGATAACCATTTATTCAAATGTGCCTGTGTGGGCTGTAAGGATCTCGTCTGATAATAGCATTCCACGCCATAAAGACCACCTAGCCTGACAACCCTACGGCGACCCTCCAAGAAGCTCGGTGATGAAGAAAACAGTTGTTGTCCAACAGGGACAAAGTCGATGTGAGGACCCCAGTGAATTGTCGCAGCTACCGGAAGCTTGCGAATCCCTATATCAGGATCTTGAATGCTGAAGAAAAGGCCATGCTGCAGGGAGAGTACCACTTGGTCCTTGGAGACAAGCATTGCATTTCCACGCATCATGCCTCCCGAGGCGTCACAGGACACATCGAGTGACATTTTCCCCCTTCCAATACCTACATAAAGCTCTCCGATAGCCGTCGGGATTGCCAAACGGGTCATTTGGCGAGGGATGCCATGGGTTACAGCCACACTGAGCAGTTGAAGGCTCTCGTCTATAATAGTCGGGTGTAGCGAGTAGTGACTCACGTACAAGCTTTCATCATCCTGCAACATCGCAGCAGCTTGATAACTTGACGGACTGGCCGAGATCTGTTCAAGTCCTCTGAATTGAGGACCATATTCTAACCCACGCCTCTCTAAAGCGTTGTACCACTTCTCAGATCTGACCAGTCTAGGATATGGTGTGATCTCTTTTGCCTTTAAGGTCCGATCTGACGCGGGCCTCACTTGACCAATACAGTGCTTTTTCCACTTGGCGCTTTGAGAGGCAGATATTGTAAAGTCATACCATATGGAATCAATATTATCAGCAAGCCTTGCTGGTCGAAGAGTTGTTATAATCTCCGTTGCACTAGATGTCTCTAGCGTTAACGCAGCGCGCATAAACATGTTCCTCACTGAATATTCAGTTGACTCTGTTATTTGCCGAATCGCTTCACCCACCATTGCAACATATCCTGCACAGGGAAAAACCACATCCTTACCAATCCTATGGTCTCCAAGCCAAGGAACCTGGTCTATCTGCAGGATATTCCTCCATGACGGTTCAACGCTGGATGACTCAAGCACCCTAGAGCCCAGAAGCTCATGGTGAGGCTCTTGACGTAATCTCCATTGGTTTGCTAAACGTGACTCATTCCAATATCTCTCACCATGCTTCCAAGTATAAGGGGGGAGGTCGTGTAGAGCCGCGCCATTGGGAATAATGCCGTTAAGGTCAATAGGAATGCCATGCGTAAATATATGGCCGGCCGTGGCCAGTAGGCTTTGCCACTCTCCAGTTCCTCTGCGCAACGTAGGAACGTACAATGCAGCTCTTTCTTTGCTAGTTTGTGCTTGGAATATTTGCCTCAGGGGACCAGCAAGGGTGGAGTGCGGACCAATTTCCAGAAATAACTTTACCGGTCCGTTGTTATCCAGGATACCTTGCACTGCGGCCCTAAACAAAACGGGAGATGACAAGTTCTGGGACCAATACGTGGTATCAAGTTTGCTTGCTTCAATAATCGGTGTTGAAGTTACACTCGAATAAAGAGGAACCATGGAGCTATTGTGACATATATGTGGTGATATCAGTGACTCGTAAATTTGTCTGGCACCCCGCATATGGTGAGAATGATAGGCAACATCCACCGCAAGATGCTTGCACATTACATTCTCATCATCATTGTGAATCTTGATGAGAACACGGTCCAAGGCTTCCTTGTCCCCTGATAGTGTGACACTAATTGGACTGTTTTCACATGCAACAGTCACGCCTTCTTCCAAGAACACGCGAGCAGCGTCTGGGCTCATACCAACAGCGGCCATTGCACCAGAATGGCTGATGGACAGAGTCTTTATCGCTTGGCCGCGGCAGTAGGACAGGATAATAGCTACACGAGCAGATATTGCTCCCGAAGCATATGCTGCAGCTATTTCACCACTTGAGTGGCCCACCACCACCGATGGGACGATGCCCCACTCCCGAAGCAGATTGACGAGAGCAATTTGAATCGCTGTGCAAAGGGGTTGGGCGAATTCAGCATGTCCCACGTGGCTAATCGACTCATCTTTAGAAAGTTCCTCTGGCCTTGGTGAGTGGGAATGATGCCCGCAGTTTAAAGTAACGGGGATAACATACCTTCAATACTCCAGGGAGGCGCTTCCCTGAGCTCCGTCAAGATCTTGTCCATCCGGTGGATATCTTCGCGGAACTTTGGGAATCTACACATAAGTTCCTTTCCCATTGTTGGCCACTGGGCTCCCTGGCCATTAAATACGAATACTGGGCATGGAGCCGTGGATTGAGCTTTTTGAAAGGTCGGAAGAGACCCATCCTTGTCAGTTACAGCAAAGGCTCTATAAGGCAGGTGCTCTCGTCTTCGCGCAAGGGTGAAAGCTAAATCCTTCAAACATGATGTATTAGCTTCGATATACCTTGTAATCCTTTCGATTTGCCCATCTAACGATTTCGTTTCCTTTGCAGAGAGAACCAAGAGCTGGTAATCTGGCTCGGAGACCAATTGTGCTTCTGGACTCGTTTTTCGCAGTACGGAAGATGCAGAATCTAGTATAACCTGACAGATTTAGTACGCCATATCTCTCTTGCATCGACCCCGAGGATATATGCGTACATGAGCGTTGGTTCCCCCAATGCCGAAAGAGTTAACGCTGATCCTCTCCTTCCGATCGGACGGCCATGGTGTTGGCTCTACAGGTACTTGCAGTTTGGCGCTCTCGAAAGGAACTATATAGCAAAAGACCAATTAGTGAGTATATTGCATACCTTAGCTATCCACAGAATGACATGTAACACCCACTCTTAGGATTCGGTGTCTGGAAGTGCACATTGGGAGGGATGATCTTGTTCTCTAGTGCCAAGACGCACTTGATAATGCTCGTGATTCCCGACGCGCCTTCGGAGTGACCGACATTGGGCTTAACCTTCTTGGGATTAGCAACGGTCGGGGTCTTCAAATCAATCAAACAACAACAACAACAACTTACGGCTCCAATGTATATTCCCTTCTCGCCAAATATGTTGGCCACGCCGGTTGTTTCCGCAGTATCTCCAGCTATGGTACCTGTTCCGTGACATTCGAAAAACGCAGTCTTATGAATATCATCACCTTCGATGTGGGCCTTTTTATACGCTCGTCTAACCAACCTCTCTTGCGCTTTGGAGCCGGGGGTGGTGATGCTGGGTGTTTTGCCGTCACAGTTGACCGCCGTTGAGCGAATAATGGCTCGTATTGGGTCGGCATTGGCTAATGCATCATCCAGAGGCTTGATATAGACTGCATTAATTGCTTCGCCTCTTCCGTACCCATCAGCTGCAGCATCAAATGTTCTGCAGATTCCGCTCGATGAGAGAACCAAGTTTTCTGACATTGTTGTCGTCATGGTCGGGCTCATGATAAGGTTTGTTCCGGCAACAATCGCAGATGAACATTCCCCGGTGTAAATTGCCTGGCACGCTTCGTGTAAACCAACCATGGATGACGAGCAACCGGTTCGGACTGTGACACTGGGCCCTGTCAAATCGTACTCGTATGAAAGCCGGTTCGACAGCGCAAAATCACCAGCGCTCATGACCCGATATCTATCGTGTTGCTGTGTGTCCTTACTCAAGAGATCCAGCCAATCTTCCCCGAAGACGCCAACGAAGCATCCAATATTTGTACCCTGCCAGTTCGTCTGGCCGGCATTTTCCATGCATTCCCAGACTACTTCCAGCAGTAGTCTCTGTTGTGGATCGAGCTTCTCCGCTTCAAGTTTACTTATACCGAAGAACCCGACGTCTAGTTGCGCGATATCTTGCTCTAAGAAGTAGCCATGTTTTGTCCGGACAGCACCTTCGCGTGCCTCGTCGTAGAATGCATCGACGTTGTACCTCGTTTCAGGGACCCTACATAGGCCATCACGCTTGTTGACAAGAAAGTCCCAGAATTCACTTCCCGAGCTTACTCCACCAGGAAGCCTCATCCCCATCCCCACAATGGCGATAGGGAAGGGGACTGGGCCCTCCCTGACATCGTCGACAACGTACTCTGTCACCCCGCCCCTGTTCAACCAGACTGGAGTCGGCCTGCGGACTGAGCTGGGATCTTTAACTTCTGCGACTTTTGGAAATGCTACATTGCTACAGCATTGTTCCATACTTGCAGAGCTATCCAGACAAACAGGGCCGACTCTTCTGGAGATGATTTACCAACGGCTGCTGAGACGGAACAACCGTATGAGAGGGGAAGCTATAACAAAAGAGGGGTATATTCCCTTAACTGATAGGTCTTAGGTGCTTTAGTTATACAATGCGAAAGAGCATTTTTCATACAACCTCTCTTCAGCCCCATCACGTCGTACATACTAGAAGATATGCGGTATATTCTGTATGCGTGGAAACCTGCATTTATTATGGTTGGTTCTCGGCGGTTGTTGCGCCCACCTTCTACAGCCATTCTCTTGGATCTTCATGCTACAACCCGCAATGTGCTTTTTCCCCCATAGAATCCACACATCTGATCTACATGTCATGCCTTATAGATAGGCTGTTCTACAAGATGTACAAGAGCAAGAAGTACAACTTCTGTATAGACCAAGGTACGACGTCGGTTTTCCAGGACACGTACAATATACTTATTATCCTCTCTCGCTAGGCGGGTCTAGCCACAATAGCCAAAACTTAGCTTTCGAGATTATCGCATATGCTTAATTTCCCGACAAGCCCTTCAATCCCCGGTTATCTTGCTTTAATTGCCGGTGGCTTCGTCGGGATATTTCGACCTTCACGTACGGTTACTTTCTACCGGCAGGATATACTGCTGTCGTGACACGAACACAGGTACTACATCCCACAGAACTATACCTGCCCAATGAGTAACAAAAGTATTGGGACCGGATACATTAGGATTTATCTGAAAATCATGGAACCAGTCTACACATTGCTTCGCCATATACACGATGCTTGGGGCGACTTGTCATGCTCCTCCTAGCGTACTAGACATATCTATATCTCCCCTGATATCCGATTATTTTAATATATTATAGCACTCTAAGCTGAGACTGTTGTCTTCAATATGCGAAATTTAGTACATACAACATATATTTGATGGCCGAGGACCTATCCTAACCGGACGCGTGGCGTACTTCGTAATATGTATTAGCAAATGAATAGACACCACCAACATTCTAAACACAACTTGCAAAGGATAATTCACGATATGCACTGTATTAATGACTAGATACAGGGGTAACCTAATTATCACAAGAAAAGCCAGAAAATACATCCATCAACTTCAGCAGTTCACCCCAACGTGGATCCTTCTGGATCTCAATGTTGCCATCCGGCGTCATGACCTTATACTCGTCACATTCCTTCGTACCGTAGGAATGATCATTGTCTCCGTTGACGAAGGCAACCAAGTCGCCAATCCAATTGTCCATCAACTGTCGCTCAGCAGGGTTCGGGCCATGCATTACAGAGTAACTAAATGAAAAACGTTAGAAAGAATATTCGTCCGAAAATGGAGACCGAGGGATCTCCCACGTCTCATACTCACTTCCATATTGGTTTATCCATCGCATGACTCACTCCAAATGCAGCAGGGGCTACTTTTTCGGTAATGAACGACATGCGGTATGCAATAAGATACCGCCACACATCTTTAATATCCACCCCATGTTGTAGTAAATTATGAGCTAAGAACCGCGACGGAGCTCGGACCTGACCATCGGAGATGATTTGTCCAAACACAGCTTCCCAATCCTCTTTTCGGTCCGAGTCAGGAAGAGGGTAATGCTGCAGCAATCGAGATGTCGTCGATGGGGAATAATAATTGGAAACCTGCAACTCTAGCGACGCTCTGTTGGCTTGTGGGCCATTAGTCACGGCATATAATGTTTCCTCGTTTAGAACCTCCCCGATTAATAAACGCAGGTGACGTCTCTTAAATTCATTTGCAAACGACCCATCCCGATAGTATTCGAAAATGCCAGGGTGGATGAAAACGCCATCAGTCACGGGTCGGAACGTGTGATGCTTCAGTTTCATAACCGCATCACACAACTGCTCGGCATCAATCTGGCGCAGTCTCCGAAGCTTTTCAGGCCCTGATGTATCTGGTGATATCTTAAAATATTCGCATAGTTCATCAAACTGGGGTTGACAGTCTTCCGGGGTTTTGGGTTGAGTCGGAATCGCGTTAGAATACATCACTAATCGTCTGAAATGATTCCGAGCAGACTCGTCTATCGATCCACGAAAATCGTACAGCGTTTGGGCCTGAACGGCATATGCGCCCGCGCTGCGTCCTGACAAGGTAATATTCTCAGGATCTCCGCCGAAAGCTGCTATGTTGTTATAGACCCACTCCATTGCGAGTCGCTGGTCCCAAAGGCCGTAATTGCCCACTTCTTGTCCACCGGATTCCTCTCTCAGTGCTTCGCTGGCCAGAAATCCGAACACGTTGAGACGGTAACCCACCGCGACAAATACAGCATTCAACTGGCCTGTGGAGATAAGTTCGGTTGGATCCATCGATTCTTCCTGACTGGGGTCACCAATCTGGAACCATCCGCCATGGAACCAGATCATCACCGGCCATTTCGGGTTCGTTTCGTTGGACTTTCCGACCGGTGTCCAGATGTTCAGGCGCAAACAGTCCTCCCCAAAGACATGTTGCGGAAGTTGTTTCTTCACAGAGGCGGAGTAGCTGGATTGTAAGCAGACTTTTCCGAACTTTGTTGCATCGTGTGGGATACCATTAGCAGACGAGTATGAGAAAGACTCTGGCAATGGTCGTGGTTTTCGCCATCGATACTCACCCGTCGGTGGTAGAGCGTATGAAATGTCAACGTATCGTCGAGATTTGTTGTCAAATTGGAGGCCGCGAACTTTCCCAGCATTGTTGGCTAATTCTACTTCGCATTCAGCTGATTGGTAACTAGAAAGTATGTTTCCCATTTTGCTTTTTCTTTTGGCCTTTGACGTTGTTTTTCCGGTTGATAAGTGGGGGATCACAGAATATATTCTTGACTTAGACTACGGGTAGAGCATTGATGGAACCTTAATATTGAGGCACAACAGACGTTAAAGGAAATGACAGAAAGAATATATATAAGAAGTTAAAAGTCCTCCGAAGTCAAGAAAGATAAGTAAAAGTAAAAGAGCAAAAGAAAAAGTAGTATTTCATTGAATTGGGAATTCGTAATGGGTCTCGCGGCTCGTTGCGCTGCCCCGGTCAGGTGCAGTACATGATGAGGGAGCGATACTATTGGTCCGTTTAATCGACCGGCACGGGGAGGTAAAAATGTGGACGGCAGGTTTTGATAATACCAAAACACCTGCTTGGCGAGTCACTCCTTATCTTCCCCACCCGAATAACGATAAGAACTTCAAAGAAAAGCCAAACAATACCAGCATGCAGAGTACAGGGTCTTCCTAGGCTCAATGGATCAGGGCGATGCTGTTCGGCCCCGTCGGAAACGCGTAGAGCGCGGCAAACGCTCGAAAGATGGTGATTTTAACCAGTACCTATCTGCGAAGGAGATCAATACTGACATGAATCTGATACTGAGGCTGCCGAACCTGTGTTGGTAAAAGGGTTAAGTGTGATGAGGAGCGTCCTATTTGCGGACGTTGTGTGCGTCTTCACTTGGTGTGCGAATGGGCACCCCGGCGACCTCCTTTGTCCTCGAGACGGAGGGGTTTTGGGCCAATAAAACATAGGAACAGCGAGTCATGGACTCCTCCACCAATCTTACCAAACTCTAAGTTACCTTGTCAGCCAGGGGAGATGTCCAGCATTAGTCCGTCCTCCAAGGGAAGCAGTGGGCGGCATTCACAGATATTAAACGAAGACAAATGTGAAGCAAGAGGTACTAAGGTACACGCTAGAGAACAGGTATTCGTGCCAGAAATGGGTATTTCGTCGTCTCTGTTGTCTTTCAGTTCCAGAGGCTCTTCCGTCATTGGACCAGTGGGAAGCGCTTCGCCTATTATATCGTTACCTACACCAGAACAACAAGTCGATCAAGAGTCCACACCAAGTCTTCCGGTGACTAGGCCGGGGCTTCAAGCTGGTATCCAGGATGAATACCACGTGCTACATGAATATCATCCAAACAGCTTGTTGGACCCTATACCCCTGCTGTTTATGAATTACATGCGAAACATCCCAACACATGATGTCGATGATATGCAGGCATTGTCTTTTCATCGGGCTGTTTTTGGGCCACTGAAGTCAACACGTGACCCTGCCCACTCAGCCCAATCTCTTTTCGTTGATTATGTTGTCGACAAGCAAATGGCGCTTCACTTCCTCCTCGCCGTCGCTCATAGTGAACTGTCACTATACTATGACAATGGGCTCGTTCTACCCCAAAAGTCTTGCCTGCACTTCCATCAAGGTACAAAGTTGCTCCGGTATGCTTCAACTCCGCGAGGGCCAACTGACCATGTTAACATGATGCTCTCTTTTTTGTATATGTATATGTTCTGGATGCGACGCGACAATCCAGCCCCACAAAAGTTGCGAGAACTGAGTCGAACAGTAGTGGAATATGTGCGGACTTATAGGGTGGATGAGCTCTGCACTAATGATGACGTGAATCTCTTCCCGGAAACTTTCGCTGCTGGACTGTTAATTCCAGATCAAGTCCTTCTCGCGCGAATTTTCACGTATCTATACGATCGCGACGGCTTCTGCTCCTTCTTCGGATGCGGTGGCTCCTTCGCTACATTTGTTAATGAGGACTACTTTAAGATGCGTAAAATATGGAGGCTCTCGCGGACCGTATTTCTTTTGTTCCCCGAACAGAACGGGCTTACCAGTGGCAGCTTGCCGGAGGTCCACGAAGCGGTGATATTGGAGCTTTATTTCATGCTCATTAATATACACCATGAAATCAATATACACAGCCAAACTGGGGGGCTACACCGGTACGGTAACGAACGAAGGTTAAAACAACACCTTAATCAACTGAAAAAGGTACATAAGGCCGCATATGCAATTTTTAAGTGTCGTAGGATTTGACTGATCCAAAATAGGAATACGCCTGTCTCTTTTCGCTGGCCACAGATAGCGAACCACTGAACACTTGTCGTGCGTCTTTAATGGAGTGTGTTACTGTGACTTTTTTCTATGCTCTGCAAATATACCTGCACCGGAGCTGCGAATCGGCCTTCGGCACTGACCCTGTTCCCGAAGAAGTCAGCTGCGCTCTCGGCTCATTGGCTACTGCTGCATATAATGCAGTGTCCATTGGGCCTATCCAATTGCTGGAAAGGTTTCAATGGTCTCTGTTTATTTGGGGGGTCGAGACACGCGATCCAGTGCATCGAGGGTGGATCATAACCCATCTTTCAGACCCCGCACTTAAGAGAGTTTTTCAGCTCGTCCAGGAAGCAACGAGACATTCTCCAGTAACCATGCACAACCTCCGACAAATAGTTGGTGAGCCGCGATAAGACTGTTTAGCTGCAGCAAGTTGCTTTTTTTCTTCCTCTTTCTCCTGGCATCCCTGCAGTCTTGGCCTCCTCAATGAACATATCCTTCATACTGTTGGCCAATGCCGTTCGATTGATACCCGATAATCTGTCACGAGAGGCCTACTATCTCTTTGGGGTGAAGGTCAACAAGCTGGGGATTGCCCGCGATTTGCGGGGGTGGAGACAGTTCCTTTAAAAGCCGGAGTCGGGAGTCTGCCACTCACGCTTCGCCCCGACCTCGGCCCTCTCCCGTCGACTAAACAAGCCAATCATGTCGTCCTGATTTCCGGTGTAGGGGTATCATTCATCTCCACACCGAAAGCAAGGGGCTATCAATTGACGGAACCTACGTAATTGCCACGCTTCAACCGAGTCCTTTTGTCTGCCATTTCTTATCCAACAACTTAATTCAATGTATATATTCTTTTTGACTCTTCTGTATATAATTGGGATGCCCGACCCGGTATCTTAACTCTCCCATCTCGCCTATCTTGGCATCGAGTTTGTTTCTGCACTCAACCGCAAACCGCTGTAGTTGTCTGTCATGGCAGAAATGCCGCGATCTTCCATTGACCAAGAAGTAAAATGTATCGCGCCACCGGACGTTGTCGACGGACAGAAAGAACGTGGATCGGTAGACATCCTTGGCCCGGAGGAGGAAAAGAGACTGGTAAGGAAGATCGATCTACAGTGAGTTAACTTTGCGATGTTTATGGTGGACTTACCTCACTCACATCGTTAGTTTGATGCCACTCCTGATCATTAGTTACGGCCTCCAGTTCCTGGACAGTCAGTATAACATCATCCGCTCATTTAAGGTGGCGTCCGATGCTTATAATACCCACAGAGACGAGTCTATCCTATAGTGCGATCCTTGGATTGAAGGATGATCTGGTATCTTATTACTAGTCCCCGAGAGGTTGGCATCTATACTCACTACTGATAGAATCTTGTCGGGCAAGAATATAGTTGGGCATCCAGTATCTTTTACATCGGCTACCTCGCGGCTTCGTACCCGATTTCTCTTGGATTTGTCAAGTTCCCCCTGGGAAAATATCTTAGCTTACTCATGTAGGTTGAGCTTCTTCGATGATGATTTAATCTCGCTAAGAAGGTCTAGTTTCCTCTGGGGCGCTATGTTGACTCTCCATGCTGTTGCTCAAAATTACGCCGGGCTCATGGTCTTGCGAACCTTCCTGGGCGTGTTTGAGAGCGCTATCAGCCCAGGTTTCTCATTGATAACTGGAATGTGGTACACACCACAGGAGCACGTTTCTCGCCACACATTTTGGTTCGCAGGAAATGCCAGTTTCAGCATCATCGGGTCGTTGATTGCTTACGGTATTGCGCATTATCACGACCACTTCCCACCATGGAAGGTTTGCCTACCTTTCCGCCCGCATCTGTCTATAGATGAACTGACCAAGTGTGTAGGTACTATTCCTTATTTTTGGCCTAATAACCGTGGCATGGTCGGTTGTATTGTGGTTTTACCTGCCGGACTCTCCATCGGATGCTCACTTCCTTTCTTCTTATGAACGTGAATTTGCTTCCCTGCGACCGAAAAAGTTTCAACGAACGACTCAAACGAGGAAATGGGACCGAAGCCAATTCATTGAATCTTTAACAGATTTTAAAACATGGTGGTTGCTGATTTTCTCATTCGTCATCTGTGTTCCAAATGGGGGCACGACTAGCGTATGTGTATCCCACGCTTGGGCTTTAGTCCTTTTTTCTACTATCGGTGTTTAATTATCAGGCCTGTGCTTCAAACGGAAAGCTGACAATCAGAAGTTCCAATCTCTCCTGATCGCTGGTTTTGGCTACGATAAATACCAAACCATTCTCATGGGTCTTCCCGCTTCGGCATTTCAGCTGGCAGTGATCTTACTGGCAACTGTATTCTGTATGAACGTTCGCAAGTCCCGCTTAATTGCAATGGTTATGGTATTAGTTATGGCCCTTGCAGGTATCCTGATGGTCAAGTTGATTCCATCGGAACAGAAGCTGTCCCGGCTAGCTGGGTACTGGCTGACTTCGGCGATCTCGCCAGTTTTTCCGCTCATGTTGTCCCTCCACGCGAGCAACACGGCTGGATTTACCAAAAAGTCGACCGTTGCTGCATTGATCTTTGTAGGCTATTGTGTTGGTAACCTGATCGGACCGCAGTTTTTCAAGAACTCGGAAGCACCATACTATCCGGTAAGTTACCATCGGGCTCGCTATCAATGTGGTAAAAGAAATGCTGACGTGGCGGTCTATTAATAGACTGCCTACACAACTATTGTAATTTGCCATGCTATATCTGTGGCCTTGGCGATCGTGTTTCGCGTCTACTTGGGGTGGGAGAATAGGCGACGTGATAAGGAGCAGGGAGTGCATATTAATCCGGAAGAAACCCGTGAAATTGACCTGCACACGGACGAGGCCTTGGACCACGCTGATGAGACGGATATCCAGAACCGCAGCTTTAGATACATTGTTTAGACTTTCACCCATTAGGAAGTCAAGCGGTTATGCACATTATTTACGAAACACATACGTTCAATGTAGACAGCTCGTTGTCCAATATATATGAAGCATTCACAGAAGTGGCAACACTTCAATGTAATTTCCAAACACAAAGAAATCCAGATGGTTATAAGTAGAGAAAGACAGTACAAAAGAACGGCTGTGAAAGAAGGGAAGCGCAAGAAATCCTGCAGCGTATACCGAGAGAAAGACAGTTCAAGTATCACCCACCCACAACAGAAACTATCAGTCTAGAAGATGACCACATATTGGTCCGATGTAGATAGAGCTCTACGAATTGGAAGGCGCAACCGACCTCATGGAAATAGTGATCACTTCTTCATCCGAGTCCGTCACGTTCCAGTAGAGATCATAACTTCCATCCTCATCGTGCGACGAGCTTTTCTTGACAGAGAACAAGGAGGTGTACTCCCCAGACTCATTCTCAACAAGTAGAAAGTTACCATACCAGACAAATTTGTTGGTGACTTGGTTCGAAGAAGGATCGCTGGTAAAGCCCATCTCCTTGTCATTGGAGTTCGGGCCAGGAACGAAAAGCGATACGTCCGTGAAACTGGCCGCAGACGCAGTACTGGTTGTGTTTGGATTCCCGATGAGCTGGTTATTGCTATCCTTGTTGACTGAAGGGTTGGTTAGATTGACATGAATAGCTGCAGGAGACGCGCGACTTACAAGCGACTGGGGCGACGTCGGTTCCATTCTCAGGAGTCTTTGGGCTTACGACGGCGCTACCTGTACGTGTGATTCAGTATATTGTTAAAATGATCTCACGAGGCCAATAGAAGCTAATGTTACTCACCATCAACGTAGTAAAGAGGAAGTCCTCCCACGTTCTCGCCATAGGCGTAGAGGTCAAACTTCTGAGCAGCCGAGGCCGTACCGACTACCGCTGCCAAAGAGCAGAACCAGAGAGGAGCTTGGAAAGACAACATATTTTCTGTAGATTGCAGAGGCTGGTCAAAAATGCGAACCGGAACTATCGGAGATTGGTACGAATGTCCATAAGGAAAACCGGGTTCCAATCTTCTTATGATAAGTTGGGGATCTCCTCTATGGCCGCATTATTTTGGATGCTTCTAGCCCCGATACTTGCTTTTTAGTGGCAGATGAATACGCAAAGCTATAGTCTATATCGGTGATCCCCGATTAAGCTGAGTCAATAGTTTTGGCATATCGCCGTCGTTATACTTGGGACTATCTATGCCTGTTCCTGAAACATCGCCGTTTGGTTCATCCCACACCAACCCAATCACGATATTTAAGCGGAACTTTAACCGATGCCATGAGGGATACGTACGCCGCTAACCGGAATAGAAGATTTTATGCTGATCGCCAAAATCATGGTTTGTGGTGGATCGGCGTTCGAGTGGATCCGTCGACGGGAGAATGCGCGTCGTTGACGTTTGTTCCTCAGCCACGACTAGGATCTTGTCTTGCCCATAGGGCTGCGCAACGGTTAACTCTCTCGTATAAAGAACAAAGCAAACATTCCTCAACTATATCAGGAGCTTCTAAGGTAGATAGATCCAGCCCACCATGGTCATGCGATACATTTACCGCAGCAGGATGTAGGCGTATTGCGTAGGCCCATGTTCATAAATGGTTCCTCTGCAGACGTGGGGAACGACTACGCTGCGGGATAAATGTCCAATAATAGCGTGCAGTGCTTATATCTAGATAATTATAGAAATTCCTTATCGGCAATAACGTACAATTGGACGGGTAGATGGTGATCCGAGTAGTTCACTTGATTTTTCCTGTTGTCAAAGCTTGGGAGAGCGGACAAGCTCCACCTACCGGCAATAGTGGCATTCGGCTTTTTACGGCCAATATAGGCTTGCCAAAGAGCATTCTGCCTTGCTCCACTCTGTCCAGAGATGCTGTGTGGAGGCTTTTCAGCTCGTCTCGACAGGTCGTGTTTTCCGTCCACGTACTTCAATGGGCCAGTTCCTAGATGTCCAATGAGATCCGGCCAATATGTGCTGATCCTTGTTAGAGGATATGATAGCTGTGCTTGGCTTGTTTGATACCATATGGTAATGCTCAGGATTCTAGTATAATGGCCTCTGTGGTAAACAATATAAGCAGGTGTTTCCAATGTCCCAATAATTATTGGATACACCAACTCATTGTCACTCTCTTTGTTATGGTATCCCACAACACTCGTTAGCAGTGGAAGACAACATGAAATCATCGTTCTTTTGTATTATTACTAGTATTGTGGCTGCTACTGCCACAAGCGTCCCCTCGTTCTTAGCTCGAGACTCCGTCTCCGCGTCACTCATTTCTTCAGCATCTCTTAGTACTTCTTCCTCTGATGCCTGCACAGGAAACACCGCCAGCAATCGCCAGCAATGGTGCAGCTATGATATAAATACAGACTATACCACTACCACCCCTGACACGGGTGTCACTCGAGAATATTGGTTTGACCTCGAACATGTCAGCGTGGCTCCGGATGGACGGTCCCGGTTCGCCCTAGCCATCAACGGTTCTATCCCCGGCCCTACCATTGAAGCAGACTGGGGTGATACCGTGGTTGTGCATGTCAACAACAAGCTACCTAGCTCTGTCAAGAACGGCACCAGTATCCATTTCCACGGAATCCGCCAATACTACACAAACCCCTCGGATGGTGTAGTCTCCATCACCCAGTGCCCAACTGCTCCGAACAGCACCATCACCTACAAGTGGAGAGCCACTCAGTACGGCTCGACGTGGTATCACTCGCACATTGGTCTTCAGGCTTGGGAGGGCGTGTTCGGTGGTATCAAGATTAATGGCCCTGCTAGTGCCAACTATGATGTGGATAAGGGGTTCATTATCCTGAATGACTGGGACATCAATACAGTGGATCAGCTGTTCGATAGCGCACAGCTCGACGGACCCCCGGAACTCGATTCTGGCTTGATCAATGGAATGAATGTCTTCGGGCAGGATGGATACGCCAATCAGACAGGTACCAGATGGAATACATCCTTCACAGAAGGAGAATCTTATCGATTCCGTCTGGTCAATGCAGCCTGCGACAGCCATTTCAAGTTTATGATCGACAACCATACTATGACGGTTATCGCCAATGACCTGGTTCCCATTGAGCCGTACAATACTACCGTTCTCGATATTGCAATGGGCAGGTATACTTCTATAATGGTCACATCGTACACTCGCTAATCATGGACATAGGACAACGCTACGACATCATCGTCCGTGCCGACAAAGCCTCCATCGCCAAGAATTTCTGGCTGCGGGCCATCCCCCAGGAAGCGTGCTCCGAGAACCAGAATCCCACCAATATCAAAGGAATCGTATACTACGGCTCTTCTCCATCGAGACCAACAACAACGGGGTATTCATACACGGATGCCTGCGATGACGAGGACATGTCTAATCTCGTCCCGATCATCAATCCCTACACAGTAACTTCCAACCCGTTATACAACGAATCTGAGCCCGTGAGCCTAGGCAAGAACTCCCAGAGCCTCTATCGCTGGAAGTTGAACAGTACCTCCATGCACGTTGCCTGGGAGGACCCAACTCTCCTGGAGATCTACCGCAACCACACCTCCTTCACCAACACCAGTGGTGTAGTCCAGCTCCCTCGTGCAGACGAATGGGCCTTTGTCATCATCGAGACCACCCTATCCGTGCCCCATCCGATCCATCTCCACGGACATGACTTCGTCGTCCTCTCCCAGGGAAGCGGAACCTACAGCGCAGGCGACATCACAACGAACAACCCTCCTCGACGTGATACAGCTATGCTTCCAGCAAACGGCCACCTAGTCATCGGCTTTGTGACCGATAACCCGGGAGCGTGGTTGATGCACTGCCATATTGGCTGGCATACGGAGGAAGGCTTTGCCATTCAATTTGTGGAGCGGTATTCTGAGATCCAAGATTTGATTGATTATGACTCGCTCCACTCGAACTGCCAGAACTGGGAGACTTATCAGAGCGGGAAGAGCTTTGCTATTGAGGATGATTCGGGGATATAGGATTGAATTCTGTCGTCCTTTACCATTCGCTATCTCTTATGTACGTGAGCGTGCACGCTTTCTTTCTTGCCAACTACCTATGGAAGTCGGTAGGCTTTTGAGTAATATTATATTTATTGTCCTATGGGTCGAAATGTTCTGTTGGAACTATTGTTATTGAGTGAGTGACTGAGTGAGTGACTGGGTGTGTGTCGGAATATAGGCTAGAGCATAATAATGCACTTCTCTGCAGCAATGTTTGGACGGGGTATATTAGTTGAAATACTTCGGGATTTTGGACCAGATAAGCCGCAGTACCCTCTCTCACGTACACCCCTGCAAAGAACGACTGTTAAAAACGTCCTCGCCATTTGACTGCGTCGGAAATCCCAAACTATTCATTAACATAACTCTAAACGTCTTGTGCCCCGCTGTCAGAGTTAGTGTGTGGTCTTCCCGACTCTTCCTCCAACAGAAGAACCAGAATAGACTCAGACAAGGCCTTCATGCTCGTCTTCAGTGCTGTGAAGATGATAGCAATATTGTGTTGACGATACAATATGGCTCACATTTATAACCAAATATCATCGTTTATTAGCGTTTAAGAATCGAATGGACGATACCCTTGGACGGGTAAATGCCTTTCAATAATTCATAATGGGCTCCGACGTTGGATTTTATCGCGTTTTGTAAAGTGCACAATGGAAGGATGGGCGTCCTTTTAGAGCCAGAGAGTTAGCTGCTCAATAACTCCGCGCCTCTTGATATATCGTATAAAGCCCTCCCCCCCTAATCCTTCGCGAATCAAGAATAGCTCGGGGAAACGACCGACGTCTAGCTTATATATTCGTACAGCGAGTGGAACCACGACTTTTGCGTGCTCAGAACTTTGCAAGGTCCACGAAGTCTGGGCGTGTATTTGATGATGTGCCTTGCGATAGGTGATGAGTATCTATACAGGTATCCGGAGTGGTTGCTTCTGTCGAGACCTTGGCGCAACGTCCATGGTTAGGTGAGGTCTCCCAAAGTTGACGTCTTGCACTTTAGCACGCGGTTATGTATTGTTGCGCAATATATGTATGTCTGTCTTGTTCTACCCTGAGACCAGAATGTATGGGGATTCCTAATCAATTGGCGCGAATTGTATGTCTATGTCACGCGATAAGGACACGTTCATGATGAGCATCTAGAGCCAGCATCATCAATGACGGTGTTGACGCTTCGGTAAAAAAAAAAAAAAAAAGAAAGAAAGAAAGAAAGAAAGAAAGAAAAGAAATAGACAGCAACATTGGGTTTAAATGCTCGCTCTATTGTGCTATTAGCATGTCTCGTCCCATCGCTCAATATATGCCTCTGAGCGGAACTGGGTGCGGTGATAAGACAAATAAGTAATTACCTAGTTGTCTTACCTTACTTGGGATGCTTTTTGTCTCATACGTCTCTATCCAAGCTGGCCCCTTTAAAGATGAGCATGCAGTACGGATTACTGTGTGACTAAGCCCTAACGCCACCAGGCACGCATTTGCCTAGAAGCCAGGCTACATAAATAGAAAGGAAAAATGCCTCACAAGTCCCCCACGTGTGACACGTAGTGATTTCTCCGACTGGTTTCCCACGGAACTGCCGAGGAAAAGCTTGAATGTCCAAATCAGACCCACGGACACACCCAGGGCACCTCGAACTATGCAGGAATTGAAGGGTCTGATCCCCCGTGGGATGAAACTGAATATCGCGCACATGTTGGCGCTACTCCCGAAAACAGTTTGGCGTGGTGGGTAGGAGCATCACGTGCCAGGGCTACACGGGACCTCCTCCAATCAATCGTGGACATTTCCTAACCCTAGAATGTTACTGCCTAGAAAGGTAGAAACTTCATTCAACGTGCGGAGGCGAAGCTTTTCTTCAGTGGATCCTGAAAGCTTGGCTTGCTCCTTATTAGGTATAGGATCAGCAGGCAACGGACCCATTGCTCTGTCGAGTGTCAGTGATACGAGGCTGCGCCCCGAAAGAGGTTATACTAAAGACGCTTGTCGTGCTGCAGAAGGTTTGAGCGAAGCCGCTTGTCAGAAATAGCTTATAGCCCCTTTGACCAGTAGGTGAGAAATATTCTAGTCTTTAAATTAGCGCTGATGGGGCGTTATTGAGAATGGGTGTACACCATGCGTCTCCACCAATATGGCCGCCCAGCGTAGGCTACCATATTACCATCACAAGCCAGACTACTGTGGGTAATACTAGCGGGATCGATGTGCAAATTACCCCCCAGTAGTAGCGCTGTAGGCTAGCCTGGGTGAGATCCAGGGTTTCTTTGGGGCTTTCCCAGGAGAAACGGGGTATCTCGACAAGAGGGAGATCTCCCTCGCTGGAATATCACCGTTCATTGTCCCCTTTTCTTCCCTCTATCTTTCGACTCTCCATTTATAGACGCTTGCACAGGTTAATGAAAGTTATTCGATGCGATTTAGCCGTTTTTCTTTGTTTGTTTCTGTCTACACTCCTTCTCTCTCATTGTTCTTGGTATACCCCCTCGATCCTTTATTCAAGGTCATTTTAATAACGTTCCCGCTTCGTCCATCACTCTCTTCCTGCTTTGAACGGCCTTCACTCATCGAGGAGCCCATGGTCATTGAAAACATTTGGACGCGACAATGGCTATACATTATCACCATGACATTACTGCTCTGGAGACACTTAAATTGCAACCTATCTCGAAGCTTGCTCCGTTCTCCGCCCTCATCATTTCGATAGTACTCGTCGTCCTTTTTCTGGCACGGTATTATGTTTTGGAAGGATTTCTCATAAAACGTATCTATGGTTCAATCTATACGAACCTGAGTGAAGTGAACCGACGCGGGTTCATAAACCACCACATTGCCGGTTTGACAAAGATTCTAATCCTAATCGTCGCCGCATACCCATTCATTGAAGTTGTCATTGGGAAGTCGTCCTTCCACACACCCTACGCGCATGGTTCCCGTGTGACAATGGGCGACATGCTGGTCGTTGTCTCCCAGATGCTTATTGGGATGTACGCTTTCGAGCTGATTTACCGCACAAAACTGTCGCCTATCGCTGTGTTACATCACATCGGAACGATTGTAATTGGTCAATCCGCAATCGCAATCAGCCTAGATTTGGCCCGAGAGCCTGATGCCGATATCGAGTTTGTTCTGTGCACAGTATGGGGTAAGTCATAAGCTACCTTTCTCTATGATATTTCACAAGCGCAAAACTAATAGTTTTCTCCGTCAGGTGCCTTCGATATAATCTCAGAATTTTTCCCCCACTTGGCCATCATCCTCTACCGCGTCTTCCCCAACCGCCATCGTTTTCTCAAACGCCTCTTCCTCCTATCTTGCATCACCACTGCCATCGGAACAACCTGCGAAACTATTGTTATCTTTTTCCTTTTCGGCTCTCTGTGGGACCGATGGCAGATTGCCTTCAAGGTCGTCACCCCGCTACTTCATATTGCCTTTTCTGCGGCCCAGGTTCACGGCAGTGTTGTCTTTTGGAAGATGTACAAGCGCCAACAGCAACTCGAGGGAGAGATTGACGGATTTGATATCGAAAATGGGGATATTAGTGAGATGCATGTTCATGCCGACAAGACGAAACCTTCGTCGTCTGGGTCAACGGTCGCTATTGTCTAAATCTCTGTCTGCGAACAATATATTAGCTTGGTGTTTGGGGCGTTGTTGGCTATGGTATGTTTGCTATAAATTTAAGGTTTTTACCGCACGTCATACTTGGCATTTAGACCTATTCATTTTCTTGTATAGATCATTCGTATGTTGAATATCCCGCTGCCACTGTTGTGCTACTAATAATCTGAGTCCTACTGCTGGTGTCACAATCAGACTGGTAATTGCATTCTAAAAGTATTCCAGCCTCTACATTATGGTCCCTCGGTGGTCTCTTTGCCATCTAGCTAATGCGCCTTCCCGGATGAACCAAGAACATCCATAATGTGTTCGACTGATTCCTGATAGATTGCTACAGACTGTTCCTTCGGAGCAGTAAGCTCCAAGCGGCCAGCATTCTCAACAACGAATGCTGTGTAGTCATCACGAGCGTTCCGGTTGATATTGATCTTACGAGCCCCGGTTGCAATGGCCTTATGGAAAAGCCAGTCTGGAACCCTTCCAAAGATAATGCTTAGACTATTTCGGGAAGAAATGCAATAGTTACCCATGTGGACGATCGTCATTGTGACAGCGAAAAGGAGAAAGTGAATAGTGGTCCAAAAGCTCAAATCTGGAAATGAGATACGAGGGGCTGGAAGTTGAATCAAGGGGATGTTGCTGCGAATCCCACTCTCTACTGAAATCACTTTTCTCATCTCATGGGAACCTGCTCTAATAGACCTTTCTTTTGCACCAGAAAGTTTCGCTCTTCCAGTATATGGGAGAGGGGCAATTAGGGTATGCGGAAGATTCCGTCCTCTAGATCATAGTCTGCGGGTTGGTCCTTCGGGATCAATCATTAGCTCGGAGGCGCAAAGCCTATTCCCCGGATTATATCCTGGGTCAAGAAAGTTCAGGTGGGTAAGTGTTTTATCTTACATCTAACTAGCTTAAACACCATACGAAGTATTCCGGAGTATATTATTATATGATAGATCATAGTATTAGGTAGACTGGCGTATGGCTAGGTTAGATTAGATTAATAGAATTTTTATACCTGATTAGTATACTTAAAAGTTAAATAATTAGTTAGATTAACTACATTTGAAAATCAGTATATTAATCTGTATTTACTATAATTAGACCGTAATTTTTTAAAGCAACTATAGTTACGTAGTATAACTGATCTTACGGGGCAACCAGACATTATCAGCTTATAGATTCTGCATTTTCTTTTCGATTTCGCCCAGTACAGGCTTGCTTAATAAAGTCCATAACAGTATGGTAACCCGGTAGACACACATGACTTACAACTCCTCAATTTCACATCTTCACATATCTAGCAAGTAGCACCAGATATATTTACTGATCATTCCAAAAACAACATTTCCAAATAAAAAGGCCCAAGGATGGGTAAAAGAAGCAGATCGCTCTCCGTCGACTTTCAAGCCAGTGGCTGAATATAATAATACTAGACATTTCCTGGTCACGGCTCCGACATAAAATAGGCCCGTATATCCTTCAGAGCTCCCGGAAGCCTACAATCCCGGTCCCCTTTGCATAGGCCCTGGTTCCGGTTCTCTCTACAGAGACTCTAGCCTCCGTTGCAATTTAGAACCAGGGGGCTAAGGTGTCGCCTGGCGAATTAGTCCCCTTTACAACGGAATAGACCTACCAAAAAGGGGAGGATTCTAGGCTATTTAAAGAGGACCATAGACATAGTAATGATGGGTAAGAATCAATCTCGTTGTATTCGATTCTACTATTCAGTCAATACATACTTTCTTTTCTATTCGCCTACGTACCCTTACCTGGTTGACTGGATATCTACCTTGTATAGCAGATCATCCGTTAAATTACTAGACCTGACTTCAGGTTATTAACAGACGCTACACCTACATCAGCACCTTGATGACAAACATGCAATAGCTTATCCTTGAGCCCTGGATATAGTGGCCAGATAATTGTTTGCAGGATAAAGTCGTATATAATCCCTCGCGGTCAGTTTCTGGTGCAAGGGATTTAGGACCATATGGTGAGCCGCCATACTTTCCAGAACGCCATGGGATGATTCGAGACTTTCTATTGACAAAGAACAAGGATAATAATTGACTTTTACATCCTCCTTGAGCGCAGTCGACAAGCTACGTGGTTTAATTTTATAAGCGCTATGACTGTAAGGTAACATAGCTCTGAATGTCAGAAAGGTTGTCAAGCATGGCCTGCAAATGGCGTCAATCAGTACTCAACAATGAGACCGCCCGTAAGAAAAGTTAGAAGACCTGTAGAGTAAATCCAGTAAAGACAATCGAGTACAAAGAAATAGGAATAAAAACTGTCCCATCACTCTTATTCGGCAAATTTCGTCCATGACCTCACTCTTATTCTCTGCTCAGCCCCCTTCCATATATTGGCCAACAATATCAGGTATCACCTGGGCCTCCCTTCGCGTCTGATAACCTCAGACACCCTTGAAGGCATTGAATTGATCAATTTATTCAATTTGCGATTTGAAACAGATTCCCATACCGTTTGGATACCTGTTTTTAGATCGTCCAGGTTATTGGTATTGAGTTTCTGTACACTTTTCTTGATGTAGAGCAGTACATCCTGTGCTAAGTTCAGATCGGGAGAGCGTGGTGGGCACTGGATTACAGAGAATCCAATTTCGCGTAGTGATTTTGTAGACATTTCCGTAGTGTCTTGTGGAAGGTTATCTGCCTCCAGCAATATCCATTGATTTAGGTTTGGATGTACTTGTTTCGCTGGCTGGTCAACCTTAAGCATTTCTGCTAATATATTGAGCGCATCTTCTTCTGTCTGGAAAAACACGAGCGGTTTTCTTTGGTTGTATCCAATAGCCATCCAGAAGCGAAGTGTATAGCTGTTTATTTTTGCTTTCTCCTTCTCGCATTGGTCACAAAAAAATAGTCTAGTCCGATCTATTATCTTGGCTGTCCCATTGGCACCAAGGCTGAGTTCAATGGCAGCTGTAAAAAGAACAGAGTGCCATTTAACTCCTTCTTGTACAACAGATTTAGCAAACGTTAATCGTGCGCTTCGAGCCTCAATTGTCAACCACATCTGTGAGCAATCAAGGCTCTTACAAAAGCCTTCGTTGACCAAACGATTGCGAATTGTCTGTGGGTGCACATCCGGCATACTAATATCCATGGCGAATCCTTCTTGCTCGCAATGATCCGGGTCCCCAATAGCCTGGATAATTCTCTCGACGGTCTCCTGATCCAGCTTCCTTGGCCTTCCACGTTGACGGGGCCGCTTTGGTTTGCTTTTAAACACCATAACGTATTATGCTAGGTCGTCAGCAATACGATCGTGTGCTCGTAGCTATATCTTGCCGGGTTAAAAAATTGTCTCGCTGGCCTGTAGGGCCGGAATGACAGTGTATTTATTATTTTCTGTGGTCAACCAACACTTCACTGACCCGCCTGGGTTGATCATGGAGAATGAGAGATTACTTCAAGTATGTGCGTGGGTTGAATGCTGTTTAGATAGTAAGTATTTCCTTAGAAACAGGAGGCATGCATAGGAATCCGGGCTCTGCTCGTACGAGTCATGTCTTATGACGACAGTTTTCTTTGTAGAACACTTGATGATATAAGGAATTAATCAAACACACCATATGTTTTACTTCCTTGCTTTCTTCCTCATTCGTCTCTCCCCAAACGCCTTGGAAAATCCAACACTGTATGGATGACAATCATGGAGCTTCAATTAACAATATGCAGCATTCTTTAGGGGTACGATTACGAATCCAGGTATGCTGGGCTCCATCCGTCCACCCCTTGCACAGGGTAATGCTGTTCCTCAGGAGAGCCCCCAATGCTTATTTCTGCGGCTCGCGCAAAACCTGCTGGCTTGCAGGACGATGCTGGTGAAAGTTAATCTAAAATAGCTCTCTTGATACAGCTTCACTAACTCAATATCTGTATGATAAGAATCAAAAGATAGAGTGTGCAATACATGCTACCATGGAACGATGTCTCGCTTCTTCTAAGTTGTGTTGCGTAGAGTATAACCGGTTGTTCATCTATCTTCCTGCAGTTGCCTTTTCATGTTATCGTATACTTACACAACGCTGATTACATAGAACGCTGGGTCGCTTCGCCCTCGATGTCGAGCCTGGATGTAGATATTGTTAATCTTTGCTAAGATTGAAGCAAGCTACAGGTCAGCGGCCACTCCCCCCCCCCAATAAGGCGTCGAATATGCTCGTCATATGTCGTACTTTTTGTTGGTCACAGCGTCGTGCGCAGCTGTGGTGAAGCTGCGCAGGCGAGAAAGGCTTTTTGCGAGATTAACATCTTTACCCTTCGGGAATCTATCCAGGTGTACCTAAATAATATAAAGAATATTTTTGGAAGCCTATACATATCGGAAGCCCTCGTATGCCGTGTGCCGAAAGGGAAGCCGGTTAGCAAAATAAATTCGATTCGGGTCGCCTTGCATCGCCATACCAAAGGGAATAATCCGTCTTTCCCCTGGCAATGTGAGCCTTTTCCCTGTGTGGCCATTGTAGTTTGATCTGTTGTTCAAACTGCCAATGAAGGGACCATGGAAATCAACGAATGCGATTGAGGCACGTTTGCCTTTAGGTCTTTTTCTGGCCGTACTGGCAGAACCCCTGGCATTTTTGCGATATTGCATCCACTCAAACTTAAGTACAGAATATTCTATACCATGTTGAATCAAAAGCAGCAAGGATGCGATGTAAAGTACGTGGTATTGAGGTAAGTCTCGTTCGCTTCACGAAGCCTTGAATAATGAAAGTGTGGTGGATTGGTCTCAGTACAGTCTCCATGGAATTGTCATCTCAACTTTTCCATAACTAGAGGCACAATGCTCACCATAGGGCTGACATACCGAGTACCGCAGATGCTTTCGAAATAAGACAAACTTCTGGCTTTGGTGCGGAATGAACCTTCGAGCTTTTCTACTCTATGGCCCCTCTCAATAGCCATTTTATTCCGCTGGACGAAGCTATTCATTCATTGGAGCAAGCATATGTCCGATAACTCGGTCGTTTCTGCAGTCCAATGTGACGATATGTATGGTATGGACACTCGACATGATCGACTAATCAGTCCACGCGGTCTTTAGCTACCCCTTTGCCCTGATGGGTGTTGAATACAGCTGCGCGATAGGCCTTTGCGTTTATATGGCCACAATGGAATCTTTGACTGGTACCTTGCACGGAGTCTCCTAACTTGGCAAGGGGATTAAGTAAAAAGTGTTCCAGAGGCCGTGGAAGTCATGATATATCTAATGAATGGCCAATATTCCCTAGATACGCAAAAGTGTGTGACTCATTGATGTGAATTATACACTTCAATAATTAGCAGTCTTGTCACAATACAACAATACCATTCCCTTAGTATGCATATATCACGGCTGAGTCAAATTCATTCAGCATTTTCTCATTTCCCTTGGAAGTGGAACTTTAGTAATTGTGTAGGGCTAGACTTACGCCTCCACACCGACCTACATCCAACCTAGCCCAATACTATATCTATATGTTGTCTTGTTGGATAAGAAGACTACTTGATCTAGCACGCATTCTCCATAAGCGTACTACTACTTTCTACAAATGCGGCCCTTGATACCTACTATTTTGATTAGCTGGTTACAAACCATAAAATCCCAATAGTACAGCGTAATGGAGCTGAATCTCTACCATACCTGCGTGCTGGATACAGATAGACTTTTCACACTTCTGCACAGCTTTGCAACCTTGTATATAAGCATCATTATATAACTAAGACGCCTAAGTACCTTTACTGAAGAAAGCAGGTTACCAGGCTTTGACCACTGAGAGCGCCACGAGAACCAATTTTGCAAACAAGACTCGGATATAATTTGAAATATTTCTGCACATCGTGCGGCCCATGGCAGAAACTTGGGTCACAGAGAGCAAAGAGGAAGCCATGACATTGCATACTGGTATCCCTTTATATACCATCAAACAGAACACGCTAGGCTTACGTAGGGTGAATCCGGAAGCTGCGTTTGCTGATCGGTTGGAGTACAAGGACGAGGCCTAGTGGCTAGGAACTTCTAGGATTATCATCCCTAGCCTATCGATCGACCTGAAAGTCCTCTGAGTTTAATGGCAGGATAGCCTCAAGGCACACCAAATCCCATGTGCTCTTCGTCGTTTCCTATGAACCTCAGCGGTCCTTATATATTACAAGCACTTTACGGACGCCGCACACCAAGCCCTATTAAGGATTTTCTAATCAATATCAAACAGTTCGAAATTAAGGCATAAGGACGACGAACTAGAGGTACTGTCAGCCAAAATACTGATCGCTGATTCTACCACCTGAACTCTTATGTTCTTCCGTTCCATCTTTCTGTTTTTCATCTACAGAATGAAGAAACTAGAGGAGGCGAATTGAATTATCCGACTATGGGGCACCAATCGCCGCCAATTTCTTCAGGTTGACCTCACCCCTGACCACTTGATACAGTTGAAAACCTATGTTTTTACATTTTACTTTATTGTTCTGCCTTTAATATGCTTGTCAATTGCGCACTAACTTGAGAGAGCTTTCTGCATGCATTTACTCTATGCAAGCATCATGACCTACCCTTTGTATTTTTATGATTCTCCTTTTCTTTCAGCTCACCTTTCTTAATCAAGAACAACAATCAACATAATCATATCCACCTTGAGGCCATCACAAAACGGAAACATGCGAAAGTCCGACCATTACCAGTAACCATGCACCCTTGGATTCGGATCAAAGAGGGCTTGGTACCTACAGTTGTCTTATGAACACAACCTGAAGTCATCATAATCAGCATCATACATGCGTAAGTCCGTCAGCCGGACATATCATAGATAACCTCGCATCACGTCAGATACAGAACATTCTTAATTTGGGCAAATGAGATCCGAAGGCCCATCTCATCGCAAAATAAGAAAGTGGCCAAGCTCCTTCTAAAGCGGTCATATTTTATACTAGCGCAAGAGACCGAAAGTTGTGGGACGGGTTGTTGGTGATGCAACAAATACCGATGGCAGTATTGCTATTGTGAAGCGTATGATTGGCTTTACACGTTATGGCGATCCCTGCACGTTAATATATACCATTATAAGCACTACCACGAGTAGTAAGTGGTTTTATGACAGCTGTCCGAAAGACTAATTCTTTGCCCCGCAGACTCAGCTTTCTCCTCCAACAATTCATATTCAGCATTACCATCTCAACGGATAACTGTACTATTATATTATACCGAAAGAAAGAAAGAAAGAAAGAAACAAAAAGCACATCATGGCCGGAAAGTCTCTGACCGGAGCATGCCTGTGTGGAAAGATCACCTACCGCGTGGATCTCCCCACTGACGCGCCATTCCCCAAGGTACCCTAAGATCAGCCTCCCTCCACCTATGGCCATGCTCTTTTAGTGATCGAGATCCGCCCTAATACTAACAGTTATCTGTTCACTAAAGTTGCTCTCTGCCACTGCGAGGACTGCAAACGAAACACGGGAGCCCCCTTCTCGTCGAACCTGATCGTCCCCAAGCCCACACTTACCTACACGGCTGGAACCCCCAAGGTTTACGCCCATCCGTCGGGCGATCTGGGGAACGAGCTCCAGAGACACTTCTGTGGGGATTGTGGGTCCCCACTTATCACGCAGCCGGGCGGGAGAGGAACTGTTACTGTCAAAACTGGCACATTGGATGCAGAGTCTCGTGGCGACTTGGGCTTAGCATTGGAAATCTTCTGTAAACGGAGGGAGCCATGGGTGGATCAGATCGGTAGCGTGCCAAAAACTGAGGCCATGCCGTAGCTTATCTTGTCTTGTCTTATATATGGAATGATCGCAATATCATGGTTCATGATCCACTTATAGTATTTCTTCTAATCAGTATGAATCGAGAAACAACCTCGGGTTCTGCTCGGCAACTCTAATTCAGGTTTTACCCCGCGTTCTTTTATCCTTTATCAGATAAGCATCTTGATTTCCCCCAACAGCTGCCACCTTTTCCTTCCATCTGTCAAGATAGAACGAGCAAAATTCATTCCCATCTACCATCATCCAAGCAAACCAGACAGCAACATGGCGCCCCCGACCTCAACCGAAACCGCACCCCCCATCACTCTCCAAGCCCGTCAATCCACCCAGGAAGCCGGCGCTGGTAAAGCCAAAGTGAAAATGAACATCCCCAAACCGCCCGTATTCGAAGACAAGATGAAAGAGCGTGAATATCTCAAAGGTCGACTCGCAGCGGCGTTCCGGATCTTCGGAAAGAACGGATACGATGAGGGTATGACTACCATACCAAAACCCGCTATATAATAGATTGTCTAGGAGTTATGATATGATATGATATGATATGATATGAACGGATAGCTTACTATATATATCCACGGAACACAGGAGTGGCCGGCCACATCACCCTTCGCGACCCCGTCGACCCAAGCACTTTCTGGGTCAATCCATTCGGCGTCGCCTTCTCTCAGATTAAAGCCTCTGACTTGATCCTGGTCAACCATGCCGGGGAGGTCATCGACGGCGGTCCATGCCGATTACTCAACGCCGCCGCGTTCATGATCCACTCGGCCATCCATGCCGCTCGACCGGACGTCAACTGCGCAGCACACAGTCACAGTCTGCACGGTCGCGCGTTTTGCAGTCTTGGTCGGCCATTGGATATTATTACTCAGGATGCGTGTGCCTTTTACAATGTCAGTTCCTCCATATGCTTCTTTGACCAATTCTGTATAACTTACCCATGCTACAGGATCACGTCGTCTACAAGCAATTCAACGGTATCGTCCTCGCCGAGGAAGAAGGAAAGAATATCGCCGCAGCCCTGGGCGATAAGAAGGCGGCTCTGTTACAGAATCATGGTCTCTTGACGGTCGGCAATACTATCGAGGAGACCGTATTTTGGTTCGTGAGCTTGGAGAAGTGCTGCTATGCACAGTTACTGGCTGATGCGGCGGCGGCTGGACGAGGAGGACAGACCATTAAGGTGGATGACGCCGATGCGGCCTTCACATATAAATCCGTGGGTACGCCTTTGGCGGGTTATTTCAGCGCGAAACCGCTGTTTGATGTTATTCATGAAGAGACTAAGGGGAGTTATTTGAATTAGTTGGGTTGTTTATACTATCTAAAATCTTTTAATGAATGTTTTTTTTCTTTTCTGTTCGAAGTGCTGTCTAACTCCTGCTGGTATTATATGCAATGAGACTGCGTTGATTTCCTTTTGTACAGATGAACGTAGAGCATCTCATAAGGTAAGGTTGAGGTGTGATTGTTGATGCATGCCATTATACCATGAAAGGAGCGAGCACATTGCACACAGCGTTGGTTGGTACTGAGTAGTTGAGAGTAGGAAGGTGTTGGTGTGGTATTGCAGTCAGCTGTTCTAATCCATCATAAGGAGTACTGAAAGGTTGCAAAGATTACGAAGTACATAGATAGAAAGAGGAAAACAATAGAAATTTGAACCCTTTCCGGCTATCGACCATCCTCTCGTGCAAGCACACGGTAGATGCCCAGGACAAAAGGGCCAATAGTTGTCACATAGCTTTAATTCGCCAACCCCCATCTCCTCTTGTATTCAACTTTCAAGAAACCAACTTTGTCCGGTGAGATACTGACTCAACCGGGCGAGCCAATTCCATTTCCCACTTTGTCAGTAACTCAACCTGTGCGTCATACCTCAGAGTGAAAAATGAAGTATACTTTCTAGCCCTCTTTTGCAATAACAACTGTTCATACCATTACAAAGTCTCTTGCTGCGGTCTTGCTCAGATATTGGTGTTGAGAAATCGTTTTCCAGCATTACCAAGTAGTTTGCGAAGTCTCGCACGGTTTCATCGCGGTGTTGTCGAGTGACATTCCATCGATGGCGCGCCACCCTTGGCGTTGCAGGCCTCTCAATTTGCCGAAGTAGAAAGAAGCGAAACTCATCCCATGTATGTGCTCGTCCGCTAGACTCGGTATGTGTCGTCCATTCATCGAGGACAAGGCGAGATAGATGTCTCTTTGCTTCGGCAATCTTGTTCTTATCAAAAGCAAAATACCGTTGATTTTTGCGAAACAACCCTCGCAATTTGCTGACCAAGGTAATATACGAAGATCGATCCCGGCCACAGTACTTTCTGGGTACGGGGAACCTTGGCAGCTCTGCTTCCTTCCTTGGTATGACAGTGCCACTAGTGTTGTTATTACCCGTCACGGGTTTGGGTCTCGAGTCCAATGGCTTCGCATTTGTACCCTTATTCGCTGGTGTGGTACTACCAATCGTAAATGGAGTAGGGGTATGCGATGAATTAAGGGCGCGACCGCCGGTCGGCGTCTGTGATTCTGTCGTTTGGAGACGGCGTTGAGCGTCGGCCAACAACTGGTTCTCGCGAGCAATCCCATTGCGTAGATCCAGTATTATGCGTTGGTTGCGGACTTGCGCCAACTGATTCTGTAGACGGAGAATCTCCGCAGTGGTGTTAGGCTGGTCGACTGGGATTGCCGATTTCGAGGCCATGGCGTCTGTGATGCGAAAGGTACGATCACACACTCAGTGGTCAACGTTGAGGTCGGGTTGTTCGAGGTGGGGTCCCAGTGGGTACCCAGCAGATAGGTTGAAGGAGTAGGTGTTTGAGCAGCTCCATTATGGGCAGAGGCATCTATGCTCATAGAGAAGCGAATTGACTGGTTTGTGTTGGATGGAAATCCATTCACTGTTTCTTTGTTTCCAGCGCGTCCCAGTTGACGTCACGTGGTACCTGGCGTGCGGTCGGATTTCCCTTTTGGGTTAAATTACTGTTGCGATCTCATTAGCCAATCATATGGCGTGATGGCCTGATACCTGAGGCACTGTCCAGCGACACCTGGCAGTTCGTCACTTTTTCCTGTTGTGATCAATCTCAAGTCAATCAAATGTCCATTCGCTGTGGCGGATAATTTTCCATCAAGTCGGGCATATTCGGAGGACGTTTGATTCACTAGCACCATGCATTAGAGATGCATAAGCAAGCATCTAGGTCTCCACCTTTCCAGCATTGATCGGATGAACCTCTCCTGCGATGTGATGTTAGTGAGACTGGGTATGTAGTGCTACTGCATCTTCTACCAAGAGCCGAGCTTTTGTTTGTTTAGTTGAGTGTCACTTGGAGGAAATCCAGGCATGAAAAACTTTTTCCTAACCCCAGTCCATCAAGGATTTTAACGAGATAGGGCTAATGAGTCCGGAAACGGCAACTCTCTTGGCAAAAGGAAATCCTACTCTAGTCTACTATAGTGACTAGTTTACTAGACCGATACTCGCGACGGCACTTCAAGGACTAGTCTCGAGCCGACTATCCAGGTGCCAATGACACTGTACACCTACTCTCCACCGCCGTCTGTGTGGGATGATCATTTAACAGAAGCATGGACGTCGATCCGGATGTGATCGACGGCATGAGCGACCGTCCAGCAGACTGGTCGCCAAGGGATTGATTGGCACAACCCCTCACTGGAGAACTATGACTGTTACTACTAATCTGACCGTGTCGATCATTCAACCAACTGACTTTGCAAACCCTGCTTGCTTTCTTCATCTTTCCCCATTCATCCAAGCTTTCTAATCACCCTCTTCCTCCCCCTCTCATTTTTTTATTTTTTTCGTTTTTCCCTTCTCCACTTTTCCCTATCATCTACAACCCTCCGGTTGTAACGATGAGGATACTGTTGAGCAATCAGTAGTTATCTAGAACCGTTCCCCCGTCTATCATTAGTGCTGCACGGGTGTAATCATCGCCGATATGTTGGCTGCTTGGAGAAGGTTTTTCCATCCGTCGGCGAACGACGATGCGTCCAGTCCTTCCTCACTGTACAACGAGAAATGCGGCCAGCTCGAAATCAACGTCACAGAATCCAGTCCACCCAAAGCCACTGGAGCGGTCAAAATCGAGGCCGTCGAAGCTGTGGGCGGCCGGAAAGGAAGATATCTTCTCTATATCGGGTATGTACTGCCACAGTCCTATACTGGTACGATCCAGATCCCAAATGCTAACCATCTCATACCGTTCAGCTTGGTCATGCTTATGGTCATCTTGTGAGTCTTGTGGGGATCTTCAAAGCTTTCGATGTATTAATATCCGTTTAGCGAACTGGACAACTCTACCGTAGGGACTTATCGCAACTTCGCGACATCCGACTTCAAACATCTCTCGGTGCTGGCGACGCTCAACACTGCGGCCAGCATCATTACCGCCGTAAGTAAACCGCCGATAGCCAAAGTCTCGGACGTCTTGGGGCGGGCCGAGGCATACATTTTTACCATCACATGCTACATTCTGTCGTACATTCTCTGTGCATCGTCCAAGACGTTCAACATCTATGCGGGTGGCTACGTATTCTACTCCGTCGGCCAGGCCGGCACGGCCATCCTCAACTCCACCGTCGTGTCGGATATCTCGTCCATGCGCTGGCGAGGTTTTGTCTACAACATCCTGTACATCCCCTTCTTGATCACACCATGGGTGTCTGCATTCATCGTCGACAGTGTCGTCAATGGCATTGGCTGGCGCTGGGGTATCGGCATGTTCGCCATCTTGATGCCCTTCTGCGCCAGTTTCATCATTGTCACCCTCCTAGTCTTCGAACGACGGGCCAAACGCTCTGGCCTCATCCTGACGGAGAGACTGAATCTCTTCACTTTCTGTTCGCGCATCGATCTTGGTGGCATCATTCTGCTTAGTGGCGGGTTTGCGTTAGTGCTGATCCCCATTACCCTGGCCGCCACGACATCCGATTGCTGGAAGACTCCGTGGGTCGACGCCTTGATAGTGCTTGGCGGCATCGCTCTGGCCTGTCTGTATCCGTATGAGAAATACTTCGCACGCCACCCGGTTGTCCCGATCCACTACTTCCGTAGCTTGTCCGTTGTGGTCCCGATGGCGTTGGCATGCGTTGACAACATCGGATTCGGAACCACCCAGACCTACCTATACGTCTGGTCCATGGTGTCCCACAACTTCTCGCCCCGTGATGCGCAGTTTCTCAACTACACCAATAGTGTCATGCAGGCGTTGGTAGGGATGGGCACCGGACTGCTGATGTATCGGCTACGGTCGTACAAATGGATCGGGGTGATCGGCGCCGCCATCCGAATGGTCGGGTACGGAGTGATGGTCCGTCTGCGCAAAAACGAGAGCTCCGTCGCGGAACTGTTCATCGTTCAGCTGATCCAGGGTGCGGGCAGTGGCATGATAGAAACGATCGTGATCGTCGCGGCACAGATTTCTGTGACTCATGCCGAACTGGCGCAGGTTACGTCGCTGATCCTGCTCGGATCGTTCTTGGGCAATGGAATCGGCTCAGCGATCGCCGGCGCGATTTACTCCAATCAGCTGCGTGACCGGCTGCGTTTGCATCTCGGACACGGTGTCGATGAGGCCACCGTCGTCGGGCTATACAACTCTATTACGGATACATTGCCTGCGTGGGGGACGGCGGAGCGAAATGCAGTAAACCGAGCGGTACGTTCACCTGTCTGCGTTTGCTATTTGGCTCGAGCTATTCGCTAACTTTCTTCCAGTATTCCGATGTCATGGGGTATGTTTCTTGAGGTGGTTCAATAACGCATGCTGACAATGGCAGGTACATCACCATCGCCGCGTTGGCGCTGTCTGCTCCCGTGGTAATCCTCTCACTACTGGTGCCGAACAAGAGGCTTGGGTACGCACATATCCCTCGCCCTGTTTACGATACTTGCTCTAACCAAACTGCAGCGACGGACACAATCTGGTCCAAGACAACCAAAGCAACGATTCACGATCCTCCGACGAGACCCTGGTGGACGAAAAGACCTGCACCCGATAATGCTAATGCCGCAACATGTGCGATGTTGATGCTGATGACTATACATTAATGCCTGTACATATGGGACTATATACTTTTTGATACCTATCCAGAGAACATTGCTCTCCCGCTCCGTCTTATTTTACCAAGACCACAATCAGATCTTTCCAGGTGACCCAATCACACAGAAGAAATCCCTGTCGGGCGTGCCATCAAGAGCATTCTTGACCAGGTTCCAAACGTTCAAATCATACGCCTCCCCGATATGTCCCACAGGGTCGAGGGGACAAGAATCCTGCACGTAAATATTATTGGCGCCTTCCACCCACGACGTCGAATGCGGCGTAACCATCTCATCGTACTTCGAGACAATCACGGTCAAGTTATTCCCCGACTGCAGGATGGGCTGACCATCATTCAACCGCTGCACGGCAGCCCCATCAGGACCCAGCTCATCACACGCCGGACAGCCAAACGTACTCAATACCTCACCAACAACCTCCCGGGAAACATTTCCGAACAGGTAAGCGAGATTATACAAGCCGCCGAAATTCGTCCCTTGCGTCGGGGGCGCGATCGCCACAATCTTATCGAGGAGGCCCGAGACCCCCTGGAATTTGGGGACGTAGAGCGATTGGAATGCGCCCTCGGAATGGCCGACCAGATTGACTTTCTCGGCGCCGGTTTTGTCAACAACTTCGCGGATGTATTTGGCGATTTCTTCGGAGGATTCGCTGATCGAGCGCAGGCCGCCGAGTAGGGGGAAGCCTTCGTAGGCGCCGTAGGTTTGCGCGTAGGTGCAGTAGCCTTGGGATTGGAGCCAGTATTGGAGGAAATTTAGGTCTTCGTAGTATGTGGCGCCGAGACCGTGGAGCAGGACAACCGGGTTCGGGTGCTCCTCGGTCAGTTCGCAGTCGAAGTCATTGATGCCGAATAATGCCAAGGACGGGGTGAGGAGGGCGGCCAGGGGAAGGAGGGAATGTAACTTCATCGTGGCCAATTATTGTATTACTATAATGAATTTCAAAGGAGTGTGGGTATGCAGCCGAAGTGAAAAGTGCATGTACAAACGAAGGGAATGGGGGGAATCCGTATAATGAATGTATACAAACGAGGAAAAGTTCAATGAACCCGCGACCCATTCAAGGGACCATGTCGCCTTTTAAATTAAGAAAATGAAAACAAAAGCACCACAAGAGCGTGCACCGACCAGCACTTCCCAGCTGAAGTGGACCTCGCATGGATCGGGAAAGAAAAAGGAAAAAGAAAAAAGAAAGAAAAGCAAAATAGATTATGGATCCGATCAGGAGAATAGCGATCGGCTTCAGGAACCAAACAAATCCATTCGTAAGGGTGGAGTCTTCCACAGAAAAAGCCCCATCAAGGACCCTAACTCGACACTACTGATTAGGGCCGCCGCTAATCTCACACTATTGGAAATTGTTTGAGATGTTCCCTGCATCGCATTGGTTCGAGCCCCGGCTGGGGACTGCTGGAAATAAGCAAGGTTACATTTCCTGTCAGCTGTCATGACTGCTCTCCGTTTGTCTGTTGTTCAAGTTGAGTGTCAATTGAGGGTCCATACAAAGGCGGGGATTCAAGGCAATTGGATGAACATTCATCACGGTCACGTTCCAGTCATCTGTCTTTAAGCTTATAACAACTCCTCCTCCTTTCTCGACATACATACATATCATATCTTCTTCATCAAGTTCCCTCATTGTGCCATAATACCTTTGCTTTTCTATACCTTCTGCTATGATGACTGCCTTGTTTAGGCTGTCTTGTGAATTTATATATATATATATATTTTTTCTCAGTGAATCCTCGACTCTTGGGACAATTCTTTTGATATATTTATCGTCTCACCACCTAAGAAATACACATGGTGTGATTGTCTAGTAATTGAATCAGGAATAATGCATACTTATTCCTCAATTTCCGGTAGTTAAGGCTTTGCAGTCTTACCTCATCGACAATGCCTGAGATCCAGAATCACTAAAGATTCCCTCCACCCATTTCTATAGTGTATGTGTAACTCATACACCTGCGACGCTCTCATGATATTAGCAGTTGGATAGCCCTTTCACAGCTTCTGATCGTGAATACCAATACTTGGAATCTGCACGCTGTCAGTGATTAACAGTCACATGCGCAAGGCCTCGTAAACATCTACGAAGACCTGACTCTTCCCTGAACGTCTCGCGCGTTGTATATTAGCTTTATAAGTTGCCTACCCAGGCACGATACGCTAAGTATCAGGCCTTTTTCTCGGCCACAGGCAGACTCCAGGACAACTGTTTACGGACCTCATCATCGATCTGAAGAGTTTGGTCTCCACCACACTGTTCAAGACCCATTAGTGAGCGACAAGACCTGCCAGCTTGACTGTTGGTCTCACACTGATTCCAAGATTACAACAAATGTTTCTTCTTCAACTATCGGTCAGGCGTCATTGCATCAGATGATATAGTTTGATGCGCACCCCAGGTACAGTGCCCTCGCTTGCGTGTGAACACCGCCACCTGGTGGGCACAGGTACAGACTATCCTGATATTCTACACCTTATCGGCCGCAAACCACATTATCAACAACCTGTAACCAACCACCTGATACTGCCTCTTCGCCTTACCAGGCTCGTTACTCACCTGAGTGGGCGCTAGATGTCTCAAAGCGACTTCCTTCTTGTTGTCTGCTTGGGGCTCTGTCACGTCCTGGACCGGCTTCTTCTTAGATTCAGCATGTCTCGTGGACCGACGACGCTTCACCCACTCTCTGCAATTGGTTTCCATGATCGTACGACCAGCTAATATCTAATACGAACTGATCACCACAATTCGTACCGAAACAGTAGCACTGGGATTCAGCGTGCCCAGCTTCTTGTTTAATTCTTCCAGTTTGCCAATGTGCAAGCCTTATGCACCGGGTCACTGACCTGGGACCTGAAGCCGTGGAACACAAGACCAGCATCGAATCGGCGACATTTTTTGGCAGGTGAAGGGCCCAGGTGCTTACAGCCCCAGCAGGAACTAGAATCATTGTTGCTTTATAGGGGCTTCCAGAATACTTGCCTGGCAAATGAAGACCGACATGGTGAGCGGTATGCCCAGCCCGCACTCGCTGGCGAGTATATCCCCACAAACGGCAGAAGCATCCTACCTTAGCATGTACCAGATGCTAATGACCTGCCAGGGAAGCAACTGTACCGCCTCAAAAGAGTCCAATGTCCCTGTCAACTTCACTTTACAGTTAGCTGTGAAATCACCTCGGAATGCGAGAACCCGATCCACAGTCATCGCTGATCAAGCAACAAACCCCTCACATAGATAGGTTATCTGAGCCAGCCATCTTTGCGACACTCAATACTTCAGTATACATACCCTGCCACCTACGCATGCGGTTAGATACTCATGATGGCTATCTATACTCGCTATCTAGTATTGTATACCTTTCTTATAATTAAGCTTAAGCAACCCGTCCGTTAAAACCAGGATTCCAATTTTAACATCATCTATGCCCGCGGCTATCCACGATCGCAGTACACCATTTGATGTTGACCATGACAGCTAGCTATGATGATGAAAAAGACTAGCTATGAAGAAGTTGGTTGTCCAATTTTAATAACCCTGACAAGGGGGCAGCATCTCTGTCTCCACTTTCGAAAGAACATCAAAGATGCAAACCCCGTCCGCCAAGGCACTTAGCAGGGCAAATTTCACCCAGCTGAACCAGGAGAGAACAAAGCATTGAACTTCTTTCCCTAGAGTAGAATTGATAATCCGTGCAGACCGAAGTTGAGGTACAGAACGGGATAATAAAAGGCGGCGTCATGTCATATCTCCTTGGACATGGTTTTCTGCGTTACAGGGTAAGGGATACCTTAATGTTGAAGCAGTCAGGCGAAGATGATCCTTATACATTTTATATCACCCCCAAGGCAGGCAGAGATGCAAGTGAGTTGAACATAGCTATACTCCGAAGACTGTCACTAACTAATACTAATAACACCCAGGTCAACAAAGAACAAGCGACAAGTGAGGAGTAGAACGAGCAGCTTAACCCTATCGTCTTTACCCTGGGACTGAGGCGTTCCGAGCAACCATAATCTTTAATGAGTGGCCGCCTTGACTACCCAATGTTTATTGAAGTGTAGGCTCTCCATTTACGGTTTTACCCCCAACATATGTTGCCTTCGACGACTTCTATCCTGACTTCGGCTTCATACAAGTCCCATCTACCATTGTTCGATCAGTGAGTGAAACCACCACCACGCACTCTGGTGTTCCGAAGTGAACAGAGTAGATCAGGAGTTGTCGCCAAGTCTAGAGAAATTGAGCTCTCTGGTGTCCACCTTAGTATTCGAGATGATACCCGGGAAACCTTCGCTAAAGCATCTGCAAATCTTTCAAAGGGGCTCAAGTCACGTACCTATGGCCATCAGACTGCAGCCGTTGATGCCATCTGTTAGCACCTCGGGTACTCCCGGAACATCTATTTACTTGTCCGTGGAGCTAATGTGGAGAACACCATAAAGGAGTTAGTCGACAACTTCGAGGACAATATAAAACCATTCTCCACTGGAGAAGTGGCATCCCTCACACGCCTCAAAGAATATCGTGGACGGGTCAAATCCTATGGAACGCTGGGCAGTTGAAGACATGCGACTTTGCAATACTCATATATCTGATCGATCATACTGCTGATCGAGGAGCAGGTTCCTCTCATTTGTGTCTACACTACGATCACAGCTTTTTGGATACCTCTGAGAGAACGGCTAGACCACATGACGATGCAGGTCTTGTTCTTTGAATCGTCAAGCAAGAACGTCACCTATGTAGGCAATTGAGTAGGACATGCGGTTGTGAGCTGAGTGTGTAGTAAGGATCGATGTTGTCATCTTCAATAATCTGCGGACTTCTTCCTGGATAATGGATCTTGCTGTTTTATTGAAAAAAAGAAAATATGGACCGGCTTTTATCAACTTACGACATCACCTATGTGCGACTCGCATTCGGTCTCTCTAAAACCTAAGCTAGCAGTATATCAGCTCTCAATCTCCTGATTATCACCGCAGACGGTAAAAACCCATGAACGCAAGAGACGAAACCATCTACTTCTGGTACATCGATATCGTTACTAGTGGAACAGCGATTGAGCTAATTGAGTCATGTATTTGACTTCTAGTCTCCGAGGCTGTAACTAGTACTCCGTACATCATGCCATTTGGAGTGAACTCCTAGTCCGAGATATCTCTAAATAGACAACCCCGACCTGCCCACAAAGTACATTATTAGTTTTATGAGACTCGGAGGCTTGATAATTGATTGCTGTTCACTGTTCGACTATATGATAAAGCAGTTGCCATTCAGTGCCTTTACGTACTTTGATAGTTTTGAAAGGAATTGATATAGTTCTAGCATTGTTCTGTTAATGATCTTGCGCGGCTGTCCTACGGGTTGTTTCTAAACGGTTTGTGTGAGTGAGAGTTTAAGCAATCTCCCAAGAATGACGTTGGAGGATAGCTGTCATTACAAATACTGGCTCGGGCAGGTTGGAGCGAGTTAATCTTTCGAGTCGCTTGGCATCGTCAAGGGGTTAAACATTCGGGTATACATTAAGTCGCTTATCCGAAAGAGCTGTGTGATTATTGTACATCATATGAAATATTCTTATCGTTAGACACGTCAAGACTGGCGTCCCTTCGATCTTAATCAGCAAACCTCGCTCGTGTAGGAGGAAAGAAAAAAAAAAAAAAATCAACAACTTTTTACCAAGTTCATATCGCTCGTAACTTCGTTCCCACAAAACATCAGCTTTCGTGCCTGCGATCGCCAACATATCCATCCTAGTTCTATACAAGTGCCCCAGGTCATGCGCTCGGCGGTGATCCGGCCCGAGGGGATAGCTCCGACATCCCATTTCCCCATAAGCCAAGCGAATGGCGCTTCTCCACCAGTTTCAACACGTCGTAGATGAATCGTCGTTCAGGTCCGCCGTCGGGAAACACCTCCCAGGCCACGCGCACGGGGAAAGCGAGCCGGTTGATCATGTTGCCGGGTGCCGTTAAGATGTACCATTCGAGAGTCCGGCAGATGCCACAGCCAAGAGCATATTGCTGCGCGGGCCCCACCCGTTCGTCGTCCGATCGGGTGTCAACTGTCGATAGCATGAGCCGCGAGGTATAATATAGGCACATCGTTTGAGCCAGACGTAGATCGGGGTAGACAAATTTTGTCGGGGTGACGACAGCACCGGTACGGAGATCCCGACAGCGGAAGATGGGAAACTGATCGTTGGGTTCCGCGGGTACCTCCTTGGGCGGTCCATCGGGATAGGCATCGACCCAGTCGATCTTCCACTGGAGGAACCGGCACGTGAGGTTGGTAACCCCATTCCATAGCGCTGCCTGTTTAACGGTGATCTCATGCGCACTGGCGATCCTGGACTGTCGCGTGGCCTCCAAAGCGTCGTATTCCGCCAACAGGGATGGCACTTCGACCGTTAAATCTAACAGGTAGTGAAGGATGTCTTTCTTGCTCGTTCCTGCTGACCAGGGTACATTGATCCAATCCTCCTTGGCAAGAAATGAAGGCTGACGACTGACGAGGGCCGCCCCAACCTGATTGGATGCGTTAGTCCACGCATGGATCGACATGGCATTGTATTTCACTAAGCGAACTTACCCAATACGGACGCAGTTCTGTGAAGAGAAGGTGCTCTACTCCGTGAATATGATTATCAGGTCCGCGGTGTTCGATTAAACGTACAGCGCCGAACACGTGCGATGCCAGTCCTGCTTGTGAGGTCCGTGCGACGCTCTAAAAATAACCGATAAGCAATGAGGACCGTATAATGGAAAGCAAGATAAGTACCTCAAAGGCCATTAAGAGAATGACGGTGGCCAGCGTGGATTCAGCCTTGCTCCGCTCTGGGTCAAACAAGGCATTCTGTAGATTCCGCAGGACACGCCCATACATCTCAGAGCCGGACTGCACGAATCGCGGGTCCTGAACAGACCGACCGAAAAAAGCTACCGAGACCCCTTCAAATGCATCCATCAGAAGCGGAGAAAACATGCGAATTTCCGCTGCGCGTCGCAATGCTCCGGCCTGACCCGACTTGATATCTACTTCCGGACTAAAAGCGTCAACAAACCGCTCAATAAACACATCCAGCATCGGCCTAGATGAGTTCTTTATGCTAATGATCGACGAGGATGATGATGAATCATCGCTGCTTTCTGATGGGCTGCGGTTGAAATCGAAGCCCTCTGACCCGTGTGAGGCATAGTGATCGTTATCTCTGCTGCTATCGTCACTGTTCTCATCCAGAGAGCGTTGGTGGAGAAAAGCTGCATACGCCCGGTTGAGTTAGCCTCGCAGCTGCCCTGCACGTTCTTGACTGGCGCATACGCCATTACACACCCACCTTCTGTTCCTTCCCATTCATTCGATCCGCTGGAACCCGTACGGAGTTGATTGATTAATCGATCGACAAGCTCCAGCGGGGCCGTGCGTATAGTCGCAAACAACCGTTGCAGCTGGGCCTGACGCCGCTCCGATCGGTGCCGGCGCTCTGGAGAACGACGCAATGCCAAGTCAGCGAGTCATGGCCCTATGATCATGATCTGTCATGCGGGGAGTTGGGGCCACTTACCACTGTTGTTCAGGCGGGCCGTTAAGTCGCGGATCTCCGCCCGCAGATTTCGGATCTCATCCGCTTGACTGATGGGCTGGGGATCCTCGTCTGTCCCCGGTTCATACACGCACTTGGATGGATAGCCATGAGCGCAACATGCATGACAGGGTTTGACGCGGTCGCACTATCGTGGATAGTCAGTTTCACAACGCGTCGGGGTGGCTCCGTCGGCACAAATTTCGTTGTTTTAGAGCCGATAGGGACATTGAATTAAGATTATGAAATTATTTTTAATTCATTTTTATTGTAATTAATGATAGGGGGAGGGTCGGCCAACGGTGATGATGCTAAAACGAGAAGCTCAGACCACGATCGGTTCGGGACGTACCTTGACCTTGCGCAGTCGACAAACCCGGCAGGATCGAACCTGACGAGGGGCCTGAGAGGGCACAACCGTGGCTCTCTTCTCCCGAGGTGGTCCAGACACGAGCAACGCTCGAGAATCGTGGGTGATCATGAGAAGGATAGGGGAGGGTCCGATGGTCGCGTCGCGATCCCAGAGTCAGTCGGAGGGGATTGGAACGTCGGGTTCACCATGGGTTGGAGCCAACGGTACGGCAGGATCGAAGCGAGCGAGATCAGAACGAACATGTCCGAGAGATTCCCTGCTTCGCTTAGAGCAGCGTTGATCGCTGGGCGACCAATAACGGAGCGGCCAGGACGGTGCCGCGTCAACGGCGTCATGGGCGATGTGGGTTCAACGATGCAACTGCGAACAACTCATCCAGTCCATTTTCCCCCCGGTTCATGAGTAATGTTCCGGAACCGTTGGGGGTCTAGGACCACCCACCTTGCGATTTGCTGTTAAAGTTTGTTGTCAACGGTCTTGGAATTCTTGTGTTTGTTTTTTCTTCTTATTCTGCGGTTTGTCTCCGCCTGTGGGGCCCGTGACTTCGCTCGCCTTCCACATCAAGTAAGCGTCTTTTTGGTTTCCAGTTGGGACTAGTGGTGTCGCACGTGATATTTTCCATGGGATGCCTTAAGGTAAATAACGTATTTCACCGGTGAGCGGGCCACACCAACGAGCGGGCCACCTCATCAAAAAATTACGCGTTTTATTGCCTCACTCAATTCAACTACCAACCATGCCTCTAAAAGCGCCTCAAAATTCAAGAAGTTTGGCTGAGCAGGAGGACAGAATACTACTTGCTATATCCGCTTTGAACAGAGAAGAAATCTGCAATATTCGTGAAGCGGCGCGTGTCTATAATGTTCCTCGCACAACTCTTCAACGACGATTAAATGGAATCACTTCGCGCTTAGAAACACGCGCCAATAATCATATATTAACTCAAAATGAAGAGGAATCGCTTGTACAATGGGTTCTATCACTAGATCGACGTGGAGCACCTCCCCGACCGTCTCATATACGAGAAATGGCCAATATTCTTCTTGCTGCGCGTGGTACAGTGTCTATTCAAACAGTTGGAGAGAACTGGGTCTCTAAATTTATTAAACGACGCGATGAGATCAAAACCCGCTATATTC